ACATTGGGAAGGGGGTGCGTCGATGCAAAAGCGACGGGATCTCGAGAGAGCGTTTGCATTCTTCACGAAGCTTGCGGTCTAATCCTAGCGAGGAAGTGCCAAGCGAGGCGAGCAGTATCAAGGACCATCCAGTGAGCAGTGCATAATGTTGAAGTCATTGATTTCTGTGGATGTTCGCCTCAATCTTGCGCCGCCGGACGCTGGCCTTGTCTCGAGGGGACAACAGACTTTCTCCTCTCCCTCTCTCTCTTACACTTTTGTTCGCAAAGAGATAGGACTGTGGATGCTCGCCACAGATCAATATTGGCGTAGCGGATTCTTGTAGTAGTGCGAGATCATCTGGTTCATCATCGGTAGGTACCTGACGCCCCCTTGCGTCGACATGTGGGCAAATTGCATGCTTGCATCATCTAACATCGATGGCGATCCTAGACAATCCGCTAGCCATGCGTTCACGGAGACATCATACTTGCTTGCTTTGTCGCATACTGAGAACAACTGCGGACACCTTTGAATTTGCTCAGAGCATGAGGTTCCTCCCTGCTTCTGAATTCTACGCTCGGCCGTGAGAATGTCCCAGATTCCACCACATGCAAGCATGCAGAACCCACAGTCTCTAACAACCCTATGATGGTCCCGTCTTAATCTTCATCTTCAGATCTCTATCTCGCAGGCTCCCCAACAAGGTGTCAAACAAGGGGTTGGAACAAGGTGCAAAGGATCGACTTGCAGACACACAGGCGCAATCTGGACGAGTGCCCCCCCCCCCCCCCCCCCCCCCCCAAGAGCTGTCATTGCTCGTAACTCCCCAGGACCTCTGGCTGGATCGTGCGCAGCAAAATCCTGCCGGCAGTTCCAATCTGTGCGGCGGCGACTTCTTGCCTCTCAAAAAGTCTCCGCTAGCCCGCGAGATGAAGGCGAGTTGCAAAGGCCTCTCTCTGTCCTGTTGGCTCCCTCAATGACCCCAGGCCTCGTCATCTTGTGTAATGCCTTCTTCCTCTCTCTCTCTTCGTTTCTCCTCTTTTTTTTTAATCTTATTTCCTCATCTTGCTTTTCCAAATACCGTTTGCCCTGCCCCGGAAGGAATGAGACGGGGTCCTAGGCTGCTGTTGGTTGACCCGACACAGATTGGTTTTGCCCTTTCGATCGGTTTTAGACTCGACAAAGCCAGCACGCACACCCTTCTCTCCTCTCCCCACTTGGGTAAATCAAGGCCGTCTTCGTCGTCGATACCAAGGAGTGGCCAAGGCATTCCCTCCTAGTCTGTTTCAAGAGCGAGATGTACTCCGTATGAGCTTTGGAAACGATGACTTGGAGGAGTGGAAAGTACACATTCAAAGCGTGAGGAGAGGAGGGAGGGGGGTGTGCGTGACTGCTGTGACGCCCAGTCGCCTCTCCTCGTTCGACAAGACGCTTTGACTGGCATCGTTCGACGATTGTATTGGGCCGAATTGGCAAATTTGCTCGTCAGTATGGCGTCGAGTGCTGGGACTGACGTGCTGGCCGGTATTCGTCTGGGCGAAAATGGTGGCCCCCCCAGTCGTTCGTCATGCAGTCCATCTAAGCATCAGTTCACTAGAGATCTGCGCCTCGAACAAGGCAGATTCCTGCCTACAAGAAAAAGCACAAGACGGAAATGCGCCTCCTCTCTGCTTTATACGCTCATCGTGTACTGGAGAGAAGACGTCGGAGCTAATGTGGCCGCTTTTTGGGCCGGCCGGGTTTTGCGGCCTTCGGGACGGCCAGCTCGGGAGGCCAAGCGCGACGACAATGCCACGACACAGCCGGCATACTACAAGTAGATATGAGTATGGATATCAGATACCTAGGCAAAACGACTACAGGTGTGCACAGGCAGAGGAGGGCGCGAATGTCTCACGAGAACAACAGTGCTCCTTGCTCCGTCCGCCTCGAGCTGTCTGTTGCGTGATGGATGACATGCCCGGCCAGGCGGCAGCTAAGGAAAGACTAGACGCAACAACACGACAACGGCATCTGGGGTTTCGAATCGGCAATTTGCCAACAAGTGCGAGATTTCGGGGGGCCTCCTCCTCTCCCCTCCTGTTGGCGGCTTCATCCGCTCTTCCCGTTTGAAATCTTGGGGGGGGGGAGGGGAGAAAGTGTCGTTGGTACATGAGGCCTAACAGCAACTTGAACAAACAACGGCAGCGGCAGCGGCATCTATTTCGCGGAGAAATAAAAAAAGGTCGGAACGGTCTTTTTTTCTTTTTCTGTTTCTTTTTGTGTTTTCCTCCTTTCTCTTCTTCTAAATTGAGAATGATATCAGGCGCTACGGTGAAGCGACCTAGGCGAATAGACGACGACTAACACATACACAAAAGGACCCCCTCCCAATATAGGTTTGGCATCCGCGTCAAAGGGAATAAAAATGTTACCGTGATATTTGGAATTCAAGAGAGTGAGTGAGTGGCCGGCGGGTAAATTGCAGAGTTGTGTTATTTATTGATAGAGATTGGGGGAGGGGGCGGTGACGAGCCACGGCTGCCTATTGGTTTGTTGGTTCGAGGAGTGTATTTTGATTCCAAGGGGCTGGGTAGGAAGAGATATCCCCGTTCCTTATCACTATTGTTACATGCCCTTACCTCTTCTTGTTCTTGTTGTTGTTGTCTATCAAACCCCCCCTTGGATATACAAAAGTGCAGGATGCAGACATCGATCCAAGCGAGCTCAGGCTAATATGGCCCTTACCTTGCCCTTTAGATATGATTTTTTTAGTTACTCAGTCAGACGAGGACATTATAAAGCCCGAGTTTCAAGCGTCTAGGTGTACAGCCGAGTGTAACATTGTGTTTTATTTTCTTTATTTTTTTTGCCTTTGATTGTTGGTGTTGTTGTGTCTTGTTTTTCTCACCCCCTTTTTATTGGGGGTCCAGGGGGTCTGACCAACAGCATATAGACGGGTTATGTAGTATTATCTCGCCTAGCGATCCTTGACGGGTGGGAGAAAATGTGAGAAGGGGTGAAGAAAAGAGAAGAGTAACATTGAGCGTGTCGTGTTCATATCTTGGTTCAGAGGACTTTGTGTATATTTGCTGATATCATTTGGGCGGGGGTCAATGAGGGAAGTTTGACGGGGGTGGGCAAGGATTGCTCCTGGGAATATGGCGTGAGATTTGGCTCCCTCAGAGATATTTCAGAGGATGAGCAATGAGTTATTGCGTCTTGTTTTTCTAGGTTTGATGTTTTGCATGGGGAGGATTTAACTTGTTCTGGCAGTGACAGTTATGAGGACTGTGTATGCTTGGACAAGTTGTATTCCTCTATATATGGGGTCTTTTACTTTTGGTTATATTAATGATAAAAGGACATGCCTTCTTGTTGACTTGATAAGACAAAGGCCCTGGTGTAGGTCTTTTTTTCCACGTACTTGGCTGTAGGAAGGGTGGTTGATGGAAGATTATGTCGTTGTGGAAAGAACTTGGAGTCGTTACAATCTTCTCTTCTTTTGCTTCTCTGACTTTCTTCTGTAAGAGCGAGAATATCTGCCTTTCTTCAGGCCTTTTATGAACTGTGTCATGGTGGTTATCAACCCTTTGTCTGCACTTATACGTCTTGTTCTCTCAAGTGCGTACATCCAAACTTCATGTGAAAACTGCCTAAGAGAGCCTCAGCAGGAGCAAGTGGCTCGTAGAGTAACCCTCATAAAGGCCGTTTGCATGCAGTATGGTCTATCTACATAGGACCTCCTGGCCAAATATCTGGGGTATAAGTTACCGAGAATTCGTCAGCACACATTCTTCTGTCCAGGGCGTAATGCAACGAGTTCAATTTGCTTGTAGGAAATCGTTCTATAAGAGGCGCACTATAAGTTAAGCGAAAAACGAGGAGTTGAAGACTATCTTCACGTCTAAGGGGATAGACTGAGATAGAGGAAGTATGGTCATCTAGCAAACACACATGGCAAGGGCTCTCTTCGACACGCCGATCAGACCGTTGAAGGACAAAATGCTTCATTCTTTATGCTATACCTAGGGATTAACCTGTTTGGAGGACGAACCCTGAAGGCCCTTGAATATACTTAACATAGGGAAAGCCAGCAGGGAGCAAAAGGTGAACACAATCCAACATCTGACAACTACCTCAAGCTCTATGTATGTACATTCAACTTGACAAAAAACTGTTGCTTAAACACGTGCTGTGAACACCTAATACAACGGACATTTGCCGTGAATACTTGATGAGTACTCCAAAGAAGTTGAGATACCACACAGAAAAAGACCGCTTTAGGGTAGGCCACGATATGTACAACGCGGACAGCGCCATAAGATCTGCAATGCCACAAATACAACACCCCCAAAGTCGCTCAATATACAGTCATTCATTACACTACCTACATGATTTGCCTGTATGAACAGTCCGAGCCCCTTTTCCGTTCGTCAAAAATACAAAAGCGACCAAGATCCAACTCATGCGTTTTCCTTCATGACCAGCAATATAAGAGAAAACATACAGGACAGACAATTGAAAGAGTAAAAATGACCATGCCAGCGTATAAGAATGAGTACATCAACCGCAAAGCCAAACATAATGGCAGACCTGGGCAAGAGTTCCGCGAGAACCCTTCACATGATACTCCCAGGCCCCGAATCATATGCTGCCACGCACATACGCGTACACAAGGTAAAAAAGAAACAAAGCGCACTCTGGTATATAAAACAAACACTCACGGGTGAGGACCCCAATCTGCTCCCCTTCACATGTAACACTGCCAATATAATCATGATCTCGGCACTCGTTCGTAACACGAGACCAACTCTGGACGCAACTGATGTAGGAGTTCCAGCGGTCTCTGATGCCGTCGTCTCTGCAAGCTTGGCATTTAGGTTGGGGCCTCTCCAGTAGCAAAGAAATGGGGAATCAGGAAAAGAAAAATGGGGTATGGTGGAAGAGGAAAACGGAATGAAGAAGAGTAAAAAGAAAAGAAAAACACCGACTCATGGATTCAAGTCCCCGACCCCTTCACTATGCCTCTCGGCACTCTATGCACCTTCGAGGGGCGGCACAAACGAATAGTTGAAGTCAAGGAGGCCGTCCAGCATCCAGTGCTGGGGATCGAAAAAGTCATAGTTGGTGTCGCCGCCATAGTTGATGTTTCCAATCATGCTGGTCGTTCCGGTTGCAGGGGCAGCAGACAAGCCTGGGGCGCCTGGTGTTAGTACACCATTCGCAGGGAGCATGTTGTTGGACGTGGGGAGACTGTGTGATGGCATCAACGTGCTGTCAAGTTGCGAGGACGCGGCTGAGGACTCATTGGCCGAATCCGGATTTGTAGGATGCTTCAAGGCGGCTGCATGGACGACACACAAGGTTAGCTTTCTGTCCTGCTCTCAAATGACACACACAACCCCCCTCTCAATTCCGATGCGGAAAGAAGGGGAAGAAGAAGAAGAAGAAAAGAAGAGGAGGAATCCTGCAGGTTTGAATTGCAGCTGGTGTACCCACAGGTCGAATGGTATCGCTTACCTTCGAGCGATCCTCTGCCCAAAGCTTGATACTCCTCTCTCCATCGCCAGACGGAGTCGAAAACAAGGCTCATGCTGTGGCGACATCGAACTTTGAGCTGCAGGCTGTCGTCGACTTGGATGGGCGAGTCGTCTTCTTGGTTGTAGTTCTTCTGGTCCAAACGGGCGCCGTTCCACATCTGCACCATTAGCTCGGCCAAACGCCACTGCAAGTCATTGGTAACCACACTGGTGGCCCGGATGGCCTGAATGGAACGGTGGAAGAGGTTTCGCCCGCGCTGGAAGTCAATCGTCTTGGAGAAGAAGGACCGCATCAGCTTGAGCAGGGTAAAGGCAGCGGCAACCAGCATCTGCTGGATGTAGTTGGTGGCATAGAGCAAAAAGGTGCCCCCGATATTGTCGTGCGGAGAGGACACCTTGTCGACTTCCAAGAGGTCATCCAAGAAGCTGACTGTCGCCCGCCACAGGCCCATCAGGTCGTCCAGGTAGCCCGGCGTCTTGCTGGAGTCGAAGAAGCCGGCCAGCCTCATGTGGAGGGCGGCAGCGCGCAGGTGGAGGTTGACGACAGGGCCCAGCTGCTGAGACATGATGGAAGCATACAGTTCCGAGTACTCACGCCGGTATACGCGCATGAGCATCGCCCTATGCTCATCCCCAGCAACGCCCCTGGGATCACTTGCGTTGCTATACATCTCCTTGGAGACCTTGTCGCAAAATCTTTCGATTTGGAGCCGAGCCTCCAGCTCGGGAGACAAATGCAGCGCCGGATCGTCCCCGGGCCGGAGGGCCAGCGTCCAGTCGTACAGCGAAGAAGCTGGTTGGCCGTAGCCGGTGCCGATGTTTTGTGCCACAATGTTGCACACAGCCCACGTGGTGACACGGTCGGCAAGCTGCTCCTTGTTGAGATCGACGGATGTTCTCGAGAAGTCCTGGATGTGGTTGGGGCGATGCAGGCCGATGCCCGTGGCCGTCTTCATCATGACACCGCAGAGGATGTGAGTCGGATCCGAAGTGGTTGTGCTGGTGGGCAGCGGCCATGCACAGAGCAGGCACATGGCCTTGACAACGTAGTAGTTGCTCGGTACCTCGCCAATGGTGGTCCACAGGAATCGAGTAAGGGGTCCAGACAGGTTCGAGATGAGGTTGGCGCAGTTGGCGGGGCTGAAGCGACGCGCAGCAACGGCAACAATGGACCAGAAAAGGAGAGGATGTTGTTGGTGGTATTGGTCCGGAGACTGCTGAGGGTTGAGGAATGGAAGGAAAGGATGGTAGAAGGCGAAGAATTCGTTGAAGAGGTGGGTGACTGCTTCGTCCGTCAACTGGACGCCTTCCAATTCGTGGGAGAAGCGCGGCATGCTGTACGATCCGCCTCTCTTGAGGTGGAGCAGCGAGGAAACAGCCTCGTCGGAGCCCATCAGAGAAGGGTTTCGCGTGTGGCTGTAGGTCGCGGTGCTGGGAGCCATTGGAGAATTGAGTGTTTCGTCGTCTTCGAGGATATAGCCTTGCGCCTGGGCGCGAGCAATGTTACGCCGCAGGCGGTCAATCTCCTTTTCCATCTCGGCGTGTTTGGATCGCTTGCCAATGCGCTTGAAGTTTGATTCGATCTTGCACTCGAGCTTCAGGCGGTTGCACCGCGAGCAGCTTTGGAAAGGTTCCTGAACGACATTGCACCGTAACTGTTGCGCAGAAATTGCACCACGAGGTTAGCCATCAGGAAGAACAACCCAATCAATTGGCGGCCCAGGAGCCAGCCATGGCAAGGTGAGTTGTGACAGAGCAGAGCAGAGCAGAGCAGAGCAGAGCAGAGCAGAGCAGAGCAGAGCAGAGCAGAGCAGAGCAGAGCAGAGCAGAGCAGAGCAGAGCAGAGCAGAGCAGAGCAGAGCAGAGCAGAGCAGAGCAGAGCAGAGCAGAGCAGAGCAGAGCAGAGCAGAGCAGAGCAGAGCAGAGCAGAGCAGAGCAGAGCAGAGCAGAGCAGAGCAGAGCAGAGCAGAGCAAAGCAAAGCAGAAGAAAGCCGAGGTGCACGCCATGACAACAGCAGCAACTCTTCGTTCCCTCTTACTCATCCTTTGCTCTTCTCTTTTGCACCTCGCATGTCTGGAACACTCTTGGCGGGGGGAAAAAACGGGCTGGCAGGGACAGAGGGGAGATGCCAGGGTCGGAGGGGTTGACTCACCTTTTGCTGGCGACACTCGTTGCACGCCCGCTTGACGCCAGGCTGTCGCTTCTTGTCGTGCTCGCCGTGATCGTGCTGGTCGCCGTGGTCGTCTTCGTTGATGCTGCCGGGGCTGCTCTCGAGGCCCATGCCGCCGCTCCTCTTGCGCTTGGGCATTCCGTTGCCTTGACGAGAGCTGGCAGGGCTGGTCGGGCTCATCGAAGAGGCCCCGCGGCCGAGGCCCGGTGAGCCATCCATGCCGATGTGCGAGTGCGCGCTTGGGCCGGTCCTGGATTGCCTCTAATACCTGTGCCTCTCTGCTGGCCAAGAGACGGTGCCTGGCAGCAAGTGGGTGTAGGTGCTGTTGCGAGGCCCGACGAACGACTGCGGATGGAAGATGGGAGGAAAATCGCGGCTTGAGAACCGAGGCGAAGCTCGAGTGGCGGCTTTGCAGCAGCCAAGCTGATCGCGCGAGGCTGCGGCGGAACAGCGGCGGTGGTCACGAAAACGATGGACGCTGGCGATGACGATGCTGGAGCAGTTGGTGGTGAGGGCCGACAGCGGAGGACAGCGGAGGATGATGCTGGGAGGGCCTGTGACTGATGTCTCGTAATTTTTTTTGGCGACGGTGGAGGAAAAAAGTCGACAAAGTTGGAGCACCCGCACGCGGCCTGGCAAAAAGTCGACGTGCTGGGACGGTACCTGCCGGCGGTCCCAGTTGGAGTGGAGAGTGGCCGGGGAACAGGTACAAGTACCGCGCGACTAATTATCCCGCGACTCACCCCCTCCGTGATAGAGCGACTGTGTCTAACCTTCCTAGGCTAGTACCCTTAGCGGACTTCCTAAAGTGGAAGGTACTACGCTCTGCATATAAATTTATATGCGCTATAAGGTATTTTCTACCTAGGGCTGTATTTTAAAAGTAGGAAAAAAAAAATAATAATATACACTATATAAAAAAAACACTATAATACTATAATAATATAATTACAACTTAGCCTATAACACTATAATAAGCACTTAATTTTTAAACTGTAATATCTTTATAACTGCTGCAGTAACTTAAACTGTTTTAAAGCTATAAGGAAGCTTTTAAATCTCTTTAAAATTATATAAAAGATAAAAGGTATGCTATTATTTATAAGTATAGAGGAAATTATTATTATAGCAAGCCTTATTACTATAATATTATTTATGCCTGCTTAAGCGCATATACCTTTAAGGGCTATAGGTTAAGGCTAGCTAGTACTTATAAGACTAAATGCCTTTTTTAAGTTAAGCTAGTATAGAGATTTAAACTTAATAGCCTTTAGGCTATAGATATTATTAATAGCGCTTATAATTATAACCCTAAGCTAGCTATTTCCTTTCCTAAGTATTATAACCTTACTTTTAAGTATATTTTTAATATTATAATAATTAATAAAATAAGGCTAATAGCAAGAGCTATATAATATATGCTAATAGCCTAGGAGCCTAAGCTTTTTATTATAATATATAATATTTAAAATTAAGTATTATAAAAATTATATTAGTAACTTAGTAAATATACTGCTACTTAAGCACTTATTAAGGACTTAAATAAATATAAATTTTACTATAAGAATAAATATAATATCTAGGAATTTTTAAAGTGTCTTTTTATTATTATTAATTACAATTTTATAATATAGAAGGTATTACTAAATATACTAATACTTAATATAACTTATAACACTAACTATTATAGCCTTAAGCTATTAAAAATTAATAGTATTACTAATTTAAGTACTGTCTTTTCTTTAGCCTTTACTTTTAGCTATGCTAAAGATAAGGGATTTTATATATAGGTTTTAGGGAATTTAAAGTTAGCCTTAAGCTCTTATATATTTAAAAAGTTAGTACTGCTAGTAAGACTTCTTTTATAAGTTATTATTATAGACTTTACTATTATTAAGTATTTAGTGATTTTTAGTATTTTTTTAACCTCCTAAAGGCAGCTATATATCTAGCATATCTTAAAAAATATCCTTAAAGCTATTTATAAGTAATAGGTTAGTTATAACTCTACTACTACTGCTATTAATATCTTAAGCCTTTAAGATCTTATTAATAAAAATTTTTTACTGCTAATACAGTTAGTCTTAAATATAAAAGTAGATTTCCTTCTTGCTTAGCATAGGCTTTTATATTTATTATTACTATAAGCATTTAATAATATTTAAAAGGATATATAAATAAACTTTATAGCTTAAATTAGTAAGCTAATTTTTTATTTTTTTATATATTTACTAATAAAATTAGTGCTTTTATATTATTTCTTAAGCACTTATATCTTATTAAAGGTGTAATAGGCTTATGCATTTATAAAAGACTATTATAATTATAAATATTATATAACTTCCTTTTATAAGGTATAACACTTAAGCATAAAGTCTTTTTTTTAATTATAAAATAATAATCTTTATTAGCTTTTTTAGGCTATAAAAAATTAGTAAAAAATAATAAAAGTACAGTTTATAAAAAAGTTAAGTCTTAAAATAACTTAAGTTTATAATACTTTTTATTAGCTACTTTTTAATAATATAATTAACTAGGTTTCTTAAAAGGCGCTGTCTTTAATTTATAATTAGTACTTAAAAGTAAAGGTATTATAGCTTTTTCTTATAAAAAAACTTATAAAAGAGTGCTTTAAGGACTTTATAAGCTAGTATAGTCTACTATATGCTTATATTATTAATAACTTCCTTTATCTTAAGGTTTCTTATAATAATTATAATTACTAAGTTTATATATTTAATCTGCTGCTATTATTACTTTTTAATAACTACTAGCTGCTGCTATTTAATTTAGTAAGCATTTTTAATAAATCCTATTATTTATAGTTTTAATTTTTAATAAAAATAGGCTAATTTAGATTTATACTGCTATATTTATAATTTATAAGTTATTTTAGTAAAACACTGCCTTTAAAATAACCTAATTAATGCAGCTGCCCTTAAATAGCGCTATTAATAATAAGCCTAACTATAAAATATAAGAAATTAGGCATTATAGTAAGCCTTATTACTAGGGCTTACTAATCTAGGGCTAGCTATATTTTTATAAAGTGTTATATAGTAAGAAATTTAATAAGCGCTAGGAAATTATATAATACTATAAAATCTAGTAATAATTATATAAATGCCTATCTTACTAGCTTTAAATCCTATTTATAAAACATTTTATTACTTTAAGGTTACTAGATCTTAAATAAAGTGTGTTTTTTTATAATTTAAGGCTATTAAGCCTTTTATTAAGATAGGCATTAGCTATAGAGTTAGACTTAAAGACTAGCTGCGTTTTTTTAATGCCTTAGGATTGCAGTTATTAATTTTAATAGTAATTATATTAATTTATAGTAATAGCAGTAGTAATAGGCTTTCTTATAGCTAGCCACTTCCTTTCTTAAGCTTATAGCTAAATTATATAAGGGCTAAAGACTTAGATAAGCTATAAATAAAGCAGTAATATCTGCAAGGCTATAAACTGCTTATGCTATATAAGTCTGTTATTAATTTTATATAAAAGTAGCTATTAAAATAAAAATATATATATTTTATGCTATATTTTAGTATATTTTATATATCCTTTTTTATATTACTATATAGTGTATTATGCAGTTATAATTATAGTGTTATAGTGTTATAGTATTATATTATTGTTTTTTTTTTCTTACTCTTAAAATATAGCCTTAGGTAGAAGATACCTTATAGTGTATATAAATTTATATACAGAGCGTAGTACCTTCTACTTTAGGAAGTCTGCTGAGGGTACTAGCCTAGGAAGGTTAGATACAGTCGCTTTATTATAGAGGGGGTGAGTCGCGGGATAATTAGTCGTACTGCGCAAGTACCTCCTATAATATGCTAAGGTACCTACCTACTCCGTGGAGCCAGTGGAGGTTCAATATTGACCGACTGACTGATACTATTGCAGGCGCTGTGATAGGTGTCGTATTCCGTCCGTCCTGCAGCTTGCAGCAGTCCGTCCATCACATCACATCAGGCCCGTGGCAGCAACCACTCTTTCTCCTCTGCTTTTCCTTGTTTACGACGATTCTGAATATCGTTCCTCCTGAATCCTCTTCTTCTTTTCGCCACAGTCCTGCCGACCCCGCCTTCTGTAGGGACGTTGTCTTGCTGTTCTTGCCGTGTCCTACCATTCATCACCAACCTACCACACCAGCTGTACTTCTAAGCTATGTACAGTCTTCCTTCAGCACAACTCGCCGACGGCTATGGTGTAGTAGTCAGAGTCTCATGTGTAGCGCCTCCGTATGCAAGTGCTTGCCGTCCAGCTGCAGGCCTTGTGAAAAACAACCCAGAATTGGCCCAGAAAAGTCCCTCGAGCATCCAAGACGTTGCACCCAGAAAGCCATTTGAAGTCCACAAGGCGCGGAGACACAGCGAGAGGGAGGCCAGCCACAGTGGGGTCTGCGAGTTCTGATTGGACACAGGCCATGCTGAGTATCACGTGAGAAGGCTGGACGCGACAATAGACCAATCAGGCACTAGCAATGAGACTTAGGAGCGGGGTATTGTTAAGCAGCGAATGTGGGCATCCGCCACTAATGTGGCTCTTGATTGGATCGCCGGCCCGTGGAGGGCGTCGGTCTCATGGCAAGGTGCAGCACTAAAACGTCCACTAATGCCGCTGTGCAGCGGAACTACTGAGTTTGTCTGTGACGACGGGATTCCTGATATTAAAAAACCACGGGACGGAGTATCAGGTAAAGAGCAATACGGAATACGAAGAACACATACGTACGTAGCTTGAGAGTACAGTACACTATAGCTCGTGAAGGATGCTAAAGGCCAAACGGTGACTCCGAAAACAGCTTCCGCACCTGAGCCCGGCGTGTCCAAGTTGAACGACCTCGTAGGTACTTGTACTCCCTCATGGTTGTTAGCGGACGGGGCGACCCTCTCCTTTTTGCCTTTCTACCTTGTCGGTACACCTGAGCTGATACGAGTACTATTACTTGTCTACGCCAGACGCACGAGGCCTGCTACATTTTCAGCTCTTTATCTCCTCACAAGCAGCCACTTGATGTAAGACATGAAGTAAGGGAGTTCCTCGGGCAGTACTACAGGAATAGGTTAGGTACTCTATCAGGTATGCTTAGTAACGCCTGAATCGCCAGTACCTAGATGCCTTGCCTGTTAAAGACGGCTTACCTAAGTTCCAAGCTGCCCCATCATCTCATCATCTCACCTATACTGTAAGGAGGTACCTGTTGGGAATAATAAGCGCTTGACTTGTTCCATCCACGGCCTGATACCCTACCTTGCCTCACCTTACTTTGACTACAACATCACGGCTGCATTGCACGACTACAGTCTTACTGTCTTCCATCTTACTTCTTATCCGGGCGTCGGCGTTTGCGGATCGCGGTGCATCTCTCTCCGTTCTCGAGTGCAGCCAGCCAACCGGATCCCGCCCTTGAATCTCGACCTGGATTCCACTTCTGAGGTCTAAAAGGCAGATCGGGCATCTCCTCTTCTTGTCTCATCAACCAACGTGGCACCACTCCCGATGACAGGACCCCAGGCCAATCAAAGGCTGCTTTCTCCTGTACCTGAATAAGCTTGTCGCCAATCGGCATCGCGAGACATCTTTCCTCATCTGAGCTGACTGAGCTGTCTCGGACCAATTGCTGGCTCCTGGTCTGGCCCTAACCATCTTGCTCCCGGAAGCGCGGAGACTCTAAACATAAGCTTCATTCATTCTTTTTTTTTTTTTTTTCAGTCTGTGGTTCCTGAATTGGTCATCCTGACCTCACTGTCATCTTCGGGGATTGGTCAATTCTCATTCTTCTCTCACACCCCAGCTCCGACCCTGTTCTTCTACGGACAACTTTATCGATACGCCCTGTTATTGTCGTGAGAGACGTCCGGTGTCCATCATGACGGACAGCAAGACGGTGAAACAGCCAGTAAAACGGGTGCTGAAGCCAGTTCCCGATCACGGCGCTTACGTGCACTCCTCCAAGACGAAATTCAACGATCAATTTGCTCTTCCCGGCTCTGTGCCGGAGCCTGGTAAGTATCACGTTGATTCCTCGTTCATGTCACTTAGAACCGGGTTGCTTACCTGCATACCTACCTTACGTGCCATTGCCAGAAATTGTCCGCATCAACACCATGGCAGTGCCACAGCCGTTTCTCGAGCCCGACAAGTTAGAGCAGTGGAAATGACACAGGCGACATCCGATGGCATTTTCCCGTCTTCGGCTTTATCCATGCTTGACTGCGAGCTCTCGGTCGGATATACTCACTTTTGACGCCTGTCTTCCGAAGCACCTGACTAAACAATGATGCCGCTTTGTAATCTCTGGCCGGGGATACGCAGGCTTACCAGGATCCTCAACAGCCTCATGCTCACCAAGATGTTACTCATGAGCCTTCCGAGAAGCACTCGGGAGGCTTCCACGGCTTTTGCCTGTGCTGCTCGAGGCTGCAATGCCGCTCCTGGAGCCGACGCTACCAATGTCTTTCATTAGTATTAGTAGTGGTGTCGAGGCGCATCTGGAACCGACCCCGCACAAATCAAGGTGCCTTTGTCTAACACGACTATCAAGCTGCCTAGCACGCAGATCACTTGATAACCATGTCAAATTCTATCGTCGGCCAAACTGCATGGATTCGTGGGCTCTCCATTGCAGTGCTGTCCACTCGTGTGAGGGTATAAGTACCTCTGCTTGACCAGGACGAAGGAGCTGGAGCACCTCCTCAACAATCAAATCCCTTGATACCTAGATTCACCATTCGGCTTAACCCTCAAACCAGCCCGGTCCTTCGTCAACGGATCTGCCCTTCTCCCGACGCTCAACGAACCACACCCAAGCCACGTCATAATACCCATCTGAAAACATGTTCCTGGGAGACGCCAAGGACGCGCACGTCGTGCCCTTCTTCATCAACGGCAAAGACTACCACCCGGAGCGGTCATTCGACGTCGTCTCCCCCGTCACCGGCAAGGTCTCCCATCGATGCGGTGCAGCCACCGTCTCGGACGCCGATGCGGCCGTTGATGCGGCGGCGGCGGCCTTCAAGACATGGCGAAGGACGACACCTGCGTTTCGCCGTGACGTGTTCTTCAAGGCCGCCGACTTGATCCAGCAGAAGAGCGGCGAGCTGGCCGACATCATGGCGAACGAGACGGGGGCCACCCTTCCCTGGGCTCTCTTCAACCTCAAGACGGCGGGCGAGCTGATTCGGGACGCTGCCAGCCGCATCTCTGCCATTGAAGGGTCGTTCCCATCCCTGGCAGATCCCAGCAGCAGTGGCATCGTGCTGCGAGAGCCTTATGGCGTTGTCTTGTCTATCGCTCCATGGTATGTTCCTGCCACGACTATTCGCTTCTTGCTATTCTCCACGAGTCACACTCCTCACAACGTAACTGTAGGAACGCTCCCTACATCCTACCCACCCGCGCCATTGTCGGCCCTGCTGCCGCCGGCAACACCGTCGTCTTGAAAGCCTCAGAGCACGCCCCCGCGTGCATGAGGGCTCTCGTGTCCGTCTTCCACGAGGCGGGAGTGCCCAGCGGCGTCATGAACATGATTGCCCACGACCGCGACTCCGCAGCCGAGATCACCACGGCGCTCATCGCCAACCCCCACGTCAGAAAGGTCAACTTCACGGGCAGCACCGGCGTCGGGCGCGTCATCGGGAGGCTCGCAGGCGAGCACCTCAAGCCCGTCATCCTGGAGCTCGGCGGCAAGGCGCCGGCCATTGTGTGGGAGGACGCGGACCTGGACCTGGCGGCCCAGCAGTGCGCCATCGGCGCGTTCCTCCACGGCGGCCAGATCTGCATGTCGACGGAGAAGATCATTGTCCACAACAAGGTCAAGGCCGAGTTCCAGCAGAAATTCGTCGCCGCCGTCAACGAAATCTTCCCGCGCGACGGCCCCGCCCCGACGCTCATCAACGAAGCGGCCGTCCAGCGCAACAAGGCCCTCGTCGCAGACGCCACGTCCAAGGGCGCCAACGTGATCCTCGGCGACGCCGACGCCGACGCCAACGAGGCCCGCGCCGCGCAACTGCGCCCCGTCGTCGTCGGCAGCGTGACGCCCGACATGGACCTCTACGCCACCGAGTCCTTTGGCCCGACCGTCTCCCTCTACGAGGTCGACACGGAGGCGCAGGCCCTGCAGCTCGCCAACGACTCCGAGTACGGCCTGACGGCGGCCGTCTTCACCGAGGACCTGAGGAGGGGCCTGCGTTTCGCCAGGGAGATTGACACCGGCGCCGTGCACATCAACAGCATGACGGTGCACGACGAGCCGGCCCTGCCGCACGGGGGCACCAAGGCGAGTGGGTTTGGGCGGTTCAATGCGGCGATTGGGCTGGAGGAGTGGGTGAGGACCAAGACGGTGACTTTCAAGCACTAGATGGCGGATTTTCCCAAAACAGAGACCAAGGAAGTGTTCATCTCGGTGCACAAGACATGATTATTTCCCATGTAGTCTTGGTATATACACGGTTTTCTGATCCATTGACTATGACAAATTTGCTGGCACTCGCAAGTAAATCTATACATCTAATACTAAGCCCGAGAGGCTCAATCAAAGAAAAAAAAAAGGAAACTGTCTTGAATATAGTGAGGAAAAAGAAGGGTATCAGAACACTCAAGCACGCGCAAAGCATTGCCATATCGCAAAGGGAAGAGGAGGTATGAAAGAGAGGAGGCAAGACTGGCTGTCAGAAAGCTAGTGCAAACAAATGACAGAATTTCGAACAGACCCGAATCGTGAAACAAGAGATATCCTCTACTTGCTGCTGCTTCTGTCTCTCTCTGTCTCTCTCACTCTCTCACTCTCGCACACATGCCCCCTCCTCAACTGCAGCCATTTCTCTCTCTCCCCATTGTTCATGTGCGAAACTGCAAACGTATAATAGAAAACAACATATTCTGCAAAACGTGAAGCATGACGGCAACGCTAGTAGGCAGCAGCTCCGGCCAAACGGCCAGATCCAGCTTCCCCTCCAGCCCAACGTCGATGCCAAAGAAGAGGGCAATCAGCCCCCGCACGACGAGGCTCGCCACCAGCTCGCACCCCCACGTCACCATGGAGGCGTAAAAGGTCAGGTTGAAGTCGTACTGCAGCGTCTCGTCTTCGGCTTTATCAAAGGCAAAGTACGGGTACACGTCCTTGTTGGCGCCAAAGTGGAGCACCAGGATGCTGCCCAGGAAGGTGGCCATGGACGTGTTCTCGGCCAGGAAGCGGATGAAGAGGTTTCGCGTCTGCAGCTTTTGGTAGGTGCCGTACGTCAGCCCACTAAGGCCGAGTATCGTCAGGATTCTGTGGAACAGGCGAGTCATCATGATGGGCGTGATGATGACCAGTCCCGTGGAGGAGAGAATCTGAAGGATGACGAACTGGGACGGCGAGCGAAGGCGGGCGTATAGGGCTCGAACGTAGGTCTGGTAAGTCAACATAAAGTAGCTGTGTGTCGTTTGTTAGTAAGAAAGTCAATTCCAGACCCAAATCAATGTCAGAGCATGGTAAGAGGGGAGAGGAGGAGGAGGAGGAGGAATAGGCAAGAGAGAGAGAGAGAGATAGAGAGAGAGACAAACAGCTTAAAGACCCAGCTCAGGGGATAACTCCCAACGCGCTCGCCCTCTTTAATGCCCAGCACCCAGCCCGTCAGGGCGTCAAGCAGATGCACAGTCACCACCCATCCATACACGTACACAACAGTCTCGAAGCTGTTGTGAGGCAGCGTGCGCAGGTAAATCTCGGCATACGCCTCTCCAAGGACGTAGGCCATCAGCCCAATGAAGAGCGCGACGCAGAACCATAGGAACCTCACAAAGCTGGCCGGCAGCCATCGTCGTCGCAGCGCCACCCTAGACGTGCTGGACGGAGGCAGAACCCTCAACACATCTTGCTCCCAGAGATCGTCGGTAAGGTCGTGGCGCCGCCGCTGCCGGTTAGGAAACGAGTCGGGCTCCCCCGTCCACCACGAAGTCGTGAATATGCGCTGAGTCTCGGAGAGCGACTGCCGTAGCTTGATGTGGCGCTCGTTTGTCATGAGGATGAGAAAGGAGATGGCGACGGGCATGGCCATGACGATGAATGTCCATGATACCCATGCCGTGTTGTGAACGGTGAGGAAGCGGGTGGAAGGCGTAAAGTACACGGGGATGGGGACAGCAAGAGAGATGATGGCGAGCAAAGAGACTGTCACCGGAAAGCCAAAAGACTGCGGCCACCTTGAGAATAACCATTGTCAGCTGAGTCCTGAGATGGGGGTTATTGGGAGCGCATATTGCATACCAGTTCAAGTTGTAGAGATTAAAGACTTTTGTAATCCAAATCAGCGCGCTGAGATTATAGAAGCCATAGTAGACAAAGAGGAAGAACCAAAAGTTGACCTGCACGCGGGCCTCTCCGTGACCGGGAATCTTGCTGTCGAACGTTGCCACGGATCGTGTAAGTCGCACCCACAGGCCCGTCGCGGCATCGCCATCGTCGCCCTCGTCCGGGATCGAGTACTGCGGGAAAGGCACTGCACACCACGCAACGGCCTGAACGGGCACATGTGTCAGCGTCGGGTCCGGGAGCACAAGCGCTCATTCACCAGCGTTGGGAATAGTGACAGGAGCGCAACACAGCAGAACAGCAAGCCAAACAAACATACCAGCGCCGCAGGAAGGAGGACAAGCAGCCCATACCGGGTCCACCACCTGTCCACGACGCGCTTCACGGCCGACGGCCTCGGGTTCACAAACAGATTGATAAAGTAGCTCTGCCACAGCCTCTCCCATCGTGATCTCGGTTCCCCATCCTCGGTTATGTCACCGGCACCAGAACCGTCTCGACCGTCCAGGAGCCCTGCCTCGATCTCGGCCACAATCAGCGCTCCGTATCCAACATGGATGCTGTCGCGCCCGTTTTCATGGTGAGCGGAGAGAAGGCCCAGGGGACTGCTGGGTCGACGCGGACGAGGAGGCACGGCTCGATAGCGGCCGAGCAGAGGCGACGAGTCTGTAGGGCGGACGCGCGATTCTGAGCCCTGGGTGAACTGGAAGAAGGTGGGCATGGCTAGGCCACAGGCAGAACGACAGAGACACACAGCTTAAAACAAGGTGAAGCTGGAGGCGAGAAGCAAGGGCGTGAGTTGAGGAACAAATCCAAGAGGCGGATAACAAGACTACCTAGACAAGAGAAGCGAGGCGGCGAACAGCTGGGCGCTGCCCGTCCCTTCTTGTCCCGTCTCGTCTATTACAGCTCTTGCGGAACAGCGATAGCAGAGAGAGAGAGAGGGGGGGCGCGTGAGAGACGGTTGAAAGAGACAGCTGGCTCTGCGAGAGAGTTCCGAGGTCGACAGATGCGAAAAAGGTAGTAGCAGCAAGACTGGAATGCGATTTCGGGGCGTCGATCCTCGCGCGGGAACAACGGCGGCCAGCAGCGGAGGAAAAAAGAAGCATGTGGAACTGACCTACGGCAGGGTCTCGTGGGCAGAGGGGCATCCCTGCATCTGCATGATGGGGGGGTTGGATCGTGGCGGGCGCTCTGCTGGTCTGTTCTCTTCTTCTTTTGACGATGGGCAGATGCTGATGCCGGTGCATGAGGTGAGCATGTAGTAGGTAGGCAAGGTAGCTAGCTGTAAGTGCATTAGTAGGTACCGTAGGTAAGGTATGTAGGAGGTGCCGAGGTGAGAGGAGCTGCTGCTCCTGCACAGTCACACCTGGAACATTCCGTGCAGCTGGAAGCTCGAGGCTGGATGCAGTTGATGCTTGTTGGGGGGGAAGAAATCGGCGCTACAGAAGCAGCTGCAGCAGATTCACACAGCAGGGCTTCGCAGTGCCCTCGCAGCAGATGCACAGCAGCAGATGCACAGCAGCAGATCAATCAGATTATTGGCGGCAGAATGACGCGGTTGCCGCCAGAGGACCCCTGGAAAGCCACCTGGAAAGCCACCTGGAGGCACAAGGGCGGTGTAACGGCAATGACATCACTGGCGCCTGCTACTAGTAGTACCTTAAGGTAGTAGTAGACGGGGAACCAACGCCAGTTCGGAATAGACTACTACTATGTCCATAGGTAAGATGGATATTCAGCCTCGGTAGTATTAACTACCTAGGTAGGTACAGTGGTATGTACGAGAGCTCAGGATCGGTCACCAAGATGATGTTTGGTTGAATCACTTGAGCCGTGTATGTGAAGTTGCATGTCTGGTAATGTGTCTATTAGAGCCCCTTTGCTTAGTTTATATAACCCGACCAAGATGATACTGAAAACGCTATACTCCCAATTGCCAAAACTTGCCACAATAAATGTCCCATCAGCCTCGCACAGCATGCTGTACAATACAACCCATCTCAGCCCAAAATCCAGCTGAGAACCTATATGCAACCCCAGTCCTTACTCTTCAACAAAGTAGATCAAGTACGATAGCTCTATGCTTCGTTGTCTTTCATCATCAACTCAACGCTTCAACACCTCAGCCCCAACGCCCTCCTGTCTCGAAATGACCGATCCATCATCAGATCCTCCAACCACATCGTCCGAAAACGCCACCGTCTTCGTCGACGTCGACTTGCGGCTCGGCTCCAGCACGTCGCCGTTCCACGGCTTGCACTCCTTGACATGCTCTCCACACCGCAGACACGTCCAGCCCTCGCCCTCCTCCCGGTCCAGCCGTGTCGCGATGCACACGAAGCAGTAGATGCATCCGCAGGGAATGGCCTCGTAGGGATTCGTCACGTCCGTCTGCGCCGACCCAATGACGCCGCTCGAGGCGGCCGCCGCCATGATCTCGGACTCTGACGACGCCGCGGCATTCTGGTCCTGGTAGCAGATGGCGCAGGTCCTCTCGGGCAGGAACCCGTACTCGCCGTTGGCCGAATCGCCCCCTTGTTTTGTATTGATAATCTCCTTCGTCTTGCGCCAGGTGCGGCTGAGCCATCGCCGCCAGCGGTTGATGCCAATCAGGGGCAGCACAAACAGCAGGAACTCGGTAAAGGCGTGCCACACCAGCTGGCGGTTGAGGTACTCAAAGGAGACTTCACGGCTGACGTGGCTCGTGGGGGGCGCCAGCCGCATGCGCAGGACGCGGTCGAGGACGGTGCGGTACTGGCCGCGGAACAGAAACACCAGAAAGGAGACGCACGCCGCGGCAGAGTGCACCGTGGTCAGCCCAGACGTTAACCGGGACAGCCTCTGTATTCGAGGGCTGGGATCGCTGTAGCCATCGTCTTGATCCACGAGCCAGTCTTCCCATCTATTCCACGCGTATTTGCCAAACACTGTGACAAGGCCGTACAGCGACTTTTGTAACCTCGTCGGGGGTGCCAGCACAGGGCCCCCTTTTCTGGCGTCGGTATATTTGAGGTTCTGCAGCGCCGCGCCGTAGGTGGCATCGTTGTCCCAGACCGTCAGCTTGAACAGGATGGCCCTCAGCGCCAGCAGAATCTCGGCGGACCAGTCGTCCTTTAGATGGCCGCCGGCGTAGTACTTGAGAGCATCGCCGACCTGCCCCTTGAGGAGGTCCAGCAGCTCTTCATCCAGCAGCTCGGCATCGACCTGCGCCACGCGAAACGCCGGTCGTGCGCTCTCTATAGACGAGGCGGCGTCCCAGGCATTGACGAGGCGGTTTAGAGGATAGGGCAGGCGCTGCAGCTGTGCGTTGACGCGGGAGGACTCGCGCTGGGCCGCGATTCGGGCTCGCTGTTCGGCCTCGCGGGCCTGTCGTCGTGCAGCGACGCGCTGCTGGGCTTGGACGAAGCTCGAGTCGTTCATGGAGTCGGCATTGAGGGTCGCAGATGGAGGGTTCGGAGTATCACGTCGTCGCTGTTGCGTTCAAGAGCGCATGCTGCGTTTGGGGAGGGGGGATCGCGGGAAGTTGGGAGAGTGTTGTATAGATTGAAATGGCGATTATGAAAGCTGACTGGAGCTGAGCGAGTGAGCCGAGGTTGACATGCTGGGGTGACTTCGGCTCGTGGATCTGCGCCGTGATAGGCCGGGGCCGAGCCGTCATTTAGTAGCACCAATAGGCATTGCTGGCTGATACGGTATTACTAGAAGTCTATGAATTGAGCCTCAGGTACTAGGTTGGCACATGCAATGGATATCGAGGCTGTAAGTCATCTTGTCTGGCTGCATTGTTGGCTGTTTCAGTGCCATCTGAGGTACCTTGAGCCGTGCAACGATGAGACAAGGGATTACTACATGTACCCAGGTTTGTCATGTGACGCGGCACCTTGATGTGGTGACATGAAGCCGTTGGATCGAGTCGCCAAACGTCTCTACCGCAGAAGAGAGAACCGAGGCGCCAAGTCTGATCTCTTGTTTGTCTTGTACTGTCAGAGTATTGCGACTTACTATCTACAAGCCAAATTGCCCTTTTACCAAGGCAATTCACTGCATTGCCTATATCACGACTCAGCTGGCGCCATCACATCCCTTTAGAAAGTCACGATACCCCAGTCTCTCCGAATAAGGTAGAGGTACCTGACGTACCTGGTACATCCTCAACAGCACCTTGTCAGACTCACATTGATGATAAGGGACAAATCACAACCGTCTCAATGCTTGACATAAGTCAGTCCGGCATCTCTCATTTCAAGCCTCAATCCTCCAGCTCCATCACATATACTACACGAAAACCAAAATCGCTTGTACCCTCACCGTCGCCCCTCCACACTCTCTCCATGTCCCTCAGATGGCACTAAAGCAGCCGGACCCGCCCCCGATGCAGCCTAGCTCTCTCTCTCTCTCTCTCTCTCTCTAATTGCTCCATAAACAACTCCCCCTGCCCTTAACAAGGACCAGCTTCAACCACTGCATACTGCTAATAAACACAACTGCATCTCCCGCATCTCCGTCGATAATCAACCCGCATCTGCCTAGCCGTGACCCTGTGCTTCTGCCTCTACTCGTGCTTCCGCCCTGCTTCGCCGTGTCTCCCCATTCGCCATTCACTCGCCTGTGTGACTCATTCCTCGTCGCGACGCGATCCCGCCTAAATCACGTCAATCGATATTATAGCATTCGATACATCATACCTTAACGTCCAGACGTGCTACCAGGGTATATCAACCGACGACTGCTGCCTCCCTCGCGCCACTTGCAATCTCCGTCGTCGCGATTCACGCCTGCACAGGCCCTTAGATCGCGATCACATCACTGAGATCCGACCTTGGCCCATGATTGCGACATCGCGAGGTCGTGGGCGGAAGACGGAGGATTGATTCAGTCCGCGCATCTCTCGAACCAAAACACCGCCAGTTCATCGTGACAAGCCGGCCAAGAGAACGGAGCCAAGTGGCGACCACTCTCTTCCTCTGCATCATCCTCACAGCGGCACGGCCCTCCCGACATCCGTCACGACAAGTGAAGAAAGATGCCACCGCGGCGGCGCGAAATCCCCCCCGAGAGCTCATGGCGCCTCGTCGACGGCGAAAACGACAGCTTCGACACCAGCATCATCGACCCTCCTCCGCTCGACGACGACATGAGCCCTCCCTCCAGCGCCATGCCCTCGTCAGGGCTCCCCACGCAGTCCTTCTCGCAGAGCATGAGCAGCGTGGACAGCAGCGCGGGCTTTGGGTCGCAGGACAGCATCCGCGACTTTGCCAACTTCCAGCACGACCCGGACGTCATCCTGCGAGAGCCGTTCCGGCCCACGATTCCCTCGAGCGTCGCCACGTCGCAGCGCACGTCATATCCGCGGCCCGACATGCAGTTCCGCATGCCGCTCGTCGAGGCCAACAATATCGTCGCGAGCGAGGCGTCGCGCAGCGCTAGGACTGCTGACGAGGATACCGAGGAGGGCAGTGTGTGGGATGAGCGTGAGGGCTTGATCGGCGACGACCCTTACCAACGAGACTGGGTCGTGGAGGAAGAGCTTGACAGACTTTCCAAGGAGCAATACAAGGCTGAGGCCAATGGCAACTACGGCGCGTCGTCAGGCTCGCCAACGTCCAGCTCCTCCGGCCGATTGCTTCGAGTGTTGCGCTTTGCAGCAATACCCGCCGCAATCGCCATGGCCGCATATTTAATCCACAGCAATGGCGTCTCCTTGGACGTTGCGCGCCAGTCGTTCTCCCTCAAATCCTTGCGCGAGATCCCCAGCGTTTCCAACTTTCAGATGCCCTTCTTCTTCGAGGCCGAGTCGTCGTCCCGCCCTACAGCTTCGACTTCCTTCATCGACTTTACGAGTCTCATGGAGGTCCAGTCTGGCTTCGAGAGCGTGCTCGACAAAACCACACAGGGGCTGGCTATGCCCCGTGAACTTAAGGAGTCAGAGATGATCACCCGCAACATACGATCGCTCCTCAAAACGAGCGAAGAAGACGCGAGCAGCGAGGACCTCCTGTCCGAGCTCAACAGCTACATTGAAAAAGTCGGCCGCGCAGCCGCAGCCATGCAGACATTCCACATCCACGTCGGATCGACCGTCGACTCCGTCATCAACATCAACCGCTGGACCCTGCGCCACATCAACTCCCTCTCCGTGGAACAAGCCGAGGCCCCCTCCCTGCCCCCGATCATGGCATGGGCCATCCGCCCGCTGAGCGTCATCTTCCGGTCATCAAGCCAAGACGGAAACGACAAGGCCCTGTGGAACAAGTACTCGGAGCACGTCATCCTCGTGCAGGACCGCCTCGACAAACTCCTCGAGGAAGGAAAAGCCCTCTCGCTCCTCCTCCACCAGGGCGAGGCCCATCTCAGCGCCATCAACGAACAGGCCGAACGACGCCTTTCTTCTAGCAGCCTCAGCAAGTCCAAATCCGGCGGCGGCGGCTCCTCGTTTTTGTCCAGCGTCTGGGCGTACATTGGGCGCTTCGTGGAGGAAAAGAATACCTTTCGCGAGGAGGTTGCGCTGCTGAAGAAGGTGGACGCGCAGTACGCGGCGACGATTTCCCATCTTCTTTCGTTGATGGAGAATCTTAAGGACATCCAGGCCTATCTGGGCGATCTGCTCAAGCGCGATGCTTCTTCTTCGTCCGTCGTTTGGGGAGATGAAGCAGCAGGGAGTCAACAACAAGCGCAGAGTACTACGCTGAGCGAGCAATATGAAATTATCAAGAGTGCTCTAGAGAGGCTGGAGCGGGCGAGGGAGAAGGCTGCTGAGGGCGAGGCACAAGTTGAGGAGGCTGGCTCACATGGGGGGGGAGCTGGAGATGAGAGAGCGGGATACGCTGATGCTGAGATGGGAGGCGACGCTTTGTAATGTCAAGAGTAATGCAATGGTTTAATGTTCTTTCCTTTTTTTTTTTTTTTTTTTTTTTTTTTTTTTTTTTTTTTCTGTTCTTGCCAGTTCATAGCGTTGTAAGACACGGGTCTTCAGAAGCTATGGTGTTGTGTTTCTGCTCCTCGTTCCTATGCTCGTGTCTGTTTTCGGTATCTTTCCTGGCGTCAAAAGGGTTGATTCGCAAGCCTTCTCATTTCATTGCAAAGGCCGCCGGCAGCCGGCTTCTAAGTCGCACTTTTCTGTACGAGTTCTATGTACTTTATCATTGTCATAATGAATGAGCCTGTTTCGAAGAGTATACACACAATATGTTCGGTAGCAGAGCAACTCAGAAGAATTCATCACCATTCGAGATTAATGGTGGAAGCTCTTTCTACTGGCAGTATTTCCTTTGATAAACTATACACGGGGCCGGAAGCCCTCTACTTTTTTTCTCTTTCTACCCCTTTCTCGCTGGTCAATGTATTACACAGAACTCATCAAAACACCTCCCTCTCCCCCCGTCAAATCCCCAAACGTTCTTTTGTTTTATTTATTCCACTCTCAAGCTCTGTAGTCTAGCCTCCGCAGCAATAACCTAATTTTCAAACAGTATTAGCAAAACCATGTCTTCTCTCTCGTCATTGTCAAATGACGGAAGGGGGGATTAGGTAGTTTTGTGTAAACTCACATCAAGCGCCTGCCGGACCTCGAGGACTTTTCGAGCCTCGGCCAGCCAATCCTTACTCAGCGTCTTGGCCCAACCCTGAAGGCCATTCATCTCTCTCGTCGCGGCATCCAGGTCGCCCTCCTCCAGGTACGTCTGCGTGCGGGTCAGGATGCTCTCGACGTCGTCTCCCTCCGCGAGACCCTGCTTCTTGAACATGACGTGGCTCAGGACCCAGCTGGACGCGTGGCTGGCGACGCCCGCGTCATCGGGCAGCAGGGACGCCTTCCGGACCTCGCTGGCGACGCGGCGGAACCGGTCAATCAGCTGAGAAGAGGTGGAGATGCCGCGCTGGTACGCCGAGGGGGTGATGGAGGCGATGGCGGCGTCCACGACGGCGTCGTCGGCCGCAATCTCCTTGAGCGCGACGAGCTCCCGGATAAACGGCCGGGGGTGCTGGCCGTCCTCGAGGCTGGCGCGGACGGCCTCGACGGCCACGTGCAGCTGCTGCGTCTTGAGATTGGTGTCGACGACCTCGTTCCAGCCGGCGGTGAGCTGCTCCAGCTGCGACACGGCGGCGCTCAGGTCGTTGAGCTTGCCGAGCCGGCTGTTGCGCTCCTCCTCGACGCGGGCCTCCACCTCCTTGAGAAACTCCTTCTTCAGCGCAATGGCCTGCTCCAGGAGCTGGTTATGAAGCTTCTCCTCGTTGAGCTTCTTCTCACGCTCCATCAGCAGCTTGACGCGCTCGTCGTAGCTCTCGCGAACAGACTTCATCTGCTCCTCAAACTCCTTGCGCCAGGCAACCTCTTGCTGAGCCATGGTGCCCTCCACCCGTCGGATCAGGTCATTGGCAGCAACGTCGAACTCGGCAACGGTGGATCGGACATCCTCGGAAGCCTTCTTCTCGGCCTCGTTCTTGAGATCCTTCAACCGACTACCGATCCTCAAAACCTCGTCCTTGGCCTTTTCGACTGTTGAAGAGTACTTGCCGGACGCACCGTCGGCGTTGATGACCAGGATGAGGTCATTCAGCATATGGACGAGGTCTCGGACAATGGGCTCCTTGGCATCGGGCAGGGACATCAGGTCGATGGACTTGAGGGGCTTGGCTGCGGGCGCATCCTTGGACTCGGTGGGCTTGACCTTGGGAGTAACCGCCGCCGTCGACTCGTCTGTGGGAGAAACCTTCTCAGCGGGCTTGGCAACAACAGTCTCCTGCTGCGGCGCGGGCTTGGCCGGCTCCTCGGGCTTGCTCTCGGGCTTCTTGACGTTGGGTGAGGCGCTCGTGCGTCGCTCGGAAGGCTCCGTCTTCTCCGCCACCCTCCAGGATGCTCCGCTCTGCGCGGGGATCCTGACCTTTTCGCCGGGGTCGGTGCGTCGTCCGCCGCCGAGGCGGGCGTTGGGGAACCTCTTCTTGAAGTCGAGCTCCTCCAGGTACAGCACGGCCTGCTCGCCAAAGGGGACGTACTCGGTGAAGAAGTCGTGGAAGGTGTCGTTGACGCGCGAGTACCAGACGCCACCGCCGAAGCCGACGGCGCCGAGCACCATGAGGGTGAAGATGAAGTTGCGCAGCCTCCGGAAGAAGCCCTTCTTCTTCTTTGGCGGCGGCGGCGGCGGGCTGGCCTTGGGCGTCTCTGCGCTCTGGCTGACGGGCGGGGGAGGAGGCGGCGTGGGGGGAATCTCCGAGGGCGTCACCGTCGTGTCGACAAGTTCCGGGGCGGGAGGAGGAGGAGCGCGCTCCGAGGAAAGGGTCTCGGACGTGGGCAGGACCGGGGGGGTCTTCTGGTCGGCATAGAATCTCTGGACGCAAGCAAAGGATATCAAAAGTCAGCCAGCCGGTCACTCACACAAGAACAACTGCAAGATGACAGGAACCACGAGACCACGGAACATTGCCTCCACCATCCTTTTCTCAACTCTCCGTTCCCATCTCGAAGCTCAATCCAAGCCATCTCAAGCTCCATTCATGGACAACCATCCCCAATTCCAAGGCAACATAAGAGAACAAAGCAAAAAACACTCCATACCTTGGCCAAAGGCACCTGTCGCGCCGCAGCAACAGACCATTGGCGCCCGGCAGCCGCCACAATGGGCTTGCCGCCCAGCAATCTCGCCGACCGAAGCGATGACCGCAACATGATCGAGATTGCACAATTGGCCCCGACGAGAGGAAGCTGGGATACAGAAAGGAAAAAAAGAAAAAAAGCTGGTTAGGTCTCTCGGTCAGATGGGCCAGAGGAAGCTCCAAAAGTTGGCTCCCACGGAATTAAACGCTCAGGGAAAAAGTTCGGCTAATGATGGGTCGTTGCTTTTTTTCGCCAGTTCTTTCCACTACCGGCGGGAACCGGAGCCGTGACGCAACGGGTCAGTCATGCACGTGTGTAATAACTGGTCAGCGAACATTGTGCAGCTGTAGGTAATGGCTTATTTCATAGCCGTCCGTAATATGAGCCGATTATCTATCTCTGGAGTCTCTCAGTCTTGACCGGTGCCAGTTTTGGAATACCATATGTGGAATCCATCTTGCCATTCTCCCCATCAGTGAGCGACCCACTTGCTCATGCGAATCCCGGCTTCCACGGAGCATCCCAATGCCATCACAGAGGATCGACTGAACAGCAAGACACAACGACGGGCCGACGAAATCTAGTCAACGCAGCAATCTATTAGACGCTCGGTCAGATACACATCGTTCCCCATTTCATTTCCATCAGACATCCCCAAAGGCTCGGAACGTGCTCAAAAGGCAGGGAGAGCAAGAGACCCTTGACATCCCCTCCGCCTGAACCAAAGACGAGCACAAAGACATCATAAAGTGCATATTATAACAAAAACGAGGACAATAAAAGACAAAAGACCAAAAGTGATAAATCGTCGGCCAGTAACCCTCCAAACCCAAGACTCCGAGAAATATACGACACATACCCTCGACTTGCCTCGACGCAAGCCCAAGGCCTTGAATCACTGCTGTCAGTCTATCCCGGCCTGAACCTGAATCTCATCAACCCGCCCCCTCGCGGATGTATTGCATTGCAGGACGTAGGTACACAGGTCATCATTAGACGTCCCACCGCAACCTTGTTTGAAGAATCGCATTTCTTGGTCTAGCAGCTGCATGGTCCGTTGGCGTTGGTGTTGGAGCTCTCCGGTGCAAGACTGACGCCAGGGCGCTGCCCGGGTCGCGCATGCCTGGGTCCGACTTGGTCCAAGGGCAGCTTCTTCGCAATGGCGGTGAAGAGTTCCCGCACGTTCTCGGCCGTCTTCGCAGACGTCTCGAAGAAGAGGAGGCCGGCCTCGCGCGCGTAGGCCTCGGCATCGGCGGTGGAAATGGCCCGCTTATCGGGCTGTTCGTTGACCAGGTCGAGCTTGTTGCCGGCGAGGGCGATGATGATGTTTTCGTTTGCCTGGCGCTGGAGTTCCTTGACCCATGCCTTGGCCTTGTCTAGTGATGCCTGCGTTTGCGAAAGTCAATATCTCAGCCCTGTTTGGAGTGCCAACTCAAATGTCACAACATACGGATTGCGTAATGTCGTATACGACGACGGCACAGTTGGCGTTTCGGTAGTACATGGGCGCCAGCGACTTGTATCGCTCCTGGCCAGCCGTGTCCCAAATCTCAAACTTGACCGTCGTGTTCTCATCGAGCGAGATGGTCTGGGTGAGGAAAGCCGCTCCAATGGTCGATTCCCGGAACGAGTCGAATTGATCCTGATGGGCTCTCGTTAGCCGGACGGTCCCAAGGGCGTCCCGGAAAGGACGTGCAACCATACCTTGACGAAACGAAGGACTATTGAACTCTGCAGCAAAAGTGTTAGCCTCTTCGCCTTCACATCTTCCTCTTCCATTGTACACTCGACGCCGCGAGCCAAAGACTGTTGCTAGTTCACCTTTCCAACAGCAGATTCGCCTGTCGCAAAACAACAAATGTCAGCACGCAACCCATCAACCACCACCTTGTTGATCCGTTCATCTGGGTTATTGTCAAGAGTACCACTACGCACCCAAGAGGACGAGCTTGAACTGCGCGAAGCGAGTGTTGAGGCCCGGTCGGCCAGCGGGGGGTGCGCGAGCGGCCATTTCGTCGAGTGGCTGTTTTTGGTTCGTTTGCGCTTCTACCGACGTAGCGAGAGTTGAAAGAGAGAGAGTGTGTGTGGCGGGAAGCCGGCGGCGGGCGAAGCAGCGGGCGTCGAAATCGAAATAAAAAAAAGCGTCGGCGTGCGTAGGGTTTGGCCGAAGAGAGCAGCAGCGGAGATGATGTCGCGAGGCTGCGGAAACACGAGGCGGTCGATGGAGGAGGCGCAGGCGATGGAGGAGGTCGAAGGGCTCGAGCAGGATAAGAGTCGAAGTTGCAAGTCTGCGGATGGAGGTTGGATGCGGCGAATGCCAGAGACGGGCGGTACGAGTACACGTCAGGCTAGAGGGCGGGTCAGATGGCCCAGGATCCAAGTGGTATGGCGGACATTAGGTAAGCCGAGGCTGCCAGTGCAACAAACTCGGCCTTTGTTGTGTCGTCAAGGAGAGGTGGTCGAGCATTTGCGGCGTGATTTGTACAAGCATCCCGCCTATGGCCAGCCCATCGACTCTGTAATGGTTTCAACACTATAAAATGGGCAAATTGGCGGTACTTTGGAGCTGAGACGGACAATCCGTAGTATAAACAAAGCATAAGGTAGATATCGAAACAGCAACTCGGTCGGCAGCAGCATATAGACGTCATCGATTCAGGCTCTTTAGCAGGTGAGAAAGAAAAAGCTGATGCTGTTACCAACCTATGACCCAACAACCTATAGGTAGGCACTTCGAATCGAAAGACGGGGCTCTTCAGCACAGACAGCCAACAGTCACACACATCAGTAACAGCGTCGATTCACGCCACATCTCTGCACACACGGCACCCAGCAAATCCAGATACTATTCAGAAGTTTCCTTTCATTACATCGATTCTACATTTATATATATATACACACACACTCGCTCACTCACATGTGCTGATGCAAGGCACATGTCGTCAACCTACTAGGTATTACCCGAGGTATGTACATCGCCGTCGAGATGCCACAACCCACCCGCTCCGATCCTTTTTAAATATCAACCAAAGCATCGCCAACTCCATGTCCCGTGGAACAACTCCAGCGCCAGAATAGTCATGAAAGCCCGTGAAACCATAACAACCCAAAGTCTAGATCGGTCGCAGTCTGTAGATGGAAGCAGATTGCAGACTCAAGAAGAAAAGTGCCGCCAAGTCATCAGCCATGCAGCGGTCAAGGGAGCGCAGCCAACGCCTGCTGCTGCCGCTCCCGCTCCAGCCGCGCATTCTCAATGTCTTGGAGAATCTTCTTCTGCTCGTTCTCCGAGTACTTGTCCCAGTTGCTCGTGTCCTCGTCCCACTTGCGGACACACTCAGGCACCCAGTTGCAGTCCTCGACCTGGCCATAGGCGGGATGCTTGTATCGGGGATGGCGGCTGGGCCAGTTGGACGCGTGGAAGTGGTGCTTGACGAGGGCGTTGCGGGCGTTGTGGTTGCCCGAGTCCGAGTGGCCCTGCCCGGCGCAAAAGGCCTCGACGGTGAGGACGAGGACGCCGCCCACGAGCTTGGACTCGTCCAGGTTGTGGAAGGCGTCCCAGGTGACCTTGGGGCCCTTGGTCTTGCGGTTCATCTCCTCCAGCATGGCCTTGGTAAAGGCCGAGGGGCCGGTGCCGCTGATGACCTGGTCAAAGTCGAGCTGCACCTCGCCCAGGGGCACGCCCTGGTCCCTGGCCACCGTCTTGAACCACTTCATGATGTTCTCAATCAGGCGCATCATGACGGGCTGCTGCGGGCGCGCCACAAACGTCCACTGGCAGAAGGACATGGACTTCTTGCCCAGTATGGGGTGGTCCTTGAAGTCGGGCTGGTCAATCTCGACGCCGATGATGATGTCAATGTCCTTTTCGTCGTAGCGGTCCGGGATGAAGCGGTGGAAGGGCTTCATGGTCTCGACGTCAATGTCTGCGTAGATGCCGCCCTCGGCGTACATGATCATGTAGCGCAGCAGGTCGGCCTTGATGATGGGCAGGTTGATCATCTTGTAGAACTCGACAATGTCGGGACGGTCGAAGCCGTTGGGACCGTAGCGATCCTCGATATAGGCCATCTCGTTGGCATCGGTCACGACCTCGTAGCGCATGCCCGGGTTGATGGTCGTCCACGTCCGCGCCGTGACCAGGTCGCGCTCGTCAAAGTTGAGAGGATCGACCTTCCATGTCTGCCAGATCTTCTGCGGAAATGTGCTGCCCGGCAGAGGCGGCGCCTTTGGCTCGCGGCGCAGCACGGACGCGGGATTGGGTATCGCGAGGATCCAGTCAAAGTTGACAATGACGAGGAAGACGCAGACGACGGTGATGTAGAGAGGCAGGCACCTTCGCATCTGCGTAGGCACCTTGTTGCGGAAGGGGCTGGCCGAGTGCATGAGCCTCGGCGATCCAAGAGGCGAGCTCATCTTAGCGAGTCTTGTCTATCTCGCTTCTTGTTGTAGAGTGTAGGTGGAGGAGGAGGATCGAGGATGGAAATGTTTAACGAGTGAGAGCAGCAATGGCAGGACCGATTCAGACAATGGGCACCATGCTATGGACGGCAACAGCCGCAATAGAGAAGTGACAGAAAAAGGGAAGTGGGAGGGAAAGGTTGGAACGACTGAGAGACTTGACGTTGGCAATGCCAGAGAGAGATGGATGGCAAGTGCGTGTGAGGGATGAGGTCAACACAGAAGCCCAAGAAATCGGACAATGGCTCTGACTCGGACAGCAATCGAGGATCGAAGCTCTGGGGAAGACCCTGTCCGTACGCCACTTGAGCACAACGCAACAAAAGCCCTGGGTAATACTTGAGAGAAGAACTTGCAGGCAGGGCTAGGGCTTGTTCGGGCAAGGGGGAGAGAACAGGGAAAGAATTGAGCTCTTCCGGCTGGTTCTTCTAGTGTTGGGCAAGTCGTAGATACCTGGGTAGAGTCTGGTGAGGAGGCTGCCCGAGTAACTCGCCGTATGGAGGTATTCAACCGAGCATTGGTGTATGTATTGAGGTGAGGTGAGGTATGTAATACTTCTGATCAGCAAACCCGGGGAAGGAGGAGAACCTGGAAAACGAGCACATCTCACCTCCACTGGCACTGGCCCATGCCCATCTTATAACTCGGCCATATCAAAAGGGCTATCCGGGCCGTCCATGGGTGCAGTCACAGGCAGTTTTCGTTGCTGTTCTGCGACCAAAAAAGCAAGGCATGGAGAGACCGGGAGTTGCACGGAGGATGCACGTACAAGTACATGTAGACGGTACTTGCGTGGCAGCAAGCGGTCACATCGGTTGCATTGCAGTTTGGCTCCGTGGTGGCTTGTACCGGTACGGGTACGTGTCTGGTACTACTATAAGAGATTACATGTACAAGTCCTCATGATAAATGCCTAACACGCAGTTGGAGGGATGGCAGGCCGTTGAAGATGCCGGTGATCCATCGTGTGAAGGCTGTCGAACCCGCTCGCCGGTGGATCCCAGCTCCTCCGCCAGGGGTCCAGGACTCTGTGCTTGATGACGGCTGGGGAGCCACAGGCAAGGAGCGCTGCTAGAGCCGGACCAGCTGCCCAAAGCGTGCAAAAGGGCGGCGGCACAGCAGAGAAACATGGGGGAGACGGACAGGGACAAGGCTTGACAGCAGGCTGGTGGAGAGACGCGCCGGCTGGACCTGCAATGTCCGCAGAGCGGCCATACGAGTACTGTAGTTGTGATATCTCACGTCTTCATCGGCACACCAAGGCCTGATCTTCTTCCTTCAGAGCTGGGTTGCTATTTCTTTCGATGAGTTACAGTATGTATGTATGTACCTTACACAGCATGATCATCTGTGTATGACACACAAACTAGCACGGCCATGACAAGCCATCTACAGCCATCTACAGCCCAAGGGCAAAGCATAAACCAGATAAGACGCAAGCCACGGCCCGTCCAGCGCCTCTTCCTAAAGTTCTCTGGACTTTCTGCTTCGCTACAGGCCCTGGCGGGCCAGCCACGGCTTGCGATTATTTCCGCGTATGTACATACAGGCGCTTGTATTGCAGGTGTAACGCCCGAGAATCGCAGCTATTCTTCCAACGGGAGGTCAGAAGCTGGTGGAATCTGTCTAGTAGCTGAGACGGCGCGCGGGATTGTCCCGACACCAAAGTCCTGTATGTATTACCGGTACCTGTACCTGTCCATATCCATGTCCATAAGGTATCCATCACTTCTGAAGGAATCGCTCTACCTGGCAGTAATTGTCTTGATTTCTCGACCACGTCCAATAGGTAGCTGGCAACGGATAATCTCCCGGTCCAGGTACGGAGACATGGTTGCAATTCCTGTCTTACTGTGTCCTTGTAATAGCATCGCATCAGCTCCTGTCGTCAGCATCGCTTATCGAACCGCAGTGTCCGAATGGGACTGATGCAGAAAGCGCCTTGAAAAGACGAAGCTCGCTCGAACCACGTCTCGTCTGCAAACATGAGAGAACCAGCCTCTGGGCGAATACAGCGTACACAGACGTACCTGTACCTTTTTGTCAAACCCAATCTCCGGTCGTTCACAGTCGAAGGAGCAAAAGACGCAAATTCGCCGGCAGGCTACTAAGCTGAATATGCATGTTGGCTCGTCGTGTGTCCGAAGCGCCGATCAGCCACACACACACACACGCGCGATGCAGTTGCCGTCAAGACTCCCCCTTGTCGCCCACATGCATGCATGCAGCAGTTCTTGGTGTGATGGTGATGGATTCAAGAGGGGGGCCCATAAGTCATGGCCCATGTCGAGACTCCACGCAGCAGGGATCTGACGTGCCGTTTCTCCCCCAGTCGATGAGGGCAGCACTTTTGCTGGGCCATGGTTCCCCAGGATGGCGGGATGGACAAATCTTCAGCAAGTTGCGGGCTGCAAACCGGGCTCTGGGCTGGCTGATGTGCAGTGTTTTTCTTGGTCAAGTCCTTGCAACAAGTCCCTTCGTCCCTTGTGGCGTTTTCGATGGCGTTGCGTGAGGAGAACGATCGATGGTGGTGTGGCCATTGTTGAATGTACCTGTACTGTACGTACATTGCATGAACCGGCACATCACCGAGGGACGAGGCCACAACAACACAGAATAAGAGACGACCTTTCATGTGAAAATTGGAGAAAACTCGACCCTCCAGTACGAGTGCGAGCAGGAACTGGAACATTGCAGCCCGGACCAGCGTCGACGCAGCTCCAATTGCCTCCAGCCCATGCCGTCATTGCGTGGCCTCGGAGCTCAGTCTTGACCTCTTCTGGCACTCTCCCCCTTCCTCCTCCCACCGCCTGGGCTGGCCATTCTGGGTCTTCCCTCGGCATCAACAAGATCAGCTCGTCGATTCTCTTCTCCTCTCGGGTGAAATCGTCAGCTAGCGATTGCGTCTCCTCTCTCAGCTACGACTTAGTAGTAGTCGATCTATACGAGGAGGCCCGGACCACCCCCGCGTTTTCGTTTCGCCTCCGCATTGCTCTCTGACCTCGGGACGAGCCTCCCATCTGGACGCCCAAGCTTCTGATCGTCGGCTTGTGAAAGCTGGGGAAGCCGTGCTTCTGGGGAACTCTACAGTAGCTTGCTGTCGTCATTCCCGATCCCGCAGATTGACGGATACGACGTGTCAACGTGTCGTGAGTCCGTGACCTTGACCTGGGTTCTGAAGGGGGCTGCCGAAAGATCCATAACCCAGATCGAAGCCGTCTGGGGAAGCTTGGCGGTGCTGCCGGCAACGATTCAGAGACGGCGGTCAAGTTGACCTTGTCCAAGCCGTTGCTCCGTGCAAGGCTTGCTTGTTTGCTTGCTTGTTTGAAGCTGGGGCGTCTTGTCCCTTGGCGTTGCCTTTTTCATCTGTTGCGTCCTTCTCGCTGGGCTCTGTATGCATCTTCCGCTACAGCGCGACAAGATGCTCCAGCAGAACATCCTCAACACCAGCAGAGACTGGGAAGAGATCAAGGCCGACTATGACCCGGAATCGATCAAGGAGTCAAAGGGGTATGCGATATGGAAGGCGATCCCTTACACCCCCAAGCACAAGCGGGTCATTGGCCGAGTCGTGAACGCGCTGTCCAAGATACCCGTCGCCTTCACGGTAGCTGAGAAGCTGCGCCCGACATCGTATCTGGATGGCCTTCGGGGCTTCGCCGCCTTTCTCGTCTACTGGCACCATCACGAGCTGTGGGTTCACGGCTGGACAAAGGAAAACTCCATCTTTGAGAATGGCTTTGGGTATGACGGCAAATACTACATGGCCGCCTTCCCCGGCATACGCAACTTCTTCACCGGCGGACACTATGCCGTCTCGACCTTTTTCATCATATCGGGCTACGTCCTCTCTCTGAAGCCCATGAGCCTTGTGCAGGCGGGCGAGCTCGCAAAGCTGGGCGACAACCTCGCATCGGCCTTTTTCAGGCGGTGGCCACGCCTCTACATGCCCATCATCGTGGTCGTCCTGGCATACATTACGCTATGGCACATGGCCGGCATGTGGATCAACGGGATGAAGCGGGCGGAGAGCTGGTCGGAAGAGGTGGTGGCCTTGTATCGAGAGTTCAAGAACTTCAGCTTCGTCTTCAAGGAGGGGGGCGTTCCCTGGCTGAGCTACAACTTCCACCTGTGGTCCATCCCGGTCGAGTTCAAGGGCTCCATGGTCGTCTACGCCTCGCAGCTGGCCCTGTCGCGGAGCTCCAAGGCGGCGCGGCTGTCGTGCGAGGCCTTTTTGGTGTTTTACTTTATGTTCATCGCAGACGGCTGGTACTGCGCCATGTTTTGCACGGGCATGCTGCTCTGCGACCTGGACCTGCTCGCAAACAAGGGCGAGCTGCCCTTGTTCCTGGCCTGCCTCGAGCCGGCCAAGGACTTTCTCTACTACCACCTGCTGGCCTTGAGCCTCTTCCTGGGCGGCATCCCGAGCGAGAACTCGGACGTGCAGAACCTGCAAAAGAGCCGCGGGTGGTACTATCTGTCGTGGCTCAAGCCGCAGGCGGTGTTTGACTACAAGTGGTTCTACCTGTGGCTGGCGGCCACGTTCCTGGTCGCGTCCATTCCGCGCATCACCTGGCTGAAGCGCTTCTTCGAGACCAAGTTCTGCCAGTATCTGGGTCGCATCTCGTTTGCGCTCTACATGGTCCACGGCCCCGTGCTCTGGACGCTGGGCGACCGCATCTACGCGGCCGTGGGCTGGCGGACGGACGAGCATCTGCAGCACATGCCGCACTGGGTGGACAAGCTGCCGCTGCCCAAGTCGGGGCCTCTGGGGCTCGAGGTGTCGTTCCTCGTGCCGCACCTGGTGCTGCTGCCGCTGACGCTGGCGCTGGCAGAGGCCGTGACGCGGTGGGTGGACACGCCGAGCGTCAGGTTTTGCTCGTGGCTGTACCACAAGACGTTGGGCAATTCGGATCCGGTGCTGGCGAAGCAGGCCAGGGCGTGATGCAGGCAAAAAGGGGCTGGGGGGAGATGCTGCTTGTACGATACTACAGTAGTGATGCTACATTACGGCATGGTGTTTGATTGCAATTGCACATGGGATGGAGGGCTACCTATTATAGTACAACATGGGAGCCTTGTAATAATATGATTTAACACTCTAGACGGATGTGTCGCATGTACCTACCTATATACACACAGGATTTGGCGTCAAGGGATACTGCCTCACTTTACAATTCAACGGAGATGTTATTCTGAAGCTTACATTAGGCTGCCGCATTCGAGGTGGTTTGGTCAAGGGCCTGCCAACAGCAATGAACCAGGGCGAATGTCATTGTCGGGGATTTGACTGTAAAATGAGTGCCGTGCCCTGTTCAATTTCTCCGTACCCAATGTACAAGCACATCTTGTCCCAGTTTCCTTTTGTTTTTTCCCATTTTAATTCGAATATCAATGTGGTTTCCGTTCTTAGAGGAGCATCAACAACGACTTACTCATCAAGCCTCTCAATTCATCACTGCATTACGTTGGGCAACAAATTGATGACTCTCGTTGACAAAAAAAAAAAAAAAAAAAAAAAAAGCATCTCCGAGGTACCGAGGCTTTCTTGTTGGCGCTTGTTTTCTTCTTCTTCTTATTGTGTTGGTTCCTGATTGTGGCTGCACCTTATAATTTACGCCAAGGTTTTTTTCGCTTGGTTGGCAGCTGACAAGGCGATTGATGGATCTCGTTAATCTGCTTGGCTGCTTTTTTTGGCGCTGCAGTAATAAGGGGTACAGAGCAGGTAGTCTGCTTGGCAGTATTATGTACTAGTAGTACTGGTTTCCGTCTTTTTCCTTCTAAGAGCAAAAGGGCTTACATTTCGACACATGTTCCTCTTCGTTCTACATCACCACTACTATTAGGTACTACAAGGAAGAGATGAAATTGTCGGTAAATCATGTAATACAGTGCAGTCAACCCATGTCCTCTCTTAAGCAGCACCTTCACATCAACCCACTGCCTTTCTCCTATTCTCTAGGTCTCTAAAACCTGCCGCTCCCAAAGGAAATTGTCACTCACATACGATACATACACACAACGGCCATTTGCCCCGATCCAGCACAAGCGCCTCCCCATCCTTCTTTCATCCCCACGCCGCCTTTTGCCGATCAGAGAGAGAGTGCGATCGGCACGACAGGGGTCCTAATCGGGAAATCTACATAATCCTGCAAGGACTCGAATGGATCTGTTGTCGATGCTTGTTTTTTTCTTTTCCCGCTTGCTGGTGGAGAGGGCACTTTTTTTTTGTTCGCGTGCGGAGGTGGACACTCAGTGGGCTGTCTGCTAGTAGTGCTCTTGGGGGGGCTTTGGGGGGAGGGGGAGGGGGAATGAATTAGTGGCTTGAACGCCTGGGCCAGAGGTTAGGTCGTTTGCGTACAGGTACAGGTACAGGTACAGGTACAGGTACAAGTACAAGATTGATGCGGTCCAGAATTTGAAGGTGTAGGTAGGTACCTAGTATGCAGGTCCCTGGTCTCCTTCCATCGTTTTGTTTTGGTGTGTCTTGCGATGGCTGGTTGGATCATTGGGTTGCTTTGGGGGCTGGAATAATATGCGAGATGGCGTCGTTCCTCGGCATTGAGTATCTCGTTTGCACATGATAACTGCCCTTCTCCCTCCCAGCTCGTGTCTTTCTCTAATCGTTCTAGTTTCTGAACCCTTTCTCATTATGGTACCCAGGAGTTGTCGAATTGTCTGTATCATCTAGTATCAGAACATCTTTCGCTCCGCTTCTGCCCAAACCTCCATATCAAGTTGAGCTCCAGCCGTCAGCAAACAGGATTGAAAGCACCCCGGCAATCAATCGCCGGCTGCACCACTTTTTGCTCCATTCCGGTGCCCACTATGAATGTGTAAGAACTTGGGTTGTCCCTCTTTGATGCAAAAGGGCTCGCCTCCGACTTGGCCCCCTCCCCGGACAACGACACCACAAGAGGGTGCGAGTAATTGCTTCGCGCTTGGTTTCGTGATTTCTGGGGATTAGCACTAGCTGGCCGGCATCTCGCGGCGCAAGTATCTATCTGCAAGCGAGCGGGTCAGAGGTACCAGTCGAATAGACAGAGGACGATCTCGTGATGCTCTATTAGCCGTGAGCGAGCAAGCAGGTGGCACACACATGCTACCAGTCTATATACTGTACATACAGTACACCTGAGCTCAGGCCTGACATCATTGCTTGGATCTGCAGCTGCAATCGCCAATATAATCATTCATACTACTACTAGGAGTGCATAAGGGCTCCAAATGGTGTCTTTGTTGCAACTTGGCTCATGTCGACGTGCCATTGGCCAAGGCCGACGCCCGCCGTTCGCAGAGGTCTTTGACTGCGGAGGTTTAACGAGCCCCTGCAGCCCGGAATTCCTCTTCCTGCAAGCTACAGCGTCACATCGCCGCGTCTAGGCCACACGGCAGAACCTCGACCATCGCGGCTGTGGCCCAGCTCATCTTCATCTGCTGTTACCTCGTCAAACCGTTATATGATTCGATATAACACTTTTGTTTGACAAGCCACGCTTTGACAAGCCACGCTTCGACAGGCATCAGTCACGCATAGCGTTTCCTCATCAGGGCCTCCTTCTTCGATGACATCCCATTTGGCTCTGTCCTTCATTGCATTTCCTGCGGTCCCCTGAGTGTCAAAGAAGTGTCAGACAGCCGCATCCCCCCATCTGAGGTAATACCACTTCTTCGACGCTCCCACGGCACACGGAGACTCCAGCGAGTCGTGCTCGAAATATCTCCGGCTAGGTACCATAGAGTTTGCCATAGAAGCCACACCCAAGCCACGGGCTGTCCTCGAGGTCAGGGCTTGCTCCTCTCCCTCTTCACCTCGGCCTTACCGAGCTCCGCGAGCCTCCACGGTCCAGAAGCTCTGCAACCAATCCTCTACAATTAGTCATACCGAATCATCTCACTCCCCTTTGCTCGAGCAAGAAGCAGTAGCCCTGCATCGGCTCAGGTGTGGAAGCCCGTCCCCTGTCCCCCCGGATTCTGGACACGCCACAACCAGATCTGACCTCGGACGTCTCCTGGCCAGCAGCTGGCTGCAAAGGCCTCGACGATGCTCGCCAGAGACTTCAAGCGGCTGCTGTTTGTCGTGGTGCCCGTTGTCGTCATTTTCTGCACCATCCTCAGATTCTATCAGCACAGGCCTATTGTCCCCTCCAAAGTCAACGAGTGGCTCTCGGACAGACTCGACTCAAGCCAAGGGGAAGGCAATGTCAAGTCTAATCATGAGCAGGAGGCAGAGGTGCCCATCAGCTCCGGACATACAGGATCGTCCTCCGAAAAGACTTCCAAGGATGGGGGCCCTACAACAGCAAATGGTCCGCCGCCGCGGCCTCCATTGAGCAATACTTCCAATCCGCTTGACATACAGGCCTCTCACCAGGAAATATTCTCGGTGTCAACCCCTGATAGGAGATACTTTGTCATTGACTTTGCCGGGCAGCTCAACGGCATGAACCCCAACATCATCCCCCATCCCACGCTCGCCGATACGTGGATCGTGGTGGCACAGCTGGTGCGGAGCGCTGAAGAGCAGAGCGTCTACTTCACGGAACTCGTCTGCAATGCCGTCTTCCAGGGCGGTGTCTTGCGGTGCCTTGCGCCTCCTACAGCACTTCCTGTTGCACCAACACAAGGCAACAACTGCAACGGCGACCTCGCCTTCTTTGGTCTCAATGTCGGCCCTCACGATGCCCGCGTTCTTTACGGACCAGAGAACCCGTACATTGTGTATGGGTCGAATTCGCAGTATACCTGCTTTGGCCAGTTCATTCAGGACTTTCGCCAGCTCGTCGACTGGCCAGCCTCGGAGACTGGCCCAAGGGACTTTTTGACGGGCACAGAACTGCAGCGTCCTCTTCCGTGGGGCGCCATTGAGAAGAACTGGTTTCCATTTTGGGATCCGGCCGGCCAGATGTATATTCATTACGACGTCGCGCCCAAGCGCGTCTTTGCCCGAGCCCAGGCCGATGGCTCCGTCAGCGTCAACCTGGCGGTGCTCACCGAGGCGCAAGACGACAAGTGCCTCGCAAGATACATGCCCAAAGAAGCAGACAACGGCCTCGAATCGGTCCATCAAGCAAGCAATTCACTCAAGGTCACCATGTGCAGGCGGTCTGACGCAGGCTGCGTGCCCAGCAAGGACAACACCTTCATCTTCACCATCTGGCAGCACAAGACCTTTTACAACTTCCACGGCGTCTACGAGCCGTACGTCATGCTCTTCCAGCAGGAGGCGCCCTTTGCCGTGCACGCCGTGTCGAAGCGGCCCCTTTGGATCCACGGCCGGCAGCAGCACTTGGATCTGCTCACCTCGGACATGTTTTACGTTACGTCGATTGCGTGGAAGAGGGCCGACCTGCGGTATCACGGATTCCTGGATGACGAGCTGTTTATTGGATTTGGCATTGAGGATGGGGCGTCTGGGGCGATTGACGTTATGGCGGAGGAGTTGATGTCGGGACTTGGTCTTTGCAGCGAGGCGTAATAAGATAGGCAGGGTTGGGCGCAGCATAATCGTACCCGGTGAGGGACTGTGTATGAAAGGCCGTCTTTTTTTTCACATATATTTTCCCGTTGTTGGCAGCTTTTAATACTACTAATATTCATTGAGCCAACATACGAGCATCTCATGTATATGGCCGCCTCATAAAAAATCCTCCTTTCATCCAATATCTCTCTATGAAAGGGGGGGGGAGATGATCTTCTATTTCCCCTCGATGCCCCTCGTCATCTCCAATAAGGGGAAGTCGATTGAATGTGTAAGCTGCGCCACTGATTTCCCCCCTTTTGTCTACGAGTAGCTCTGCCTGTGGCTTTGCAGTGACGTCTGGTCCCCCAATTGATGAGGCTGTGCTGCTCCAATATCCTTTTTCGAGTCCGTGCTTGGCAGTGGCCTTTGATTGAACACGCCGCATCTCCCCCGTTTTCCGCATGTGATTGATCCCAGCTCGAGACCAAGGAGAACGGACATCTGCGCTCGTCGACAACACCTGCTACCTCTCACGGCGAGCCACAGGCAGTGCTGAGCCTTCAAGGAGCGAGATCCGTCACCGGGATCCAGCGGCATCGAGCCTGTATCCCCAGAGCTGCAGCAGCCGTCCGCCGCCATGGCGCACCTCGCAGCCTCCAAGCTGCCCTATCGCGACGTCAACCTCAGGGTCACCAGCGATGCCTACACCTTCACGTCGCCCTCGTCGCCCGACGCGCCGTCCCTCGTCATCGACCGCCCCATGGGAGACATCCGGCTGGTCCAGGGCGGCTTCAATTCGACCAAGCGCGCGACGCGTGTGTCGAGCATCCCCGGCATCCTGGGCATCATCCAGCTGCCTCTAGGTCAGTAGCATAGCATATCATAGCACAGCAACAGCAACAGCTGCTGCCCTCCCTCACCCGTTACAGCTTTGAAGACGAGCGCCCTAACGTTGTTCATGTGACACACCACAGACAAGTATGTCATCATCATCACCAAGGCCAAGCCCATGGGCCGCCTCAAGGGCCAGATGGTCTACAAGGTCCTCTCGACCGACATTCTCCCCATGCGCGAGCGCCAGATCCACGATCCGGACGAAGACACCTTCATCAACCTCCTCAAGACCTTCCTCGCCCAGGCGCCGCTGTACTTTTCCTACTCCATCGACCTCACAAACTCGATCCAGCGCCAGTCCCAGGCCGACGTCTCCCGCCCCCTGTGGCTGCGGACGGACGACCGCTTCTTCTTTAACAAGCATCTGCAGTCGGAGCTCATCAAGTTCCGGACTGCCGGATCCCGCAGCCAGCCCGGCTCGCAGCCCGCCACCGATCCCTACATCCTCCCTTGCATATTCGGCATGCTGGAGATTCGGCAGACCACGTTCAAGAGCACGCCCCTGACCCTCGTCCTCATCTCGCGACGCTCGCGGTATCGCGGTGGCACCCGATTTTTCACCCGAGGCGTGGACGAGAACGGCCATGTTGCCAACTACAACGAGACGGAGCAGATTGTCATCCTCAACGACAGCAGCACCGGCCTGGGGGGCTTCGCCGGCAGCAGCGACATGCAGAGCGGCAAGTTTGGCGTGGCAGCGGGCCAGGAGGTGCAGATTCTGTCCTACGTCCAGACTCGAGGCAGCGTGCCGACGTTTTGGTCCGAGGTCAACGATCTCAAATACACGCCCAAGATCCACGTACGCAGCACCGACGCCGCCCTCGCTGCTTCGGCCAAGCATTTTGAGGAGCAGATTCGCATCTACGGCGACAACTATCTCATCAACCTCGTCAACCACAAGGGACGAGAGTCCAAGGTCAAGGAGTCATACGAGCAGATGACCAAGGCTCTCGTCTCCATGCCCAGGGAACAACGAGAGGCCGATCGTCTGACCGACGAAAAGTTCACCGAGATCCAGCCCGGCTCAAGCCGCCAGCAGTTTGATCGCCTACACTACGTCTACTTTGACTACCACACCGAGACAAAGGGCATGCAGATGCACAAGGCGCATGCCATTGTCGACAGACTCCGGGACGCCGTTGACGCTCAGGGCTACTTCCGGGGCGTCGACATGCCCGGCAACGACGGCAGAATCGAAGCCCGCAGCCTCCAGACCAGCGTGATGCGCACAAACTGCATGGACTGCCTCGACCGCACCAACGTCGTCCAGAGCATCTTTGCCCGCCACATGCTCGACCGCATGCTGCAGGACCTGGGCCTGCTCGCCAAGGGCCGGACGTTCAAGGACGAGGATCCCGCGTTCGAGTTCCTCTTCCGCAACATCTGGGCCGACAACGCCGACGTCGTGTCCGCGGCCTACTCCGGCACCGGCGCCATGAAGACGGACGTCACCAGGCTGGGCAAGCGAACCCCCATGGGAGCCCTGCAGGACGGCCGCATCGGCGTCACGCGATGGTGCCTCAACAACTTCCTCGACGGCCCCCGTCAGGACGCGTACGACTTGTTCCTCGGCGTCTATCAGCCCGGCGAGGCCAATGTCGGCACGAACCTCATCTTCGTCGACCGGCGGCCGGTCCTCATCCAGGCGATCCCGTACATCCTCGCCTTTAGCGTCTTCATTGTTCTCGTGGGCATCTTCACCAGACGGCCTCCCAACTCGAGCGTCCTTCCCATGCGACTCTTTATCCTCTTTTGGTCCAGCGTGGCGGCCTGGTGCTTTCACTTTATCTGGACGCACGGCATGCTCTATGTAAGCAAAGAAAAAAGAAGAAAAAACACCTGGATCAAATTTCATTACACAAAAAAGAGAGACGAGGCTAACATTTTCTTTTCTTATTTTTTTACAGGTCAACTGGCCGCGTCTGAACCCTCTGCCCTACGCCGTCGATGGCTTCGCCGAGAGCTACTCCAAGGCCAGAAAGGACGCAGTCATTGGGTCCCTCGTTGCGAGACACGAGCGCGGAATGAGCACTGCTCGGTTCATCAATGCGGAGGAGGGCAAGAAGAGGATTGAGTAGCCAGCCACTTTGCGTTCAGGGGGAGGGGGGATGCTTCCCGTTTTTTTTTTTAAAACCTTTTTGGCTGTTCATTCCCTTTTCTTTTTCCATCTTTTCCATTCGTCGCTGTTTAGACTTTTTTCTTGCTTGCAGAATGCCAGCGATATAGATGTAATCTCTCCCTTTTGTTTTTCCCTCGTCTTTGGTTCCCTTGGAGCTATTTACCATTTGTCAGAAGACGCCATAAACCCAAGACACTCCTTTGGGGTTGTTTACTTCTTCCAGTGTTCGACTTTATCTTCATTGTCTGTTTTTATTTCCCATAACTTGTGCTCTGGATTTACTGGACAATGTCACGAGGTCGTTTTAGTGGAAAAGACAAGAGAATCAAGAGCTGCCATGGATTCATTCTTCCTTGCGTTAGATAGAGTCGCGATCCTACTACTAGATGGGAAGACATTTGCCTCGTCTCCTTGTTACAATTGTGCTCCTTTGGGATGATATGGAATCAAAAGATGGACTTGGCTTAAATCATTCTTTCAAGAGATCTCTTATAAGAACCAGGACATACCATCTCCTATTGAAGATGTCTCTCATTAGTACCTGTAAAGAGTTAATCAGACACTACTCTGTACAATAATGATGAAGACAGGTATCAGGACAGGGACAACTGTTTGCAATGATATAATATGTGTATTATTTGTGACTACCTAGTACCTCACTCCATGGCTATGCAGCTCGTCAAGGTTCTTTTATTACCAACCAACAACACCCGATGAAGAAGAAAAAAATGACTTGATCAAACGATAAAAACTTGGGGTATCGTATCAGACAGAAAAGGAGAATATCTGAAGACATAGAGAAAATGGAGATAGAAGAAGAAGAAGAAGAAGAAGAAAAAGTATAATAGAAGAGGAACAGGAGAAGGATAGAGCTGTGCTGGTAGTAGCACGGTGGAGATGGGTGTTTCAGTGCACAACATGGCTTTCCAGACCAGATATCTATATATGTATAGAAAGGCAAAGTTCAACACCACATGGGGTAAAAGAAACAAGGAGAGCATGGAGGGGTGGAGGAGAAAAAAGGTATGAGCAGCGTAAAAGGGCGACATCACAGCCAAAGAAGCCACTTGACACCCCGCAAAACGCCCTTGCCAACACCCAGAAACACGCGCAAGATCATCACCATGAACCAGACATACCACATGAAGCCCACGAGCAGCCACTCGACCGTGAGCCACAGCCCGCGCCGCAGCCAGCGGAACCTCCGCCGCCGCGTCCGCAGCATCTTGTCCATGGTGTCGATGACGTGCTTGATCTTGAGCGGCTGGCCCAGCATCAGGTCGCGGCTCGTCTCGTCCGCCTCGTCGGCCGCCTTGCGCGCCAGCTCCGATAGGTCGTCGGCCACCTGCGTGCGCACCTCCCACACGCGCGTCCGCAGGTCCTGCACCGTCTTGTCCCGGAAGTAGTCCGCCGACGACTGCCACCGCTGGCCCCAGGTCTGGATCGCCGTCGCCAGCGTCCGCGCCGCAAAAGGGTATAGGTCGCAGGCCGCCACCTGCTGCTTGTGTAGCTGGAGGCTGAGCTGGGCCTGCTCGGGGGTCAGCCTCGCAATGTCCGACCAAGGGATGCCGCCGGGCTCCGTGAGGTAGGCTTCCTTCTGCGCAAGACGCTCCTCGCTGAAGGGTATGTGCTGCTCGTTGGCCCGCCGGCGCAGCTCCATGGCCTTGATGCCGGAGCTGAGTATCAGCGTTCGCATCCGGGCAACCTCGCGCTTCGACAGCTTCGTCTGGCCAGGCAGACCACGGTCCACAATCGACCAGTGCTGGCCAGGCAGCCGCCCGTGATGATTGTCCCTGTCGCTGAGCGAAACGGCTGAATTCATACGCTTATCCACAGTATCGGAGAGGTGGTTGTTCAACAAGGACTCAGACTCGGAGACGTCTGCCGATTCTCCCAGCCGAGCTTTATGGACCATTGGCGCAGGCGACGCGGACGACGATGCGCTTCGAATCTTGATCATGGGAGGCTTGAGCTCATCAACAGCAGCCCGACGACCATTGGCCGAGCCATCAGCAGCTTTGTCACCACCATTGGCGAGGCGATGGTCCGGCATGCGATGGAACTGGGGCATGGAATCGAGAAAGTGCTTGGGCTGGTGCTGCTGCGCCTCTTGTGCCCTGGCGGATGGCTTCCGCGACAAGGTCAACGGGGTCGACTTTCGTCCTCTAACCTTGTCGCTGTCCGATTCATCTGTAGTCTCTAGGTCCTGCGCCTCGCCAGGCCCGTCCTTCTTCCGTATCATGTCTCCCAGCTTCGAAACACCGCCACGGAATACATTGTCGATGCGGGGCGCCTTGAACATGCCACGTAGCCCAACGCCCTCGTCGCCTCGAAGACGCGCGCTTCCCGTGTTGCGAGCGCTTTTGCCGCTGTCTGTCCCTGACAATGGCTTCCCGACAGGGCTGGATTCACGCCTGCCCATATCAGAAGCGGATCCCGAACGCGCCAGCTTGTCGCGCTTCGACGATCGGCCTTGTCTGTCGTCTTCGGCATCATCGGCATCGTCATTCTTGTCTCGGATGATGGACTTGATCTTGCTAAAGGGGTTCCGAGTGGGAGATGCCGATCGGCTCCAGGGAGGCGAAGGATCAATGCTGGCAACCGACTCGGACTTGCCATTGCGAGCCGGCAACATCTCTGGCGAGTTGGGAATGGAAGATTGTTTGCTTGGAGAAAGGGCATAGCGGTTGACATCCAGGCTCTGGCGTGTTGGAGAGGCATGCTTGAGCTTCTCCAAAACTGCGTATTTGCGCTCTGAGTCGCTGAACTCTGCCATGGACCCTCTCCGGCTGGCAAAGCGAGAGGAAGGTTGCGAGGCCCGTTTCAAGTCTTGCGCATCAACGCTGTGATCATCAGCACTATCGTTGTGAGCCAGAGCCCTCTCTTCAAGCTCTCTTTCGCGCGCCTCCTTGGCCACCATTTCCAGCATTTGCTTCTGCAGTAGGTCGTTTGAGTTGCTCGAGATGGTTCCTTTGCGAACAGGCTTCGACCTCCTCCTTGGCTCACTGTCGTTGTCGCTATCTGAAGAGTCAGAACCGGAATCCTTCTTGTGCCGTACTTGATCGTGGCCGTGCGAAGTGCTTCCGTGCCGGTGGTGGAAACCCTTGATATGCTGTAGCTTCTGCTTGGCTCGCTCCTTTGCGCTGCTGTGAGACAATTCCGAGCGAACCTTTGATAATCCAAAGTCCTTTCCTTCCGTGAAGGTTTCGGTTACGTCGACGTCTCTCGTTGTGAATGGAGAAATCTTGCTGCTTGTGTCTTCCATGTCGCGAGACAAGGGCCTGCTCAGGTCGGAAGCCGGGGGCGGAAAGATCTTGCGCCAATGGCGGTCCTCGATGAGATACTTGTGTCCGTTTTGTTCCAGCCAGTATGCGTCGGCAATTACGTCGCAAGGCTCCAAGTACCAGTCGACCCTGGGCCGTCGGGACCTCGCTACCGCTTCAGAGGGTGTGCTTTGGAGGTCCGAATCCTCGGCATATTGGTAAGGGGGAATCGACGGCCTTTCGTCGGCCAGTGAGGTGCCGGCCAGCGACATTTGTTGATATACCGAGTCAACCCAGAGCCTGACGGCCTCTACATCGCTGAAGCCCTGGCGCTTCCCATCAATGACTTTCCTCTCACGCGCGCGAACCTTGCGATTCCGGATATACTGTAGTGGGTTGTACTGCCTTCCCAGTGGTATCGCAGGCGGCTGGGACCCCGAGGTCTGGACAGGAGAATCCGGGCCGCTACCCGACAACGGCCTCTCAAGGCCCGGTTGCAGCGGAGGCAGCACGTCTAGCAACCGCCTGTACTGCGCCCACAGCTCGAGATGCACCTTTGCCTTTTGGGCTCGGGCCAGAGTCGATGGGGAAAATTGCCAGCGGTATTGCGGATCGAGCGAAGTCTCGAACGAAGGCTGGAAGGTGCCGCTGCTCCTTGATCCAGGGACCACGGCTCCAGAGGATGACTCCTGGATCAGGGTGGGCGATTCGGTCCGCGAAACCTTGCGCTGCTGCTGGAGATGATGCCGGATGTTGTTCGAAGACGACGCGTCTGGTATAGGGGCAAGGCGCGGAGGGACGGCCGTCCGGGAAGCACTTCGTCGAGCGGCAAGCCGGCGAGACTCGCTCAAGCTGAGCGCCATGTTGACAATCTGAGTTGGATCCAGGTCCGCCGTAGCGGGCGGCTCTTGGTGGTGCGCATCAGGGAATCTCCTGTCATCGGCCGAGTAGCCAGTGCTTGGCGGAGAGTTCGCAGCCTCTCCACCAGATCGCCGGCTGGGTGCAGCCGTCTGCCGCATGCCCAGGTCAAGAACAGGCGCAGGACCAGAAGCAGGCTGGAAAGCCGCAGGACCTGGAGCCTGCGGGAGAGAAGTCCGCTGTCGACGAGACCGCACTCCTCCAAAGGCATCGTGTAGCAGGAACCCTCCACCCAGACGACCCCTGTGCTTCTTATGCGCCCGCTCTTCTCGATGTCCGGTTCCGTGCCCCTGACCGTGACCGTGCCCGCGATCGTGATCGTGCCCGTGCTCGTCGTCCGCTTGCAAAGGGCCCTCGGCGTGTTGTCCTGGACTCAGGGCGTCGGCGTCGGCGTCGTCGTCATCGTGAAACAGGTCGTCCGGGGAGAAGACGTCGTCTCGCTGGCTCGAGGCATTGCCGGCCGTGCCCATCTCGTAGCTGCTGTTCCGCCGCCGCTCAGGCGTCGCAGGGCCATCCCGTCGCCCGTCTCGAGTCGCCGAATAGTGCCCTGCGGACCGAGGCGCAGGCATGTGGTGATCAGCCATTGCTTGGGCGCCGGCGCATAGTCGCCAGTGAGCAGCCCGTTGTCTGCCTTCAGGGTGCTCGTTGCGAATCCCGTGTTTTCTGCTGCTAGAGGGTCGAGGAGAACGGTAACATGGCGAGGACGTTTCTAGGGCAAGGGAGAAGAGTATGAAGAGGGGAGAAGAGAAATGAGGAAACAGCAGCACAAGGGAGATGGGACAGGCAATAAGGGGAGGGGGTCGTTTAAGGAGGGGTGCAAGTTCCACTAGGGACGAGAAACGAAACGGCACAGGAGATGACAAGAGAATAAAAAGGTCGTCCGTCTGGCGATGATGATGCGCAACAAAAGGCACAGACAAGGTGTGAAGCTGGAACGCCCACTCTACCTATCTAATAGCAGGTACTACCTTAGTATGGACGCGACACACCTCCTAAGGTACAGTAAGTTAGCACCGCTTTAGCAAGCAACCACCAAAGGAACAGCGTCTTAGAAGCTGAAGCCCTCCCAACTCTATTCGCAGCAGAGTTTCGCCTCGTCCGCGCCCAAGAACCGCAAAACCGGCACGGAAACGAGGCGCAGCGCAAGCCAAAGGAACCTTTTTTTTTTATTCGTTTCCTTTTCGCTGGACGCGCAACTCGCTTGCTCCGAACCCGGCTGAAGCTCGGACACGGTTGTGAAATTGGCTCTGAAACAGGGCTTTTGATTGTCTTCCTGCGAACGAGGCCCGGTTTTTATTTGCCTTTGGGGTGGAGGACGATGGCATGTCATCAGAGTAAGTAGGTAGTAGTATCTGTGCATGTGACAATGTATACCTCCCTCAGAAGATTCTACGAGTTGTGGTGGTGATGGTGATGTTGTGCTGGCGAATCATAACGGGGACTCATGCGCAGTCAGTCATGCACGGTGATGTTATGCCGGCCATCAGTCAGACGCCAATCTGCACCCAATGTCATCTGCGTCTTGTTTATCTGGGCCATCAAATCTTGAGTCTATATGTCTCTTAATTCTTGTTAACCACATCTACCTTACCTAGCAGGTATTATACATACATTCAAATCATACATACAAGTACACAGAGGTCATCCAGCCATCACACTGCCCAACAGGCTGACTGACCTATGAAGCCGCATCAGGATGAGCTGCCACAACATCTTCGCATCGCCCACACAGTCCTTCCTCCTCGTCGGCCGCGTATCTCCAGCACCGAGAACATTTGCTCTGCTTCGGCGGCAAAACATGCACAACGCCCTGCACGCCGTCTACTGTAAACTCCTTGGAATAGCACCAGTCGGGCCTCTCTAATGAAAGAGAAGTGTTCAACTCGACAGACGATACCACAAACATGGCGTCCAGCTCGTCAAGATATCTCTCTAAAACGTTCGCTAAGCGGCCATCTGTGACGGAAATGCTCACGGAGCACTGCAGGGAGCTGCCGAGCGCTTTCGACTCTCGACCCTGCTCCAGTCCCGCCTTGACGGCATCGTGTACGGCGGACAAGACGGGCAAGTCTCGTCGTAGCTGCGCCTGGTCCAGTGTTAACCTGGCAGGATCGATTACGGGCGAGTTGTAGAGCTGCCGTGCTGGATGCTCGAATGACCTAGAGGGGAAAAGCTGTTAGAGAAAGACAGAGCACGGGCAAAGAAGCGCCGCCATGCCGCAAACTTACGCATCTTCCGCCATCCACGATGGCCTGTGAGACCAGGCCTCTTCAACCAGCATCGGCGTGATTGGCGCCAGCATCCGCAGGAATCCGTACAGAATGGGCACCAGAACACCGCCTCCGTCGCCACAGTAGAGGCGGTCCTTTAGGGCTTCCAGATAGAAAGCCGAGAGATCAGTCGCAATCCATCGGTTGATCAGCCCGGTAGCCTTGTGGAATTCGTAGTTGCCGTATGCCTCCCAGACCTGCGCCATGACATCCTGGAGCTGCAAGATGGCAATCTGGTCAAGCTTTGTCAACGGCGCCTGGAGCGCGGACTGGTGCAGTGACCCAAGCAGCATCTTCAGAGTCGTCCGGTACTTGATCAGGGCGTTGTGTATCGGCTGTAGGATGGACGCGCCCACGAGTATATCAGACGTAAAGTCGCTGCTGGCAGCCCAGAGTCGCATGGCATCGGCGCCGAGAGCGTCGAATCGCTTGGTAGTATCGTTCCCCTTGGTCTTCAGGGGAGGCAGCAATTTGCCCTCCATGATTTCGCTGGGTACAATGGTGTTGCCTAGAGACTTGGACATCTTCTTGCCCTGCGCATCGAGCGTGAATCCGTGGGTGATGAGTGTCCCAAAAGGGGCAGAAATATCGGCTCTGGCTTTTCCATCTGCCTTCTGAGCGGCCACAAACGTGAGAAGACTCGACTGGAACCAACCTCGGTGCTGGTCAGAACCCTCAAGGTAGACATCTACGGGACGCCCGATCTCTGTCCAGCTGCTGCCGCTGTCAAACCAGACATCCATTGTATCGGTTCCGCGCCGATAAGTTCCTTTGAGCGATGGCGCGATCCATGCTGGGTCGTCTGGGGCATCGGAGAACCAGGCGTCTGATGTCTTCTGCTGCATGACGGATATAATGTGCTCAATGGACTCGTCCGTCATGACAGCGTTACCATTTTCATCATAGAGAGCGGGGATGGGCACGCCCCAGGATCGCTGTCGAGAAATGCACCATTCGCTCCTCCCCTTGACAAAGCTTTCGAGGCGTACCCTACCCGATTCCGGGACGAAGCGCACCTTGCTCAGCGCCTGCAAAGCGTCTTCTTTGATGCTTTCCACGTCTGCGAACCATTGCGCCGTAGCCCGGATAACAACAGGTTTCTTCGTACGCCAGTCATATGGATACTTGTGTTCGAGCTTATGAGTCCAGAGCACATCTTCGCCCACCAGATCCAGCACCGCCTGACTTCCGCCCTCGAGGATAGAAGGCGCCGAGGTCAGCTTCTCAGGATCGTCTGGATAGGCCTCCGCGGTGAAATGACCCTCGTCCGTGATGGGCGCAAACGCTTCGATGCCAAACGCCGAGCAAGCTTGGTAATCTTCCTGGCCATGTCCAGGCGCCATGTGAACCAGACCAGTACCGGAGTCGGCAGAGACAAAATCGGCGTGAACAATTGGCTGTAAAGACGAAGAGCTTCCCCTGAGCTTATTCCGATACATGAGACCCTTGAGCTGCGAACCAGGAATCGATTTCGCAATGACCGCTGCAGAGGGCATGTTCTTCTGAAGGACCTCTACACGGCTTTCCGCAACCAAAAGTCCGTCGTCTCCGACCTGCAGCACGGCATAATCGAGTTCGTCGTGCATAGCAATGGCCTTGTTGGCGGGAAGCGTCCAGGGGGTGGTTGTCCATATAGCAGCGTAGAGTCGACCTTTGAACTCGTTCAAACCGGGAACCGAGCTCCAATCCGACATGACGGGGAACCTGACATAGGCGGCAGTTGACACGTGGTCGTCACGGTATTCCAACTCTGCCTCAGCCAAGGCCGTGCGAGACGATGGCGACCAGTATACCGGCTTATGCTTGCGATATATGAGGCCACTGCGAACCATCTTCTGAAACACGCGAAGCTGTCTGATCTCAAACGCTCGATCCATTGTCGTCCACTTGTTATCCCACTCGGCCATGACAGCAAAAGACTTGAACCCCTTCATCTGGTCCAGGATTGTCTTGCTCGCCAAGCGCCTGGCAGACTCTCGAATCTTGGGGGGGCTCAATCCCTTTGTGCCGCTCTCGCCGAGCGCTTTCATCTCGATAGGAAGGCCGTGACAGTCCCAGCTTGGCCTGTACATGACTCTCCTACCAGCCTGCACTTGGGTCCTGTTGATGATGTCCTTGAGGGTCTTGTTGATCGCATGGCCGGCATGGAGTGGCCCGTTGGCGTACGGCGGGCCATCGTGGAGGACGAACGGGTTCTCTCGGGGCCTGTTGCTTGTCTGCCACTGGTAGAAGCTATCTGTACAGTCGCGTAGGAGCTGCTGCTGCTGCTTTGGATTCGGCCGAGCTCTAACTTCGGGTCAGTGAGCTCTTCTACAAGTAATCCTTCCCGTCTGATGGCCAGCTTACGGAAAGGTTGAACGGGGAAGCCTCAGCGTCGCTTTCCATGACTTTGACATGTTCGTACCAAGACCATGCCGGAGGGCTGGCACGCTGGGCTTGAGCCTCAGGGGCAAAGGTGCGATGCGATGCTAATTGGCGCTCTGCGACTGGCGACTCCGAAGCAAACGAGTTGAAGTTTTTTTTTTTTTTCCCAGGGCTTTGAAGATATCGCGACCTGGCCATCAAATGCCCCGCGCCAGTTGCGATTGGACGCTCCAATTGGGTCCCTCGGCGGAAGCTTACAGCGGCCTTGGGGCCCTGCTTTTAGTGGACGGCGCGGGGCATGTGGCTCCGAGGCCTCGATTACATCACCGGCGAGCGAGGCTCGAGCTTCGACCTGACTGTGTTCTTTTTGGACATTCACGCTCCCACGATACATTCATCTGGCCAGGAGTCGAGGCCAGGATGGCGCCCATACGCCGTTACCTCAGAATCACAAAATACTCCGTCCTGGAGTGCAGGATATACTTGGACAGCCCCGCGCTGGCACAGTCATGGCTCCTCAACCCTCGCGATCCAATTCTTCCAAAGGTCATCGAAGCTATCCGACCGCTCGTAATACCAAAGCTGCGTGAAGAAAAGGAGAGGAGCAAGAAGAAGAGCACCAAGAAGAAGACAATCAAAGACGTCATAGTAAAGGGTACGGTTCCTTGTCCATTGCCTCTGCTCCCGAAGGGAGGCTTTATAGAGAGAATGAAAGCCGCGTCTAACAGTCGGCAGATGACTTTGAGGTGTCTGTTTTCTTGATGGAAACGGACACGCGACACTCCCTGCTCTCAAAGCACAAGCTCTTTCGCGAAAAGGGCCCATCCGCAATACAGTCCAACGCATCAAGGCTCATCGCAGAGACAAACGCGAACCCAATCGACGTAGAGGCGAGCGACTTTGCGCCAATCCGCATCGAGGAGGACAGTGACAACGAAGGGGTGGCGCTCAGCGATATCCCGTCTGCCAACACTCGCAGGCAAGCAAAGCGTCAAAGGAGCAACACCATTGAGGACGACGACGACGACGACAACAATGCCGATTTCGAGGACGCCGCGGAGGACTCCGATTCGAACGAAGGTCCTGCTGGTCTTCAACCTTTGCCAAAACGCCAGAGGGGCCTCGTGAACCCGCTAGCAGAGCCAGAGGGTGGCTTCGACGATGAAGACGACTACAAGAAGAAGCTCGCAATGGACGTGTCATATGAGGGCTTTGCGATTTACGGACGCGTGCTATGCCTGGTCGTGAAGAAGAGGGAGAACAAGCCGCAGCAAGCCCTCGGAGGTCAGGCCAAGATGGAGAACTGGATCACGTCAACACAGATACCGGTTGGCGAAGAGGCTTCATGATGAGACCGAGGTTATCTGGCCTTCGTGGCTCATTCAAAGCGCTCACGACGGTCCATACTACCGTGTATACGGCCCGAGCTGGGTTCTCCCGGCTTGTGAATTGGTCTACGCACCGCTATAGATACGGCCGTCCAAAGTCGATTCGGATAAGGTCAACCAACATCGCCTTGGACAATCATCTAATCACGAATTAGGTGCAGTCCTACCTCGGAGTCATGTGGAAGTTCATATCGAACCATGGGATGCAAGGCGACGCGGCGGAGTGTTCCTCATGGGATGCTTCTGATTGGATGGCTCTGATGGGATGCCTCCGACGGGATTTCTCCGACAGAATGCCTCCGATAGGATCATCGGCCAAGTGCTGGACACCACCAGATTACGACGTGCAGACAGAACAGTATCTTTGATACCGAGGGTCATATCAGAACGCCAGCTGGAGGCCCGATCACGTCAAAGTTGACATCATTCTGGGTCCATGGCGTCGCTGGAGGTCCCTGAGCATATGCATGCTGTTTCACCAATCCCGGGCGTGTCTTGAGAGAACGCGGAGCAGCATGGGGATTTCGCTCAGCCCCCCCGTGTTTGTAAAACCGGACAATGGATCAACAAGTGGTCTGCCATGGGCCCATGCTCTTTGCGACCGTTTCAAACGGATCATCCCGCTCACCTTGCTCCGTTTGTGCGTCTGCGTGTATGTACATCATCCATTGAGGGTGGTGATGTCGTCAGTCGATACATACAGCGGCGCGTATGGAGTATATTGGTGGAGTTACCCCATCGATAATGACAACGATGCTGCGGAGGACCTGCTCTTGGCGGCAATTGTCATTTCAGACAGCAAAAGTCCAGCCGCTCAGCCCATGTCGCGTCTGAGGTTGAAAGCGTTTCCGGTGAGAGTCCAGGACTTCAGGTGTCCCCCAGACCAGCACGAAGCGCCGTGACTGGCCTGCGGTAATATCGTACAGGACACAAGCAGCCCGAGCCGGGCCGTTGACGTTGATTAATTGCCTCGTCTCGGCCTGCCCACGTGAGGCGCCATGACAAGGCTGCGCCGCGCCTGATTGGCTGTGTTCCTGCGAAGCGCATGGGAGGTTATGGCTGCCTGTGCCTTGTTGTTTTATGCTGCGGCTATCTCGAAGCTACGGTGCCAGCCGCTACTCGTGCGTGCTCGATGCCTTGCTCGTTACGGGGGTTGCTACTCTAGCCTCGATTGCATTCTGTAGATTATCATATTCCGGGGGGGGGTGTTGGCGAAGGGGAGAGATAACGCAGAATTGAGCCGGATTGCTTCGGATCAATGGATCATGTGCGCAGCTCCTGTTGTTGTATGATGGTGGCATGTTCCAACCAAGACGAGCCATTGGGCGCAGGCCAGCCTCGCAGTCCGTCTTGTCACGTCACCGGCAACTCACTGACGGAGCATTCATTTAAAAGGCATGACATGCAAGGGAGATGATGTGGTACTCTGTTGGTGGCATTTTGCCTTGAATCTTCTGTTTTCTGCCGTCCGTGTTGTTGTCCTGCTGCTGTGCCTCGGAGCGGGCGGGCGAGCGGTCGCAATAACAGGCCGCTGCAACCGTTTGAGCAGGCAAAGCGGGCATAATAAGACGACAAAACCACATCATCGGCCGTTGATGGTGGCCAGATACTACTACCGCCGAGCCGCAACGGGACGAGCCCAGGGCGTCTACGGGTGGTATTATCAATCTACAGGTTAGTACTTTGTATGCCATCATCATCGAGGACCTCTTTCTTGTGCGGCGCGGCGGTGATTGGTTACCGGGAGGTAAACAGGGTCGCGAGATGGCCTCGAAAAGGGCAGGCTGTCTGTTCAGGTGCGGGCAAGGCATGAAGCTTCTCCATTGGCGATGCTACGTTCTCGGTAGGCTTGTGGAGAGGAGAGAGAGAGAGACAGAGACAGAGACGCGATGGGGCATATGCACGGCATCGTGGTGCTCATCACCGGGAGGAGGAGGTTAATAGTACTAGTATTAGTTGCGGTTTTCGTGTGCAATATTCTGTCATTGTAAGGTAGGTATGTACAGTGGGTAGGTAGGCATTTGCCCCTGCAGAAGGACATGGGGAGCTCGACATGGGAGCTGTCTTGGCTGCGGTGATGGGTTTGCCGAGAATGCCGCGGGCAAATGCACACAAGACAGATGTGATGATGTATGTAGGTACCGACGGCATCTTCTGTTCTTGGCCTCGCATGGCGGCGCCGCAAAGATCCATGCAAGCTGGGAGTGGGAATAGACACACTCACTCACACACTCACACGATCAAGTCCCGTCGTCACGAGTGAGTAGAAGAAAAAGAAAGGTACCTAGGCCACAAGTACCGCTCGTTAAAAGAGTCTAAATACATACATCCCATACCTGAATCAAGACGAAGCACCGTCTCAGCGAACGACATGTCATGCCATGTCATATCTCACCAGAACCTCACCTACATGTAAGTTGGATGGAGGTCCAGCAAAGCTGAAGCCTGTGCTGGCACCAGACAACCCGATAGGTAATCCTTTCTGCTGCCGGGTCGCCGCCACCCCTCAATCTCGGCCACACAGGCCTCGTCCCGCTACACCCTCCTGACTTTTGGGGGGGAGGGGGTTAAACTCGTACCCTCAGTTAGCTCAGGTTCACGAGGTACGCGAGCCGAGTGAGCAAGAGAAAGCTCTTTGAAGCCATCGCGAACTAAAATTCGCTTCGTACTCTTTTAGGTGCCTACCTACCTTAGGCTGTGGCTTGATTTAGCGGGCCGCCGAGTAAATACTTCGCGAGCCGAAATTACCTTGTCATGATGGGAATTTAGGTTCGCTCGGAGTTGCTCTGTGCCGCAAGCGAGGAATTCATGACGATGCACATCATATAATCTCATCTGCAAGCATTGTTAGAATCCCAGAAAGTGCTATGTATGAGATTGATGTCTCTTTTTGAGCTTGGATCGAGCAATTCGTCTCTGCAATGCATGTGGCCAAGGCCATACTATGTAGGGGCCCAACAACAGTACTATTACCAGATGGATCGCAAAACCCCACAGAGAGCGTTCGAGGACTGAAACGCAGCCACAAGCAAAGACACACAGCCGCCTTACCCGGTAACACTCAGCACATCAACCCAAAATCTAGGTACTTCTAGGCACATAGAGTACTTGTCGTTACACAGACAAAACACACATACCTACGCAAGCGCTTGTAGTATGGGCAGACAAACAGCCCGCGCCGGCCCATTTTACTCCACGATCTGCCCACGTTTACGGAGAGATGGGATAGTAGTCCATTCGAAACACGTGTGGCGCGGCGGTCCGTGTGTTTCTGTACGATGCGAAGCCGCTCTCTCTTTTTTTTTTTTTCTTTCTTTTTTGTCTTTCTTCTGTGTAGGTATTCCCGGGTGGCGTCTCTTTAGCATCTCGTCCTTTTGTAGTCTAAATAGCTCTGCACGGGAAGCGGACAGTTGAGCCCGCTCGCCGTCGATTACTGGTAGGTATCTTGGACTCTTAGCCATGTACCTACCTACTACTGTAGGGATGCCTACCTTAAGGTACCTATAGGACGGATGGATCGTCAGATTGTCTTAGACGCCGGACTTTGTTCTCCGCTCGCAGAGGCCTTGTCGTCATCTATTTCATGTCGTCATCCATCACAGGCATCTACATAACAGCATAGAAAGAGGGGTTTGCATGTCAGTTAGACCACCATCACCTTCCTACCTTCAATATCTAAGGTACTATGTGTAGCCCACCAGAGATGGAAACAAGATTGCATGTCCAGCTGTGACGACGGCGCAGGAGACGGCGCAGCTCAGCTCAGCTCATCCAGACATCCATCCAACATCCGCTGATCCTGACCGCCACGGACGCTTATCATAACATCTAGGTACTGTACATACATACATACAGTACATACATACATGTCCTGTAATATGGGTCGTACTCAACAAGGGCGACAATCCAATCCATCCCCCAGATCGTCCTCGACTCTGCTTCTCCAGCTCCAATCCTCGATCTCAATGGCAGCGCACGGCCGCGACAACTCGCTCCTCAAATCCGCTTGTTGTTGGGCAGCGCAGGGAAAAAAAAAAAAAAAAAAAAAAAAAAAAAAAAAGGTGTGGCATCCCGCTGAAACCCATTCGCTCATCGCTGGCCCCGACGATCGCCAGGGGTTTGACAAGTTCTCCCCCCTCCTAAAAGCCACAGAGCTGTACCCCTGCCCTCCACGTGGAAATGTCGAGGAGAAAAGTGGCTTGTGCGGCGGTGGTGGAGTCGCTGATTCCAAAATCTCTGTAGCAGTGTGATGGATGGCTTTCGACGATGTATTCTTTGATGCTCAGGCTATCAGCTAGTATTACCAAGTGCCTCTACAATCTATCAGTGTGCATGTCAAACCAACCATACGTCTTTTGACCTAGGACGCGCCCTCTGTTTCGGCGGTTGATCAGTCTCCGATACGGTACTTTGGAACATCTGAACGGTTGACTCCAAGATACAGGATCCCCGGCTGACATTGATCCCGCGTCACCTGCGGCCAGAATTCTCCTATCGCTCCTTTGGCGCAGAACACCGGCCCTCGATAAGCAATCGTACTTACATGTCATGTCATGTATGTCCCCGGAGCCGCGTCATTCTGACAGCTCGAGTGTTACGGTGACGGAGATCTGCATCGCCGAGGGAGCCATGGCCGAGCAAGCCGATTACATGCCTATCTACGATGTTGTTATTACCAAGCACTTGCTCCGCGGAGGCAGCCATGTCAGCCTGTCAACCATGTATGTACTACATACCAAGGCAGCGGAAGAACTGCCTGGCTGGGTGGCGGATCGGGGACAAAGACGGCAGGTGTCTCACGTATTAGTACTCGCAAAGTACCTACATACATAGAAGGGCATCAAGGCATCCTCGTGCGGTGCGGCTGTACTCTGTATGCAGCTTGTCAATGGCGCTGCCCAGACAGAAGCGTGACGGCATTCGATTCTCCTGCACGACAGCCACGCACACGCCCGGGGTATGAGACTCGATACTAGTACATCGCATAGCTTGCATGGCTACTTACCTACCTACCTAGGTACAGTATGTAGACACCTGCACGATGCAGTCAATCCTCGTATACCGAGCACCTAGTCCGTAGGGCCGTATCTGTAAAGGGTGCGAAGAGGCTCGACGGTACTTTCATGTTGTCGTATAGGTACGGGCCGCTTTGGGGACCACCTACCTTAACCTAGGTGCTACTCGTACAAGTAGCACGTTCTCGCAGGGTCCTTGGGGTTCGTGCCTGTTCCTGTGCCTGAGCGGCCTTGTCATCAGCCTCCGGGCTGCGTGCCTGCGCTTGGCCTTGGCCCCTTAGGCGAGTGCGGCTGAAGAGGAGGGTTCAGAAGGGACCAGCCGCCGTCGCATCGTTCACCGTCCGCAGCCGTCAACTTCACAGACAGCGGCTCGCCCAGGAGTCCAAGGCCGACGCGCGTGGCCACGTGAACCATGACTGCTCCCGTATCATCGTACTCGCACAGTCACCACGCATGCATGAAGCAGTGATGATCCTTCTGCCGCAGCTGCGGGCGCCGTCGGCAAGGGGGGCCCAGCTGCATGACTTCTCCGCACTCGAAAGGACTGGCCCTTGGAGAAAGCTTGACCCCGTCCCAAGAGGATGGATCTCAACAGAGACAAGGCTGACAATCCTGAGGGTGCTCTCTCTCTCTCTCTCTCTCTCTCTCTTTCCTACTCCTTCGAACCCATGTGCACATGGATGCCTAACCATGCACAATGCGGGCATCACCGTCGACGCACAACAGCGCGCTGCCTCTCTGCCCTTTCCCCCTCTTGGCCGATCCGAAGTAGCATTGTCTGATGAATCGGGTTTGGGTAGGCCACTCACCCAGCGAGACAGATGCAAGGATCCCCGCAGCCACGGCCGTGATCATCTGACGATGGGACCAGGGCCCAAGGTCGAATCCTGCCATGCACGGCGAGCAGCTGACCTTGTGAAGCCGTATGCACCCCAGAGATTGGGAAGGGCGGACAAAATCTATGCCGTGATATGTATGTATGTAACTGTCTCGACGACAACCCAACAGCACTTCAGCCGCCCTTGGCTAGCATATGCAGACTGCAGGTTCGGTCGCTGCGAGGTTTCGGACATGGTTCGAGATAATAAGCGGCGAACGCTCAGGTTCCTTGGAGACGGCCTCGCCGTGAATTCGTCCAGCTGCCAAGCTTTTTGACGGGCCAAAAGGGTCCCAGGTACAAGCGAATTTGAATTAGATGGAAAAGTATCGTCAGAGAAGGCCCTGTTCAGTGTCGATGGTGGAAGCAGAATGGAAAGCTTCCACGGCCTCGGCAGTCAACGGAGAGAGCACCCAACGGCAGCCCGTGATTGGCCACTCATCCGAGATTCGAACATGGTATTAGTAGTAGTACTTTGTTCTTCCTACGAAGAGACGGCAAAAAGACGTCCGTCTGCAAGTACTCTGTAAACTGGGCAAAAAGGGCCACCCGAAGATGGTGAAACGAGCCGACGAGTCTCGGGAAATGCGGAGGGCAGGCACGACACGGTGATTGGAAGGCGCCGGTTTGCGCTAGGACGGCCCAGATGGCTGGGACCTGGAGCAAGGGGGGGAGGGAGTTGACGAGGTTCGTTTGAGGGCTTGTCGTCAGCTTTCACTTTTTGTTTGCTGGTGCTGCTGGTGCTTACTGCTGGTGCTTTTCGCCGGCTGTGACTCTTCTTCTCTGCTGGTCGCTTCTGGTCCGGGGCCTGTGATTTGCTGGCTGCGAGCGAGGAGGGCTCGCTCGATATGATAGGGCTAGGAACGATGCTACCCTGTGCTTACTCGCTACAGGGCGAGATCTGCCTTGTGGTGGTTTCTGCGTGGCATTCCCTCCGGCGCCGGCCAGGCCCAGGGTCGCCGTAGTGGATGGATGGATGGATGGATGGACTGCAATGAGCTTGAAATGCAAGAACATCGTTGGCGTCAGGAGGTGGCAAACTCGAGCCGTGCAAACGGGCGCTCGTCTGGTCGCTGTTCCTGTCAGAATCTGCCACATCTCGGGCGTCGAGTTGAGCTGTGACGGCCGCTCGACCAGTCAGAGACGGGCTGGGACATGGAGAAGAAGGGGGAGGGGAAGAATCAAGGTTTGGAGGTTCCTGCATAGGGGCGAAAGGCAAAAATCCAATTCAATTCGTATCAACGGCTCGAATGAAGGACCAAAAGTCAATTGCGTATCGTCGTGGTCATCACACCCCTTTGGAACGTCTTATCATTAATGACGGCTGGTACATATGCATATGTACGAGGTATGGGCGTGTTATTTACAATTTACAGCGATGAGCGTGCTAGTTGCTTGCAGTTCTGTACTTTATGACAGCCAGTGAGCGATAGGTGCCCTTCCCAACAGAAGTCGAAAGAAGAAAAAGACCAAGGGAAACGGCGGCATTGGACGCCAGTGTCGTGTCGTACCGTAGATAGTAATTAATACGGGCATATATTGTAGGTGTTTCCGATTTAGCCGCGATTGCCTCATCTCACGACCGGAGCAATTGGAGAACTCGGTATGACTACCAGTATCTATCTGTTCTCTCTTCTTTTTTTTGCTCTGCCGTCGGCACTCCGGCAATTCAAAGCCAAGGAAAATGACAAATCCCATTTTAGAACCATTCACGGTCGGTGTACTATACAAGCACGGCAAGTATTAGAAATAACTTCCAACAAGAAGCATCAAAAAGGTGACAGCTGCGGGCGCTGTCCCACGGGAGCTAGGACACGATGAAACGGGAGCTGTCGACCACTCACAACAGGGTACTCGGGCCTCATGTACACACACACACACAAGCACTACTACGACAAGGGATGTGAGTTGTGGGCATCACGTCGTCATGATCTGTCGTTGTCAAACTCCTGCTCCGCACGCAATTTTGACTTGCAGCAACGATATCCGAGACATTTGGCAGAGGAGGGTCCCTTTGTACATACAGGGAAGAGGGAAGAGGGAAGGGGGGGGGGGGCGTGGCTCAACGAAAGCAAAGCCCGATGCTCAGTGGAGAGAGAGGCGTACCTAGTGTAAGACAGAGAGGATGAGAAACACATCATCACCACGCGAGAGAAATGAAGAGAGAAAATAAAAAATTAGCACGGCACAAAAATCTGCCCGCAAGCTCGATCAATTCGAAACGGCGGTGTACTGCATACATGTGCTTGGGAAGCTTGTTGTGTGACAGCGCTGGGCGTGTGGGATGTCCCGAGGCCGGCTGGATGCCAGATACTATGGGAGATTGAGGAGGGAGCGCTAAGTCGAGAGACACGGTTTCGGCCAAGCGATATGACGAACAAGAGGGACTCCCAGCTATCTGTCTAGCCTCTCGATTGACGGCACTAGAAAAGAGAAGAGACAAGTACTAAGTAGTAAAGGGCAGCACGTGTCTCTCAGGGAACAATACGGAGGCGCCTCGTGTGTTGCATGTATACATACAAAGTATTACAGCATGCCATTCCTCCCAATCCTGCAAGGCGAATCCTGTGAGTGCTACAGCACGACTTCAAGGCAGGGATCCAATCAATTCGCGCAGGACGACGACGACGACGACTCACCATGTTGGCGAATATCCTCGTACGAGTACGGTATCAACATGGAACGCAAAAATGGGCAGAAGAAGCCCTGCAGAAGTCCTTGGTGCTGCCATGTGATCTACCGGGTAAGCGTGAGATTTTTGGAGATCGGGAAGGGCTTTGGGTGACACCACAAGGCATCCGTTTACGAGTTACGAGGTTACTACTGTACGACGGTGGCACAACAAGGACTCGAATCCTTCGAGGCTTTTTTCTTGATCTACTACTATCTTCGACGATGCTAAAAGTAGTAGCACTGCGCTTCGTGTGTTCCAGTGACAAGGCACGAAAAAAAAAAAGTAACGTGCACCGAGAGCCGATCTGTCAAACAGCGTGAGACTGGACTTTTGTCTTGCCCCTGTCATACAAAGCAACGTCCGAGTCCCAGGAGCAGAAAGTACAGTTCCACCTATTGCCAGTACCTTATGCGAAAGTAACAGCAATTGCGAAATCGTGAGCTCTCAGACAAAAAGAAAGAAAGAAAGTGAAACATTGGCATACGCTATCGTGGCAGGATTGATCGAGAAGCCAGGGGGGAAACAAATGTCTTGAAGCTGTCAAAGTCGGCGGTCATCTCGCATCACATGCGAGTACGAAGTTTTACGCGTACTCAGCCGCAATCGTACGGTTCCTTACCTACCTAGGTACCATGTACAGAATGACAACACGTAAATAGAGACAACACGCAAATAGAACCACGACGTAATACCTATAGGGTATGAGACATTGAACAAGATAAGCAGGGGTTGACTGCCTACCAGGCAACGGGCGACAGAACCCTCGAAGCATCCACCCGTCGAAATACGCAGACGGCAAGGGAGAGAGAAATGCTAGACGAAGGTCTAGGCAGGCCCAGCTCGCCCAGGTACCCGTTCTGTCGTGGGGTGGCTCAGACAACAGAGCAGAAGGGCGAGAAGAAAAAAGATGACGCCTTATCCGAATTACCGACAGCCCTGTCAGTTTCGGGGGGGTTTCACACCTTCGTCCTGTGTTGTTGAGGCGGTAGGGAGAGAAGAGAGAAAAAAAAAAAGAGAAAGAAAACGGAGGATGGACCGTCCCTTGCCCCGTGCACGTTTGCTGCCTCGGTCTTCTTCTCACCTTCTTGTACCTACATACTAGGTACTCTGATGTTTGACACTTTCTCTCGAGGCCTGGTCCTTGCTTTCCCAGCTAGAATGCTTCGAATCCTCTTCCATTTGTTAATGCTCTCTGAAGTTTTGGTTATTTTTTTGTGCCCTGTTCCTTGTGAATCGGCGAACTTGTGGCAAAGGATAGGCCCGGATATATCCGGAGGCTCAAGTCTCTGCCCTGGGGTGTGTGTAAGCTACGGTACCTACTTAGGTACTACCTAGTAGGTAAAATATGATGTGGAGTCTTTCTTGGCAGATAAGACGCCGTTTGCCAGCTGCTAATAACTTCGTATGACGTTTTGTATTTTTTTTCTTTCTTCTTCTTCTTTTCGTTGTTCAGGGTCTCGAGGAATTAAAATGGGGGCAACTTCTCGTGGTGGATGTGACAAGGTTCTCGGCAGAATGCGAGATGGCCAGGCTAATATGATTACTCCAGACTCCATAAGAAGAAGAAGAAGAAAAAAAAAGCACAAACACCCAAAGTAGAGAGCGAGAATCACAAGGGAGCGCGGGCTGTGATCCAAGGCTAGCCCCAAGACAGACCATGCTCACGATGATCCTGGGACAGACAGTCCGCAAAATGGATGCCGCTCGAAGAATCACCAGGGTCTGTGAGATGCAGAGCTGGGCATAATAAAAGCAAAGAAGAGCGGGAAGAGGGAAAAAGAAAAGAAAAGAGGACCCCTATGATTTCATCGCTGGTCCCCCCACGCATCAAAAGTTGAGGCCTCTTTTTTTTTTTTATGGAACGGGACGTGCGTCGATGAGAGACTGTGATCGGAGATGTTGATGTGTATAATACAAGATGATATGGGATCGCGGGTTCACGTTTCAAGTGACCGGACAATTCGTGGGAGATGATCAATATTTCGCCGTCTCTGTTCTCGCTGTCAACACCAAACATGTCCCCGCAGTCATCACATTGCGCCTCACAACTTGGCATCGAGGTGTCATATTGTCGGGGTAGGTTCTCAAGAGTCCTCTGGCTTAACGCGGCATACCTTGAATCACCTTGAGCCACCTTGCCCTCACCTTCTGCACCCCATGCATACGATACTCCGCTTGAACGAGTAAGATACCAATAGATGGAGGGGCCCATGTCTGACAGCCAGCCTCAACCTCGCATATCAAACCGACCATGTGAGTCATGCCCAGCCAGCCTGTACATGCATTATTACACATACTATTTGAAGCCCGATGACGATGATTTTCGTTTGGTTGCAGGGGTTCGCTGGCATTAAGGCCCCCCCCCGTCGCACACACATCTCCCCTCTCAACAACACTTTTGTCTAACAACCTTTTTTCACAGACAGACAAACAGCAAGTGTAAGAAGAGACCGGGGGACATTGCTTATACGAGCCAGCCACCAAGCGGACAGAGTCTAGCTGCTACAATCTACTGTATCTGTTCCATATTTCATGTGAAAATTGTCAACAACGTGGGAAGATGAGGCTGCAGCGTTCGTACATACTAGTATGTGTGAAGAGTGTGAGTGCAATGGCTTTCTACTGGCCCGGCAAAACAACTGCAGCACTGCAATGTAGATCGTAGCAACAAATCCCATGTGACTCCGACCGACGTGTAAGTGCCCAGTCCTACATCCGATTTGTCTGTCTTAATTCTCGACACCGCATGTCCTTGTCCACACTCATGAATCGGCCAACAGGAAGAGAGAGAAGAGAAAAAATGAGAACATGAATTGTAAATCAAATGCTTTGTGTTGTTGACCGTCTAATCCAAGTCCCATCTCATTCATGCACCCTATTATTAACGAACCCGCCGTGATTTGGCGGTCACGAGCAAAAAAAAAAAAACCCCAACCCAACGGGGCACACCCGTGGGGGGCACATTATTACACATCACCATCTCGACCTTTGCCGTTCGTTACCAAGGACTCGGGCGGCTACACGCATTTCTTTTTTTCTGAATTTCTTCCCACTCTTCCTCACACACCCTCTGAAAATTTTCTTCCCCATCCAACTAGGGCCCCCCAGATTGCCGATTGTTCACGTCAGTTCCCAGCCTGACCGAGAAAGTGGTCTCGGCTCTGCACCGTTCCCGCAATGCGGTGAGCGAGGCAGCGGGCGAAGCTAACGGAGGGTGTACGAGTTAGTATTACTCGAGTCGTGATGCCCGCCAGATCGAGTAGGATAATCCGTTGCCCCTCTCTCTCTCTCGGCAAAGGCGTTTGTTGCTTGCTGCTCTTTTGGAAATTTGGGCGTCCTGTTCAGGACTTTTTTCAATGGGGTAGATGGAAGCAAAATAGAACAAGGCACCCGTTTTTAGTCCTCTTGTCTAGGTAGCTTGGGGAGCTCCTCTGATCCGGTTACTAGTACATACATAGTAGTGGAAGTCATCACTCGCAGCACAGACTCTTTGGAATACGAGGCAGACGTAAATAACATATAGAGATGCTTCAATTAACATTAATCAATGCTAGCCAACTCTGTGGGAAACAAAAGCAACAGGAACAGAGGCCAGCCCTTGGACATAGCAGCGCAGTCTTGCCGTTTCACAATGCCTTCACCTTCTCCCAGCCAGGGATGTAAAACATCCGGTATCAGAAGAAGGGGCAGCTGACCGTAGGTCAAGCAAAAGACACAACGTCGACAACGTTTGTCCGCCTACCCCCCGCAGAATCTCGATCTGTCTTGCGTGGAAAAGCCCTGCAGATCCGTTTCGAAGACAAGTTCACCACTTTGTATACTCTCTGACGTCGTACTCGTACGAGTATCACCGACGCCATATGGCACGTCTACACAGATTACACCGAAGGTGCTACTACGTGCCGCGGCATTGAAGTACAAGGGGGGGCGTGATCGGACGCCAGATGACATGTTTCCTTCTTCTTCTTCGTCTTCTTCGTCTTCTTTCTGCTGCTGCTTCTTCCATCGCTTTTCGTACATACGAAAGTAGCGTCGCGCCATCTCACATGAAATCCACATCGGCTGCTCTTTCATGCAGACAAGCCCTCGGGTCCCTACCTTACCCGACTCCATACCTACCTTAGATACAACTACTACCTGATACTTGGCAGCAAGAAAGAAAAGTATTTTTTTACCGCCTGGAACGCGAAACAAATCTGGCGGTCAGCGGAGAGAAAAAAAAATAGACGGCCAAAAGGCCGGCCAGGTTGCAGATATGCATCGGATTGCCGGACAGGGGGTCGGACAAGCCCCAAAAGAGGCTCTACTAAGAACTGGACAAATGGACAAGGGGAAGAGAAAGAGGGCCAACGAGCGCCAAGACCCGCCCAGGCTGGGGCGGTTTCTTTCTATTGGAGGCACCTGATCACATTGGTTTTTTCATTCATTCTGTTGCTATTCCCGCCGTGTTACCAAGTACCTATTGCCGTTCTTTGTGTGCGTGTGTGAATTGGCGATGATGCGGTGTCGTGTGTCGTGTGTTGTGTGTGTGTTGTGTGCCTGGGTCGGTGTGGTGGGAAACGGTCAGGCCAGGCAAGGTCGCACTCGCAGACGTTGAGCTACGCCGGCTAATACGGCGAATGAATCACACGCACACCTGCATGATGTCTATAATGAGTAATGACGAATAATCACGACAGAAAATCATATACTGCTACTATTATCGACTTGTCTGTGTCGGAGAGACGAATGCTTGGACCCCCCCTGTCTTGTACGTACATGCCTACAGTAGGTAGCCTTGCGTGTCGTGTCGTCCGTTCGTCGCGGCCTCAGCTGTGCATGGTCGGGAAAGGCTGGAAAGGCCACGATGCGACTTTGTACAGTAGTTGAATTATTACTGCGTGCTAGTGCCCTCGTTTTCGGCGTGGCTGCCCTTGTCTGGATCAACAAACGATTTGTGCTAAATACCATAAGGTATCCAATCATTTAGTACTATTTGTGGGAGATAAGGGCCAATATTTGCACATCTAATTTCCAGAAAGTGGCCCTCTGGATGCGTTGCCCCACGATTTTTGCGCAGCCCTGAGATGCCGTCAAAAGCTGGTCCTTGCGCCGGCTGAACCGCGAGGGTTCGAGAGACAACTGAGCCAGAAATGAGGAGAGACGAGCGAGACAGGCGGTCCTGCCAATAATCCGCAGACGTGCTGAAACGTGCTACTGCCAGCAGTCGAAGGTCGCTCTTTCTCCACACCAGGGGGGCAGATTTCCGCGCTAGAAAAAGGTCGGGCTTCCAGAAGGCTTCCATACGGTGGAGCCGAGGGGCGTCTGGGCGCTCCGTTTAAGGAGAAACGAGGCGTCGATGGTTTCCATGGATGGCAAGCAGGAAAACGGAGGCGGCGAAGTGGGCAAAGGAGAAAGCTTTGGGATGCTGGGCATCTCCAGGTACGGAAGCAGCAAGTACTAGTAATCGTATCGTACAGGTATGATCCTTGGGGGGGAGACCCCAGGCAGGTATATACATAGACAGAGATGGACAGGTCAGAATACGGAGAAGGGCACGGCTAGTCCGTTGCCTATCGGTTCGACTCGTCCGAAAGAAGGGCGCTTGCCAGAGTCGGGATCCGTAGGTGCTGTAGGTAGCTTGTTGAAGGCGTCTCGGCATGTCTCAACGTTCTAATTTTGGGAAACGAACACTGATACGGGAACGGCGCGATGGCCTGACCAAGGAACGGAAAGGGGGCATATTAGCATGTCATAGGTACCACGTTGAGAGCTTCAATTGTAACTGCCACCCGCTGCTGCTACTGCTTGGCTTCCTGCGTGCAGGTACTTCTGACAATGATCTGCCATTACGGTCGCAACAGGTGGACGGTCGATACATGCTGTGTGTACATACGTAGGTATAGTACGGTATTGATAAGGTACCTAGGTACTCTCGTTGGAGCAACAGCTCATCAGCGGGCGGTACCTGAAGGCGATGGCAAATGCAAGCCAGATTGCGGTGGGCGGGCGCTGGAACGAGGCCAGAAGGAACCTATAGTCTAGTATGTACCTGAAAGGATGGAAACCAAGGACTAAAATGCCCCAAGATGGAAGCCACCCGAGCTCACCGTTTCCGACCACGGTTGCTAAACTTGGACCTCCATCTCCCGATACGGCGCCGGCGTGTCCATCGCAGTTCTTCCAAGTACTATTACTACGAGCATATTCGAGGTGAGAGAGCTTGTCGCTACCTAGGTACTCCGTACAGCCCGGGCCAGACCGTCGCCGCGAACCCTCTCTCTCTCTCTCTCTCTCTCTCGCACGCTATCTCGGTCTTGAATCAAAGTGACCAACTCCCACCGCCCTCCCTGCATCCAGTTGATTCAGTTCAGTTGCCTGTGCCTGCGCCAGGGATCAGGGATCAGGGCTCGACAAGGCCTGTTTCAATTTCCTCTCCTCCCCCCGCTGGGCTGGCCGCTGCGTCACCAAGCCAGGGTCGCATCAGCTGTGAGAAGCGCCCATCAGATGGCACACGGGAAGGGCCTGGTGGGGGCTGGACTCTGTGCTGTGCCATTTTGCGGTCTGGCTTTTTGGGGGAGAGAGTCGGCGAGGTACAAGCCCCGCTGGTACCCAGGCTGCCAGGCCCCCCCCCAAGACTGGGCTGACGTATGTGCAGCAATGCATGCCCGTCATTTGATGGATTTGGACGGGACGCTCAACAGAACCGAGCGGAGGTACGTACCTGCAGCAGGTACAAGGTGCCTGTAATACTACTTCCAGGTCGTACCTTCCTTCCCTACCCAGTAGCGACGTACCCGCGTGCCTGATGGCGCTCGTACCTTCCACCCGTACCGCTGATCCGCGCACGCCCCCTCCCGCGCATCGCACGCCTGCTGGGACGCCCCTGGTACGATGTACTTGGCCCAGCTGCCCTCTTGCTCGTCAGATTTGCCTTTGCCCGTCTGAAATACATAAGGACGATTTGCCCTCCTCTCCCCACGGCCTGTCTACTCTCCAGATCACCAGCATCAACTTCAGCTTCAGCATCAAGCATCAGCTTCAGCCCTCTGCAGTCCAGACTCCAGACCAACCAACTTGCAACATCTTCTCTATCAAAGCATCTGCCTCTTTGAACTTGCCTCTGCACCAACTGCACCGCAGCCTCGCCCGCCCTCTCCGATCAACCACTTACACGAGACGCCGCCTCTTCCGCCGTCTCGCATCAACATCCAAGGCTTCGCAGCTTCTACAACAACAACAACCACAATGCCTGCTCAGCGACCTTCTCACCTTCCTCCCTGCCCGGGCCCCCCGCCCAGCCGACCTCTGCCTCCTCTGCCCAAATGAGAGCCGCCGCCCTGAGGATCAAACATCTACTACACAACGGCTACTCGTCTACTTGGCTGAGCGTCCCTCTTCGTCAATGGTTTCCCCGGATCTGATACACGGCTTTACAACGGGCTTTGGCTTCTGACCGCCAAGGTCCATGGCGCGGCAAATCGATGCCTCTCCACCCCAACCGAGCGCATCAATCTGCCATGCGAAGCGGATCGGAGCTGCACGTCACCACTTGCGCTGCGACTCCGTGCTACTACACACAGCACACATTCTTCCAAACCGCTGCGGGGCTGGGCATGGCATGAGTCTTCATGCGGCCTGCTCCCTCTTCCCCGAGCTTGGGACATGGGGACCTGCATCTCCTACAGTTTCTCCTCCTTTGGGGGTCATCTGCTTCAACCCCATGGCCGAGACGCGGTGACACCCACCCCCACCGAGCTCGGCTGTCTCTTGGGCGTGTCGACCTCGAATCGCCAACCCTGCTCTCAACGGCTCTTCTGAATCAATCGACAGTGACACCGTCATAGCCGCCAGCACTCGAGGAAGACCGCCCCACCAGCTCTCTCAAACCGCCTGGCCACATGACAGGCTTGCGCGGTTATCACCTCTCTCCTCTCTTCACTCCGCACCGTCTTCGCTGGCTCGAGCGGGTACTTGCACCTTTGTTTCCATCATCGGCTTCGCTTGTGTTGTGTGTGTGGCGCCATCTCATACACACACTCTTCTTACTATCTTTGTAATATCTGCGGATACCTTTTACCTTTTCTCTTTCTCTTTCTTTCTCTTACTGTTTTCACTCTTGGCGTTCAGCATCAACAACGTCTATGGAAGGCGGCGGCGGTGGGGGGACTATCTACTGGCAACGGGAATTTGGAAGGGAATCATGTACTACTACTATCACCTCTACTGAGGATCATTCGGGGGTGCGTCGCGGAATACCCTGGGATGTTGACGACTCTACTGTTTTTCTGGATTTTTGGTTGGGATACGACGGGCAGAGATAACGATTGAAATGTGGGATTGAGAACTTATCACCATCTTGCCCTGTCTGGCAGTCATAGACATTACTACAATGAAACCTAGCATTTTCTGCTAGTACTACTACCATCTACATTACTCGCTCTACTTGTCTTCCCCGCTTTGTGTGAATGCTTTGTACGGCATTGTCTTTGGGCGTGCTGTGTGATCTTTGTTGGGTGATCGTCCGATGGGCAAAGTGACGTGTCGCCTGTAATTTGAGACAGGTATGGGGCAATGTTTGATTAGCAAGAGACCAAAGAGAGGCGGCATGGTGGCCAGCTACGCAGCTGCCGTCTGCTGCTTGTTTAAGGGATTGCTTATTAAGCCCTCCCTATTTGCATAGCAGGCCCTCCCTATGTGGCTAGGTATTACACTAACTGGCAGGGATGCCTAATACCGGCTTTTACTAGGGTTTTTTAACATATATAATATTTATTAGTTCTTTATTTACTAGCATTAACTATATCAGCCTATTAGCTATATTATTATTACCTATAACTTAAAGCTTCTTGCAATTTAATTTTATATATAACCTGTTAGTATAATAAAGTCGCTTTTTAGCTAGTAATTTGCTAATAGCATAAAGGCTAGGGCTGCTGTTAATGCTATAAGTAAGGCAGTTAGATTTAGCCTTATTATTTAAGAAATAAAGGAAAAGACTGTTAAGCTTTGCTATAGTAAAGGAAGGAGGTTTAAGTTACAGGCTAATATTACTATTACTAAGTCTTACTGCTAAAAGACAAGCTCCTAAATAATAGGCTGCCCTTATAAGCTTATTATTACTAAAGGCTTTAACAGGCTATAGCATATCTAAGATTCTAATAATAATAACACTAATTAATATAATTATAAAATACTTCTGCAGGTAGCCTTCTCTTACTACTATAGTACTACTATTTAAAAGAGAAAAGATAATATTATCTTTATATATAATACTAGTATTAAACCTATATATATTCTTAATAAACTTTAATTTAAAGGCTATCTTAATATTAAGGCATTAACCTAGCTTAATATTTATAATATTATTTAAAAGTATTATAAAGCTAAACTTAGTAAATAGTTAAAAATATAGTGGCTTTTTAATAAACTTTATAATAATAGAAATTACTATTATTAATACTATTATAATTAAGAGAATTATCTTACTAGGCTTTTTATTTATCTTAAGGCTTTTATTAAGCTCCTTAGCTAATTTTCCTTAGTGTTATTAATAAACTTTACTTATAAGACTAACTGCTTTAATATACTACTTTTTAATATTTATAAAATTACTTTAACTAAGAAGACCTTTTAGGTTATAGCTATTTTTATAACTAGTAAGGCCTAGCTATACTTTAAGTAGGCTATTAATATTTTTAATAGCTTACTGTAAAAGTTTAAAATTCCTAGACTATAGGTTATTATTATAAACTAAGAGCTTGCCTTAATAAAGTCCTTAAAAGTTTACCCTTTTACTAATATAGCTGTATATATACTTTACTAGTAGCATATTAATTTAAATATACTAGCTAAGATAAAGCATTATTTCCTAAAAGCTTAATATAATTTAATTATAAAAAGAGCTAAGTAGGCAGCTTAATTCTAGTTATTTTTAAAGTCTTAAAATAGCCTTATAGCAAGTTTATTAAAAGATATATATAATACTAGGTTCTAAACTATAATAATAGCCTAGCCTAGTTAAAAGCCCTACCTTAAAAATACTCTTAACTATATTTATAATATATAGCTTTTTTTATAAAAGTAAAAGATTATCTACTACTAGGTTAATTAAAAGTGTTATTTTAGCTATATAATAATATTAGTTATTAAGTCCTTGCACTTAGTAATAAAAAAATATATTATAAATAGCTATAGTAATCTCTTAACTGTTTTTTATTAGCTTAAGACATTTTAGCATAATTAATAATAAGATATTCTAAATCTTTAGGCCTATAGGATAAATAAAATACTAAATTTATCCTATTAACTGCTTTATGCTGCTATATATAAATAAGTTAGTCTAAAGGCTTTATATCTTATATAAATATAACACTAGACCTTAAAGAGGTTAGGTAAATAAGCTTTTACTAAGCGCTGCAGGCCTTATATTTTTAAGATAATTTATAGCCTCCCCTGCTATTATATTATATTTAAACAGCTTTAGGATTATTAGCTAATTTAACTTAAAGATATTAATTTATTTTAGCATTAGGAAAGAGCTTACCTAGCTAGTAATAGGCTAACCTCCTTTATACTGCTTAAACCCCTAGTTATTAAGGGAAAAGGTTATTTAAAGGGAAGTCTAAATATAAAGACTAATAAAATAACTAAATAAGAGCCTAGTCTTTTTAAAAGAGTTATTATTATTAAAGATAATAAGGTAAGAGATAATTATTAGTATTAGTAATAGCAGCAGTAACCCCTGCTGTTAATAGCGCTAGTAATAATAACCTTAGCTGCAGCTGCAGCTGTAGGCATAATACCTTTAATAACTGCTACTAGGTTATAATTCTTTAAGACCTTTAATATATATAAGCCTAGTATAAAGATGCAGAGGTTATATTAGTAATTAGTTTAGCAACTTAAAGACTATAACTTTAAGGATAATAGTTATAAGCTAGCAGTTAAGGAAATACTATAAAATATATTATAGCTTCTTATTTAAGAATGCTAGCAGCTTCCTTTTAAAGAGCAGGAGTCTTAGTGGTTAAATATAGATGCCTTAGGTAAGTAGGTTAGTAAGATTAACCTAGATTTTAAAGATTTAATAAATAAGGCTTAGGCTAGGGCTAAGGCAGATGCCTTTATAATATAAAAAGATAGAGCTGTAAAATAATAATATTAAGGAATAGCTAATCTTATAGTATTACTAGCTTTAATTTATAATTTCTTTTATATATAGCATTTTATAAATAAAAAAATGTAACTATAGTAGTTATAGCTAATTTTATATGGCAGCGCTGTGATTGGACTTCTAGCTATAAAAGCCACATATAGGGAGGGCCTGCTATGTAAATAGGGAGGGCTTGATAAGCAATCCCTTATTTAATTTCGAAGCCGCTGCGCCTCCGGAATGCCACCTGAGCTGAATTTTCAATGGACCACTACTATCTAGATAGCAGTGGTAGTCGTGTGTACAGGTAAATACATCTAGGCATTGGTCCATCTCCGGATGAAAACCCTCAAAGGGCAAGGGAAACGGAAAAAGGCGACGATTGATTTACTTGGAGTCCAAGTACGGGGTCGTAGGTATCAGTTTGTAAAGTGGTAGTCTAGGTAAGGTATGTAATGTACGGTGCAGACAAGGGGTATTGTGGGATAAATCACTCAAGACTTCATATTCCATGCCAAGAGAGCCAAGACGATGCCATTATGCCGTTCTCTCCGTGACCTGTTGTCGTCTACCGAATTGCTGCTTCGTACTTTTTTTTTCTTCTCTACACTCGGACAAAAAGTCTTTCGATATATAGATGAATACTACCTACCTACAGTACGGTATTATTAATGCATGAAAGGTAAAAGGTAGGTGGTATTAGTCGAGGTGTCGTAGCCGAGATATACCGTTGCAGCCAAGATGCTTGTATGCGAGGCCGGGCAAAAAAAAAAAGGACAACCCATGTTTCGGACATGACCTTGAATAACACAATCGCACCACATGAAATAGTAAAGAGGAAAAAATAAGAGAGAGATCGGCGATCTATGGTTATGTGTGTGTGTGTGTTTGTGCGTGCGTCCGGAGATTGAAGTTTAGAGGACGCTCCGGACTCCGGTACATTTTTGCCCGGAGAACAAAAAAAAAAAGACATGAGAGGCTAGGATTGGACGGGCTTTGGTGAACTGGACATTTGACCAGAAAAAGGTGTTGTGTGGATTATGTGGGGGAGGGTTTTAAAGGGAAATAACTACTAGATTCGATGGACGTCTCCCCTTTTGCTTTTTTTCCTTCTTCGTTTTTTTCTTCTTGGTTTCAATGGCCGAGGCTATCATCACGGGGAGGCCGCCATAGCCTAACCCGCTCGGAGGGACTAGAGACACCACACCGAAAGAGTATGTAATATGTATGTGAATGGTTCAATGGCCGGCCAGGGGGTGTGCGCTGTTGTTCCCTTTGAGCTCAGCTTGGGCTTGGTTGGTGGAGAGAGAGAGAGAGAGAGCTGAGCGATGTCGGGATACCCTTGTCTCGTCTTGCTGGTCCGTGAGCCTTCTTTGGATCTTTCCATTTGGCCTTCCATGAGATTTCGCGCGTCTTCGTGGGCGTGTCGTATGAAGCGGTGAAGCAGCTGGAGATGGGGAACCCGTGGAGCGGGCTAGTATTATAGCTTTTCCCTTGGCTATTTACCCAGGTACTCCGTAAAGGTCAAAGCCATCGGGAACTACGAACAACCTAAAATATCCTTATTGATTGTGAAAGAGATTCTTTTTTTTTTTTCTCCGCCCAAGCTTCTTTTTGGGCTTCCAGCGTGGAGGATGATGTGTATAGACACACACACGCCCCCCTTTCAAGGTCCGTTGCGGGATCACGATGCGTCTTGTCAGTTCGTGCTAGTATTGGCTTTGCCGCTGCGCCGAGGTGGCGGTGCCGACCTTGTGGTTTGGTTTCAGAGCTCCGAACTGGTGGCAGCCTTTTTCAATGGGAACTGCAAGGCACGATGGCCGATTGGCCTTGTCCTCGTTCGTATTCAATCTATTTGGGTTGCTGGAAGGACGCTCATGACTCGGGTGGATGGTTGATTGGACTGGGTTTGGCTTTCATTTTGCATGCTTACAACGTACGATATCACATGTTGTCTATCCTCTTTAGAGTGCATACGTGTGTACCTTAGTATTATTCAGTGTAGTATGTCCATGTAACAGTGAGGCGACCATCTGTCTGCGTTCACATGTAAGGGGAGGGGACGCCTTCAATAGTTTCATGTCAGTACAAGGCTGTGTGTTAATGGAGTGGTGAGGGGGAATGGGGAACCCATTGAATCCTTCAATTGGTCGAGCATCGCCCCCCCTCCCGATCTGAGATGTCGTTGCCAGCTGAGAGTCGAGCTGTGGCGAATGGGGCCAACCAAGAATTTGTGAAATTACATATGCACGGCTTAAGGGGGTGGAATTTGGAGGACAGTACTACTAGTACTACTACTAGGTGGTAGTAGTAGTCGGTATTTTGCACGTTGAAGGAGGTTGATTCGTTGGATGCGCATCGGCATCTACCAAACAAAACAGAATCCTTTCATCAAGTATACTATGGACTCGATTGGCTGGACCGTTCAGATACCTGCCGAAAGAGGACACGGAACAGAAATGGCTTCTGCCGTATCACCAAGAACCTACATGTAAAAAACATTCGATATCAATTGTTTCACGTATTTCCGGGTGCCACCGGACATGCACGAGTGCATCCGCTGAATGGGCAGTGGAACTTGCAATGTCCATCCATATGCTTGTAGGTATGGAGGTATGTATGTACCTTACCTTATGTTGCAGTTCTACAGCAGGCGAGAATCATACGGCTTACAACTCAGCCGATTGACGTGAATGGCGCGTTCCTGGCACAAGAAAGGACTCTTAGCATCGGACTACAGCAGGAACCCGTCCATCCATCTTGTGTCGCAGGGCTGCGCGTTGTTCTGAAACATTCCATTCGCCACTGCTCTTCAGGGGGGGGCAGCCTCTTTGCGCTTGGCTGGTCCAAATACATACGTACACGATAACAGTAGGTAAGGTAGGATATCCTGGTGCGAAACATTGATATCAAATTTGTAGTAGGATTCCGTAATCGTAATGCCTTTCCTTACCTTATACGAGGATGGATGATTAATACTAGGTACATACAGTAGTCGCACACTCCAACGGAGACGCCGCGCTTGGCCACTGACAGCGTTTCAGGATGCTCAACCAAGCGACGTGCATACTATACAACAAGCACATGTATACTTGTAGGTAGAAAGCAGACGTCCAGACAGACCTTGCAAGTAATTACAAGCAAGACAGGTCACAAACGTATTACGACTTCTCGCAAACAAGGAATCAGGTCGTTCTCCGTCGTCCGTCCGCCCGCCGTACATGTGCATTGCATTGCGTTGGCGCCTGGCCGTCCTTGTCCTTGTCCTTGTCCATGTCCATGTCCATGTCGATGGAAGGGTTACAGCTCATACAGCTTGTAAGCTCAAAAAAGGCATCCAAGCACCTCTGCTTCAAAGAGACGCAGGAGGCGTCACGTGCCGTTGCCGCGGCCGCAAGCCTCCAATCGCTTCCAGACTGTCCAGGATCCCGTTCAAGGCTGAGATGCTTGTCTTGCTCGAATCGAGAGGTGGCTGCATATGAGGCCTGCCACGTATCAGTCGATCCCCCTCCTCCCCCCCCGGGCGTCTAATATCGCCAAAGCCATGGACCCCTACCATTTACGGATGACATGATTCTTCAGCTGTGGCTTGTTTGGCGCCTGGGGGAAGCTATGGTGATCATCATTGGCTGATGCAATCTGCTCCCTCGGGCTGAGGACGACGCTCGCTCGCTCGCTCGATCCTTATGGCGCGAAAGGGGAGCCGATCAAACAGACGATTGACACGTTCCCCTTGCGTTGTTGTTCATCATTCAGCTTGCAGGGGTTGCTGGTGCGATGCGAGGAAGGGCATCGCGATTTTTGCCTTGTTGTTGTTGTTGTTGTCGTGTTGGTGACATGGAATTTGTGGACGAGGTGCGAGCGAGACGCCACATGATCCTTGTGCTCGGTTGCCTTGTTGTGCCTGGATACAGGGTGGGAGTGCGGTGGTGATTATGCTCTTTGTTCTTGTTTGGGATGCTTGTCCACTGATTGATTGGAATGAGAGGCGTAATATCCTTTCTTGATGGATTCTGGATCCTCGAAGCGTGTCACCAGCTGTGGCATATGGCCGGGGCAGGTACACACGCACGGGCACACGATATGTATCTGGTGATTTTCTTCGACAACGGCCCCGTAGATCAGGGTCAGGTACAAGCATTGCACAGACTTGCTTCTATATATGAAGTCCATGGAGTGGGTGATCCCGATTTGGGTCTCATCAGTCCAAGTAACAAAGCCGTCCTCGACTAGAGGCTGTAGGAGGCCTACTTCCAACGGTAGCATCTGCCTCTTGGATCCTCTATGCAAAGTAACGACATACTAATCAACAACATCAACAACCACAGCCGAGTAGGATCAAGATGCCTTTGGCTTCTCAACGCCTCTTGTGATGGGTAACATTGGTGGCGCTTGCTATGCAGCCTCCCTCCCGGCCAGGGCTCCCCCGGATTTCCCTTCCCGCTTCCATCAAGCCACTTCATATATGCACGGCGACGAAGTAGGCATGTGCAAAGTGGTGTTTCTGTCCATCGACTTCTTACAGTTTCCAGCCGCTCTTACGGCCGATGCCAAGCTTCTGTCCTTTGTTCACAGATGTCACCTGCTGTTGCTGGCTTGTGGTTCTGATGCAGCCGATCGGGGGTCACGGAACTGCGAGTGTTGGCAGCCTTTGGAGAAGCCGTGTACAGGTATGTGTTGCTGAAGGCACTTTTGCAGAAATCAGAGTACCGTATGTACCCAGCCGCTTCAATGGCACCTTGCTGGCTCTTGAAGACGAGAATTCTCTTGCTATGGAACTCTAGCTTGACGTTCGGACACGGCCTGTGTGATCTGCCACAGCTTTATACGATCTTGACTTACCTAATTCGGGAACGTATTAAAAGTCTCCCAGCGTGGATGAGATGGGATGATAAAAGCAGAGGTATATGACGGTGTTATTTCATAAAGAAGCTTAGGTAAATAAAATGGACGTGTCGTTTGTCGTCGTTGTCTGACCCAAGATCTACACGGTATTCTGTATGCTTCACCTCTCTACGGTAGTATGTACCAGGTATCTTGCTTGAGGATGCCGACCAAGGTTTATCGCAGCCACTTTTTGACAAGGCTTTGTGCATAGTTTGTTTCATTGTCGGGATTGCTTAATATTTGAACGATGGGATTTGCAGAATTCATACTGATCGCTGAAATAGATTCGTGTCCCGCAGCCAATTGCTTCAGCATCTTGTTTGTGGCGCATCTCCAACGTTGACGATGAACATTAGTGGGGCCGCCAAATTGTGGAGATGGGGGATTTTGATGCCTTCAATGGTCTCTTGGAGGCTTCAACAGAATCAACGACGCTTCACCATCTCATCAAAAACACGCCTTTGGACCCCGCCATTAGCCAACGAGAAGCAGCTCCAACGTCAACCCTGAAGCAATCACACTTGGATAACTCGCAAAAACCGCGAGCTGGACTTGTCAGGTGCTGCTCAGGGCCATCACCGGTGACGGCATCGGCCTCAGCCTTGGGCTCAAGCATGCTGCATCTCCATGTCTGGGGCCCGGCCTTTGGCCTGCCCTCCATCGACGCCGAATGTCTAGCCATCATCGCATACCTGCACAACGCACTGCCCTCTTCCGAGTGGCGCCTCATTCCCAGCAATGATCCCGCCGTCAGCCCCCTAAGTAAGTCGTTTGGCTGAAGCTGTGCCGCTGCATCGTATCATCAAGTGGCGGACGACATCTCACTACCGTATTCTAACATCATGACTCTCCAGATCTTTTACCAGCCTTGCATCACAAAGACAACTGGGTAAGCGGCTTTCAGCCCATAGTGCGATACCTCTCATCAGCAGCCATCGGCAAGGACCTGGACGAGCCGCTCAGCAGCATCCAGAGAGCAGACAGCGTCGCATGCAGCGCCTATCTAAGAGCACGCGCAGGCCCCCTCGTCGACCTCTCGCTGTACGTCTCGGCAGCAAACTGGGTCGCCACCACCAGGCCCGCGTACAGCTCGCTCTTGTCGTTTCCCCTGACGTGGACGGTCCCCACGCTCATCAGGGCGGAAGCCATTGCGCGCGCGGAGCACCTTGGCCTGGCCGAGCTGGACAGCGACTTTGACCCCAATGGCGGCCTTCATCTGACGGGGAGAGATGCCCTGCCCGAGACTTTCCGGCGGCATATCCCGTTGATGACGAAGAAGACTGTTCGCGAGGAGATGACGCCGGAGCAAGCCACGGCGATACGACTCTTTGGACTGGCGGAAGATTGCCTCAAGGTGCTGGACGACTTGATGCTGGGGAAAAGCGAAGACGGTCCTCGGTTCTTCTTTGGGGATGCGGCGGTCTCGTCGCTGGACTGTTTGGCATTCGGGTATCTGGCTCTCATGCAGAAGCCCCCGGTGCCACGTTCTTTTCTCAGAGACTGGCTGGAGTCGAAGACCCCTGGACTACACAAGTTCGTCGACTCCATGCTCGCCGCCATGGCCGTACGCGGCGACCTCCCCTGGGCAGATCCCGCCCCGACGCCCGCCGTACGTTTCGGCGGCCGCGTCCTCGACTCCGTGATGCGCCACGTCCCCGGCGTAGGCGGGCACTACGCGGCCGAGATGCGCTACAGGGCCGAGCGGCACAAGAAGGGGGTGGACCAGAGAGCCGCGATGCTCATTGTCGGGGCGGCGCTCGTCGGCCTGGCCACGGGCTACGGGGTCCAGTATTACAGGGCGCTGCAGCCCTTTGGGGCGTCGAGCCAAACGTGGGAGCCGAGGAGGGCGCGGACCAGGTTGAGCGACTTCGGGCAGCTTGGGACGATGCTGAGTAGTGCCATGGGGCCCTATCAGCCTGTGCCGAGTGGGATCGATGTGGGAGGGGAGCATGGAAAGCTGGTGGAGGTCGATTCCGAGATAGACTGAAATGGAAGGACGGCTCGGATGTCTGCACATTGAAGGCGCCTATCACTGCGTTTGATGTATGAATGTTGCGCTGATACGTGGTTTGCTTCTCATGTGCTGTTTCATCACCCTATACTGGTGTAGTATCGATCCAGCAAGAGTATCGCATTCGCATTCTCATTCTATCTACCATGTATTCTGATGTCACGCCGTCTATATCTGTCGAATCTCCTTGCCCACCATGTCTGGCCTCTCCACCTCCCACTCATCCCTCAGCACGGCAAACGTCAAATCAGACACAAACAGGCTCTGGCCCAAGCTCCACACCAACGTGATGGCATAGAAGAAGTTGGCATTGCCGCTACCCGCATATATCCACAAATGGTAGAATGCAGGGCCGAGAAACGTCGCGTAGAGCATCGTCGCGGAGGCAACGTACGTGTATCGCATAATGGGGTACAAGTGTCGGTACAGCGCCAGCATGGCGAGGAACAGGCTCGTGTCAGAGATGGACGGGTAGGGCTTGAAGACGGCGAAGATGCCTAGGAGAATCGTGAGCACGGCCAGAGGCTGGGTGCGCAGGCGAATGGAAAGACCGCCGACATAGATGACGAGGTGGAGCCAGAACACAGCGAGGAAGAAGGCCCGGAAGGAGTCAAATATCTCAATGAAAAAGTACCACCACAGCCCGACCGTGGGGGTGAGATCGGACAGCGTGAGCTGGATGCCGTATGTTCGGGCCAAAAAGTCCCACGAGTTGCCCGTGAGCGCAAAGGACATGGCCAACAAAAGGGAGATGCAGGTGGCGGCGATGAGAATGGCCCTCAACGAGAACTGCACGGCGGAGTCAATGCGTCGCTTGTCGGACTGGCGGTCGTACGCGAGGAGGACCAGAGGCGGGAGAAGGAGAATCGGGTACATGGAGAGGTAAGAGGCGAAGGAGATGGCGACCATGGAGTTGAAGGGTGAGCCGGACAGAGCCTTTGCAATGGCGAAGAGGATCGCGCAGTTTGTGAATGCGCTTGTTGATCGGCCAATGCAGGATGCTATCGTGTAGGGGTTAAACAGGAAGCTAGAAAGGGTCTAAAGTCAGCAACGTCTTCAAGCATCTCTCGACCAGAGTCTCTTTAGGTTGCAGATGGGCGGGTAAGCCTTACGCGGCAGCTACCAAGAGACCCGAAGATCTCTTGGCCCGTCGAGGGGACGTAAAGTGCTTCGACTGGCCAGCCTCTCCCGAGTCCGCAATCACGAGGAGCGCATACGCGCTGAGAAGATCAACGAGGATGTACAGCAACGCCGTGAAGATGGGCCAGGTCTTGACGTCTGGGAGCAGCGAGAAGAGCGGGAGCAGCAGCGGTGCCTGGTGGAAGACGCCGCCATCGTACGGCGAGACATTGTGGTTATATAGAAACAATCCTTCCTGTACTGCGTCGTCGGGAGCAGAGGTTCAGCATTCCGTCAGTTCATCGGGCTCGATGCCGCCTCGCCGGGCCGGGGGGGTTCCAATGCGCCTTACATCGCTTGAAGCTCGTCACGGGCGTGGATATCTCGACGCGGCCGGTCAGCAGGTCCGGGAGGCTGGGGAATGCGGCAAACAGCACGAGTCGCAGCAAGGCGGCGCCAGCAAAGACGCCGACCTTGCTCTGCAGAGTCACGGTGGTCGACATGGCATCTCCTAGGCCATACTGAGATGATGTTGCTTCATGGAGGCTCGGCAGATGAGGTGCAAGAGGTACCTACAGTACCTGAGATCGATAGGCCACTTGGCCGCAGTTCAGCCTCGAAGCTGCTGGCCAACCAGATCGCCGGATGCTACAGGCAAGGCTCGGGACGTGGCTTGAGTGCAGCTGTGGCTGGTGGGTGGGTTGGGCGGTGAGAGCAGAGGCAGGCGACTAGTCCGGTTCCAGACGTCGTCCCAGGCGGTGGCGCACGGCATTAAAAATTCCAGCTTGGTTCAGAGAAAAAAAAAAGTTGAAACCCGTTTGGCGATGTACTGACTGAACTGCCCCGCGGAACTTTTTCTTCCTCAGAGCATCAGTTTCCCTCCTCCCCCCCCAACCAAACCGCCAACAGTTTCAGCACAATGGCGCGCATCAAGAAGAAGGGACAGGCCGGTGCGGCCAAGAACTTCATCACGCGCAACCAGGCGATCAAGAAGCTGCAGCTCAGCCTTCCCGACTTCCGAAAGCTCTGCATCTGGAAGGGAATCTACCCTCGCGAGCCGCGCAGCAAGAAGAAGGTGTCCAAGTCGTCCACCGCCTCGACGACCTTTTACTACACAAAGGACATCCAGTATCTCCTCCACGAGCCGCTGGTGCAAAAGTTCCGCGACCACAAGGTCCTCGAGAAGAAGATTTCAAGAGCATTGGGCCGAGGCGATGTCAGCGATGCCGCCAGACTCGAGAGCAACGCCAGCCGGCCCGACAAGACCGGAAAGCCGACCTACACGCTGGACCACGTCGTCCGCGAGCGCTACCCGACGTTTGTCGACGCATTGAGGGACCTGGACGACTGTCTCTCCATGCTCTTCCTCTTTGCGAACCTGCCGTCGACCACCCAGGTTCCCGCCAAGATGATTGCCCGCTGCGAGCGATTGTGCCTCGAGTTCCAGCACTATCTCATCGTCTCCAAGAGCCTCACCAAGTCCTTCCTGTCCATCAAGGGTATCTACTATCAGGCCAACATCCAGGGCGAGGAGGTTCTGTGGCTGGTCCCTTACAAGTTCAACCAGAGAATCGTCGGCGATGTCGACTTCCGCATCATGGGAACCTTTATCGAGTTCTACATGACACTTCTCGGCTTCGTCAACTTCAGACTCTATACCTCAATTGGCCTCAAGTACCCGCCCAAGTTTGATGCCGTCAAGGATGAGAATGCTGCCGAGTTGGGAGCCTTCACACTGGAGGGCAAGACTCTGGTTGGTGGCGAGGAGCAGAAGAAGCTGGAGGACGTTGCGCACAAGCCGGACCCCAAGGTTCAGGCTGCCGTCAACAAAGTCTTGAAGAGCATGTCAAACGGAGAGGCCAATGGCGCTGCTACTGATGATGCCGCACCTGCAGACAGCGAGGAGGCAGAGCAAGACGCCGATGGTGCCATTGACAAGTTTGAGCCTGCTGCTCCGGGCGGCGACATCCTGCCTCAGCCGTCATACACCGGCAACAGCCCCAACACTCTCTTCTCCAACTTTACAGTCTACCTGTCCCGAGAGACTCCTCGCCAGCCGCTCGAGTTTATCCTCAAGTCGTTCGGCTGCAAGCGTGTTGGCTGGGATGCTGTGCTTGGCGCCGGCGCTTTCACAACAGACGAGCTCGACCCCTCAATCACCCACCAGATCGTCGACCGACCTCCGATACAAGCTTCGATGAACGAGGACGGCGATGGTGAGGACAACCAAACAGCACAGAAGCTGGCGGCCAACCGACGTGTTCCTGGCAGGATATACGTTCAGCCCCAGTGGGTCTGGGACTCCATCAACGATGGTGAGCTGAAGGAGCCTCATCTGTACGCACCGGGTGCAGCATTGCCGCCCCATCTGAGCCCCTTTGTCAGAAAGGTCCAGGGAGCCTACGACCCGACAATGACTCTTGAGGAGCAAGAGCCCGAACATGAGGCGATTGAGAATGGTGACGACGATGAGGAAGCTGACGCGGATGAGACCGTTGAGGGTATGGATGTCGCAGAGTCAGATGAGGATGAGGAGGGTGAGGAGGCAGAGGACGATGAGGATGAGGTCGACGAAGATGAAGACGAGGAGGAAGAGGAGGAGGATGAGGACGAGGCCCTGCAGCGACAGATTGAGCTGGAAGCTGAAATGTCCGGCAAGACGGTCCAGTCAAAGGCTGCCAACCCGAAGACCAAGGCCAAGGAGGAAGCCCGAAAGGCGCTTGCCAAGAAGGCCCGCGAAGAGGCCGAGGACTTGGAGCGAGCCAAGGGCATGCTGAGCAAGAAGAAGAGAAAGCTGTTTGAGCAGATGCAGTACACAAACAACAAGAAGAGCGCAGAGGATGCCAAGCTGCGCTCCAAGAGGAGAAAGCTGGAGAAGGAACAGGCCAAGAGCAAGGCGTAATTGTTGGGGATTTTCTGTTTAATATACTCGTAAATATAGGATCAACGGCGTACCTGCGATGAAAATAAAATGGGTTTTTTCTAGATCATCATGCTCTGAATGTTCACAAAGATGAGGAGATCCTTGATACTATAGCTGTGACTGATGGAAGTTGTTAAGAGTGCTCTGAGACCCAATGTGAGCGGACTCGAATTTTCTTGCTAGCACGTGAACTTTACTTTTCACCATAACCTCGACCTCACTTTTTCATTCCACAGCATATTGCCTGACTCGATTTTTCCGCAATAATCGATGAAAAGATATTTATATCTGTACTATCCTTGTCTTGGACTTTGAGATATCTCTGAAATTATCCCACTGATGCATGGAGTTGTTCATGAGGTGCTATTGAAGAGACTCGAGCATGGACCGAAGCGATACAGAATGGGATCTCGATAGCGACGAGATCGCATCCGTCGCGTCCCAGGACCTCCACGAAAGCAGGCCGAATCGTTGGACAGGCCCTCGACGAGAATGGCAGCGCTTCACGATTGAGGAGCGACGGCTGTGGCAGTCGATGCAGGCGGTGGAGAGTCAAGATCTGGCGATTCACCTGTACAATGCGCACGCGCTGAAGAAGCGCGGAAAGGACCCTCAAACGGCGCAAGATGTCACGGTTGCCACGGTATGTTTTCTTGATCCATGAACTTGAACCTGTCGACGACTGACGCGCGGCGAACAGGAAGACGGTCAGCAGCGCATATGGGCGCCTCCCAGAGTCTGGACAGCATGGCCGCTGAACGAAAGGCGCGTGCCCAAGCAGAGGATCATCCAGAGAGACCATGACGAGTTTGACAGGTTTACCTTTCGCAAGGCGGAGAGGCACATGCCCAGCTCGGAGCTGCACGAGGAGTTGGGAGCGACCATCTTGCGGTTCGCTGGCGAGCGGTTTCGCAAAAGCCTGGAAAAGAGCAGACGAAAAACAGTGCTCACGTCCATCGAGGGAGATGCGGTGTCTCATTATCATGGCGAGGGATCAAGAGAGGATGAAGCCACATCAAGCTTACCAGATCCACCGTCGCCGTCACAGACGTCTGATTATGAGGATGTGAAAATGAAGATGCATTTGGAGGGAGAGGAGGATGACCCCGTCAAATCAGAGGAGCGACAAAAGGCAGACGAGGCCAGAGAACCAGCCATGTCTTCCAATGATGATCTATCCTACGAAATCCTGAGACCATCCGTTCGACATATACTATCACAGCTAGATGCGACGCTGCGTATCCTGCACAACGCCCGCGTTGCCACCACCAACTACGCATCCGACTCTTCAGCAACCTCAGACTCAGAATCCGACACTCATCCTGGCCCCAAGCGCAAGCGTGGACGCCCTCGCAGCGCTCATCTGACGGGGACAGAAACCTCACCTCACCCAGACTTCACCACGACCAAACCCAAAGCCAAAGCCAGCAAACGAGGGCGTCCGCGCAAGGTCCGCATCCCCAACGAGGGCGAAACATACGAAGAGATGCTTGTCCGAATCGCACGTGAATCCCACAGGAGGCTCCCCATGACGGCAAAAGAACGAGACGCGGCGTTTGAAGAATGGCTCCGCCAGGGCGACGAGAGACGGGCGCGCGAAGAGGCGCTCCTTAGAGAGGAGGAAGAGCTGGGCATCGACCCGCAGGCGAGTGCTCAGGAGAGACGCCTCCGAAGGCTCGGCCTACGCGATTGGAGCGAGGTGCTTGGTGCGGCTGCGCTGGCTGGCTTCTCTCACCAGGTCATTGCCCGGACGGCGAAGCGATGCGCGAATCTCTTTGGGGAGGGGATGGTGTTGCGGCGTCTGGACGAGTTGCCAGCTTCGAGGGCGCCGGCCTTTCACACGATGGAGTATCGGCCAGAGAAGATTGAGCTTGGAGGCGATTCTGATTCCGACAGCGAAGCAGACGTGGCGACTGCCGTATCGTCTCGCCAGCCGTCGCTGGGCCGTCTCTCCAGCCGCGGCCGCAGTTCGTCTCGCGGCCGCGCCTCGCCTCATCCCTCGTCGTCCGCCTTTGGAACGCCCGGGAAGCGCTCCCAATCGAAATCGCGATCCCGTTCGCGCTCTCGGTCGTCGGCCGGATTTCACTTCTGCCCGGTACCGACGTGCGAGCGGTCAGCTACGGGATTCACGCGGCGGCAGAACTTGCGGCGGCACATGCAGCTGGTGCATCCCGGAAGAGGAGACGAGGACGAGGAGTGGGACAGCGAGGACGAAGTGCTGGGGGCGGTGCATGTGGATGGGTTCTTGAAGCCGATTGTCCCTGCGAGGGGGTGGAGAGAGGGCGTGACGGCGAGTTCGTTGGTGATTCGGAAGAGAGGGCGGGAGAGGAGGTCTGGAGGCGATGAAGATGATGACGATGATTATCGGGGATGAGGATGAGTTTCCTATCTAGTTGGTAGATGTGAGTAGTACCTATAACCAGACTGCATGAAACCATATATCAGGTAGGCTCTATTTTACTCTCATTTCATCTTATAGTTGATGATGATGGAAACGAAGAACTTGTAGTCACTGCTGCACTCTCTTACACAGACGGGACTGATATGTAAGACGACGGCGCCCCACCATGTGGCTATTAGATACCTAGTAGGTAGCTCAAATCTCCAGACAGCTGAGATGATTCATGCTCCTTCACGTTCAGTACATCAGCGTGTAAACTCAGCACTGTCTCTGCCTCAACTCTCATCATCATCCCAACCAACGTGAAATGACGTGAAACATACAAACTCACTCTGTCTTCTCAACTTCGATACTTACGCAACTAGAATGAGCACCAGGATCGCCCTCAGCGCGCGCCTCCCAGTGTCTCGTCTACCATTGCACGCACCCATCAACCGCCTCACCAAGCCACCATCTCCATCACCCTTCAGCACAATGGCCCGCTCCTACGACGAGGCCCTCTCCAAACTCGCCCTGCTGCAATCCAACCGCATCATCACAAGCCTCTTCGAAACCCCTTCCACCACCTCCACCACCACCACCCAAGACCTCAATGCCGCCGCAATCCCCGAAATGGTCGAGTGGCTCCGGCGAGCCGGATACTCGCAAGCAGACCTCGCCCGCATGAAGCACATCCACGTCTCCGGGACCAAAGGCAAAGGCTCGGTATGCGCGTACGCAACCGCGATGCTGGCCAAGTACCGCCGCAATGATGACGACGGCGACGTGGGGACGTACACGAGTCCGCATCTGGTGCACGTGAGGGAGCGCATCGCCATCAACGGGGAGCCCGTCTCGCGGGAAGAGTTTGCGGCTGCCTTCTTCGAGGTGTGGGATCGGCTGACGGAGGCTGCGATCGCGGCGGGCATGTCGGCGGCGGAAGCGCAAGGGGCGGCGTCGAAGCCCTTTTACTTCCGGTTCCTGACAATCATGGCGTGGCACATCTTCTTGAAGAGGGGGATCCGGGATGTTGTGATTGAGTGTGGGATTGGCGGCGAGTACGACTCGACGAACGTGTTGCCGAAAGAGGCTGTTTCGGCGGCGGTGATTGCGCAGCTGGGGATTGATCATGTCGCCATGCTGGGGGACACGGTTGAGGAGATTGCGTGGCACAAGGCGGGGATACTGAAGGCTGGCGTGAAGGGGTTTACGATGCGGTTGAGGGATCAGCCTGGCGTGATGGACGTTTTGAGGAAGAGGGCGGCGGAGAAGGATGCGGTGCTGGTGGAGGTGGATGAGGAGGAGGTGGAGAGATGGGGCGGCGTGGAGGGAAATTTGAAGGGGGATTTTCAGAAGAGGAATCAGGCGCTGGCTGTGCTGGCTGTGCGGGAGCATCTTGGCTTAGGAGGAGGAGGAGGAGGAGGGGATAAGCTGTTGGAAGATGTCCCAAGGGAACTGGTTGAGGGACTGCGGGAGGCGAGGCTTAGGGGGAGATGTGAGGTTGTGGACGACGGCGAGGCGGAGTGGCTCTTGGATGGGGCACATACAAAGGACAGTCTGGAGGAGGTGGCCAAGTGGGCAATTCAGCAGCATCGTGCAAGTGCTGACGAGCCGTTGATCTTGGTGTTCAATCAGCAGGAGAGGAACATTGCGCAGCTCCTGGAAGGCTTTGTGGGAGCGTGCAGGAGAGAAGCTGGGAGGGAGGACGTCTTCCGGTATGCGCTGTTTACGCGGAACGAGGTTGCGAAGCCCGCTGCTGGGGAGGAGAGGGATGTGCTTGTGCAGGAGCAGGCGGCGGAGAAGATGCGCGAGCTGATGCCCGGGTGCGAGGTCAGGGTGCTCGATAATACCGCGGATGCGGTGGCGGAGGCGAGGAGGCTGGCGAGGGGACGGGATGGAGAGGAGAAGAGGAGAGTCTTGGTGACGGGCAGCTTGCATCTGGTGGGAAGCATATTGCAGGTTCTGGAGCCATAAATGTGTTGAACCATTGAAACAAAAAAAGAAATGACAAGGCTCTAATGCAGTTGATCTAGAAATGATGATAACCCACGCTTTCCATTGACCATGACCATCCCACCCCTTACTCCATACCAACAACACACCCCCCTTTCCCATTTCTATCCTTCATACCAGTCCAAGCTTAGATCCCCCACTCCCCTACAGAGCATCCGTCTCCTCCAGAATCCCCAGCGCACCCCCCACGAGATGCAAACTCCCCGTGACATAGACCAGCACTTTGTCCTCTCCCGCCTCAGGCAAGCCCCGAGCCACCTCGCGCGCGTAGTTGAGCGCGTCTTCAATGGTCGGCAGGACGACGACCTTGGACTGCGGGTCGATGGCGGACCATTTCTCGGCGAAGCTGCGCTGGACAGTGAGCTTGTCGACCTCGGTCGGGTCGATGGTGTTGTTGACAAAGTCGCGCTTGTAGCCGGTCTGGGCGTAGGTGACGTTTGTGCAGAAGACGACGTGGTCAAAGGCTGGTCTGTCTTGCTGGGCCGTGGCCTTGAGGGTGGTGCAGATGGGTGGGAGGAAGTCGACTGCTTCGATGCGGCCTTGCTGGTTGAAAATCATGACCCTCGGGCCGGTCCTTTTGAGAATGTCAGCTTTTTTTTCTCCTTTCTGTCTTTCTTTTTCTTTTTGTAAACTGCTTCGATGGAAAATTAGAAAGCGGTAGAAACTTACTGGCCGGCGATTTCGCTGGCGAACCATTTGGATGACATCTTCAGGCTGTCTGCCGTGTGCGCGCCGTCGAGATGCCAGATGACATTCTTCTCCTGCTTGACCTCGCATCGGCCCCTGAAGACGCACTTTTCCAATCCGTCAATGAATTCCTGAGGGAGCCGATCTTGAGGAATCTCCTTGACGAGACCCAGCTTCTTCAAGGCCGTTTCCGCAAGCGCAATGGCCAGCGTTGCGTTCTTCTTCTGGAACACCGCGTTGGGCCTGATGCGGACGCCCTCGAGGCGAGGATCGATTTTCAAAACCTTGAGATCGACCTTCTTTTCCTTTGCGCGATCGACCAGCACCTGTTCTGCGCCGGGCAGCTGCTCAATGGTAAATGCCGGACAGCCCGTCTTCATGATGCCGGCCTTGTGCCAGGCAATCTTCTCGACCGTGTCGCCCAGGACAGCGACGTGGTCGATGCCAAGCGTGCTGATGCCCGACGCCACCGGCTTCTCCACGAGATTCGTCGAGTCGTACTCGCCCCCTATGCCCGTCTCGTAAACGGCCACCTCGACGCCCTCCTGCAGAAAGGCATGCCAGCTGACGAGCGTGAGATAGCGCGCGTACACGGGCTTGGAGCCAAACGGCGTGTCCTCGTCGTCGTCGGCGGGGGCCTCGCGCGACTCCTCGAGGCGGTCCCAGACCTGGAAGAAGTACTTTGCAAACAGCTCCTCGGAGATGGGCCGCGAGTCGATGCGGATGCGCTCCCGCACGGCCATGAGGTGAGGCGACGTGAAGAGGCCCGTCTTGCGCGGACCATTGCTGCTGCCGCCGTGACGCTGCTGGTACTGCGACAGGATGGAGTCGACAAAGGCGCAGGTGCTGCCTTTGCCCTTTGTGCCGGCGACGTGGACGATGTTGAGGCGGTCCAGATCTGCGGGCTGTGTTGTGGTGGCTTTGCTGTCAGTTGTACGCCCATTTTTTTGATGTGTGTGTGTGTAATGCGATATGAGAAATGGAGAAGGCAAAGGAGGGAAACACGGACTGTGTATCCGATTCGAGTGAGATAGGTCCTCATCTTTGCGATGCCCAGGACCGAGTCGGGCAGGATGCCGGCCTTGCGACGGGCTTCAATCACCGCGAACGGCGTCTGGAGCTCGTTGAGCTTGTCAATCGCATCCTGTCAGACGAAACAATCATCATTAGTCATGATGCTACTGCTATACAGACGAGAGACGAGAGAGTGAGAGAGAGTGAAAGAGAGAGACAGAGAGAGATACATTGTAAGACCTGCCTGAGGACGCCATGCTTCGCGCACCCGAAAGGCTCACGGCTATGTGTTTGAACAACAAGGTCGATGGCCGCGGTGATGCATAACGCATCCGGTCCAGCGTCTGATTTATAAGGACGGGAAGCTCGAATAAAGGGTCCCCTGCAACGGTTTGGCAGGATTCGCCTCATATGATAGGGACAAAAAAACAGAGAGAGAAAAATAATTGTTAAGGCGCCCTCTCCCCCACACTGTCAGCGAGTGAGAAAAAATCGCCGGGATCGGCTTTGTTTGATTGTGAGTGAATGGCAAAAGGTAGGATGACAGGATCGAGAGGCGATTTGATTTTGTGGTGAGGGCGGTGCGAGTTGTGTAGATGAAGTTCTGTTTCGGCGATGATTTCGGTGAAGACCTCGTGAGGGCTGGATTCGTGAGCTTTAGAGTCTCGTTTGTCTTATTGATTCGCCTTGAGATCTAGTTCATTGAAGGATGTATAAACTTTTAGCTGTAAGGAAAAGCCGGTGCCGTTGATGTTATCATAGCGTCTTTTTTAAATCCGGATACTATCGGCATCGTCCTTGGGTAAGACTGTCCAACAACACTGAGCTGTATCACGACTGGCTTGCTATGTCGCCTTCAAGTATGTATGGATCGATTGCTGTCAACTTAGATCATGTTGAATCTTGAACCATTGCATTGTCATGCAAAAGGCTTCTCAAGAATGATCTTCATGTTGCATCTCAAACGATGCTGCTCCCCTACATGTATGTAGCCAACACACACTAACAACAAACGCCACTCATATTCATCATCATCACGACGAGACAATTTTGCGCCCAGCTTCAAGCTTCGCCAAAACTAATATCCATGTCCAATTCTTTGCCCACCTTGGCAACAACCAGCCTCTTCAGTCCCTGCTCCAAACCACTCGCAAACAACGCATCATACCGTCTGCCGCTGTCCGCCCAAGCCAAGCGCGACCTCCAGGTTAGCCACTTGTCCGCCATGGATCCCTCCGGCGCTCGCAGGATCCCCGTCGCGAGATCCACGACCTGCCAGCCGCCCGGACCCGGCAGCTTGCGCTCGTCGCAGGCGTAAAACACCGTGGCGCCGCAGGTGCCGCAGAAGCAGCGCTGGACGCCCGGCGACGAGGCGTATGCCTTGAGGGTTCCGATCCGGAGGTCGCTCTTTATCTCGGGCTCGCAGAACGACAGAGGCACAAACGCCCAGCCGACGAGGTGCGTGCCGTTGGAGAGGCGGCAGTCGTCGCACAGGTCGTACGAGGCCATCCACTTGCCGGGGTCGACGGGAGAGACGGCGTTGCGGAGCAGCTCGTGGTCACGGATCTCCTGCGTTGGCCGCCTGACGGTGAAGGACACGCCGCCGCAGTGACACTGAGCTCGCAGCCGTTCTTGTCCGTCTTCGCCTATGACTTCCGGCTCTGTTTCGATAATCTTGGCTCGAGCGTCGTCCGTTGGAGGGTTCCAGTCTGGCAGCTCGACGCCGTCATAGTGTGTCAGTGCCTGTGCAAGGCCCTTGTCCTTGGCCGAGTCACTGAAGACGTGCGTCTTGATCCTGAAGTTGTCTGGTCTATGGTCCTGAAATACCGACGATGAAAGCGTCCAGCCCTCTCTATCTAGCGAAACACCGGCAATGTGACACCCGCAAGTCGAGCAGAAGTCGTACGTGCAGTCAGCTCCTGGGACGGCGTAACTCGTCAAGCTCTTCTCGCTCGATGGCGCAACAAACTTGGGCCTGAGCCCTTGCTCTTGCGTGCGAAACATGCACGGCGCTCCTGAAGTATAGCGGCAGACGCTGCAATGGCAGATGTTGACTCCAAGGGGAAGAGAGACAACTGGAACATCTATCGTAAAGTGGACAGAGCCGCAGAGGCACTTGGCCTCGAGTGCTTTGCTCTCGCCTGCCATTGTGGGAGGAGTTGTAAAGACAATGTGCCCTGAACAAGAAGCTCTGTGCTCGGCTCCTATATATTCCAAGGGCAGAATTCACGCTTTATGTCTTTGCCCTGATCCTCCATGCCTGACCTCATTCAAGCCCAGACGGACTTATGTGGGGGTCTGAAGTTGAGCCTCGATGTCTCCCCGTAGTCCATTCTCAACTTAGCTGCGCGTTTGGCGTAGGCAACAAGCGGACAAAGCAGATAGTAAGCTGGACTGAATAGTTGCCCCGGATGACACCCGCCTCCACGATAGTACTACTAGGTACCTTATGTACGAGTAATAAGGTAGGTAGTAGTGGACGATGTTGTTAGCGGCGATGGAAATTCGGGGTTCAGATGCCGCGTCGGATTAACCGAGGTGCCGCCGGACGGCCCCCATTTTCCATACGCGCACCCAAACTCTCTTATCAAATTTTTGTTCTCACCTAATACCAAAGTTCATCACTTCCAGGTTGTTGCTCGTTGACACCGCCGGCCTTGCTTTGATCGCACGACATGTCGGATGCCAGAGACAGCTTTTCTGACCTGGAGAAGCATCGCCTACGGCTGGAAGAAACCGTCAACAGCCTGCGGAAAGCTCTGCAGCACTGGCAGACCTGGGATGCCGAGTATGAGGCTCTCAAGGAGGAGGTCGAGGCCGTGAGCGCACCCGAAGAGCTGCACCGCGTCCATGCCGACTTTGACGGCGAGCTGCTGAAAGGCAAAGAGCTCGACGACGTTTTCGGCAAGCCGGGCCTCAAGACCAGGGAGCAGATCATCAACGTTCTGGACCGCCGCATTGATTACGTCTCAAAGAACATCGAGACGCTGCGGAAACAGCTGGAAACAGCCGAGAACAAGTATGCTGCTGCGACGGTCATCAGCCAGCCTGATGCCGCTGATGAAGATGGCCAACCCATCATGGACATTGTCGAGGAACTGGACGACGATGACAACGTCATCTCGTTTCGGGTGAACAGGCCCGGCGAGTCTCTGGGCAAAGTCGAAGCTCTTCTCAACAAGGCCGGTGTCACAGACGATGCGGAGCCTCAGCCCGAGAAAGAGGATGCGGCCTCAAGTAGCATTGTAGACCAGCAAGAACCTCCAAAAGCAAAGGATCAGCCTGCTGCACCTGTTGTGGCATCACCTAAACCGCCTTCTCCCAAGCCTGCGTATGAGGCGAAGAAGACGGTCTCCTTCTCAGACGACACGAAACCTGCCGAGGAGCCTGAACCTGAGATATCATGGAGGGCGAAGCGTGTCAAGGAGATTATGGGCACCGCCAAAGAGCAAGAGGATATCAGCATGCGAGCTGCTGTTATACCCAAGGACGAGTCACCGGAAGATGCAGCCCTGCGGCAACAAATGCTGCGGTACGGCATGAGCGAAGTGGGAGCCGTTGTTGCCGAGCTCGAGCTCGAGGAAGGCGACTCAGATGAGATTTCCGAGCTTGACGACGACTTTGACGACGACTATGATGATTACGATGACGAAGAAGACGAGGAAGACCAATACGGACGCTATCAGGGGAGCGTTGTCACAGACGAGTATCGTCGACGGATGCTTCAGCTAGAGAAGAAGCTTGGGATCAAATCACACTCCTCAAAGAAAGCGAAACCCAATTCTGACGAGGACGGCTCAGACGACGATGATAACGACGAAGGAATCGGCCGCATCGTCGTCAATCGAGAGGCACACGCCTCGTCTTCATCCACTGCCACGAACGCAGCCCCGCTCAAGTCGAACCTCAAAGAAAGACAAAGCAGCGATTCCGAAGCAAAGAAAGGCGTCCGTTTTGCGGCCAGCCTCGATATCGCGCCTGAAAAGGAGGACATGTCTGCTCCTGCGACCAGCAGCGAAAAGAAGGATCTTGTCGAACCCCTCAGCGACATTGTCGAGCGTAGCGGCCCATCAAGACCTGCCAAACAGCCAACAGCCCAACCAGCGAAAAGAGCGTCGCGTTTCAAGAAAGCCAAAGACACCACCGACACAGCAAGCGCTGTTCCCAAGGGACCCCTGGATATTCGGCCAAAGTTTGTGGACGATCCGCTGCCGCCGGTGCCGACTGGGCCAGAGGGCGTTACAATAGCCGACACGCTGGTCGAGAGAGAGTCGACGTCTGCTGCCATCGCCCCTGACGAGGTCAACGACCTGATGACCCACCAGGAGGTTGCCGATGAGTATCAGCGGATGCGCAAGAAGTTCATCCAGCGAGAAGGTGGGTTCCTCAAGCCCGATGAGTCTCCCATCAAGCCCGTACGCAACGAGTTGGACGAGCAACCCACCAGTCGGTTCAGAGCCGCGCGGCTCTCGCGTCAGTAGTATGGGAGAAAGGTAGTCGATATGCAGTCGATCAATCTCACCATATGACTGAATCCTTTCCTTGACCCGGTGATGTTTGGGGACATTGCCCCGGAAGGATATATACATCTCCCTCCCCGTAATGCCTTTGCTAACCTAGTGTGTGAACTCACTTACCCCTTTTGATGTCTGGATCTGAACGCTTTGTTTACACGAGCATAAATGGGCTGCAGCTATCAATCTGCTTGTCCATCTTGGTTCGATCCGAGAGCAATCTTTGGTAGGGTTCTCTGACACCATTACCCGACTTGGCAGTCTCCATGGTTCTGGTGATTCGTTAGGCTCTACACATTTCATTCGCTGTGAACTTATATATATTTTCCAGATGAGATCTTCTTCAATCGACAACCTTTTGATACTCATGGAACCAAGCATTCCCCGGACTCGAGTGATGATGCATCAACTACTACCTATATGACCGAATTTCTTGACTGACGTTCGTTCATGTGTCGCAAGGGGAAAAAAAGGAAGGGAAGTTAATAAGAGAAAAGAAAGTCCTCGAAAAGAGGAATAATCGAAAAACGCAAAAAAAGAAGTGATTCCGCCCGGGCTCGAACCGGGGACCTTTTCGGTGGTGTCAACTGAACTGTTAACGAAATGTCATAACCAACTAGACCACGGAACCAGATGCTTTTCGATGTCAATCTTTGGCTTCCATCACCCTATGAGCTTATTCACTACCCGCTGGGATTCATTCGAGAATTAACTTCACCTCGTCTTGACTTGATCAAATCTGTCAATTCTTTGCACTTTCGGCGAAATACATTCATGACAGACAGGACCATTTTCAGAGCTAGTATCGGACAAGTGGTGTAACGGGGAGTTTCAAGCAGCATCATTTAGTAGTAATGTATCCAATGATACATACAGTCTGTCATTGTCAAGCCGTGATGGCCTCGTCGTTCTATAGAGAATTTAATACATGAGATATCCCACCCACGCTCATATGCCATAGTTTACATTCAACCCTCCGTAGGAAAAAAAAAAGAAAAAAAAAACCAAGAAAGTGACAAAAGCGCAATGACGGCTGCTACGAGGCCATGCGCGCATAACCCATACATACGTGTTGAAACAGAACACTCAAAGCCCCCCCCACCACCACCACATAATCATGCCTAACATCACTTCCCCCTGCTAAACAACGCAGCAATCGTATCCGAAAACGTCGCCTGCCCTTCCGCCCGCCGGACCTCCCTCTCCTCCCTCTTGGCGTCCCAGATCTTCTTGACGTTGCGCGCCACGTCCGCCTTGGCCTGCAGATCCGCCCGCAGCGCCGCCTCCTCTGCGGGTCGCTCGTCCTCGGGCAGCTGGTCCAGCTTCTCCTTCCACTGCTTTTCGAGCTCCTCGGAGGGCTTGACGGCGGCGGCGGCCGCGACGCTTGGCTTGGGGATGGACGGGTCAAAGGTCGGGATGAGGGTGCCGTTCTCCTTTGCCTTTTCGACCTCGGCTTCGTGCTGGAGCATGCGCTGAAAGAGCGCGTCGGCGTGGAGCTGGATGTCTTCGTCGACTTCTGCCGGGCGGCCTGCTACTGATCCGTATCCCAGCGCTCTCAAGAATCTCTGCAGATGGCAAACGTTAACATCATAGTACCTTGTGTGTGCGCAATACCCGTTTTAGGGGGGAAAGGGGAGGGGGGGAGGGGGGGCTTCTCATACAGATTGCATGGTGTAGCACCTCTCGAACCGCCGCACCTGGTGCCGGCACATTTGCAGCTGGTCCTCCCAGCTGCCGCTCTTCATGCAGTTGATCCACTCCTCCTGCTGCGGCGCGCAGTTCTCGAGCCCGGCCCTCGCAATCGCCGCCTTGCGCTCCTTGTACCCCTCCAGCACGGACATGAGCTTGTCGTGGTCCGTCGAGTTCTCCTCCTCGACCTCTGCTAGCGGCCGGTAGTTCTTCCACAGATGCGCATACCGCCCGTCTTGGTAGAGGCTCGCTGATGGGACCGCCGCCGGCTCTGGCTTCTTCGCGTCTGGTGCCGCGGCTTCTGGGGGAGCATCTTGCCGCTGTGATGATGATGATGATGGTGATGGTGATGTCGCTTGCTGGTTGGGGATGTATTTGACGGGGGATTCTTTTTCGAGAAACTCGCGAAGCTTGGGGTCCAGCTTGCCGAGGGGATTCGGGGCGTCGCCGCCAAAGATTGAAGGAAGCCAGCCCATGGTGAATGTGCGGATAAGTCGAGGCCGTGGACGGCGACCCTGGGAAGGGGGTGATAATATGATCGGGGTGTCTTTGACCTGGAAACTAACAAAAGGGATCCGGGTGGCTCTGACGTCCCCCAACAGAATGGGATCGGAGGATGCTTTTGACAAGGGTGCGAATATTACATAATGCGGGTGGACGATGCACTGTGTCCAGTTTTATGGAGCTGCACCTTATGTCAACCTGCATTATCCTCCCATGTGCCTGAGCTATTACTGCATCGTTTTTTTGGTGGAAAGATTGAGGAGCATGATAGACATCATCTTCCACTGATAGTGAATCTTTGAATGCCATCGTCTAAAGGTCGTCGCATGAACCTCGGCAGGGGTCTACCTGTATGACAGCCAATGCCGATATCACAAGTTGTCGTCCTCAACAAGCATTCACTTTCCGTCACTGTAGCCACAACTCTGCAGATATTTAGACGTTGATTTTATTCATATATCACCTGAGGGCCTCATCGTCAAGATATCCTTTGCATCGCGGTCCAAATGGGGAATCGAATTAAGCGTCGTAAACAGCCCCGAGACGTCGAGATCGTGGTCATGAATCCTTTTTTATTCACGATTGCGTCTACAACTCATTTTGTAAAGCAACTTCCCATGCCGACCCTCCAGCGGGGATGACTTGTTTTCCCCCCTGATGTTTATCACGCCAAAAATGCCAGTTAGAGAAACCCAATTTAGAACTTGGTGAACGACTTGACCGCCTTGCCAGTTCGGGGCAGAACGCGCAGGACGTTGAAGCGGATCTAGAAGAGCGACGCGTCAGTATTAAGCCACACCAGCCGCATCGGGATATCGGACAAAACGTACAGTCTTGCTGAGAGGCCTGCACTGGCCAACGGTAACCTGGTCACCCTCCTCAACACGGAAAGCAGGGGAGACGTGGGCGGCGAGGTTCTTGTGTCGCTTCTCGTAACGAGAGTACTTGGGGATGTAGTGGAGGTACTCTCTTCGGATGATGACGGTTCGGTGCATCTTGGTGGAAACGACGGTGCCGGTCAGGATACGGCCACGGATGGAGACGAGACCGGTGAAGGGGCACTTCTTGTCTGTAGTCATCAAAGTCAGCGATTCTGTCTCCGTCGAGAATGTCATGCTTCGTGTCCAGCTCGTCGTGCTCGCCATGTCGATTCGAGTCCTGTGTCCGCCCTTGCCTTCCACCCCTGTGGTCGATTCTTCCCAATCTGCCGATCTTCGAAACCCGTCCCTATTTCGCCGTCTTCTCGCACGTACCGATGTAGCTGCCCTCAATGGCGGTCTTGGGGGTACGGAAACCCAGACCAACGTCCTTGTACCATCGTCGTCCGCCCTTGCCCGGTCTGGTGCTCTTGGTCTTGGTCTTGGAGTTCAAGAAGATGTGAGGCTGCTTCTGGAAAGCACGCTCCGACTGGACGGTCAATTCGGTCGCCCTGGTGTGACTGTTAGCAAAAGGACGTCGTCGTCGGCAGATCGGTATGGCGCAGCGCTGGCGGGCAAAACTGACATCTTGAATTATCCTGCTCCGGAGAGGTACCGTAACTGAGGGCGTATCGTAGAGGGTGGGAAGACGATGTTAGATGGTTTTGCACAGGATGGAGGAGTAGGGCAACGGCGCACTTTTTTCGGGCCACTTTCCCACCTTAGGGCTTGCAAAATTTAGATTGGCTGATTAGGCGAACCAAACAATGGGGCGGGCGCGCTATCGGCACGTGATGCTGATTCCCTCGATGCCTTCTGAGTCAATGCACGTGACTGGCTCCAGAAATGGACCTGGACCGGGCGATGCACATAGGCCCCCACTTACTGTGGCTCACTTTCAATCTTGAAGTGTGGCTAAGCCCGACTGAGGTACGTACCGTTACCCCCCAAAGGTGAAAGTAAACAAACGCGGTCATCGGGCCCTTTTCGATGCTCCAAGTCGGATCTCCTGCCCTTGGACTGTCGTGACGAAAGCACGACAACGATCCAAGATGCCTGCGCCTGGCCAGTCGACGACGCCGACCACGCGCCGAACAAGGAAATCAATCGGCGTGCACACAGAGCTTTCGAACTCACGCAAGGAAAATGCTACAACCGACGTGGGCCAGTCAATGGCTGCGAGTCGCAAGTCACGGAGCAAGAGCATCGGTCCCGGCGGGCTGGATGCGCTCAGGCAGGGGAATGGCAACAGGCGCGCGGTATGGAAATGGTTCCTCCCGTAGCGGACGCTCAGACAGTTGCTGAACTCTCACATAGTCCCTTGCGGCGCCGACCAAGATCCCTCGCTCGATCCTCAAGCCCACGATTTCTCCTCTACCTGAAATCCCACCGCTGAAATCGAAAGCACAGAGAAAGTCAGCAGGCGCGTCAACATCCAACCAGCCTGAGGCTGAGTCAAGCGGATCCAAAATTGCCGTACGGACAGAGGAGGAGCAACAAGCTGCAGCAAGAGAGAGAGAGGAGCGCGAGAGGCGAGATGCTCGTCGCAAATCACTTGCCAATCGCAGAGTCTCTTTCGCGGCAGAGGCCACACTGCATACTTTCCATGAAGTGGAATATATGCAGTCTCGGAATGCCACAGACTCAAGAAGAAGATCAAGCTCCGGATTGAACGCTCGCAGTGCCGATCAGACTCCCGCCGAAGACCAGAGCACGCAAGGGAAGAGAAGCTCGCTCGGCAGGCCGAATAATGTCCAAAGCCAAGATGAGAACAGTACCTCGGTTATATACAGCTCGGATTCTGAGCCTGCTGATGCGGTGGAGGAGATTCCCACAGATGAGGAGGAAGCGGAGGAGGAGGAGGAAAACTCGAATAGCGATTCCGACGACGGGACGATGATGAGCCTTGAGACAGACGAGGTTACAGGTACGACCGTGGCGTCCGAAAAGTCATTGGTGGACCTGGACGAAGACTCTTCTACACTTGACGAGGCTCTCCGCATGGCGGCCCGCCGCGCAGCTACCCAACAACTTGGAGACGACTCTGACGACGGCGAAGAGATCATCCCCTCATTTGGTTGGGCGAGAAAGCCAATCCCGCAGCCCGCAGCCAGCGGGAACAAGGAGCCTGCAAAATCGCCAGTGGATCAACACTCTGATAATACCACGGAGATGGACATGGATATAACGCAAGTTATGGGGAAGATTATCAAGCCCTCTGGGCCTGGTGATATCGAGGGAGAGCCAGCGGCAGAGGCAGAGGTCTCCATGGACGTCACACGTGCATTTGGTGGCATCATCTCAGGCGGGAGACCCAATGATGCACCTTCGGAGTCTGGTGAGATGGAAGATGCCACAATGGAATTCACGACGGCGGTCGGAGGCATACATTACCCTGAGTTGCCAGATGCCGACACTGACTACGACGCAAACGAAGACATGTCAATGGAGCTCACCAGCGTCATGGGTGGCCTATTAGCTCGTCAACAACAGGAGCAGAATGAGGCTCCTCGACGACAAGCACTGGACCATACTGCGAAGCGGGGTGATGATGCCGATGCCGATGGTGATGAGACAATGGGCATGGACATAACCACAGCCATTGGCGGAATCATCAAGAACACCTCGCAGGCCTTTAGAAAGAGCCTCTTTGGCTCTCAAACAGAACAAACCGAGAGCCCGCGGCAATCGACATCAGCAGCTGCATCGCAACCGTCTCCCGAGCACAGCACTCCTCTTGCAAAGACAGCATCTCAGGCTGCGCAAGGGGGGGCAACCCATCTTACTACGCCTCAAGCGGCCAGGGACCCCCTGATTGACGTCTCCACAACACCACCAACACCCAACTTTTTGACTACACCTAAATCTTCTACGACTCCGAAGACCTCAACGACTCCAAAGGCTTCTACGACTCCGAAGACTCCAGCATCGAAAGCTTCCACAACCCCTCGGCAGGCCTCATCGTCGACCAAAACGCGGACGCCGACGTCGCAAAGCCGAACACTCCGATCGGCGTCCAGAAAACCCCCATCTCAGGGTGCGAGTCGAACGCCCTCGCCCGTTAAATCAACTCCAAAGAGCAGCACAAAGTCAAATCAGCAGGATGTATCCACCCCTCGACGACTCTCTGGTGTTGGTGCAGATAGGCCTGGCCTGGGATCACCCCAAGTTGCGGCCATTTTCGACCGTCGAGAGTCTCTGACCGAATCGACGAGCACGTTTGTTGCTGGAAAACGCGCTGTTGCCTTCAGCGACCCCAAGGTTTTGGCGCAAGAACTTGACCAGGAAAGTGACGAAGGAGCTCGGCGGAAGTCTGGTGGGCGAGATGCTACACTCAACCTTAGAGAGATGATTGATAGCATGAGTCCCAAGCGAAACCCGCTCAGAGGCCGAAAGAGCCTCCACATTGGCAGTGCCAGGGGTCTTCTGGGTAAGCGACCCGCTGAACTGGACGAGGAAGCGGAAGCCGAAGAGAATGACGGCGTCAAGCGATTGAAGGGTCGTCAGGGCAGCCCTGTCAAGAATGTGAAACTTCAGCAGCCGCCCTCGAAAGAAGAGACAACCGGGAGGCTGAGAAGATCAACTCGATTGAGCTTTGACTTTGCTGGCAAAACGTCTCACTCTGCTCAGTCCTCCCCTTTGAAAGGCAGCGATAGTGCCACGCTATTGAGCCAGAAGTTCTCCCGAGCTGGAAAAGAGAACCAAACGGTTCACGATGTGCAGATACACCAGCCGTTGGCGAACAACGACCCTCAAGTTTTGGAAACCATCGAGGAACATCAGATGCATCTCCAGGACTTCTTGAACTTGACGTCTATTCGCTTCATGGAGCTGAACACGACCAAGAGGCGCCACACAATCGCCCCAAGGTCATCTCAGAGCGGCATTCTGCCGGATGGAGAAGACGATCGGTCTCTGGAGCGATGCGTCGTGGCGGGCGCTTGTACCGTGCCCATGCTGGAACTGTATCAACATTCCTGCCGAGAGCTGAAGAAGTACATATCCGAGGGCCGAAGAATAGTCAAGGAGATTGAAACGGAGACTTTTGAGGAAAACCCGCCCCTGTTTCGAGAATATCTATCCGCGACTCCCGACGTCAAGGCATTGATGGACAATCAGTTTAAGAACGTCAGGACCCATGCCCGTCACCTTAGCAAGGCGATGTGGTACGAATGGAGGATGAAGTTGCAGGACGGATTGAACGAAGGCCTCGTCAGCATCTCGGACGGCATGAAGGATGATCTCAAAGTGATTGAGGAGCAAGAGAAGCTTCTGAAAAGCGTGATGCCCAGTCTTGTGAGCCGTTACGAATCGCTACTGGAAGAAAGCAGCAGCCTCGAGGAAGCTGCTAAAGAAATAGCCGACTGCGATCCTGCAGAACTCCAAGCGGCTCGAGACGAACTGACAAGCCTCGACGATGACATTGCTCAGAAGAAGAAGCTGATTGCCAAGCTTCGACAAGAGTTTGAGGCATCGGCAGCCGACGTGGAGGAATTGACAGCGCGGAAGTCTCAGTGTCTTGCTGAGATTCAAGAGTCCCAGCGGATCAGAGAAGAGTGCCGTGGTTGGACCAGCACCGAAGTCAACAATCTCAAAGGTAAAGTTGCATCACCATTGTCACACTTGAGAGCAAGCTAACATCCAATGACAGCGCGGGTAGAGGCCATCGAGAAGGAGCACGGATGGGCCGTAACGGGCATCGCAGGCTCTACGCTGTCTATGACATACAAGCGAGAGATTGAGCTTGTCCTGGACATTACGTCCTTCCAACCGAAGCAGCCAAACTCGCCCATTGACCTGTGGTATATTGCCGATAGCCGCGCGGTCAATCCTCTGCCGCGGACTGCGGAAAAGGAATTCTTCTTGCAATGCATTCGGGAACACATTCGAGCAATGTCACAGAGCCGCACGAAGCTGTCTCATCTTCTCAGCGTGGTGAAGACGGCCTGGGACAAATCGAACTGGATCTCCCGCCAAGTCAGTCGCATTAATGTCATTTTTCCGACAAAGGTCTCCAAGACGTCCGATTCAAGCATAGCTGTTACGAGCTCCCTCCTGTTGGCACCCTTGGAAACACGAATCGAAGTGGTCTTCAACCTCAAGGGGTCCAGCGGGCCCGAGGGAGTCAACGTGGATGTCTCGACGGACGCCAAGGTCATCTATGGCGAACAATTCAACGTGGGCAAGGTTGGGGAGTTCCTGGGCACCAGGATTGGCAAGAGTGTTGGCGCCGAGGGCGAGCCGTGGAGCGATGTGGTGGCTGAACTGTACGAGAAGCTCATTGCTCGGGGGAAGAAGTAGTAGCTGTTTTGGTCTGACGCTGTAATGATTCATGAAGGGATTGGGTATATACGAGTCGTTGGATGGCTTGCTTGTATCGGCGTTGTTTGGGCATAAGATACCTTGGGCTGTTGCTCTGGATGTTGGGCTATCATATCACATCCTGCTGTAGTGGTATGAAGAATTGCTGCTATTCTATACATTTATTGGCTTGTCACCTTGGGTACCTACACTGCGGATGCTTTGGTAAGGTAGATGGACGACGGATAAGGGCGCGGAGGCTACAATTTGGGCAAGGTGTTTCTGTGCTACTAGTACTAGAAGTAGCTCAAGGGCCGTCTCGCGGTTGATGATCAATTGTCTTGTGTCTTCAGCGAGCTCATGATTCAAACCGCCAAGATTTAGCGACATTTAACCTCCAAGGTACATAGACCGTCTGTATCACTGTATTACTGTACAGTCTTCCAGCTGCAAGTGATCGACCCTCCTCCACTGGCTCTCCTATTTTCAGTCCAGTTTTTCATCTAGTTTTTCCACATAATTATAAATCCGAATTTTTTTCTCTTTTCTTCTCTCACCGACTTGTACAGTAGATGCTCTAGTATTAGCATTCGTTCTCCAACTTCTCCATCATACAAAACGACTCCTCACCCCCAACTTTGGCGCCTGTTCATTCATTCCAAGTTGCCCCCCCCAAAATCTCCGCACATCGGCCCCCGATCTGCTAGTGAGAGGAGTTACCCAAACCGGCAAACTACAGCGCATTTGGGCACCCTCTATAAAAGACTTACTACATGTAGTAACCCGCCGTCTTCTCATCAACACCCAAGCAAACCTCGACAACACAACCTCTTTTTTTCTTCTTCTTCTCCTTTTCAAAATCTTTTCTTTCTCTTTGCACATTGGTGCCGGCGTTTCTACGAAATAGACGGATAGAGTTCCTTTTCATATTTTCTTTTTTCTGCACTTCATCATGGCATCTTTTTTCCGCTGGTGAGTTTGCCACCGCTTCGCTCATCCCCCCGTTCTCGCACTCTGCTTTCTGACACCGGGCATCAGGTACAATGGAAGGCTCGCAGCCCGTCCGTTCCTCACGCAGGGCGTGACGACTGCAGTCCTGTTTGCGACTGGCGACATCACCGCCCAGCAGCTCGTCGAGAAAAGGGGCATCAAGGGCCACGACACCTCGCGAACCAGCCGCATGGCGCTCTATGGTGGATGTAAGTTTTATTTGGCTGCCTAAACCCACATCTCGCCTCTCTCTCTCTCTCCCTCTCCCGTTCTCTCTATCACACGCCAGCCCAGCACCACACAGCAGGTCCATTGAAAAAAAAATTTGCTCTCCCAGCTGACTATTTCTTCTTTTTTTTTTTCTTCTCTACTTCAGGCGTCTTTGGCCCTGTTGCTACGACCTGGCTGGGCTTCCTGGCCCGTCGCGTCCGCCTCAGGAATGCCCGAGTCGAGACGCTGGCGCGCGTGGCGGCTGACCAGCTGCTGTTTGCTCCCGTCATGATCGGCGTCTTCCTCAGCAGCATGGCCACGATGGAGGGCAAGAGCCCCAAGGAGCGCCTCGACCAGACCTGGTGGCCTGCCCTCAAGGCCAACTGGGTGCTGTGGCCGGCGGTGCAGTTTGTCAACTTTACCTTCTTGCCTCTGCAGTACCGTCTGCTGTTTGCCAATGTCATCTCCATTGGCTGGAACAGCTACCTCAGCTGGGTCAACAGCAAGGGCGGCAGCGAGGACCACGAGTTGATCGCCGCCCCGGCCACCTAAGCTGTGTCCTTTTGCTTGATTTTGTTCGGCTGCTTTTGACGGTGTCAGTTTTTCTTTGTCTTTGGTTGGTTTTACCTGCGCTAGAGGGAAGGAAAAAGAAAAGACAAGAGATGTTATAGAGGTCTACTACTAGAAGGAATGCTTCAAAATGCGCCAAAAAGTACTTTACGATAAACTACCTAACCTACCTAGCATAACGCATGACGACACGGTGCATCTGTCTCAGCTGGCGGTATCACCAAGATGCTTAGGTCGGAGTCTTTCGTGAGGAACACAACGAAGCTCTCGATTCGTGAGATGCAGTCGAGGCACTGTCACTGTCACTGTCACTGTCACTTCCCCCCCTGTACGTTTGCTGACGTCGTTGCGGTCTGGTGACCGGGTCCAATGATGTGGTTTCAGATGAGCCGTATTCAGGGGAACATTGACGAACGCCCAGGCTGATGAAGGGGAGCCTCTGTCCTTACTTGCAAAGTCGTGATCCAGCCTGCAATGCTTCTCGCATCTTTCTTCAACTCTTCTTCTTTCCCATCTGATAGGTAATCATAGAGGTTTCGCGATCACGATAAGGCCACCAACGGCTTACTCAGTTCTCCTTTGATAATACCTTAGGCCACAGAGGGCTTAGTGCCCGCTGACTCATCCCTCTTTCCGCCGCCTTGCAAATCGTTTTACCGAACCAGCGGCCAAGTCCGGGCTGGCGAAGAAACACAAACGACATCATCAGGTTCAGCCTCTGCGCTCGAACTGAACCCATTCGTCGCTCCCCTCTTCTTCGTTCTCGTCTTTCTTTTCTACTCAGAAGCCCGAATCCGGCGACGCAAATGTTGCCCCTGTCGGTGCGCCGCGCGGTGGTCTCGGCTCCTCAGGGGGCCGGGCTGACCTCTTTGGCCACCTCCGTCCCCAAGGTCGCAGCCTCGAGCTTCATCTTGAACCGCCCTCAGAGGCGTATGTCGTCGTCGAAGCCCTCACGATCCGATGAGCCCAACGATATCGCGGCCGGACAGTCGGTGCCGGCATCCGCGTCGGCGCGCGGAGAGAGCAAGGCCGGCAGGAAACGCAAGACCAAGGACGCGGCTGACCGGAATGCGGCTTTCAAGAAGCTCCCTAGCGTTCCCAGCACCCACCACATGTCGGAAGAAGGTGAGCGCTGCATACTTCTAGGTCTCCAGGTGTGCTCTTTGTTGCTAACTCATATTTCAGCCCTGGGCTTGTCGACCTTCTTCTCGCTCCACCGACCCATTTCCGTCACACAGACCATGCCCCGGACCGTTACAGACGAGCACTTTGCATCCATATTCGCGACTCGGTCAAAGTCGAGCAGGATACGGGACACCGTTTCTACGCTCTCCGACACCATCGATCAGCTGGAAGGCCCCATGGCCCAGATGACAATAGGCGGCCAGGACCAAGGTGCCAGCGACGGCATGCACAGGCTTGATGTCAAGAACTCTGACGGAAGCGAGTCGAGCATCTATCTCCAGGTTGACGCCATGTCGGGCGAGTTCCTGCCTTTCCGCCCCCCTCCGTTGCCTCAACCGCAGCAAGGCGTCGAGGCGGAGGGAGTCGCTGCTGAGTCTGAGGCCTTGGAAGAGGCGGCCCACCACAGGGTGTACAAGGCCATGTTCACCATTGAGGAGTCGACAGAGCCGGACGGCCAGATCAGGATCATTGCCCACAGCCCTCGAATCATGCAGGACGAGCAGCCCCGGACCTTTCTCGAGCGTCTGGCCCTTCGTCAGCTGCGCTTCGACCAAACTCGCGGCCACCGGGACATGTATGCCATCAGCGTCAAGCGGCAACGAAAGCTCAAGATGAAGAAGAAGAAGTACAAGAAGCTGATGAAGCGAACGAGGAACTTGCGCCGCAAGCTGGATCGAACGTAAGGGGGCTGTGGCGTCTGGCCGTGTAGACATTCCGGGTTTCACTATTCTTTTTCTTTTTTGTTTTTCTTCCTTTGTTGCGCTGGGGTTTGACCGGATTCCTGGGGTGCTGTCTGCCTGGCGGTTGGCCAGATGATCTTTTTGTCGACCATGAGTTACGCATCGCGCTCCTGGGGCTCTTTCTCTTCCATAGACTTTGAGAAGATGGCAGTTGTCGTGTTGTCGTGGGGCATGACTGGGACACGGCCTTTCCCTTTATATCGGCATTTGTAACATAGTATGAATAAGACGAACATGTAGCATCAGATGCTTTTTCGTTGTCTCTGAGCTATGGATCAGAAGTGATGTCCATGATCACGATCTCTTTAGTAGAGTGTCAGAATGCTTTATAACTAAACCCATTATACCCAAAATAAGGTACCCAAGCAAAAGAACTCTAGCCCAATTCAAATGGGACCATTGTTCGGGTGGTATAGTCGCTCATCCTGATATCTATATTAAGCAGCATCTCCAGCCTCTTTGCGAACCTTCTCGGTAAACACAAAAACACACCTCGGTGAGACGCTTCGGTGAGGCCTCTGCACTAGCGCAGCCAGCCGGCCTCCACCGCCCGGCAGAATCCAGCTCCACCGCCAAATTTTTGGATTTTTTTGGCCGGGACAAATGTTTTGTATGCGCCAAAGAGGTCCCGCAATAAACTCGTCCGAACGCCCAGCCCGCCAGCAAGTCTTGCGCAATCCTTTACCACGGACCATTGGCTGTGACAAAGAGTTGGCAAGATGCAGCGCAAGCAAGTGTAAGTCGTCAAGGAAGACATCAAACGACTTGGGTATGGTGGCTGTCTTGTCTGGTGGCTGACTCTGTCGTGCAGAGACGAGCGCATCGGCGCGCTGATCCGCAATGGACTGCAGGAGAAGAAGAGAAGCTTTTTCGTCGTCGTGGGCGACCAAGCCAAGGATGTGATTGTGCGGCTGCATTACATCATGTCCATGGTGGACATTAAGCAGAACAAGTCTGTCCTGTGGGCATACAAGAAGAAGCTGTTGGGATTCACAAGGTGAGCATTCTTGGATTCTTACATTTTCTCGGATTTCTTTGCCAGAGCCTGGTTTCTGACTGCTATTTGCGTGCATGCAGTCACCGAAAGAAGCGAGAAGACAAGATCAAGAAAGAAATCAGACGCGGAATTCGAGAAGCCAACTCAGAGGACCCATTCGAGCTCTTCGTCTCCCTACACAACATCCGCTACACCTACTACAAGGAGACCGACAAGATCCTCGGTAACACATATGGCATGTGCATTCTGCAAGACTTCGAAGCCATTACGCCCAACATTTTGGCCCGGACGATCGAGACAGTTGAGGGTGGTGGCTTGGTCATCATGCTGCTCAAGGGGATGAACAGTCTGAGGCAGCTCTATAACCTCTCCATGGACGCCCACTCCAAATACCGGACAGAGGCGCACGACGATGTGGTGGCGAGGTTCAATGAGCGTTTCCTGCTGTCACTGGGAAGCTGTGAATCTTGCCTGGTCATTGACGACGAGCTCAACGTTCTTCCCATTTCAGGCGGCAAGAACGTCAGGGCTCTGCCACCTCCGGATGCCGACCAGCCCAAGACCCCTCAGATGCTGGAGCTGGAATCCATCAAGGACGAGCACCAGGAACGGCAGCCCGTTGGGGCGCTGATCAACCTCGCGAGAACCGTGGACCAGGCAAAGGCTCTGCTGACCTTTACCGATGCCATTGCGGAGAAGACGCTGCGAAGCACCGTTGCGCTGACGGCTGCCAGAGGACGAGGAAAGTCGGCTGCTATGGGAGTTGCCGTGGCCGCTGCGGTGGCATACGGATACAGCAACATCTTCATCACATCACCGTCTCCAGAGAACTTGAAGACGCTGTTCGAGTTTGTCTTCAAGGGCTTTGATGCTCTCGGCTACGCTGATCACGCGGACTACTCCATTATCCAGAGCACGAACCCCGACTTCAACAAGGCCATTGTTCGTGTGAACATCCACCGACAGCACAGACAGACGATTCAGTACATCCGGCCCCAGGATGCGCACGTCCTTGGCCAGGCTGAGCTGGTCGTTATTGACGAGGCGGCAGCCATTCCCCTGCCCCTTGTTCGGAAGCTGATGGGCCCTTATCTGGTCTTCATGGCTTCCACCATCAACGGTTACGAGGGTACTGGCCGATCCCTGTCACTCAAGCTCATCAAGCAGCTGCGAGAACAATCACGGCGGGCTACTACAGACGACGACACCCAGGTTGCCGACCGATCTACCGGAAGGGCTTCCAAATCGGAGGAGTTCCAGGCCAGCCGAAAGCTGCGGGAGATTACGCTTTCGGAGCCGATTCGTTATGCTCAGGGCGACCCAGTTGAAAAGTGGCTGAACAAGCTTCTTTGCCTCGACGCAACTCTGCCCAAGGCGAGCTCCAACGGTGCGCCAGATCCTAACCTCTGCGAGCTTCTCAACGTAAACCGCGATACCCTCTTCTCATTCCACCCTATTCCCGAAGCCTTCCTTCAACAGATGGTGGCGCTTTACGTCGCCAGCCACTACAAGAACTCGCCCGATGACTTGCAGCTGATGAGCGATGCCCCCGCGCATCAGCTGTTTGTCCTCACCGCTCCCACTTCAGAGAACAGCGGCAGGTTGCCCGAGCCTCTCGTTGTTGTTCAAGTTGCCCTGGAAGGAAAGATCAGCCGACAGAGCGTAATCAACAGCTTGAGCCGAGGAGAAAGGCCGCATGGCGATCTGATCCCCTGGCTTGTGAGCCAGCAATTCCAGGATGAAGAGTTTGCCTCTCTCTCCGGTGCCCGAATTGTTCGCATCGCGACCAACCCGGCCTACATGGGCATGGGATACGGAAAGCGCGCCATGCAGCTCCTGGTCGATTACTACGAGGGCAGATTTGCCAACTTGTCCGAGGACGATGATCAGGTCATGGAGAATGGAACTGCCCGAGTCACGGACGCTGAGCTGGCCAAGGAGTCTCTGTTGGAGGAGAAAATCACTGTCAGGGATGACAAGCACATGGCTCCTCTCTTTGCCAAGATGTGGGAGAAGAAGCCGGAGAGGCTGGACTATCTCGGTGTCAGCTATGGCATGACCAAGGAGCTGCACAAGTTCTGGAAGCACGTTTCGTTCTCACCCGTCTACCTGCGGCAGACTGCCAACGATCTGACTGGCGAGCACACCTGCGTCATGCTCAGGCCCCTTGATAGCAGCGGCGACAAGACATGGCTGGGTGCCTTCTCAAGAGACTTCCAGAAGAGGTTCCTCTCATTGCTATCCTACCAGTTCCGGACCTTCCCTGCCGTCACTGCGCTGGGCATTGACCAGTCAGCAAACATGGGTGCTCAGCTCGATGCCACTCCCCAGTCCCCCTTGACCAAAGCCGAACTGGACAATCTCATGTCGCCTTTTGATCTGAAGCGACTGACGTCCTACGCAAACAACATGCTCGACTACCACGTCATCTTGGATCTCATGCCCATCATTGCGCACCTTTACTTCACCGGCAAGCTCAAATCAGACATCTCCCTTACGGGCGTCCAGCAGGCGATTCTCCTCGCCATCGGGCTGCAGCGCAAGGACGTGGAGCAGATTGCTCAGGAGATGAACATGCCCTCTTCGCAGCTCCTGGCCATGTTCATCAAGATCCTGCGCAAGGTCACGGCGCACTTCAACTCCTTGGTCACCGCAGCGGCCGATGCCGAGCTCCCGAGGGCTGAGAACATTGGCGTCAGCCGAGAAAACGCCAGCGGCGCCCACGACGACGAGGTTGTGGACGACCGGTTCGTCCCCTTGGAGACTGCCCTCGAGGACGAGCTCGAGGAGGGCGGTGACGAGGCCCTCCGAGCTCTTAGGCAGAAGCAGAGAGAGATGATTGACTCTCTGCCTCTGGATCAGTAAGCAACCGCCTTTTTTTTCTTTCTTTCTCTCACCAGTGTCAGCTTTCTCGATGCTAACAATATTACAGATATGAGATTGACGGCGATGCCCCAGCCTGGCAAGAAGCCGAACGCCAAGTGTCCAGCGCCGCCAAAGACGGAAAGTCAAACGTGGTAGTCAGCGTCAAGTCCGCCAAGCAGAAGCGCAAGGCGGGCCAGACGACGGCGGCGGAGCTTTACGAGCAGACTTTCGGGGAGGATTCTCGGAAGAAGGCCAAGAAGGGGAAGAAGGGCAAATAAATTAGAAAGCTTTTGGGTGAATCATGTACACAGATGGTTTGATATACCAAGAAGGAAAAAAGGCACTGCTATTGGGGCGCGGCGTTAGATTGCTTTTTGGGATAGAGTAATACATTGTTTCCGAAACTGAAACAATTTCTCTGAGACTGGATTTCACGCATTTTCGGCGAACTCTCGGCTGGAGATTCGGTATGAATGGTGTTTGAAAGCTTGATATGTTTCCGATATCTTACCCAGAGTTCTTGGATGTGTGCTTCGTTAGGTAAATATGTCCGAGAGGAGAGACGAGAGTTTCTGACAGTGACGAAAACTCTTGACTTGCTGGGGCCGGACACTTTCTCTCTTGCTTGCAACTCAAATTAAGAGCTTGCTTTGTATCTGCTCAAATAGAGTTGATGAACCTTGGCCTCTACGAAGCAATCCCCCGGTAATATGTCTCCGATCGTTTTCTAGAGGCGAGACCCTTCAGGTATATAAGGGCCCTGCTCCCCCCCCCGCTCTCTCCCTTCTCCCTACCTCCGTTTCCCTTTGCTATTTACCTTTATCATACACAAACATTCTTATCCAAATCACACAGAAACTACTTCAAACACCAGCCTGCTCCTACCTCCTCGACCTCTCACACCATCAATCAAGAACCCCGACTCAGAGCCACTCACTCGTCTACACAGGCCTCTCTAGCTCTTTTCTTCAAAATCGGGGAGAATGCCCTGTCCGCGACACATTGGGCAACGGCACCGCCAACGCGTCCATACAGCCTCTGGCACAGAAGTCCACCGAGGACAGCGATGCTGGAGCGACCACGCAGTTCTGCTGAAGCCGGGGAGACGCGAGATGAAGAGACTCTTGGATGCTGCCCTGAGATTGAGCAGGCTTCACAGCTCTCCGAGTTCAGGCCAGCTCAGGGTGTTTCTTGTGGGCGGTTGGTTGGTTCCTTTTGATGCTTGTGTCTCTGGCAGGAGGAGAGTGGACAAGCACGCAAGGGACTGAGATCTTCGGCCAAGGCAGGGCATGCGAGGTTGAACGCAAAAGAAAAAAGAGTCACTGACTCACAGGTAGTTCACGAGCACTCGCTTCAGGGTACGTAACGGCGTAGATGTCATTTCTTGCGGCTGACATGTTGACCAGCTTGTAATCTCGCACCGGCCGTGTCCACGCCCACCGACGTCCCATATTGGGAGTCCTTTCCCCCCCCCCCCCCCCCCCCCCCCTCCCTTTTTTTTTCTTTTTTTCTTTTTCTTCTTCTTTTCTTTTTCTTTTTTTTTTTTTTTTCACGGCCCTAACAGCTTTTAGAGTTGCTTTTCATTTCTACAGCCGTTAACGATGTAGCAAGAGGGAAAAGTCTCCGAAGAGTCAAGGAGGCTCAACAGGGAAATGGCCAGTTCGCGCTCTCGGAACATGATGGCCTGCTGACCGTGTAAGTCCTCCCGAAGCCGAAGGCACTCTGTCATCACTGAAGGCTCATCATTTACTGCAGAGTTACTTGTACCTTTAATAAGACCCCGTCACCTTCAAGTAGGTACATGCTCCGTTGTGTCGTTGGAATTTACCCCCAAACGCTGCAGATGAGAAGGTAGTCCTAGTAGGAGGAAAAGCTGCGCTCGATTGGGCTGCGCCGTTACCCAATTCAAGGGGGGCGTGTGCGTCCACGTGTATTTACATGACATGGCCTTACGGAAAGGGGAAAAAAATCGAAACTGGACTGTAAATGGAAACAAGAAGAGCAAAGAGACACGGGATGTTCTGGATCTCGCCAGAAAGGCAAATGCCGGAGCAGGCAGAAAGTGTGTGGGGTAGGAAGAGGCCAGGTGACGAGGCGAGCTTTGCCTCACCGTATAGTAAGGTAGGTAGGTATGGATGGATAAGGTATGGAGGTAACAAGGTCGGTTACTGGTGCCACTGCTCTCACGAGCCCACGCCCCTGGGGTTAACCGTTATGTAGGTATGTATGTACCTACCAGGAGAGAGAAAAAGAGTCCTCGTATCTTGTTCTTTTCTCTTCGTAGTCATACTACTACTAGTTAGTAGTGCTGGTAGACTGCATGCCGCTGGCGGTCAATGTCTGTAGGGGGAGGGAGGGAGGGAGGGAGGGAGGGAGGGAGGAGAGGGTCCTTTTGACACGTCGACGATTTCCTGTCTGACATACGGCTGCTGCTGATGATGATACAACAGAAGGGGCAACTAATAGAAGACAGGAGAAAACCTGATCTTGTGGTCAAGACAGTCTGCATGAAGCAAGGATGGCAACTGCCGCTGTAGACGATTTCTCACTCAGCGTGACCATATCGATCATCGATCGCGTCTCACACCGGTCTCTCTCGTCTTTTGTATGTGTATGGGGTTGGGCAGCAATGAAGTCAAGTGTGTGTGTTGACATACCCAAAGGTAATCATCAGCATCATCACCACCCTCTCAGCCCTTTTCCTCTGCTGGCAGCCCCCGTCGATTCCGATTCACACCTGCTTCCCGTCTCACATGAAATATGAGTACTTTGGCCTTGGGGAAATCGGCAGAAAGGGAGGGGGGAAAGGGGGGGCTGCTAATCGAGATTTGGGCCGGCATAATAAGCTGGGCACAAAAAGTTGGGGAAAATCAATGGCACGCCCCTCCCCCATGCTCTGGCATCCGATCCCTCGGCTCCCCCGCGTCTCTCGCCAATTTTTTTTTTTTTTTTTTTTTTTTTTTTTTTTTTTTGTGGGATGCTGCAGATGCTTACAGGAGCGGCTCCGGTGCAGCAACCAGTGTTGGAGCAGGGCCTCCATGGTAACACCGCATATTTCATTGAAGAATGTGTTTAGGGAGCAATTGGGGCAAGTTGAGCCGCAAGGCGGACAGGGCGTTTTGTTGTTGTAGGATTGGCTGAGTGCCTTAGGTACCTATATATCTCTGGCACAGGTAAGGTAAGGTAGGTACTTGTAGCCAGTCACCTGTCTGGAAGCTGGTTCTGACTGCATACCTACCTATGCATATGCAGACTTGATCTTCATGTTGTGCAACCAACCTGTTCCTCTCCGTCGTCGATTTATGCGCAAGTCTCGGACTGATGCTCTCGACAAGTTGCTTGTTGCCCCCCCCATTTCCCATTGCGGCTGACGGGGGTCAGATGGGGGGTTTATTCGACGTGATGTTGGGGGAGATACTGTAGTTGTACGTACCTACCGTGTAGTCTACGATGCTTACCTGATTGCTCCCCCAATCTGAATCTCCCATATCGACTACCTACCTCTTACCTACCTGTATGACTGTTCCAGTTTCAACTCTTCTCTTCCCTCCACCATCCTGTCCTCCCACCACCTGCACGGGGGTCATCGCCGCCGCCCTCGTTCTTCGACTACTCCCCCTCGGCTTTACAGGGTAAGCCAGATGTAGATGGCGGCATGCCCTGCGTGTGCACCAGCAGTCCAACCCCCATCCACGATGGATCTCGTTGCAATCCCAGCGCAAACGCGGCGAAGCTCGCGCTTTTCATGGCCGACGCTTGAGAGAATGGGGTAACTCTCGATCTTTTTGTTTTTTTCACATAAGACGACAGGGCCGCGACGCGGGGAAGACAAAAACCGAGGAGATGATGGAAAAATTGCCTCTCTCTCTCTCTCTCTCTCTGTCTCGCATTCACTTCATCTTGCTTCTGGGCAGCTTGAATCTTCAAGGTAGTACACGGTACCTAGTCGACAGGAACTGAACAAATAAACGTGGCTCTGGCTTGCCATGTCGTGTAAGTCATCTGCTCACAACCACTACCAAAAAAAAAAAAAAAAAAAAAAAAAATAAAGAACATGAGCTGCAGCTAACAAGAACTCCTCCCAATCGTCCAGCCAAGCACTTTGTCAACGAGCCTCTGGCCCTCGTCAATGCCGCCCTCCGCTCGGCCACATACACCAACCCCTCCGTCGCCTTTGACGCCGCGCAAAAGACCGTCTTCCTCCGCGATGCTGCTTCCCAGCCCACCATCGCCCTCATCTCCGGAGGCGGCTCGGGCCACGAGCCGTCCTTTGCGGGCTTTGTCGGCAAGGGCTTCCTGACTGCCGCCGTTGCGGGCTCCGTCTTCGCCTCACCGTCTGCAGAGCAGGTCTTCCGCGCAATCCGTCGCGTGGGCGCAGAGCAGCCCCAGCGAGGCGTCCTGGTGCTCATCATGAACTACACTGGCGACATGCTGCACTTTGGCATGGCAGTGGAAAAGGCCCGCGCCGAGGGCATCAAGACTGAGCTCCTGGTTGTGGGCGATGATGTTGGCGTTGGCCGGAAGCGTGGAGGGCGCATTGGCAGGAGAGGTCTGGCTGGAACGGTTCTCGTGCAGAAGATTGCCGCCGCTGCTGCTGCTCAGGGGTAAGTTTGAGCTCTGTGATCGATCTTAATCCAACACATGGTTGAGTTGTTCTTTTTTTTCTAACATGTTGCGTGATTCTTCTCTTGCGAACAGCCAATCCCTCGAGCAGGTCTCTCAAATTGCAAGCCTTGCTTCTGAGAATCTTGCCACTGTCGGCGCCTCTCTATCTCATGTTCATGTGCCTGGTCGCGAAATCACGCCTGACGAGCTCGGAGATGAGATTGAAATCGGCATGGGCATCCACAACGAGGAGGGCTTCGCACGTGTCAAGACGACCCTGAAGGGCCTCGTCGAGACTATGCTCAAGCAGCTCCTCGATCAGTCCGACAGTGACCGCGCTTACATCAACGTCAAGTCCGGCGATGAAGTTGTCGTCATGGTGAACAACCTTGGCGGTATCAGCCCTCTTGAGCTTGGCGCCATCACGACAGAGGTCATCGACCAGCTCGATGCCTCCTATCAGATCAAGCCCGCAAGGTTACTCAGCGGCACTTATATGACCAGCTTAAACGGCCTCGGATTCAGCATTACCATTCTCAAGGCGACGGACAAGGCCATCTTGCCCCTAATCGATGCTCCTGCCGACGCTGCTGGCTGGTCACCGGCAGTCAGTCCCGAGAACTGGGCCCGAGGCATTGACACCACCAAGTCCGAGATCAAAGAAGACGCCCCAACTGCGGACGACTCAGCCCCCAGCAACCTTGATCGTAAGTCCCCCTTTCCTCCCTTAACCTGCTGCATTAAGAAATCGAAGTTTGACCAACATTTGGGATCAGTGGACGCTGCTTTCACAACTGCCAAGCTGCGGTCAGCACTCAAGAGCCTAATCGCCGCCGAGCACGAAATCACCAAATTCGACACCATTGTCGGAGACGGCGACTGCGGACTCTGCCTCAAAACGGGTGCCGAGGCCGTGCTCAAGCACCTCGATGCCATCTCTTCTTCGTCTTCTTCTTCTTCAGCAGCAGCAGCAGCAGGAGGAGACCTCGACATTGTCCACTTCGTCCGAAACATAGCCCAGGTCATCGAGTCAAACATGGACGGCACTTCGGGCGCCCTCTACGCCATCTTCGTCAACGCCCTGGCTTCCGGCCTCCAGAGCCAGTCGTCATCTTCCTCCTCCTCCAGCAGCAGCAGCCAACAAAAGACCGCCGTTACCGCAAAGACGTGGGCGACTGCTCTCCAGGCAGCCGTCAAGAGCTTGGCCAGGTACACGCCCGCTCAGCCCGGTGATCGCACCGTCGTGGATGCGCTGGTGCCCTTTGTCGACACCCTCGCCGAGACGCTCGATGTCGGCAAGGCTGTCGCAGCGGCGAGGAAAGGCTCGGACTCGACAAAGGGCATGGAGGCTAGCTTGGGCCGATCAGTCTATGTCAATGCCGAGGGATGGAGCGAGTGCCCTGATCCGGGCGCCCATGGTCTCGTCAAGCTGTTGGAGGGCTTCCTGGTGTAGGGTAAAAACCGGGGTCTGGCAGGGTTTTAACATGTCGTGGTGCCATAGAGTTGTATATAGGAGTAAAAGAACTCAGACATTGCCCTATAGAGTGATCTACAACTAGAATGTGCAGCCACATCAGTTTCAACATCATGATACTCGGATGTTTCGTTGATACATGTATAGACAGCTGTCCTACCTGTCTAACTCGTATATCGAGTCCTTCCCCACTCCTGATATATTGCAAAACTGTACATGGGCCCTCAAAAAGCTGAAGGTTGGGCTCTGCTGACAAGTACTTGCACATGCGAGTCGATCAACAAGGGATTTTCTTTGAAACTGGACACCTTCTCCTCCCTTCTCAGCTTTCCACGGCTATTTCCCCCGTACAATATTAACCCCCAACCAGCTCCAAAGCTCCTCTCCCTGCGCTAACAACTCTGAATAGTACTTGACGCCAGAAGAAACAAACCCGCTTGCATGCCATATTACTACTAGTAGCCCCCAAAGGACGGCAGACATGGATCTGGGATTCCGTTCCCCGCTAGCGAAGCCTCCACAAGTCCCACGCTCGCCTCGTCTTTTTGCTTGGGCTTGTCAGACTCGAGAGCCCCCCCTGGTCTCCCTCTCCCCCCCCACGCCCCACAAAGCGAGGCCAAACGTTTGTTTCGTCCACAACAGCCGCTTCCCCGTCAAATGACGATGGATAGAATTCGTCTGCCTGTTGCTGGTGGTTCGAGTAGCTTGAGAATACTAGAGGCATATGGTGGAGGCAGGGTGAGTACTACCAGGCACTAGGTAGGTAGGCGAGTACTTGTAGCACCCGATTGTGCTCGTGCTGGCACCGCCTAAGCCAGTGCGTCGAGCTTCTTCTCCGTCTCGACCAGCTCGGCAAAGCCCTGCATCTGCGCCTCCAAGGCCTTGCCCTCGAGAAAGGCGCAGGGCTTGCGAGGCTCGCCGCCGTAGCCATAGTACCTCCGCAGCGCCGCCTTGACCGAGACGAAGCCGCCCTTGATGGCGGTCCAGTCGCCGCCGGCAACGATCCCCTGCAGCAGCGTCGCCTCCTCCGTCTTGCCCTGAGCCCACAGCCGCATCACCTCGGCGCATGCCTTGGGCGCCACATTGGCCAATCCCGCGATGACGCCGTGCCCGCCCACGGCCAGGGTCTGGACGGCAAAGTCGGCGCTGCCGCCAAAGGTCCTGAATGCTGTCCCACGTGTGCCGGCGACAACACGAGCCAGCTTGCCTGTGTTGCCGCAGGTCAGCTTCACGCCGACGATGTTGGGGTGCTCGGCCAAGGCCAGGATGGTGTCTGAGCTGAGATCCAGTCCACTGCATGCGCCGGGGAAGTTGTATATCAAAAGGGGGACTGGGCTCGCATCGGCCACGGCCTTGAAATGCAGCATGATGAGATCGGTGGACAGCAGGCTGCCGTAATACGCTGGCGGCAGCACGAGGGCGTGTGTGCCTCCAGATTCGGCAGCCTCACGGCAAAGCTGTATGGTCTCCCGCGTGGATTGGCTGCCGCATCCAACAATAAGGGGCATGTCACGTTTTCCAGCAGCATCCATAACGGATCGCGTAATTCGGGTAACGAGTTGTCGTTCGGCGTGATCGAGATGGACGGCTTCGCCGTTGGAACCGTGGGTCACGATGCCGGTGACACCGGCTTCAACCAAGCGCTTCGCGTGTGCTGCTGTTGTCTCCTCGTCGATGCTGTCTTCGGCAGTGAAGAATGCCACTGTGGGCACGTACAGGCCTGGTGCCAGAGGCGCTGTAGGGGTACATGCTCCCTGGTTCGACCCGTCGTGGCTGGAGAAGCCATTGACTTCGTTAGAAGCTGTCATTGGGGTGAATCTGTGAGTGACCTGTGGGTATATGACGGAAGATGGGGAAAATAAAACAAGAATAGGTATCCCCAAAGTGCTGATGCTCAAGGAGAAAGAAAGAAAAAACTACACGCGAAGTCAAGAACCCGAAGAGTAGGACGATCTTACATCGACAAGGTCAAAATGTCAATTTGGGGGGGAGGGGGGCTTTCTCCATGGATATACTCGTAGCCGTTCACAAGGGGGCAGTGTCTGATATATAGTAATACCACAGCACCTCAGCCGGATCAGCACCGTTACGCCAATGGCTGGTGTCCCCTGATGGATAGTCAAACCTTGTGAAATCGGGTGGTTGCTCTGTTTTGCTTGTAGTATACGTCCCCCACGATGAACCCTGGCTGAGCCGCGATCCGCTTCCCCCCACGGAGACGAGATGCTGCTCCAGCCAGCCAGCTGCCTGCTGTACCGTGTGCATAAAAAGGCGGGCATAAAAACACATAAAAGCGCCCCCCCGACTCTCTCACCTCTCCTTCATACCCAAGGCAGACATGAGCAGCAGGGTAATACTGCGCGGAGTACACACTCCCGGTGTGTACTCGGGACACGGGGCCAAATAGGAAAAAGCACAGAGGGAGACAGAAGAAAGAGATTCGCTACCTTGCCGTTACCCCACACAGCCAACTCGTCCCACGGGACCACTCCGTCAGCCATCGGGGCCTGGTTCCATGTGTCCAGCAGAGCTTGTGTGTGTGCTGCTCCACGGAGCTTTCCTGTACCTAGCAGGCGTGGATCCCATGCGATCGGTCGGGTCCCCCTATGACATTAGCAGACCGGGGGTACGGGAGGGGACGGAAGCTTGGGGGAGGTGGGCTGAGCTGGGAGGTGATCGCCCAAGGAGAAAAGAGAAGGAAAAAGAGGAGGACCGAATGCGGGGGAAGAGGCCGCCTGGCCTGGCCTGCGTCCGAATCGGCAGCAGCTTCGTATTATTTGGGCGTGCGTCGGTCGTCGACCTGCTGCTACTGGCTGCCAGCAGGGTAGGATTGATGCCTCCGCATTGCATCTGCTGAGCACTTGCTGTGTCACCGGCAGCGGCTCACTTTGCACTGGGCCTATTCCAAGCAGCGGCCGATGTGACATTCCGCCAAGGGCAGCAGCCATATGCACAAGGGCGCCCGTTAAATGCTCGCGCTGCTTCCTTCGACGTCGAGGGGGAGGCTCCACAGCTCGAAAACCGGGAGAGCGTCTCGCAAGCAGGAAAATCAAAGGGAGAGAACAGTATGGGGTAATGGGGCAGCGTCTTTTTTCCCGGTCCCTCCTCTTCTGGCTTTTGCCTCTTGCTGCCCCCTCCCTCCCCCTTCCCTCCCCGGCACAACAACACCCAGGCCCGGCCCCCAAAAGAGCTTGCCGGCTCCCATTTCTCGTGAGATGGTAGCTGCGAGAAATCGGCGGGACCAGCACCTTGCTCGGATGGAGCCGTGCCTTGAAAAGCTGTTTCCGTTACTCTAGACTTACCTAATCTCTGTCCACGGACGAGCGGTCGTCGTTCTAGTAAGGCCTAGCAAGGGGGGCGCATCGCCGAGTTGTCGGACACCTGCTCGAGGCTTGTTGGTCTGTCTCCAGAGCCCCAAAAGTCAAATTGGATCCAGCTTAATATCATACCCCCTCCCCCACGCGCATCCAGCTGCTGCGGGAGTGCAGGGCACAGCTAAGCCAACGTGTACCAAGGCCATTAGAGCGGCAAAATGGTACATATACCTCACTGCCGTGCTCCGTCGTCTTTTGCTTGAATAGGTTAAAAACACGACCATGCCCCCAGTCCCCGAGGGCGCCTTCTCTGCCTTCACTTTTGCTCCCGTCAGCATCGTGTGGTGTCTTGTCGTCTCTCGGGTCTGGGGCTTGTCGTCCTGCCACATGAGTTCCGGAGCAACATGCGCCGCGAGCCCTGCTGAGCCGTTGTGTCTCTCGCATATCACTGGTGACAATGAGCATCCACGAAGCATCTACAAGTGATGACGGGTCGACGACAATGTCAATGGCGGCTCCTGGAGGCCAGGCCCGCGGCCCTGCCCTGGTGCTCCCTCCGCTCGTCCTCGACAATTCAATCCCCAACCCCTCGGCCGTCATAGCTGGTCGTTCGATGCATCAGATCCAGCTCGAGATGGAGTACGACGCCGAAGAGAGCGACAATGATGCCGATCAAGGCCCCTCAATACAGGGTTGGCCTGGAGGACTGGATCGGCACGCAAGCGACCATCCCGACGAGGCAAGCGACCTAGCCATGAGAGAAATGCACGCCCTTTGCGTCTTTGACGACGTGTCCGTGCCGCCATCCGCGCGGCCGTGGTCATACCTCATCGAGGCCCTGGGGCCCCTTCCTACCGTCCGCAGATGGGGGAGGTGGCGCTGGCGGGAGGAGCCTGCATTCGCTGAAGTTCGAGTAGCAGAAGCAATCATGATGTACGAGAGGGGCATAGAGCAGAACACCAGCGACAGACGCTGCAGTCGTTGTCGGGCCGGCCAAGGCATCTCCCCCCAGTGCGTCGTGGCCCCGGAGGGCATTAGTGAAGCGCAAGGGGTGACGGGCCCGTGTAGCAACTGTCTTTATGATGGAGTCGAGCACGCCTGTAATGCGTCTGGCAGGAGGACGCCCGTGTCAGGCGGCCGGGATCGAGTCGGCGAGAGTATGAGGGATCCGGACAAGGTGGTGGACCACATGGCCGTGCTCGAGATGATTGCCCATCTCAAGAGGCCATCGGGTACGCGGAGAGACCACAGTCTCATGGAGCGAGCGAGGAGGATCGAGGCAGCGGCCTTGCAAATTGCCCAAGCGGCACGGGAATGGCGAGAGAGGATGGCGATTCAAAGCTGAGAGGGACTCAGCTGATGGAGAATGGAACACACGATATAATGGATCGATCCTCGCCTAATAATCGGCCATGTCGGCCTGGATCAGCTTCCATGCTGGCGTTGCAGAGGGACAGGATCATGGTTGGGGATGGGGATGGGGATGGGGATGGGGACTAGGACTAGGGTCATGGACAGGAACTGGCATAGGTTATAGGCACATATCGATACATGATAATGAATGAATGAACGAACAATGGACGAACGAACAGACCCTCATGGAAACGAACGAACGACGACAAGACCACCAGCCTGCTGAAGAGGGGAAAAGGAGCCCCCCGATGCGTTGCTCGCCTCGTCCGCATCCCCCTCATCGAAACTCGGCCACCGGTTGGTTCGCTCTCATGCAGCCACAGACAAGCCCTGGCTTAGCACGACACGCTCGATGTTTGCGTTGTTGCGTATGTTGAATGCTGGAGTCATCTTGGCTGAATGGGAATGATTTTGGCAGGGGCTGAACAATAGAAAAGAGGGTTTGACTTGAAGAAAGCGAATTGTATGACGAGGAAGAAAAGAAGAGAAGTGAATAAAGGCAAAGAACAGAGATGAGGCAGGTGGTTGAGCTCTGATGGCTGAGGGCAGGTGCGCGCCTCGTGGTGGCCGGTTGTGGTTGCCAGGGTTCCGGCTGGATGGATACATGTATAAAATAATCCACAGAATAAATTCATGTGCTCGACTCTATGTTTTGCCCACCAGAAGCGGCAGAACTATTGAGCAACAGAGCGAAAACCGACAATCAAAGCCTGACTACCGCAAGACGGCTGCAGAGGAGAAGAAATAGGAGGAAGACAAAGAAGAAGAAGAAGAGGAAGAGGAGGAGGAGGAGGAGGAGGGAGAGGAGGGAGAGAAAAGCAACGGAAAAGCAGAGACGCAGCAGGACTGGGATGCGGACGACTCAAGAGGCTCTCGATGCGTGGCGTTCCAAAAGGTGCGGCTGCAGGGCCCTGCCTGGTTGCATGTCCCAAACTTCCCGGTTTCCCTCCATCCTCCTTCTACCAGGGTCGTGGTCGAGTGCACTGCACGGAGCAGTGGTGGCGCCCCTACATGCGTGCTCGTGTATGGGTTGTCCGTGTATGTATGCTTTCCTTTTCGGATATCCTGTGATCAGCCCCCCGGCCACACACAGCGCACACACGAGCGATGCTAACGCAGCCGCCTTTGGCTGGCCCTGCCCATGCTGCCACAGCCTGACGACGAGCAGCATATGCCTGCTATAGCCGCCCATCTGGCCTCGCTACTCGGCGCCTGAGGTTGGCCCCATTAAGCAGAGCATCGGAGACCAGACCGAGGGGGGGGGGGGGGGGCTCGACAAATTTCGACGCAGATGATCTTGTATCACGTTGAGATGCCCCGGACGCCTGCTGTCAGATTTACTACAACAAGGTAGCCGGGCTGACGCTGAGCGACCGCACGACGCAGCTTTGGCAGACGCTGAGACCCATGGCTGTGTGATTTGCAGGGATCAACGGACGATCTACCAGCTACGGAGTACATCCGAGGCGTACAGGGCAGAGGCATGCCTCTGCATGACAATGCGGGGAGGCGAGGCTTCAGTCGGCATTGCCAGGCTCGATTCGTTCTCGTTCCGCACTCGCTGTGAGCGAGCCGTGGACTTTCCGCTCGACGCTCTCCCGGTCGACGAACAGTCGAGGAAAGGCTGAGATATGGTAGCACCAGATGGACGAGTAAACATGCCTTGTTCTTGACAAGCTTGGCAGGGGCATCTCCAGATGCTGCTGCTATGTTCACAAGGCAGCTGCTGGGCCATGTGTTGTTGTCTCGTGTTGTGTTTGTGTTGAATTGGCAATCAACGGCCAAGCAGAGACGAGGCTGTGATGCGGCGCCCTGCAGAGATTTTACTTGCAGGGTTACAATGGATCTCCATGTTACGAGGGTGCGACGCCCGCAAAATTCTCATCACCAGCATATCTTACTGTTGCGACATCATGCATTCTGGGAGGTTGACATGGGTCATGATGTTCTCGGGATCAAGAGTCAGATGGAGGCTGGGTAGCTGGACCTGCCGCTGTTGATGATTCCCAGGAGTCGCCCTCCTAAAGGTTCCTTGAGCACCAAGGATGGAGCAACTGGAGAGAGGGCAAGCCGATGCAGCCAGGATTTTTTATGCGTTGATTGGTTATTGTCTTTTTCCTCCTTGTTTCCGGAGCTTCACTATGGTCCCCTGGACCTCGGGACATTAAAGCCCGAGTAAAGACGGCCATTTAGGTGTATAGTAAGCATGTTTTGCCATGCCTCTCTTTCCAGAAGCAGTTGCCTCACAACAGCTGCTTACAGACGGCCAAATGCTAGCTAGAGTTCGGGAACGTCGTGCGACCGGATATCGGTAAGTTTGCGTATGTACTGGGAAATGACTGTCCCAAGAAGCTTGATGGAATGTATTTGCGTAGCGGGTGGCCATGTCGCCAACTTTGCTGGATGAGTAGTAGATATGGAGCATTAGAGCCGTCCATTGAGCCAGTAGTGATGATAATAGAATTGAGATGTTGAAGACGGAGTGTAGAGGCGGAGAATTGAAGAGAATAAGGGCCAATGTTGATAGAATCTTTCTGATCATCTGGGCAGATAATGCTGGAGATTCGAGATAAAGCCGTAGCCGTTTGAAAGGAGGCACCGCACCAATGAAGTTCAGAGCCACTTCTACCTTATGTTCAGAGCCACTACTATCTGTACACGGACATATATACCAAAGTCTGGATCATCTTACTTACAATATATAAGCAAGGAGTGAGGGTGGAATCTGCGATGGTTTGGGACATGGCAAATGGTCCATGAGGAAGAAGACTGGCTGGTCAGCGGCTTGAGATGTTGCTACGGTTCCAAATGAACAAAAAAGGTGACATAATAATGGCCTGCATGCAGCAAATTCCTGATTCTAGAGATAATCACGGCCTGTAGTCGTAAACGTCAGTGTTCTTGGACTACCTCTGTTCATTCACCAGAGGCTGGGTAGATGCAATTTCGTCCCATCCATCGCTGGTCCACTGTCCTTGGCGAGGAAAGACTGCCAACAAACGGCCAAAGTGAGGACGAGGTGAGCTGCAATGACTCCCCTACCGTGCTTTGCCATCTGTCCAACTGCCAGGCAGCCTGAGTCTCTGCTCCAACACTTGTCTACCCCCCCTTGACCCAGCTGCTCAGTTGTCGAAAGCCAGTGAACGGTGCCATTGTGCGCAGCTGCAAGTTGGTGAACAGTAAATTCTGCCGCAGATTGCGAAGCTGAACGCGCACCGCCCGGCACTTTCTCATCCTTCTCCCCTTCTTCCTTCTCGTCATCGTCTTCTCCCCCTGCAATCCCTCTCTCTCCTCTCTGCTGCACAGCATCACTCCTTTTTGGCCAGACCAGAGGAAGCATCACAGTCCAAACACACATTTGAAAGTTCAACTACGCACCACCAACTAACAACTCCAAGCATGTGTCTGCAGTACATTGTCAAATGCAGATTCTGCGGCGCCTGGAGACACTACAACTGGGACCGCTGCGCCGAGAACAGACAGCTCCTCAAGAAGGGCTGCGCTGTCGGCCTCCCATCCCAGCACCCCTCTGAATGCGAGCAGTTCCCCGAAAACAACCGCCAGCGCCTCAAGCGCCACATGACCGTCTACGAGTGTCCGACCAAGGAGTGCAAGAGCACCGACATCGCGGCCAAGCTCTTCGAGGAGCGCGCCAAGGCCGAGGCCGCCAGGGCTGCTGCTCTGGCAAAGGCTCGAGCGGAGTGGGAGGCCAAGGACAAGGCCAGGAAGGCCGAGTTTGCTGAAAAGTGGTTCAAGAAGATTCCTGTCGTCAAGGCGAGCGAGAGGCGGGAGTCGTTTTTGAGTCTGCCTCCTGGGGATGCTGCTGCTGCTGCTGCTGCTTCTGCCACTGCGTCTTCGTCAACGGAAGTCGCACAGATCCAGGTAAACTACCACGCCGAGGGCTTGGGGTCAAGTGCGATGTTCGAGGTCGATGTTCTAACATGGTACTGCAGCCCGAGAAGAACCCTGTGCCGTTCACGGGCATGCCCCATCAATGGCGTGGCGAAGAAGCCCTGACTCTTGTCCAAATGGCGGAGCAGTCCATGCATAGCCAAGTCTTTGAGAGCAGCGACGAAGACGACTTTTCATCCGCATCCTCAGAGATTGAGGTCTCGGCCTTTTCCAGATATATGGGAGCAATCACCATCAAAGATGATGACGAGGTCAAGAAAAGGAGAAGGGCCATTGAGTTTGGAGACGACGGAATGCCCATCGGGTCCGTCACGCCTTAGACGCCTGAAACATCATCCAATATGCCGACGCCTTCGAAAAGATACGAGATATACTTGACTGGTGCCCTTGAGACCCAGCTCCATTGGCAAATACCAGTGGATGGTTTGCTTGCAGGAATCACAACGATCTAAACATAGGTAGGTGGGCTTATCACCACCTGCTCATAGACTTTGAGCATATGGGCTAACATCTCACATAGTCTGTCATTGCCAGGGAAGGGGAATTATACACACCCTTTGGACTGTTGAAGCTACACAACACACATTTTGAAAGCACATACGTGATATGCAGCTGGTATGACGGCGGCCATCTATGAGCTTTGTTCTATATCACGGCCGATGAGGATCATGACCAGCTTAACAACATGATGATTTGAAGGAAACGGGTCTGACAAGGCAGGCTGTTACTTGATGCTTCGAACCAACATAGGGAGGGGAACAGTGCGATTATACCCAGCCTGATATGGCCATCTACCTAGGTACTAATGAAGCGGGATGAGCATCTTCAGAATGCTCATCGTGATACAATGCTGAAAAAAATGCATGATATGCAACTCTATGTACCAGATTTATTTCATGGCTTGGTGAGTGCTGTCAGTGATCGTGTTGAGCCTCTCTTACCGGGGATCGGGATATTCTTTGTGGACCCCTTGCTGACCCACGACTTGTTCAATGCATCGACCACGACACACGGACATTGTCATGCTCACCGGCTTTACCCTTTGGAACTTGTGGCTTCAATCCGTGAGAAGGACTGTACAGAAGCCTGGCAAATTTGCGCGTAAATGGTGCTTTCAACGGATGATAAGCCATTGATGCGCATCATCGTACCTTATGGATCTTGATATGTACATCATTCTATGTACCTTACATACATAGTAGCGGACCGCATGTCTCGCTTTGCACCGCCGCAGGACATTGTCCGTGTTCTGCAGCAAACCACAGCTGGCTGTTCTCTAATCGCTTGCTAGGCCGACAAGGACGGAGCACCGCGTCTCGCTAACAGGCGAAGTCAGGTCCATGACCCCTGACTAAGGTAGGTACAGCGATAGTAGTAATGCGGGTGCTCGTGTGCCAAGAGCTGGTAGTATGTATAACCTGGTATGGATCTGTTCCATGAGCGGTCAAAGCTGGGAAAAGGTCTGTGTGGCGGCTGGGAGTGTTGCCCGGACTGGTGTCGCCTGCGATGCCACCCAGCTGGAGTATCTGCTAGTACTTGTGCGTGAGAAGGCTGTTGTTCACCGCATCTTGGTCAGGGAGGAGAAAGAGCAAGATATACAAGACAATTCTCGATACTACATACCTTGACTCAGAATCGTCTCTTCTGGAACAGGCACCAGAAGTCCCTCTCCCCCTATTCTCTCTCTCTCCCCCCCACTCGACAAAGGCCAAACCAGCCCAAGCGTCCGAGATCCATCTGCAAGGTCCCCCATCAGCGGCATTTTGTCGCCCAACCAGCCATCAAATGAGAGCGTCGACAAAAAGCCTCGCTGTTCCCGTTCGGGCAATCGGCTCGTACCTTGTTTGCATCAAGGTCGGCTAGCAGGATTTTAGTGGTGATGGGGAACAATGCGAGTCCAGGAGAAGGAATGGAAGGCCGGAAACTCCGTAGTATGTAGTACTAAGCAGGACACTGGTGAAACTCTCTGCTGGCTCTTTTTTTTTCTTCTAATACCTACTATGGGCACCGACTCCTTGTTTGTTTTCCTTCTCTACCTCTCTCTCCTTCTTTGACCCCTCTCCTCCCTCTCTTCTACCCTCGTCTCTCTCTCTCTCTCTCTCTCTTGTTTGGTCCTTTCCTTGCGGCAATTGATTGTATCACTCATTCGTTAGCTGGACGCGACATTGATTTGTCCCTCGTCTTGCCATCTATTATCTAGTCCCTCTCGACGCGTCCTACAATTCAACAACCCTCGAGGTTCAAACGAAATTTTCTGGATTTCCAGGCCCACCAATTGGCAGTATCCAGGAAGCGAAAAGAAGACGATACAAGCATAATGCACGCCATTGCCCTCCTCGGCGCCGCAGCCGCGCTCTGCAGCCCTGCCATGGCCATGCCCAAGGCCACCCCCGAGCCTCAACTGGCAGCCCTCGACCTCGCTCGCCGCGCCAACATCGAGCCCCGAGCCGATCCCACGGCCCCCTGGGTCACCGTCGGCGACGAGGGCAAGCCCGTCAAGACCATCACGCCCTCCATGACCACCATCAGCGGCACGCCCACGCTGGTCAGCGTCGCGCCGCACGACATCACCGCCTCGGTCTACACCTGGACCACCTGGGGCTCCATCACCACCAGCACCGGCCGCCCGCCAAACCCCACGGCCACGTCCAAGGACGGCGAGGGCGTCTTCTCGCGCTGCTACAACAAGGATGGCGACGACGCGCCGTTCTGCTCGCCCTACAATGCCAGCACCCTGCTGACGGGCAACACCTACTACAGTGAGTGGGACACTTTGGACATTGACATTGGGAAGAAAAGGGACAAATAGTGAAGGATTCGAGAGATTACAGTTGACTAACAACAATTGCCCTTGCTTTACACACACACAGTCACCTGGGACCCCGACTACTACAACAAGACGGGCGTCAAGACGTCCAACTCGACGTACGAAATCACCGTCCGCCTCGACTTCCTCAACAAGACGAGCAACGAATTCGTCAAGCTCAAGACGTTTGACCAGGACCGCGTGCCCACCTCCTGGGGCGTCTTCCCCCTCAAGGTCACGGGCGACATGCTCAAGGGCCAAAAGACCAACAACGTCACCATCACGCTGCAGGTCGCCCCGCGCGGCTCCAAGGACAGCAACAGCTCCATCCCCCTGCACGTCGCCTTCCAGGACCCGGCCCTGCCCTCGAACCCCGAGCCCCAGGTGCCCAAGGGCCGCACCCTGTCCATTGCCCTGCCCGTCGCCCTCGGCAGCGTGCTCTTCATCGTCATCGGCGTCTTCCTCTGGAACCGCAGCGCGCGCCGCATCCACCTCGGCAGCATCATGGGCCGCTCGCGCCACGGCTACAGCGGCCGCAAGGCCCGCCGCAACTTGTTCCGCGGCCAAAAGGACGCCGCCAGCATCCAGCTGCACAACGCAGACGACCACCTGTCCGACGGCGAGTATCACGACGCGCCCATCTCGGGCCGTCGGGACAGCGAGGCTCTGGGCAGCTTGGCGGGGACGCCCGTCCACGAGAACTTTGACGGCCAGGGCACCAGGGGAGGGGCTCGGAATGCTTTCCGGGACGAGCTGGACCGACAGCACCAGGAGAGGCGCGGATTCTAGACGACATCATAATGGCGATGGATGACAAAACAAAACAAGGGGGGAGGAGGATGGATCGTGATCCCGGTGGTCATGAGACTGACGTGACTTGATGTTACATGATTCACGAAGCATCAACGTTGGCTTGCATTGTTTGAGAGATGATGATTTGTACGTTGGCTAGATGTCATGACGAAAGTAATGCGTTTAATGAAGAGGAGACGTGGGAGAAGAGAAGAGTTTACAAGACACAGAAGATCAAAATCAAGTAACCACGAATACACTACTCTCTAATAGACCGCCATTGCTCTGACAGCATCTTCGGTAATAGATTCCGGTACACTTACAGAGGTGCATAAACTAGCTGGCAGCATGCGATACGATTTCATCATTCAAGACCTGATGATAGGCACTGTTATCGAATCATACAAATAGTAAGAAAAGAGATTTGGCGAGAACCGCAGTTCTCAAGCTCACTAAAACGCCGATTTTCCTAACCCTTTCTTTTGCCCTTTGCCGTCTCCCTCTCTATCAATTCATCGTTCAAGTCCAAACTCCGTCGTTGCAACGAGTCAAGTTGACCCCTCTGACGCTTTCCCGGTGTCAGTCCATGCTGTCACGCCCGGCATCGCCGAGTTGACTTTTCAAAAAAATATCATTGCCAATTCCTGCAAACTCGACCCATTCCCGTCTCCGTGTTCTCCGTTCGCCGACGGAAATTGTTCCTCAGAGACCCTTTCATTACCATTGAATTCCGTATTACCCGCCGGATAGTAAAGTTGCATATGCTTTCGGAAGAGAGAATAAAAGTAGAGGACAAAATAACCATAGATTCAGCCCTTTCTTCACCGATACCAGATCGTCAGCCCTAGGGTTAAAAAAAAAAAAAAAAGAAAGAGGAAAAAAAAAAAAAAAAAAAAGAGAGAGGGTAGAGTCTATGATGAAAGAAAAGTCCTCAGTCAAGTCGAGGGTGTTTGGCAATGATCTCTTCCGAAACATCCATCTCCATCGGCCGCTTGAGCGCAAGGCCCGATGGTGGTCCAGTCGACGAGCTCTCGCCCTTAGTCTGCAATCCTCCCTCGTGCTGCTTATTCCCAGGTTGCTCGTCGTCGTTGTCCTCATGCCCATTATAGCCAACACACAGGTCAAGTCTTGCCTCTCCTTCCCCCAGAGCCCGCATATACTCTTCTGGAATGGCCGTGGCCAACTGGCAACTCGACTCACATGGCTGATACGTGTCGGATGTCCATTCGCTATCTGCATAGTTTTTGGCCTCGGCCAGCGTATATCCAGTACTGAAACCCTCGTGGTACGCATCTGGCAGTATGACAATGGTTTCACCAGGGCGCTGATCAACGATCCGGTACGGAATCCCCATCTTCTGAAGCTTGTCTGGGAAGAAGAACTCGGCTCGGTGGCGCATGAATTGCGAGCACCTGCCCTTCCGATTTAGGGCCTCCTCAGCCAGGTCAACTGCCGTGGACGGAACCACGACCCATATCTTCCGGCCCTTGTACAAATGGTTCAACGACGAAAGGCGGAAATCCTCAGCATGAAGCTGAAAGGTCGCTCCAAAATGCTGTGCTGATTCGTACACATAGGGCGTATGTACTCCAGGGATAATGGCTTTTGTATGATCGAGCTTGTCGCCAGCCAGGGGGTGGATTGGGCTTCGTTCCGGAACACCGGCTTCCAGTCTCTGCTTCGCAGTCCACGCTGGGACGTCAACCCTATAGCGAATATGTCGCAGTTGCTTGTCAATGCTCTTGTTGAAGAGCTTCTTCAACCTCTTGAAACATTCGTCCGGGGTTGCCGAAAGCTCGGCATCTGGCTCTGAAGAAGAAAAGGTACCATCGCTTGGAACTGTGGCAACCTGCCAAAAGGTCCGATGATTCGTTTGCCGAATCCTATACGCATTGGCGAGAGCTTGTTGAGACTTCTTTTCCGGAAGCGGTTCCTGAAGTTCCTCGGGCAGCACAATCTTGAAACAACCATCCTGCTCAGCGTGGAGGCTCTGTGCAAAAGACAGCAGTGCTGGGAAATCGTTCCACTGCTCGGGCGTTGGCCGCAGATGTAGAATCCGATGCCCGGGGGGGCCGTCATAAGAGAACGCTATTGGAGGAGCTTCAAGCTCACTCAAGGGCGAACTAAGTCTACTGCATCTTGACAGAGGAGAGCTGTTATTGTCCGTAGAGCTGCCAAATCTCAGCAGCTCAACTTCATCAATCGGCTTCTCTGGCGGGGGAATCGGATAAGGGGCGCCGATAGTTTCTAGCTTCTCCCTTTGCAGGGTTTCAACATGTTCGTGAAGTGCTTCGTGAGCTGGTATCTGATCCATTGGTGATGATGTAGGCAATGCTTCGAGGGCCAGTGTCGACTGAGTTGTTGCTTCAGGTAAAGGATGCATCGATGTCACTGATAAGCTGACGGCCGACGCGGGGAATCGTTGTTGAGGTTCTTCAGTCGACTGCGTGAGAGGTTCAGAGTAGGAAGTTGGGTTCTTATCCTCTTTCTGAACGAGTCTCTCGTTTTCAGTTCCTGGGCTAGCCCACTCGGCTCCTCTTTCGAGAGGAACACAAGACGAAGGCGCAGACAAAGAGTGAGATACGTTCAACTCTGAAGGGCTTTGCTCTAGGCGGTTTTTCATGTTCCGAACCACATCGCAGGCAGCCTCGGTGGCCTCCTCGTGACTAGAAATCCTCTCCATGATTCTCATGAAATTCGTATCCTGGATGTCGCTGAGCCTGTGAGTGGCTAACGGAGTACCGGTCGACGGCCCTCAAGTCGCTAGGAGAACCAAAGGCTGAAAGGCAGGCTGATCCTGTGTCAACCTTGACCGTATTGCGTCGCTCCAAGCTGTACTCAAGATCAAGAGAAGATATGGACAATTTGTGGAGGAAAACGGCGAAGTTGTTGGTTCTGGGTCGGCAAGGCTGAAACAGGCCGCGGCCGTGTTGAAGAAGAGTGAGGCTGATTCCCGCCCACCTCGCAAAAGAAAAAGAGAGGGCACGGGTAGCTGCACCTTGAGCAAACACGATTCGCGAGGAGAATCAACCGGGAAGGAAGAGAAAATCGAGGGAAAAAAAAGAACAGTGCAGAGGGCGCTGCTTTTTTTTTTTTTTTTTTTTTTTTTTTTTTTTTTTTTTTTTTTCGAAAAGTAGAGTGAAGTCTTCCTTGTACTTGCGTTGAGAAATCCCCTACTTTAGAGAGGAGAGAGAGACAGAGAGAGAGTGTGTATGTGTGTGTGCGTGAAAGTGAGAGAGGACTTGAAAAGGGAGAGAGGTGCGTTCTTGCTCTTGAATGACGACTGAGAACAAACGACCCAAGGCTGAAAAAAAGAATGACAATCGGTAGGCCCGCAGCAGTAGAGAGGGAATCGCAGAATCGACTTTCGCCAAAAGCCACCAAAACGCCAAAAAAGCAGAATTTTCGGCGTTGCCGCTGCGAATCTCTTTGGTCTTTCGCTGACGTCAAAGTCAAGCCAAAATGGCTACTTATATCCGGGAACAAACAAAACACCCGCTCTCGGAGAAGTGTGGGAAAAAAAATAAATAAACGGCAGTCGAGGTGAGGAGTTGCGATGGAGGAACGCAGGGAGGACGAGGGAGAACAAAGTAGAGAATGAGACAAAGAAGGAGTGTGCGAGTTAAGAACAAGAAACGCCGTCAGGATGGGAAGAGAAGTAGAAAGAAAAAGACCTGGAGAAAGCAGGAAAATTCCGCAAGGCAAATGGAACAAGTAAGGTAGAGAAGGTGAGGGTGTGAGTGTGTGAAAGCTGGTGGTGGTGGTGGTGGCAGTTCCCAGCTTGTCTTTTCTGGGGAGGCGTTTTCGTTTGGCTTGGATCGAGGTGCTAGTGATGGGGGTACTTGCCGTTTGGCTGGCGCGGGTGCGTGCTTGACTGGTACCCGCCCTGCTGTGCTGCTGCGCTGGCGACTGGTTTCTAGAGGGGACTGATGGATTCGCATGAGGACCATGAGCTGCGATGGCAGATTGTGGCTGCAAGCCATGGCATGCAGAGAACCGATTCAGCCCAGAATCCCAGTATTGATGCCGTGCAATCGAAGTACCTAGTAGACAAGCACTCGTGTTCTCCTCGCAACCCCCATCCACAGCACAACCCTCCCAAGGTACCACCTGACCTCGAGAACCCTCCCCGTGATCCCCCAATCCGGAAACCCGTCCACCTCCATCATCTCAGGCACCCTCGATATCAAAACCTACGTACCTACCTAGGTATGTAACCAGTCGTCCTCAGTAGGTGACTTTATCAACAGTTCGTTGAGCCTTCACCTGCAGTACTTCACTGCCGATGCCTTTGCCCTTGCCCTTCCCTTCGATCCTCTTGCTCAAAAAGTGGACGCGCGGGATCGCAAATCGAGCCACCCACCGCCAAGCGGGAAGGACAGGGATCAGGTCAGCTTCTGATTGCCTGTTCCGCGATCGACAAGCACCCCCGTTTTTACACTTTCTTTTCAAAGGGGAAGGATTCGCTCTTATCGACTTGACGCGCGGGGGATCGATCCAGGGGTCTGGGGGGGGGCACATTTGCGTGGTGCAAGTGGTGGCACAGCGGTAGGTATTACTACCTAGTAGTATGAAGCACATACACTACAGTTTTATCACCTCCTGCACGTGTTAGGAAGACGACCAATTCTTAAGGCACAAGAAGACATCTCGGGATAATGATTGCATCTGTACGACGCTATCTCGGGCGCTGGTGTGTGACGTTGCTACTACGGCTACTGTTATATTATCATACGCCCGAGCTGAGACAAATGTTCGTCAACGTCTGACTTTTTACCATTCGGTGTGTGCTCAAATCAGTAGTAGGTAGTATCACCAGACACATTCTCGAGACTCATCTGGAAGAAAGAGTCCACACAAAGACACACACAACCCAACGCAGCAGAAGGCAAAACAAAAAGTTGTAAAGACACCCTTTTATTGATTCTTTCATTCTCTGCATGCAGCCCAGAACCCTCCCCATTCTTCGCACGATTGATGAATTGTTCGTTCTTTTTGTCCTATCCACTCGCGGCCATGATGATGCCATCCATTCTTGATATCCGCAACAGCAAAGCCCAAAACCGGCTCGTTTCTCCTGACAACATAACTTCATCAGGGCATATGTCTTTCCCACATCCCCCGCTCAAATAGAATAAAGAAAAGAAGAAAAACACAAAAAATAAGCCAGACAGCAAAGGCTAGTCCATATCATTCGCAAATGAGATAAACAGGCAGAACAACACAGCCTTTGCCGCGAAAGAAGAGAAGAAAAAAAAGCATATACACAAGGGGGTATTGAGACTCCTCCTCCTCACCCCCTCCAAGAGAAGAAAGCGAACAGGAGTGAGGGGGTGACGCCGGTAACGAAGATGGAAGCATCTGGTAGAAACACCTGATAAGGAAGGAGGATAACTAAATCCATGTTCCGCGAAAGATCTCCAGAGACCCCTTCCTGCCTCTCTTCCCGTTAAAGAAAAAAGAAAGAGACAGAAAGCGGTTTTATTGAAATTAATGATTAATGCCGGCTTGCCAGGCTCATGAAAAGTCGTCTGCGTCTTGTGATGCCGCCGCAAGCTCCTCCACCATTTCGACAAGATCCATGGTTTCCCGAGCAATCTCAAACGCAATGGGTGGCAACATCAAGGACCAAGCTTTCCACTCCCTCTCGTCGACTTGAGAGGCTGCCATCTCCTGGCCTCGGCGGTTGGCTTGGACGAGGCGGTCTCGGCATTCGCTCAGGCGAACGACCATGTTGCCGCGTCCGTATCGTCGAGTCTCTGAGATGATCTTGTCCACGAAGCCATTGATGGAGCTGACATGCGTAGTGATTTGGCCGATGTCACCGTCCGCCCGAGCGCAGTTTACTAAGTTGTGAATGTCGGGTATTAACAGGGTGTTTTGTTCTTCAAGGTAGGTCTGGGCCATGGTCAGTTCACAGTCGTGGGGTCGTGTTTGTATTGTTTTCTTCAACTTTGTTAGTTGTCGCCCTAAGCCCGTACCTTCAGACCTGCGATTGGGCCGTCGTAGTGTTCCTCAGCGTGTCCGTTGGGCGCCGACTTCGCATACGCATCCACCGATGCCCGGGGGGAGTTGACGGGGCTATAGGCCGAGGACTCGATGCTCGCCCTGATGTTCGCAAGCGTCTTGAAAGCCGGGGCCGGGGGCAGGCCGTCGTGGGTTGCCGATCCTCGCGCCGTGCTGCGCGGGGAGAAGAAGCCGCTGGAGTCGATGGGGGTCGCGTTTCCATCCTCGTCGCCCTCCAGCTCCTCGGTGGGCGTGGGTCGGATCTTGACGGCCCTAAGCATCTCAACAATGGCTACGGTCAGATGTGACGCCGCAGCATCCACAAGGGAGATGGGAGTGATGCCGGCGCTGGCCGCAAAGCTCTTGGAGACGGTGATCAAGCTGTTCGCGGTGGCGGAGATCCTCGCCCTGAGCTTTCTCTGCTGCTGCTGAGACGCTTCGCTTCCACGCGGTGCGGACTCGTCCAGGTCTCTCGTAATGCGCCGGACGCTGACCACAACCGCCTTCATGGCATCTATGACGTTTTCTGGGTTATCGTCGCGGACCTTTTGCAGGAGCTCGTCGATGGCCATCTGGTACTTGGTGACGTGGACGTCCCTGACCCGTCCACCCTCGTCCAGCAAGGTGTTATCGCTCGGAAGCTTGGTAGCATCTCCATCCACGCTGAATCCGGCGGAAGAGCCTCGCAGGCTCCTGATCTGGGTCTTGGTCTTGGCGTAGCGGTTTCTCCACTCCCCAACCTCGCGCTCGAGCTGCTCAATCGTCTTTTCGAGCTCGGCCTGTCTCTCGTATGTAGAGCCGCTCTGCTGAGAGAGCTGCCGCATCTCGCGCAGGAACTCTCGAGCTTCGGCCCGCGCCTCCTCCGTAATCTGCTGCTGGAGCTGGAGCGACTGTCGCAGCTCCTCGTTCTCACGCTGCAGGTCCTCGTTTACGCTTGCAGAGGACATGACGCTGACGCTCTGTCGGACCTGTTCCCGAAGCTGCCGAGTCTCGTTTTCGTGTTCTTCGCGCATGCGCTCGAGCTCCTGCTTGAGCGAGTTGCTAAGCTTTTCCGCCTCCGTCAGCTTGCCCTCGAGGTCAGAGCGGACCTCTGCCAACTCCTGCTTCTCTTCATCTTTGGCGGCGGCCTGGGACTGATTATCACGTAAATTGTTGATTTCCTCTTCCTTCTTCTTGATTTCATCTTCCATGCTTTGAATCTTGGAGTTTAAGTCTTTGACTTGCGCCTCGTAGTCTTCGAGAGCCTTCTTATCCGCCTGGCATGCGTTAGAATCTAGACCACTGGCCCCGTGGCAAAGTACCCATGAAGGAGCATCTACAAAGGAAGACGAAAATAGATAAAAAAGAAACTCACCTCTGAGGTTGCCTGTCCATTCTCAGACGTGTCTCCGAGCCCATAATCGTCGGCACCATCGTCGTCCTCTTCAATCATTGTGCTCTTATTAGGTACAATCGTGTTGTTCTGCGTGGGGTGTCGCGGCATGGGCCGGGCAAAGTTGCCATTGGGGATGCTGGGCGAGGGCGGCACGCCGTACGTGTCGATGGGCGGCGGCCCCCTGATGGAGCTGGCATTGGACGGCCTTCGCATGCGGCTCTGGCCCCTCGGCGGGTAGTCGTTGCCGTTGGAGGGCGTTGCTGTGCGATTCATGGGCCCGCTGCGGTTGGACATGGAGCTGCCGACGCGCGGGATGTCGTTGCCCATGAACTGCGGATACCTGCGCTCCAGCTCGTGGAAGACATCGGCGGCGAGGTCGCGGAAGCGAGGGGGCCCGAGCGAGGAGAGGCGCTGGCGGGCCTGGTTCCGCTTGGGATGGAACGTCTTCTCGGGCAGCAGGAAGGCGGGCGGGACGTTGGGCGCATTGGGGGGGATGCGCGCGGCGGCCTGGCGGCGCATCAGCTCGTCGTAGACGTCGGTGCTCAGCTCGAAGAACTGGACGGGCGACAGGCGCAGCAGCTTGTCGCGGGCCTTGTTGGGCGGCTGCTTGACGTTGGGGTCGCGCGAGGTGAGGAAGACGCGCAGGGCGACGTAGTGCTCGGCCAGGACGCCGTCGTCGATGGCCGTGGTGGGCGACTCGCCGCCGGCCTCGCTCCTGGCGTACATGTTCATGCCGTTGCTGGAGCGGCCGACGGAGGGCGGCGGCGACGGGCCCCCGGTGTTGGTCGGCCCCGGGGGGAAGCCATTCATGCTCATGGCCCCGGAGGTGGGAGGCGACGTGAGGATGTTGTTTGGCCGGCTGGGATAGGAGCCGGAGCCGTCGTCGTTGCCTTGGTAGCGGGAGAAGGACCACTCGCTGCCGCCTACAGAGACTGGGGAGAGCGGCGCATTGCGGTCGCTGATGGTGCTCATTGCGGGTGGTGGGAGCGAGGCGGGAGGCGGGAGGCGGGAGGAGGGAGGAGGAGGAGGAGGAACAGCGAGCCCGACTAGAGGGAATGGAAGCGGAAGCGGCTAGCCCAGACGCCACGAGATTGGAGAGAGGCGTGCTTTGGGTTGGGGGTTGTGGTGGTGTTGCGCCCGTGCCTGCAGGATGGAAGCGGCAGTGGAACGAAGCTGAGCCCCAAGAGACCTAGAGAAGGGCGCTGGACGGTGCAGCTAAGCCGCCGATCCCCACACTGTGGCGCCCCTAGGTCGGTACCTGGGGCGTGCTATAGCAATTGATACCTGTACCGGCGCAGCGCTAATTCCAGGGCAGTTCAGGTCCCAGGTTGGTCGGTAAGGTACCTTCAATAACCTAGGTAGGTACTTTGTATTGCCGTGGTGGCTGAGGCTGAATGGAAATGGATGCGATGAACAAGACAAACCACAGAGCTCAGAACGGACCTGATGAGGTAGCACCAGTTCGAAGAGAACTGATATCGAGGCGGAAAGAGGCAAGCAGGGCCCGATATCGACCTGGGTGTAAGAACCTTGAATGGTGTCGGGTGTGCTGTAGGTGGGCTGGCCTCTCACCCGCGAGATGCTGCCGTTGGGGCCAACTGGTGCACCGGCAGCCTTTTTGAAAGCCTCAACGATCGAATGTCTCGAGTCTCTCCCAAGCAGCAGCTGAAGTGCTAAGAAAATCAAAAACCCCAGGGCCAGTGCCAGTGCCGGTGGTACAGTACAGATGCTCTAAACGACGCTCCGACGCTTTGGACGGAGTTGGGAGCCGAGTAGAAGTACTAGCACCATCACAACCCGGCAATACCTACATACCTAGTAGGTACCTGGTAGCAGCTCGATCAGGCCAGGCTAGTTCAGGTCAGGTACCTATCAAGCCTGTATGAAATTGAGTACCTAGGTCGGTACCTACCTAGGTCCTAGGTAAGGCAGATACATGTACCAGCTGGGTCAAGGAAAATGAAGCCGTGGCGTGAGACGCAAAGGCACGAAGAAGAAAACCAAAGAAACACAACAAAAAAAAAGAAGCAAGGCAATGACCCGCAACGGCGCTTGAAACGGCAGTGCGAGCAGAGAGACCTAGAGCAGGGATGCGGCAGAGCTCGAATCGAAAGGGCTGACTGGGCCTGGCCACACGTTGCCTCCCCCCGGGGGGTGTGCGTCAAAAGGGGGGGGCTTTGGCGATTTCGTGCTGGCAGAGATCAATGATCTGGCACAGGGTCGGAAATGAGCTGTCCTGCCCTTGCTGGTGAAATGAAAAACAGAAGGCCGGGTGTAATTTCTTGATACTAGTAGCAGACGGGCCCGTGGCGAGTTTGGGGGCAGACAGAGGAGGGAGCTCGGCATGGGGGGGGGGGGGGGGGGGGCGGACAGTGCCAGACCGGGTTTGGGTGTCCTAGCTGGCGCGTCCACAGATTCCCGTCGACGATCTGAGATGGTACGATAGTAGGAAGAGAGGTGGCTGAAAGAAGGGGGATGAAAGGGACAAAGACGACCAGGGGAGAGAAGGATTAGGTAGAGGGAAGCCACGGCAAATCAGAGATTCGATCGGGAGGCGGTGATAGCACCCAAGGTACTTGCATATGTATTGAGGTTAGGTATCTATCCTCTGTGATGGTACCTGAGGGTCTCAGTCAGACCTCTCCGGTGCAAACATTCATCAATACAAACACTCGCAATCAACCGTCAATGCGCTGGACAAGGTCAGGGGAAAACGCCTCTGCAAGGCAGGTACTTGCATCTCGCTACGGGCTGGGCAGCGCAGCACAGCACAAGCACAAGCACCAAGTACTCGTACCTAGGTACTTGTAGGTATTCAAGGTCCAGTCTTCTCCCGCATTCTTGCTTTAATCCCGAATAGGCACGGTGGTCGACTCTCTTTGGCTGCTTCGGCTTATGCTGCGCATCGTGACTGGTCACCCGCTGGGCTGGTGCGAAAATGGCCTCAGGCTCTCTCCACCAGTCCCCCAATCGTCGGTGTGAGGACCTGCTCCCCGTGATCATGAAATGCTCCCGGCAAGCTGCCATGATATGCCTCAGAGTGTGAGTGTGCTGAAAAAGGCAGGCCACGAGGTATAAGCTGGACTCATCACCAGCATGCAGTCTCCCCCCCAAACGGCTCCCAAAACAGTCCGACCACTCGCCTTCAGGCCCCTGCCAGCAACGAAAGCGAAAAGCGAGTCGTTCGCCTTGTCCTCGCCTCGCCTCATGGCCCGCTGGCGCCATTTTGCGTAAACCTCCATGCATTCGGCTACCTTTTTAGTGGTGAATGGCATTCATGGATTACGCAGTACACGCAGCACTTCCAGAGGCTGGGGGAGAAGTGGGCTCAGTTCCCCCTGAATTGCGGTGTCGCCGGGCCCTGATTTGCTCCCGGTCTGCAATCGCCCGCGCTACGGCGGGATCGGGGGGTTCCAGTCAACTAGGTGGCTTCCAGGTTATCCAATTGCTGTCCCGAGTTGGGGATTCGTTGATCCGGGAACGAGGCCTCCGCGATGCCTGCAACAACGGTTGATGAACGGGGGTCCATGCGTGAGCAAATTCAGGTACTACTACTACTACCGCTCTGTATCCACCAATTTCTTCGACTTCACGGGATTTGACGGGTGTCGAAACTGCTCAATGCCGTCCGCTATTTGAGTTCCGAAGCACCAAAAGATGCGGACTGTCGGGGCATAACCGCTGACCGGCAGATAATTGACGCAAGGTCATGCTGGCTATCTATGCGCTGCCCGATCCGGGGTTCATATACTAATACTTATTCACCAGAATCCGATACAGACACAGCCAGATTTCGGTAATTACATGCACTACGCGTCGTGGCTTGGAAGAGCATGGTGCTCAAGGGCTGTTTTGTACTCCGTACCCAATAGGACGAAATGATTTTACGGCACCTGGGGTGTGCAATCGTTCCTCGGTACATGTAGGTAGGTGATGCTACTTCTACTATGTACCTAGGTATCCTTGGACTTCGGTGCTGCAAGAATCATGAAGGGATTCGCAGTCAACTCGGAGCAATAAAAGGAGAAAAAAAAAGGTGGTGCTACGTAGCACGCAACATAAAATCACAAAGAACCCGCATCCAATCTCATCTCGAAGCAACCAGCAGATTAGGGCACCCTTGCTTAAGGCATTGATGTCCTCTTGTCCAATTAGCCCTGTGATCAATCCTCCAACAAGCCATGGTGGTGATACCCGTCACTTGTGCTCGTACCTAGGCTCCCAAGCTAGTCCCGTAGCGCTGCTACTCTGCAATATCAAAAAAAATGTCCAAGTGCTGGGAGATGATATCATGGCGGCATTGACGGTTGAAGCGCACGTGGTGCAAAATGCTTCCACCCGCTAGAGGTGCCTAGGTCGTAGCATCAGGAACAGGTAGCATTGACATTCATTCGCGGCATTGTGACTGCTGTTCTGTTCTTCCATTACTGTACGAGATTTTGCCTCTAGATCATTGGACACGGGAGGAACAACAAGTAAGGAAACGCCATCAATCAGCCTATGTAATACCCGCCCTCTTCAAGATCGTAAACACCATTCCCGAAATTGGAGAGAGATCTCGCATCTCGATTTCGGGAACGATTCGATTGGGGGCAGATCAATCCAGAGCTGCTGCAAGCCACTCGGCGCCTAGGACGCGGCTGGTTGCATATACGAGGTTGCTACGTCCCGTACATCAGACTCCATGAAACGGAAAAGCTTAGCCTTACTCTCTTTTCACCTCACATGTTGACAGCGTCTGATTTGGTTGTTTCTTCTTCTAAGCATACAGCTTCGGGCAGGGCGCTTCCTTGGGGGGCATTACACGCAGCAAGTCTGCCACTACAGTCATCTCAGGACTAGAGTACGGCATCAAGACCGAGCAGCGCCCGGTATTCGTCATGGATGATTTAGGATCGAAAGCAGAGTCAAGATTGTCAAGAAAAAGTCAGGAAACCTTGGAATCGAAGCTCGTTCGGCATCGCCCCAACTTGATATCCTCGGAATGAATGCGTCAAAAGTAGACAGTGAACCATTCACTCTATGCCAATCGCCATAACGCCACGCCAAACGCAAAGGCAAACCTCAGTCGCCGTAAATCCATCATCAAAAGCAAACTGTGCCACAGGAAATCATATCTCGTCCTCCTCTAGAACCATGCCAGAGTCCAGGTTGAAGGCAAATTTGGCCAGCGTTCTTGCCAGGCCGCAATAATCTCCGGCACTCGCTCGTCAAAGCTGGCTCGAGCAGCTGCACTTCCACTGTCAAAGGCGGCTGACCCAACTGTGCCCCGCTCTTCGGCGGCAGCAGCATTCAGAGAGTTGGCGAGGTCGAGGATGCCCTGCCCGCCAATGTGTGCTTCCTCGTGGTTGTCCTTGATATCCACGTTGATCACGTGCACAGGCCTGTTCAACGGAGAGCCGCGATTGAGGAGATCGTCAATGACAGCATCCCAGCATCGCTCCTCACAGGTGAAAACTACGTCGACTATCCCGCCTTCGGTGCCCTCGCTGCCTTTGTCACTGCTGTGCTGCAGTCGAGGCACGCCAACGGGCCAATCTTGCCAACGTTCGGGACCCCATTTGACGCCTCTATTTCTTCCAAGCATGTTCAATATACCGTTGTTGCGGTACAGCCTGGGGTCCTTGGCCTCCAGCTCCTTGTACATGCTATCGTACGACGTCTTGTTAAACTGATACACATTCGGCTGGGTAATGGTCGGGCCCGGTAACCGGACGAGAGAGCCGGTACCAAATGAGATCACGGGATAATTGGCTTGCGAGAGTCGGAGATGAGCCTCCATGGATCTGGAGTCATGTTAGGAAGCTGGGGTGATGGGTCCGTTGCGACTGGGTGCTGACCTGTTTTGATTGCTGGCGCAGACAGTGCAGAACCTGAGCTTGTAGTCTCCAGCCTCATTTGACGACCCTGTAGGGGCCATTGCTGTGTCTTTCGCAGCCTCCATGCTGGGCAACAATCTATCCAGGAGACGAGGTGATGCGAGAGCTGCACGATGAAGTACGGTGCATTCTCAAGCTCTTGGCTGTACGTTGGCCTGTACCCTGATCACACAGCGTCAGCAAATGGTCAAGATCTTGACAGACATCATCATAAGCGGAGAGGTTCTCTTCATCAGCTAGAATCGTATATTAAGTAATTAAAGTTTCTCATCAGAGCAACAGCTCAGACAGCTCCAATAAAAGTTTCATCACGGAAGAGAGGGAAGAAGACGATTTTCAGGGTTCTTCTTACCTTCTGATGCTAGTGACCGTCACAGGTACGCAAATTCATGCGTCAAGCAGCCGCCATTGATCGATCAATGCAGATTGTGCGCTGCGCCGGGGCTCGACAATTTCGCTCCAGCCTGGAGCAATATTTGATGAAGCTCTGGTCAAAAGCGTGGAGGTGAAGGAAAAGCTTGGAGGCGGGACCTTGTTGACGCGATGAGGGCTAAATGTCGGATAAGCCCGCAGATCTGTACGGCATTATGTAATACATAGGGCAGACCTCGTCCTGACTAATCTATACGGCGGCGACTGTGCTCCATGGAAGCATGGCATTTGTACCGGGGACTTTGAGATACTTTGCACTTTGGCTCGGTTTCAGATGAACCATGAAATGCAACGTCCCCGATAAGATTCGCAACAAGCTCCATGAGGGCGGAGGTGGTCGGCGCCGAAACCGTGGTCCGAGGCCAAACCGCTACGTGTCCTCCGCCCTTCGAGGTTGTTCCATGTATTGTTCCAAGGCAGCGCTACAAGGCTGACGCAGAGGAAACGACACACAAGCAGCACTGAGCGCATTCCTGGTGCAACCTTGCCGACTTTGCTCAACCATCGCCGGTTTGATGGCATGCTCGCGAAATTTGGTTCGCTGGGCGGATGCCCCATTGCAGACCCGTTAGAGGCTCGTGATTGGCTGACCAGGCACCCGCATAACCTGAAACAGACGACGCTTGCAGATTCACCAATCAGCGCGGTTACCTCGAAGCCCCCCTGTCGGTCGCCGGGTTCCAAAAATAGACGGCAGTTCTTCATGTGCGCTGAGAAAAGGCAGATCGAAAGGCGTCCCTCTCTTCTCAGGTAGGTACCTACTGGTAGTATGTAGTAATAGAGGAAGACGGGAAATGAGGTCTGCTCTGTTGTGGCGTTTTAGCAGGGCTCCCGATTGCGAAGCGTATCCCGTCTTGTTCATTTTACTTTAATCTATTCCCGCCTCCCGCAGAGATGAGCCGCCTGACGCTGTACGAGTACTCGTGCATATGATGGCATCATGGACGTTCCCGGTGAAGCAACAAATCCTGTGTAGCTCCTAGTATCACCGCCATGAGCGGGGATGAGGAGAGCTGAGTGCCTCTCGAGTCTCTGCACGTCGTCCTTGTAGTCAGTGTTTGTACGACGCAAAAGCTAAGTACTAATTCAGAGTAACGATACGACACAATATCAATCAGTGCTCTGCATCTGGTACATCTTGCTCGCCTTGGGTGCCGTGTCTCATGAGCAGCCCCAGAATGACGGCCAACCTTGACATGGGAACGGAGCGGAACGGAAATTCGACCGAGCCAGCGGCTTGTTTGACGGGCAGACATCAGACACAGAAACGAAATTGCTTCTGCTCCCCAAGCGATTCTTCTGTATGAGCCTGGGCCAGGCTGGGGTTCAGAGCCCCCGTGTGGAGTCTAATGGCCAGCCCAGAGACGCGGTTCGCACGGATTTTGCAGACGGCCACCGTCCGTCTCGTTGTCATACTGATTCTTCAGGGTACGATGCCAAGTACTATTCTTGAAATCACCTCGTAGGAGCAACGTTTATGTAGTGCCTGCATGTGAGGACGAGTGATGGCATTGAATGGAACGAGTGGCATCGGTGGGAGCAGCGAGATGCGGAGCAATGCTGGAGATACAAGTGTACAAGTGGGGAACCTCGATATTGCGCCGTCTTCCAGCAACAAGAGCTGGCGGCTAGATCTTGTCGCATGTAGTTTCAAGTCACCTGTTCCGCATAACACCGACCTGATCTCGCAATTCTCTGCCGTGCGATGGCTTAATCTAACTGAAATCTCTCATTCAGATGCCTATGCCTTCTCTCGGCAGATTTGATAACAATGCTGTATTGGCTGTGTATTTGGTGATGACATATGCGCAGATCAGCAGCGTCCAGGCCAATACGACGCACTGGTATAACAGAAGCCGACTGCTCAGCTGCTCTGCGAAAACACATGTTTTGCGCACAATTTGACTTGTCATGATTCTTGTTCGTCGTCAAAATCAGAATGCCACCAAACCTAACACAGCCTTTCTTTATTTGTCCCTCATTGCTCTAGGCAGGTAGTATTGGTCTTTGTTCGATATTACATGCCTAGGTACATGTAGTCTCCGGCCCTCACTCAACCCTCAACCTCACCACCCCGCCTGCAAGTCGAACTCGGACTGGAGACGGGGATTTCATGCACAACATTCAACAAAAGTACGCCATCCCACGGCGCAACCAGATCCAAAGTCGCCTTGCCGCTCTGTCGAATCTGGCGCTACCGGATCCCCATCCAGCTCAGCCCCGTCAGCCGCCGTACAGGCAGGCAAACTTGAACGATTCCAGTGACTCTCTGCAGGCAAGTCTCGAGGCCATTGGATCAAGCTCCAGGCGCTGACTCGCTGGCCATTCTGCGGCTCGGCCAGTAGAAACAGGGCCTGACGCGCTGGCTCCAGGGGCCTTCTGTCGAATCAGTGGCCGCAACCCAGCAGGCCGGGTCTTTGACAGCGGTTCGCCACTAACAACAAACCTCTTGTCCGTACTTCTTGAACAGACCCGACGCCAGCAGTCTGCGGAAGTCCGAGTACATGTACCTGGGCGGTACCTGGAGAACCGCTACCTGGCCCATACTTTTTGTGGCCGCCATCGTTGGATCTGTTTGATTCTACAACAACTCAACGGAACTTTGCCTGCAGCCAACTCTGTGAGCCTGCCCGTCTGGATCTCCATCGTCCCGCATTCGTGCCCTCTCCGTCGGCCTCACGATCTGCCATCCTCTCTCCGAGCCTCCTCCCGCCGCCAGCGCTCCAAGAAGCCGCCGCCAGCGCAGGGGGTTGCTGTTTCTCAGGGCCAGCATCCCTTCAGTATCACCGCTAGCCTCCCTCGAGGCCTCTTCTGCAACAACCCTGCCCTGACACACTGGCGACCGCCTGTCTCAGATTAGGGTTTCCAGAGCCTCCCACCTCCGCAAGGCCGATCGCTCTGCTGACCGAACCTCGCTCTGCCGTCTGCCGCAAAGCAAACCCGACGCCCTCGCAGACAGACGGACAAACGACCAGACGACAGACGACCAGCCATCGCCGGCCTCTGATTGAGCGTTGCGCTGGACCAGAGACCTGGATACACGGCGTGCTGGCGGCTGCTGAAGCTGGCTTATCCACGAGCCGAGGCGTGGTGCTGACGAGAGCCGTCCAACCGGCGCCGAGCCATCCTGGCAAGCATCATACGCACATACATACATATTTGCTTCCATATATCCTCGAGATAGACTCGCCTGGGGAGGGATGACCGCGACCGCAACAATGTCCATGAACTCGCCCTCCGCAGCAGCGTCCCCGGCGGACCTAGCCTCGCCCTTGTCGGACGCAATCGACTCTGGCCCGGCGCCTCTGAACTCGACCTCGACCTCGTCCCGCCACAGCACTCTGTCCCGCCCGCTGTCGTATGCGTCCAAAAACAGACTGTCACAATATTCGATTGCCGGATCGCTCCCCACCCGATCGCGGCCTCAGTCGCACGTGTTTCCCATGTTTCCCTCGAGTCTGGCCTACACGCAGGTTCGCGACTTTGCATACCCCGTCATGCACCCTATGCACTACGGCCCGCCACCCGAGCCCTCGGGGCCGCCATCCGGCCTGACGACACCAATGAGCGAGAGCAGGAGGCTTTCCGAGCCGTCCGTCTCGTGGGACCAGAAGATGCCGTGGGACTCGTGGGCTCCGGACTCCTTCAGCCGGGCCCACGATCTACCGCCGATCCACTTTGGAGACGGTCCTCCTTACAGCGAAGATGAAGATTTACAGAGCCCGGTCGTCTCCACGAGACACCGCAAGCACAAGTCGACCTCGTCGGCTCTCAATACGCATAGGGGGCGCACTGGTCGTGACCACGACAGGAGCTCCCTCATCAGCTCCAGCTACGACGATAGCCAGAGCTACTATCTGGGCATTGGTGGAGATGGGAGTGAGCGGTACTACGTGAGCCACGGAGGCGAAGCCAACGGACCCGGCGGTGAGCTCGTTACCTATCCGCCTGACCAAGCGCACCATAGCCACGCATACCAGTATTCGCAGCAACTTGGCCACGGCATGCAAGGCTACGAGTCCGATCACTCCAGCAGCTCATCCTCGCCGGGAGGGCCAGAAGGCGATCAATCACGCTATTCACGAGATTACCAATTCACAATTACATCTCCCGACGAAGAGTTTCATGGTAAGGCCGTGGCTCTGTTCGACTTTGAGCGAGAAAACGAGAACGAGCTACCCTTGGTGGAAGGCCAAATCATCTGGGTGTCATATCGTCATGGCCAAGGCTGGCTGGTTGCAGAAGACCCAAAAACACAGGAGAGTGGCTTGGTCCCAGAGGAATATGTCCGGCTGCTCCGGGACATTGAAGGCGGCATGAACAGTCTTACAGGAGCCCTCGTCGACGCGTCGGGATCCCCCAACGATGCCGGCACTCCTACCCAGCCAGAACACGGCAGCCAGTCTGGCCATACTCCCACACAGAGCACTTCCACCAACGGATACCACCAGCCAGTCGTCTCCATGTTTTCCACCTCGAGCAAGGACCTCAACCCCTATCCCACGGAACAGCTTGGCATTCAAGCTGGCCAAGCCCCACCTCAAGTTGTTCACTATCACGGACAGAGAGGCGGTAGCCAGATGAGCACACCTACACTGAACCAGCTCTTGGAATCGGAAGCGCCGAGAAGAGCGAGCCAAGACGCGGAGACGAAGTTGGATTCTGGCTCCACGAGGGCACAAGATGAGCATGATGAGAAGCCCACAGATACCCAGGTGTCGGACGAGAAGCTGGAGACGGAGCGGTGATGAACAGTTTACAGGAAGGTTCACTAATGGCGCCGAATCTCAACCTCGAGCCAGATGTAAAAACGCTTGCTCCTACACCTTCAACATGTCTCGAGATTTGACGAGGCCTAAGAATCTGCACCTTGATTGACGAGCCCTGCCCTCAAAAGACCGAATATACAGAGTACGTCTAGGCTGTCCAGCGGCATGATCATCTGCGGAGAAGACAGCCCAACACGGCTCAAAGGTCGCCATTATTGGATGGCGAGCAGAAGTCGGACGGTCAAGATTATAGAGGGGATGAATAGGGTGGTTTTCTGCGCTCTTAACGGCTCGAAGGGGTTGCATTAGGTCTTTGTGTGGTAATAGGGAGAGGGTGGATAAGAAGAGAGAAAGCGCCTTGGTAGGAGCGACGCCATGACTGGATGACAACTCCCATAACTCTCATAGGCTGGGCCTCGTTTTCCTTTCTTATAGGTTATTTGTTAGTATATGCATTCTTGTATTCTGAGCATGGCCTGGCTCTGCTTGCAGCATGGTCGAATGGGAGGGACATGATATGGCGGGATGGTCTGTTATATAGCATTGTGCGTGGATTGCCCTGGGCAAGGCTTTGATTGTGGGATGTAATTAAAACGAAGAAGAACCATTTGACTGAAGCGAATGAGGCTGTGCTCGTGTCTTGTTCTCTCCTTTGTGTAGGATCCAACGGGTAACGGGTAGGAATGTCTGTAGCTCACGAGATGTTGATTCTCATCACTCTCCGTGGCGAGAACTTGAAGGTCCTGCATCTCTTGGGTCTCAGCTCATTACCACTATTTTCGAAGTCCAAGGTTTGTTTCCAGGACCTGGGTAGTTAGTTGATTGATGGTAGCATTTTGCAAATTGTCCTGTTGACCACTGCAGCGGCTCGGGATTAGCGGTGTGCTCGTTGTTGATGTCAAGAGACAGACTGCATCTTCGAGGCCTGGTAAATGGCAGATTTATCGATGTTTGGTTCGATGGCGTGTCTTGTATTCTAAGGGTCCAAGTGGCAGAATGTTTAGAAAACAGAGAAACACCAGAATTGGGGCTCAGCCGATTGGAAGTCACCAACATGAGTGGAAAGATGGCCATAGTATATCGATTCGATGTCTTTAAACGAGTCAAGATGATTGGCCCACCACATGACGTGCCAGTGAGCCTAGAGGTACTGCATGTGCTTTGATTGTATGATGTAATGATAACCATCTTCCTCCTCTTCCGATTTAGGACAAATCCAGTTTCTACCTTAGTAGTTGAGGACATGGTGCCTGGTGCCTGGTTCCTGGTGCTTTTGAGGCTTTCTCAGCCTTTCCGACTAAGCTCTGTAAGGATCGTTCTCTGCGCAAAAAAACACAAATTTGTTCAGTACTCATTGTATCTTGAAAGGACAAAAGAACATTTGGAGATGTTGATAAATGGCACGGCAATGGCAATGCCGAGAGTATCATCATCTGGTAGTGTACCTTGATCGGAGCACTGTGGACGCAAAGCCTCGGAAATAGTAGCAGAACGAACAGGACAGGTTTTTGGCCGGCGAAAAGTGGACGGCGGCAACGGGCCAATCACGTGGCAGATGCCGTCATTCGCTCTCCAAAGCTCGGAAATCCTTCAGCCATCCGCAAGCCTCCGATTTGTCTCGTCCAGTTCTCTCTGCATCTCTTTTCGCTTTTTCTGAGCACTCACGGCGTCTGCTCAGGCCAATCCGAACCCCCTTACAGATCCCCAATTGGCTCTCTGAGGACTTCAGTTTCCCTAAAAGACACAACATGTTTGCCCGATCTGCCTTCCGCGCGGCTCAGCCGCTCAAGATGGTATGTCCACCCAGGGAACCCGAGTCAATGACGCTCTATCTCTTTCTATATGGTGTCAGCCTCACCCCAGATTGCCCGCTGCAGACAAGCTGATTGTTACTCTTTACTCTGCCTGTCGACAGCATGCGCGCCGCTATGCCACCGAGTCCGGCTCCAAGGGCAGCTCCAACACTCTGCTCTACGGCGCCGGTGCCGTCGGTGTTCTCGGTGCGGGCTACTACTTTCTGAGCGGCTCACCCGCTGCCAGCAAGGCTGAGAACAAGGCCAAGGAAGCTCTGGGCGTGGCAGCTCCCAAGGCCTTTACCGGCGGCGACCAGGGTTTTCTCTCTCTCAAGGTCTCTGAGATTGAGGATGTGAACCACAACACCAAGAGGGTCCGATTCGACCTGCCGGAGAAGGACCAGGTCTCTGGCCTGCACGTTGCCAGCGCCATCCTGACCAAGTTCAAGGCCCCCGATGCTGAAAAGGCCACTCTGAGGCCGTACACCCCCATCAGTGACGAAGGTATGCTGGACTAACGATGCTGCTGCTGCTCAACTCGGTCGAAACGCTAACATGGACTGCCAACCAAAGATGACCGGGGCTTCATCGACCTTCTGGTCAAAAAGTACCCCAACGGGCCCATGAGCACCCACATCCACAGCCTCAAGGTCGGCGACTCGCTGGCCATCAAGGGCCCTCTGCCCAAGTACCCCTGGACCGAGAACAAGCACGAGCACATCGCCCTCATCGCCGGCGGCACCGGCATCACCCCCATGTACCAGCTCGTCCGCGCCATCTTCAAGAACCCCAACGACAAGACCAAGGTCACCCTCGTCTTCGGCAACGTCACCAAGGAGGACATTCTGCTCAAGAGCAAGTTCGACGAGCTGGAGAACACGTACCCGCAGCGCTTCCGCGCCTTCTACACCCTGGACAAGCCCCCCAAGGACTGGGTCGGCGGCGGCGGCTTCATTACCAAGGATCTGCTGAAGCAGGTCCTCCCCGAGCCCAAGAGCGAGAACATCAAGGTCTTTGTCTGCGGGCCTCCCGGCTTGATGAAGGCCATTTCCGGCCCCAAGACGAGCCCCAAGGACCAGGGCGAGCTGACGGGCGCTTTGAAGGAGCTTGGCTACACTGCTGAGCAGGTGTACAAGTTCTAGACGGTGTGTGTATAAGAGAAAGAGAGAAAGAGAGAGAGGGGGGGAGGGAGGGAGGGAGATACAGCCTAGAAAAGAGCCACGCTTGAACTGCATTGTTTGATAGTCAAATGTAGATATTCGGGTAGATAATAGAGCCAAAGAGGCTAAACGAGGAACTATATGATGCCACCCTGCCTACATTACACAGCCCAAGATCTACGTGGACCGAGAGGGAAAACTTGCTTCGTCATGTCAGACAAATCGGCTTCCAAGGGACACACAGCGCCGCGCTCCCTGAGCATCGGGCTACACAAGATCAAGGGTCAAATGCCGTTATTTCCAGACCAGCCTGACCGCCTCAAGGGAGGGGGGGAAAAAAAAAAAAGTGTAGGAGAAGAAGCACTTTGAGACCCCCCCCTTGAAAAAGAAACTGGCTCGAAGACGGCTCGCTGCTTGAGGACGGAAATTACATGGATGGCTGCGCACCGTGTTTCGGCAACCGACAGGAATATTCCGGCTCACTGATGGGCCAATCTTCTATGAAAGAGAATTAAAGAAAAGGAAAAGAAAAAGAAAAAAAAAAGAGAAAAAGAAAGAAAGAAAGAAAGAGAAAAGGGAGGAAAAGGGGGGGGTTACATGAAGCAACCTACTTACCGGCAGTCACACACACAATTTGTGCAAGAACCGAGACATGCCGTCTACCGATTCGCCTCCCAGACGATAGATGGATAGATAAGGGGGAAAGAGGGCAACGATGATAGTAGTAGTACTAGAAGAGGGCGGGTTTTTGGCCTTCCCTTCTGCCGTTCTGTGTGTCTCGCGTGCAACGCAGGGCGGGCGAGACATGGCAAGGCAAACTTCGTCCCATTTCGTGTGTGAAGAGATTTTGTGTGATTCGTGTGCGTGTGCCATGTGTGTGTGTGTGTATGTGTGTATGTGTCTCGCCAAAGATGGGACGACCTTTAAAAGCAAACGAGATCTCCGAGATCTATTTTCCCAAATCCTTCCTCCCCCCCCTTCCCTCCCTCCCTTTGGGCTCTCTTTCGTCTGTTCGTTTTTCCACTGCCAAGACTTTTTTTTTCTTTTCCCTCTTCAGTTCCTTATTAAAAGAAAAAGAAGTGAGAGACTGAAGTCAACTGGCAAACTTTTTTATTTCTATCATTATCATCACGTACAAAGGAGTTGCCAGAATGGATGCCTCTGAGCGGCCTCGTGGTCAGGAACATATCCCAGAGTATCCCAAGCTCTGGATCTGGATGCGCGTGTTCCAGCTCGTCGTCGGGCTCACGGTGCTTTTCCTCTCCATCCATGCATTGGAAGGGTTTCGTATCTTGATGGATCTTTCCATTGTCATGATAGTCATTGTACGTCGTCCTCCTCCTCCCTCCTCCTCCTTCTTCTTCCTCCTCCTCCCATCTCCTTCTCACTACCCGAAACCCTTCCCCAAAGACCTCACAGTCATGCACCAAGACTCGACTCAACAATCTAACCATCTTTATAATAATGATGAAAAAAACAGTCTGCTGCCTCCGTCGGCCTCACAATCTGGCTCATCGTCGCCCAATTCTCGTCCCCCCGCGCATTCAGATACTGGATCACCCTCGTCCTCGACTTTCTCATCTTCGTCGCCTGGACCGTCTCCGGCTCCATCCTCGTCTCTCACACCTCTGCCCTCGTCGCCCAGCGGAGCGTCACCGGAAATCGCTTCGATCATCCTGATGACGAGCAGCAGCATCAGCATCCTCTCCATGAGAGCCACGTTTCGACGTTTTATGCCATTGCCGGCCTTGCGTGTCTTGAATTGTAAGATTTTTTTTCTTTTTACTTTCCCTCCCTCCTCATTTCCCTCATATTTCTCTTTTTACGCGGGACGCAGGTAAGCTGATGTTGATACGATCCAATGATAATAGCTCCCTCTTCTGTTCATCATGGATCATCGACGCCGTCGTCATTCGCCGCCACCGCCAGATCGGCCTTCCCTCCAAGCCGCTCAAGAAGAGAGCTTCGCTTGCGGAGAGACAGCAAGCCAAGCCGATTCCCGTGTCTCCTCCCCAGAAGCCGCGGGTCAAGCCTACGCTTGCTGAGCGAGTTGAGATGCTTTTCAAGGGACAAGAAGCGTCAGCCTCTCAATCAGTTGGGTTTGAGGGCAGCGGCGGAGGCGGACACGGTGGACGCAATGATAGCGCAGATGGGGGAGTTTGAGCAGCAGTGGTGGAGGATTTGCAGGTTGGATGAAGGAACAACGTGTTTGGGGTATCAGCCTCGAACGAAGACGGACGATATCTTGACACTTGGTAATAAGGCAGGATGAAGGAAAACATGTAATGACTAAAGCAGCGCTATTTCTTTGACATTATGGCAGTAAAATAACAGGATATTGGAAGAATGCGTAAGCACATGGTATTCATTCCATACATGAAAGCTTCACCGTTCAACCTTCACCAGGTGAGCAATTTGCTACTGGATGCTCTTTGTAGCCTTGTCGACAGCGTGCTTGATGATCCCAGCCCACTTCAGACCATTGCTGTAATTCTTTGCATCGATGCTTTCGACGAGTCCGGGATAGACAGCTACAAGGCATTGTCAGTATCGTCGTCAAGTATTAGGAGAAAGAAGGGTATATGATAAGAGAGCAACATACCACCAGCATAGCCCGTCCACAAGCCAGGAGCAAAGACAACGTGCTTGAACCAGCTGCGGTTGTCCAAGCCACCCTCAAACACAAACTGTCGCTCGATATACTTGTATTGGTGGTTCACCCTGATGATCGTGAGCCCGAGTCTGGCCTTGCCGATGATGTTCCACCATGGAAGGCCTTCTTCAAGTTTCTTCTTCGCCCAGGCCGCGCGCTCATCCAGCTTGACTGCCTTGTCCCTGAATTCGGAGATTGAGTGTCGGATTTTCTTGAGGCTTTCCTCAAAGGCATCCTGGCTCCCAATTACCTCATGGGAAGAGACACTGCCTCGAACGGCAAAGATTTCATCGTCAGTAGCCAGGTCGGCATCAGCAGGCTGCAGCTTGGCCTCAACCTTGTCGAGATAGCTGTCCAGAGCGTCTGCATACTCGGTTGCTCCAAACGGAATCACCACTCGGTCGGCAAGCTCCCCGACGAGGACTGCGAGAACCTGGGCCATTGTTCGATGGTAGACGAAGCCGGGGTCAGCATATTCGCTCATCCAATGGAAGCTGTCATAGTTGCTGTGGTAATGATAAACAGGACCACTGCCATTGCCGCCGAATCCCATGTCAAGACTGGGAATGCCGGCGTAATCCTGGAAGGCAGTGAAGTCGCTGCCAGAGCCCATTGTGCTGATTTTACCGTCCCACACATCTCCCACAGTCTGGCCAGCAACAGTCTGGTTGGGCGATGGCACGAGATGGGTGGCGTCTCGAAGAACCTGGTTCAATAGAGGCGCTGCTGCGGCAGAGAATTGCGGCCCAGAAGCACCGCCATCGACATTGACATATGCCACGTTGGCATCAGTGATCCAGGGCAGGTATTCTTCAACCCACTCTGTGCTTCCAATCAGGCCATACTCCTCTCCGTCCCAGCTGGCAAAGACAATGGTTCGGAGAGGCTTCCAGCCCGCTTCCAGGGCCTTGCCAATGCTTCGAACGGCTTCATTCAAGACGGACGAGCCGCTGTTGGGATCAGACGCGCCGCCGACGATCCAGGCATCTCGGTGGTTGCCCACAATGATGACCTCGTTGGGGATCGTGCCGTTAATGATGCCAATTACGTCCCATTGAGGAGCAATGACATAGTCCTGCTCGTTGTAGAGGTTGATGACAACATCCTCGGGCGAGGGTCCAATGTTGTAGTCAACGCCCTTGTAACCCAAGCCGAGCTTCCTGTTCCACCACTTGTTGAGGTCGCTAGCCCGAGGGCCGTGGCCGTTGAGCGCCTTGAGCAGCGGCAGGGCATCGGCATAGGAGATGGGGATGGAGGGGATTGACGGGGTGGTTTCATCAGCCGGTGCACGAGGGACACCGGGCTTCGAAGGGTAGCCAGGGGTTGTTCTGCACGATAAGTTAGCTCGAGTGAACAATATCAAAGGTGACGATGGCGAGATGCTCACGGGTCGCCAGGGCGCGAGCTTAGGAACTGGACGCTTCCGCGCTGTACGCTGCTGGGGTTACGAGCAGGGCCCTCCGGATAGGCAGCGTAACCGTTTTCCTCGGTGATTTCGCCATCATCGCCGGGGTCGCTGTAGATGAGGACACCAATCATGCCGAGTTCCTGGGCGCGCTTGACCTTGAGGCCTCGGAAGATGCCTCCATACCTGGCAATGGCAATCTTTCCCTCGAGGTCAATGCCAGCCTCGACTAGATCTGCAAAGTCTCGGTACGTTCCATAGTTGACGTAGACAAAGGAGCCGGTGACGTTGCCGCTGGCGGAGTAGCCGTGGAACGTTGGGATCTTGTCTTTGGCAGCGGTGGTAGGATCCTCCTCCAGAACGTCTTCGGTCAGAGAGGCCTTGAACGCAACGTTCCAGGACTTGGCGTCGCTCGACTTTTCCAGCAGAGATACGCTATGATCGATGGGGTAGTTGATGTAGACATCATAGGCGACGATGCTGGACTTGACGCCCCATTCCTCCCACCTGTCCTTGGTCCATTCGGCCTGGAGTTGCTGGCGTTAGCATGCAAGAAAGTGGTTTTGCGTATCAAGTATATCGCCTCGAGCTCTGGAATGGGCTGTTTTGTATATGATTCCCCCTGAGCTGCCCTGACGTACCTGTGAATAGTTCTTCCCGGCAAGGTGAGCTCCCGACGTGTAATAGCGGCTCCATTCCTCAGCCTTTTCCGAAGAAGGCGTGTCGAGCAGGATGGCCTGCAGATCCTCGTGGCTAAGGTGCTTATGCCCGTGGTCGGGGTGGCCGTGGTGAGGATGGTGAGGATGACGGTGGCGGTGCTCCTGTCCAGAGGGCCAGATGTAGAGGGAGTGCAGCGCAAAGGAGGCAAAGCCACAGAGCAGCAGGCTGACGCAGGCAATGTTGCAGAAGCGACGAAGCGTGTGGTGACGATACCTCCTGCGCGGCGGCCCTACTCGCACTGTCTGGATCAACGGGGTCGACTCGTTGGCCATCTTTTCAGGCTCGGTCGCCGGCCTTTGTGTGAATCCACAGTGTTAGTGATGAGTGTCTGGGGGTCTGACGGGATATTGAATGCATCTGCTTGTGATTTGTGCTTGATTTGTTCTGTGTAAGTTCGTGGGTGAGACGCGGGGCCGCGTTGCGATAGAGGTTGGCCTTGGATTGATTCGCGACGCCACATGATTACAGACCGTTTTGGGGGGTGTGACCAAAGTGGCGAGGCAGATGATGGCGGGAGACAAGAAGAGCTAGAGGCGGCAATTGGAGGGAGACTTACACCTTGGCCATTGTTTGGAGGCGGGAGATTGTAGCTGTTCAATCTGCAGCCCGAGGTTCAGATGCTCGAATTTGTCAGATTTGAGGGCATTCAGAGGAGCGAGAGAGAGTAGAAGAAGAGAAGAAAAGAGGGGAAAGAGTGGAAAGAGAGACAAGACATGGCAAGGGATTCGGCAGATACTCCCGCGAGGCGAATCACTGCCATTGTCCCCGGCCATCTTTGAATTACAAAGCCATCTCTTGTCCGTCTCCAGTCGACAGATAGTAGATCGATAATAGACAAGCAAACAGACGGAGGTATTGCCGTGACGACCCTGGACTGGACTGGTGCTGGAGCAGTTTGCCTATCTTATCGCGAGCTTGACGCAAAGGTTCCTGGCACAAGCACGCAACGACGTCACGCTATTACGACGCCTGCTTCAGCCGGCCATGGGTGGGGGGAGGAGCCGCTGGTTTCTTCCACGTAATGTCAACAAGGTATTACGGATTTCTCTCTGTTCAGCTTCAAAAGCAAGCCAAGAAAAGGTCTTGAGATAGAGTCGGTCATATAATGAGGCAAAGACTCCAGAGTGATTTACGCAGACAAGCGTTTGATTCTTAGTGTCTATCAAGAGCAGCTCACATGGTGCGAACCATAGATTTCATACATTTCGATACGACTCCATCTCCTCCGATCCGAACTCACAAGAGCGGAAATGGCGCGGACATACTGGGATTTAGCAGCTTAGTGCCCGTCTTCTTGACACACGCACACACACACACGCGCAGCCTACGAATGAACTGAACCCCCAACAAGCAGAGAGCCGTTGCAGAGTCACATCCAGCCGTTGCATCAGTTCAGCACCCAAGACAAACTGTGCCTTTTCTCCTCTTTCTTCTCGGAATCCGTGATCCTAGCAGCTTCACTACAGCCCCCCCCCCCCCCCCCCGGTCCCCTGTCGCGGGCTTGGCTGGACTAAACAGCCTCTTTTCCCTTAGCTTCGTCGAGCCGAGCATAGCCAGCATAACGAATCCGGCCACCTCCACCTCCACCTCCATCTCCATCCACATCGCCATCTCCATCTCCTTCCGGACCGGCGTGCCTGGAACACCAAGAGCAATAGCGAACCGGTCGTGATCTCGCCTGGAGAGGAGACGCGGGGCAGCTCACAAGACGGCCTGCATGTAGGAATCAGGGTTAATATACCGGGGGGAGGGTTGTTGCCTGCTTTTCTTGCCAGGCTTGTGCCTCTTGCTGGACCCATTCGCGCCTTTCGCCGTCCAGGTCTGCAAAGAGTCGGTCTGCCTGTTATGTACAGCATCCCTTCTCGCCCTCCATCCAACCCTCCATCCATCCATCCATCCATCGGCGAGTCTCCAGCACCAGCATTTGAGACATGGCGTCCACACCAACCGTCGCGGCTACAGACGCCTTCTCCGCTGTCGGACGCATTCAGGTGTCATGAGACGGGAAAACAGTCATCGAGTGACAGCATCCGGCAGGTCAGCTTGATTGTGTCAAAAGTTGCCAAACCTTGAAAAAGCTGCCTTTGAAGGTGTGATGCCGCAGGGGGATCGCTGTCTATGATCGCGCCCGCGGTTGGCCGGCTCTGGACTGTACGAGTACATACATATCCCCAGTCCAATCACGTCTAGGCCTCGTCCGCTGCAGACGCGGATGGATGCATCTCGGCTCACCTGCATCACGGCACCGGAGCCGAGCTCGAAGAGGGCCGTGGAGCTATGTATTATGGTCCCGTTTCTTCAACACTCCATGCACTGTATATTCTGTGACATACTGGGAATGCTTGGTGCCACAAGGTGACCTCTCGGGGTAGCACAAGCCAGGTAAAACCTGGAGTAAGCAGAGAGGTGACGGCTTGGTGCTCCGTGATCGAGTCTTGAAGCATCACCACCATCGCGGGCAAATCTAGTCTTGGCCCTCTCATCGACAGCCCGGCCACCATCAAGCCCATCCGTAGCGTTTCCGAGCCGCCAGCTAGTGGCTCCCTCTCCCTCCCTCTCTCTCTCTTTCGCTCCGAAGCCGAAGCTGGACCTGTTGCTTGCTAGTACGGATATCGTCTCCCCCAGTCCCAGTCCGTGGCCCCCGTATTCAACCAACCCTCCCCCCCCCTCCCCAGCCCGTTCCTGTTTCTCTAGCGCATCGACCGCTTGTGCAGATGACTGGCCTGGGTGGGGATCGTTGCCGTCCAGGGATGCCTGTGTGTGATTGACAAACTTTCTCGCCAATGACTTTTCTTTCGTCTCTACGACTTCAACCTCCCACGCCCTCTCTTTCCTTCACTTCTCACCTACTCTCGCTTTTCCATGCCGACTTGACGCTGTTTCTAGGCCGTGGACGTTTCTTTCTCTGCCTTCTTTCTTCCGGCTGGATTGAAGTTGTTTGATTTTGGTCTTGTCCGAGTCATGCTCTACTAAAGACACGAGAGCACTCTTCATCTTTACCGGCCTGTCTGCTTCAACTTGACTACATGGACAGAGTCTGATCGCCAACTTCATCTTCTATTGTTCAATCTTCGAAAGCGATTTGCACGACAACGGAGAACAGCCGTGACCATGACGAAGAGTTCATCTAAAGCGAAGCTGCCTGTGCAGCAGCTGGCAATTCTAGGTAAGCTGGACTGAGGGCATGGTGACATGACAGAACTGGTTCAACTCGCCGACTTGAGGCGCTGTGAGCATGGCCGAGACATCGCAAAGGAAATCCACGATTCACACAGCCATTTTCGTATGCAGTGATTTCTGCCATCGTGTGCTGAACATTGCTGTTTTGACTGTGTGGTTCTTGTCCAATCTTGCTTTTGCTCCGGCGAGGCGTTCATGCTACAATATATCGTCTCCAATACAATGGTCGCAACCCAAGCGTAACAGATCCGAGCTCATCATGCTGACAATGCAAACTGCAGCCGTTGCCAGGTTCGCAGAGCCCCTGGCCTACACCTCCGTCTGGCCATACCTCCCCGAGATGATCCGAGGCTTCGGCGTCAAGCGTGACGAGGTCGCGAAATGGGCCGGCGTCACGTCCTCCGTCTTCTCCGTCTGCCAGAGCATCACGGCCGTCCCCTGGGGCAGGGCGTCGGATACCTTTGGCAGAAAGCCAGTGCTCATTCTCGGCCTTCTCAGCACCATGATTTGCTTCATAGTATGGGGCATGTCAACGAGTCTGGCCATGGCCATTACCGTCCGAGCAATCATGGGCGGCGGCAACGGCAACGGTGAGTGTCCTCGTCCTCTAGTTCATTTTGAATTCGATACTCGAGTAGAAAAATAAAAAAGGCTAACGTGCGGTCTTTCTGTTCTTCCAATCTAGTTGGCATCATCAGAACCATGGTGGCTGAAATGGTGACCGAAAAGGAGCTGCAGCCTAGGGCCTTCTCCATCATGCCTCTGGTCTGGTCTCTTGGCTCCGTTGTTGGACCGGCCTTTGGAGGCTTCTTCGCACAGCCAGCCAAGCAGTTTCCCAACGTCTTCGGCAACATCGAGCTCTTCAAAAAGTTCCCCTACTTGCTGCCGAACCTCCTGGCCACCGTATTCTTCCTCATCTCCGCTGCCAGCGCCACCTTCTTCCTGAGAGAAACGCTGGCCGACAAGAAGGAACACAAGGACTGGGGATTGCTAGTGGGAGAGCGTCTCACTCGTCTGTTTCGCCGAAAGCCGCAACTCATTTCTCAGCGGCGGAGGTCCTTTGTCGACGGCGAGGCCACTGCGCCCCTCGTCCCAAGCATCGTCACGCCCAAGAAAGCCGTAACGCCAAAGAGGGAGCCTACAGGAATGAGGGAGGTGTTTACGTACCAGACGACAATCAACCTCATCTCATATACCTTCTTGGCCTTTCACTCGGTTGCGTACGACCAGAACATCACCGTCTTCCTGGATTATCCCGTCATCCCTCGGACGCCCGAGAACACAAAGTTCCCCTTTTACTTTACGGGCGGATTCGGCTTGTCGTCGGGAAACATTGGAACGCTCTTCACCATCTACGGCGTCACTTGCGGACTAATCCAGTTTCTCATATATCCGCCAATGGTCAACCGCTACGGCGTTCTCAACTGCTTCAAAGTAGTCTGTAAGTTTCTCCCCCCCGCAAAGCAAATGAAAATCCCCCCCCCCCCCCTCTTTTCTGCACCATGTGCTAACCATACCTGCAGCTGTCCTCACGCCGTTCGTCTACTTCATCACCCCCTACACATCCCTCCTCCCCACCCCCGGCACGCGCTTCGCCGCCATCCTCACCGTCATGATGCTCAAGGCCTTCGCCATCATCATCGCCTTCCCCTCGACAACCATCCTGCTCACCAACTCCGCCACCTCGCTCCGCATCCTCGGCACCCTCAACGGCTTCGCCACCATGTTCAGCGGCCTCGGGCGCGCCGCCGGCCCCGCCTCCACCGGCTGGGCCTTTTCCTGGGGCGTCGAGCACGGGTACATTGTCTCGGCGTACTTCTTCCTCGGGCTCGTCGCCGCCATTGGCGCCGTGCCCGTGTTCATGATTGTGGAAGGCAGGGGCCCCACGGCGTCGGCTGACAGCAGCGACAACGAGGACAATGAAGAGGACGAGGACGAGGACGAAAATGCAGTCATGCTGGAGGACGAGAGCCCCGTGGACGACCACGACTACGAGGAGCCGACGGATGATGATGATGATGACGACGAGGCTACTGCGACATCTCCTCTGCTTGGTGCCAGCAAGCGCACCACTTACAGAACAAGTTCACCACAAAACTAAAAACCGGGCAGAACAGATAACATGTCTTAATCTTTTATAACAATATGCCTCAAATGTCGAACGTTGTACGCCCACAATCGAGCGTGCCAAGAAAACGAATATCAAAACAAAAGCAAAGAGAAAAGAGGAGAGGGACCAACGTGGCAAACGATTTCTGGGGGGACGGCCAGGGAGGAGGTGAGACTCCTCCCCCCCTCCCTCCCTTCAAAGCCCTGGAATTGGCCACAGCAAATGAATAGATGAAGTACATCTATGTATATTGGACGTGAACACTTTTTGGATGATCTACACATACACACGCACATGTGTTTGTGACTGACGGTTCTGACTTGTTTTGGCATCGGCAATTTTTCTTTCGGCGTTTGGAAGGCAAAATCGGATACCTACTCGTATATACATAGCACGAGAAGAGAATAAATCTCGAGAATTTCTCCAAGCAAAAGGACGACGACCAAACTGGCTGTACCCAAGGTGAATGGAAACACTCAGATCTCAGATTGGACATATCCCACATTCTCTGCGGCTCCAGTCTCCAGTTTCTTCTCCTGCCAGCGCGCGAGAAATGACGTCCACTGTACAGACCAAGAAACGTAAAAAAAGAGAGCCATCAAAGTGACCTGTCGTACACTCATGGGTCCTGTCCCCCCCTCCCCCCCCCCCTTTTTCCTTCCTCATGCAGCATTCCATGGACCCTACCAGGAGCTGCATGCTCGAGAATTGAAATGCCCGGGGAATGAGATTTGGCACGTCCTTCGCCAGCTGGCCTTTTCTTCCTTCCCGTGCTTCTGTGTTCTGCTTGCTCCTTGGCGGGTATCTCACCGACTGTATCCGAGCCACTTTATCATGAAGTTCTCCAGCAGCCTGTGTACCCGTGACATACCAATCAACGCACGATGTTACTGAGACGAAGCCTTGAAGAGAATCAATAAACATTCATTCATTCGCCAAAAACGCCTTGCTAAACAGGTCATTCAGGAGCAGTATCCAGTGCCGTTCGAATCATGCGTGCTACAAACAGGTTATAAGATGCAGATGCATGAAAGCAAACCGATAAGTCGTAAAGAGAAAGATAATGGAAAACAATGAGAAGAATTACAAAAACCAGCGAAATCTATACATATCCAAGACAACAAAATTAGAAACAGACATTTAATCGTTCACACCATTTTCTGATACAAAAAACGTTTGAAACAAAACAAAACTCAGAAACTCCCGGTTTTTCTGCCCAAATCTACAATCATGTCATGCTGTTTTCTGGTCTTTCATGTCCCGCTCAACAAAGGAAATAGCTGTAATGTCTTCTGTACGCGTGAGTACTTTGTGCACGCCGGGCTGGATATCGAAAGATAAAAAATATGTATGTCGGTTCAGATACAAAGAAAAGGGAAAGGGTGAAATGAACAAGGACAAGAATAAACACTTGGCATCGTAATGTCGTTAATGATGATATAAGTGGGCGGTTTGAGCTGGGAAGCCCTCCCTGTCATGCCACTCCCACTCATCGTAGTTGCTCGGATATCGTGTGTAGGGCTGCGGCGCTTCAATGAGTCGATAGTCGTGGTTCTCAGCGTGCTGCCACTCGGAGATGGGCCATGTCGTGCGAGGGTTGTGGCTATGGCTGTGGTGGATGTGGTTGTTGCCATTGCCATTGCCATTGCCATTGCTGCCGTAGTAATAATGGTTCGAATGGGAAAACCCGCCCTCTATAGAAGCTCGAATAGCCGTGGAAGGAGGCCCGTCGTCATCGATGAAGCGCTCGAGATCGGCCTCCATGTCCCGCAGCCGAAGGTGCTCAGCCCCAACCCAGTCATCGATGATCTCGGCAATCTGCCGAAAGCCTTCCGTATGGCCACCTTGGTATCGAGCCTTGATGCCACACGTGATGAAGAGAAAGCTGTGGATCATCTCGTGCAAGAACGTGGAGATGAGAAGCCGGCGGTTGTACTTTGTGTCCTTGAGAATGGGTGACGACAGCACAATGAGCGTCTCATAGCCGCCCAGACGAACACTCCGGCGCAGGGCCGTGGTGCCGACAATGTGGCTCTCGTACTGCGCGCTGGCCGGGTGGCTCCAGTCCCAGGTGACCCTCTGCGTCAGCTTGTTGGCGAAGAAGAGCTCGTTGGCGGCCGAGAAGATGCTGCGGAGGGCGTCGTTGTCGAGGGGGAAGTCGGCCTCTCGCGACTTGGGGTTGATGAGGGCCTTGAGGATGCGGCCGTGCTGCGAGTCGCGGTGCTTCCATCGACAGTTGTTGGCCACATGTCGCCGCACCAGCCGGGCCGCGGCGAGATCACTCAGCAGCGGCTCGAGGTCACTGTCGCGGGCGTCGACGGCAGACGTGTCGGACGAGATGGAGAGGCCCGATTGGGTGCGTTCCATCGGGGCCGGGGCATAGGACGGGGCGAGGCCATGGAACCCGGGGCGGAGGTCCGGAGACAGGCCCTTCTGTGGGGGCGGCGTCGCAGGCGGAGAGGGCTCCCGCTCGCGGATGACGAGAAAGGCGAGGTTCTTGACGTGGATCGAGGCGGCCTCGGCCTCGGCAGCGGCGGCAGCAGGGCTCACAAGGCCGGAACGCTCGTGCTCGCAGCCGGCCGCATGATGGCCCTTGCCGTGGAAGCCAATGACGCGCCCCCAGTCGTCCAGCCGCGGCCTCTTGGTGATGCCGTAGCAGCCCGCCTCGCTGCAGGCAGACGCGCTGCCATCTGCAAAGATCCTCCGCTTGCCATTGGACCCCAGGGCCTCGCCCTTGATGTAAGCCGCCACCTGACCTCGACTAGATGAGGCAGCGTCACCAAGCGGATTTCCCCCGCCAACCACCCAGAAGGCCATCGGGCAGCATATGCTCCAGAAGCACCAGTTCGGGCTGCCAGCAAGCGGGTAACGGGAGTTGAGTATTGGCTGGGCGTGGTCAAAGCTGCGATACGTCTCCGCTGGACAGCCGGCGCAATGCAAGATCCTGCTGGGCCGTGTTAACCTTTTTTTGTTCTCTTTTCTCTCTTTGACCCTCTTATTTCTCTCTCTCATGCTCTGGCGTGCTGGCTGGTTTTCCAATTAGAAAGGTGTTGGACTCTGATGGATCGCAGAGTTTGAACTTGACTTGACATTGAAGCCTATGAGCTGGCAAGTCTTGAGTTTGTCTCGTAATGGGTAGCACCGATTCCGGAGAAGAGAGAGCAGGCCAGCACGCCGTCGGCATGGAAGCATTGACAAGGGAGAGAGGCTGAGGGAGATGGACGATGGATGAATTAGTTACCTACCTCAAGTACAACCTGGATTCACCTCTCGGCTGCCATGAAGAAAAACCGCCGAGGAAAGTCAGAAAAACAGAAAACGCCAGAAGCGCAAACTGAAAGCAAGCGGAGGGAGAAGAGAGAAGAGAGAAACGAAGAGAGAAGAAGAAGGAAAGGGAATCACCACAAAGGGCTCTGCAGCGCTGAGGAAGCGAGGGCGCAGGGGTGGTGGAAGGGCAGAAGAAAAGCGTGACAAGGACTCAATCGCCTCAGCGATGCAGCAAGCAAGCAAGCAAGCAAGCAAGCAGCAAAGAGATGCCGGGCTCTGTGTCGAGACGACTGCAGAAGGCTGCATGCCAAAGCCAGCCGGGGACGGACACGACTTGATCATCGCCTCGCTGGCTCGTTTCTTATGCCAGCCAGCGTGGACAGGCGTAATATGCGGGTTTGTGCGTGGTGCATGTGCGAGTGCGTGTGTGTGTGTGTGTGCGGACCAGCTAATATGTGCGCATGTCCGGGCTTCTGTGTGTGCGGATGCCGGTGTGCGCGTGTGGCGTGGCGTGTGTATTTGGACTGCGTCGAGGGTGTAACGATACGAGCATGGGGACGGGAGGACGATTGGCAGAGGATTGGCGTTGAGGTGGCTTGATGTTAAATTGAAGTGCTTGGTCCCGACGAACGCGGATGATGCAACTGCTGCTGCCTCTTGCTGCTGCAGCTCGAGTGGGATTGATTGATTGATTGATTGATTGATTGTCGATGGTTGACGAAGGTCTTTGATTGATTGCTTGCTTGATATTGATTGCTTGATCGATGGAGGCGTCGACGGATGGAGGAAGATGCCGAAGGTGGGAAGCGGCGGGAGGGGTGCTGGAGATGGAGATTGTCTGTAGGTAGTGATGGCCGGTGGCTCGTAGGTACATACCTCCTGTATGGGGAGGGACAACAGAGGGCATAGGGGGGGAGAGAGGCTCAGTTCAGGCCAAGAGGCAACAGCTGCTGACCCCAGCCTCTACTATCACCATCTCTTTACAGATTTTATCTATATGGAATCGTGTTTGTAGCCCTTCATAATGGAATACTGCTTGGTCCATCAAGCACTGCAAACTCTGCAAAAAGCAGGTCAGTCGATGATTGTTCCCTCTGTCCTTCTCCCAGCATAATACCTTACCTACCAGCTAGTACTCTGCAACATGCACCCCCACACTGAGACGATCAGTTGAGGCGCGGCCAAATCATCCGATCGAAAGGCTGTCTCTCTGTCTCTCTTGTCTTTCTGTCTGTCTGGCTGTCCATTCTTCTCACCTCCTCATACAAGCACTCCCCAGTCTCCAGTCCTATGCCTCATACCACTTCATGCTTTATACCTCCCAGTGAGTCTCAAATGATTCCATCCACCGACTGACGATAGATAGATCTCTCCGCACAACTCTCCGCCACCTCTCTCCGTCCATCCTCTCCATGTGCTGTTCGTAACCCAACAATCCTCTCATCCTCCGTCTTCCACAAGGCATCACCCGCCCTCGTGGATGCTCGCCGAGTCTCACCGGATAGTAGCAGCCTCTCTGCCCCTCCTCCCCTCATCTGTGTCCTGATCCTTGCATCTCTCAGTCCCATCCCGCGAGAAACGACAGAAACATCCCCGTCCCAAAGGGCCCGCTGCTGGCACATTCCACGCCCTGTGGACAGCCATCATTGGGCCGTCCCAGCGGTGTATGCAGCATGCAGCACCCATGCAACCAGGCATGCGCCCAGGGCCGCTTAGCGGGTTCCAGGCTCTCTGTGCGGCGATTCCCTGAGGAACAGCTCAGCGACCCTTTTTTTTTTTTTCCCTCTCTTCTTCCCTCTCGTTATTCTCGAGCGCAGGCGGGAGGAAACAAGAGAATGGGGTCGTCCTGGAGGGCGCTGCCGTGGGTCTGCGGGATCCGGAATCCGGATACTCAGGCGGCATCCCGCCAATTGTCAAGATGATACTACGTACCAGGACTTGCTGTCAGAGACAAGCAGCGAGGAAGCTGGTTTGAGTAGTGGGTATTACATCTCGAGGCTTCGCTGGGGGGATGGCCACGAGTTGCTGTGGCGGTTTGCCCGTACTTGCTGCCGCATGAAGCAATGACTGGGTGATACTACGAGGGAGCATCTGCTTCTACAGCACAGTACAGTAGCTTGGCCATGTCCAGCCATCCAGGTGTCCATGACCGCTTGCTGATCGTACGTTTTAGTGTCTACACAAGTCAGTTGACCGGTGAGGTGAACCAGTCCGGAGAATGCAGACGAGACGAGCCAACACGAGACGAGCACCGAGCCGCCTCCTCCTCCCTACTTCCACCTCCCACCGGTAGCAGCAGAAGCAGCAGCAGCAGCAGCACCACCACCACCACCACCACCAACAGCAACAAGAACAACAAGAACAACAAGCCAAAAGCTTCCCGGCCCTCTCTCCTGCACGGGCAACTGACGAGCAGCAACGACGCACATACAAAGAAGCACATAATGCGCCTCCCCCAATGCCGACCCAGGGAGAAAATGCCACTACGAGCCGTCTGGTCCTGTCTAGCGCCTCTCCCTTCTGCACAATGGTGGAGGAGGCGGCTGCAGCAGCGCGCTGGCAGACAGATCCTTGCTCGTGCTGTTGCGACTCTGCGCTTGGGATCGTCTTCCGCCTGCCTTTCTCCTTCTCTCTATCTTTTGCCTCTTCCCCTACGTTGCACCAAACGTCTCTTTCCTCTGCACTGATCCTCCGTCTGTGGCCTATAGCAAACAGCAGCCTCTGATTGTACAGGTATGTCTCGTAAGATAGGTATATATACCTATACATTCAGCCGGGTATATGTACTATTTTGTAGCCGTGGCCTCGCCTGAGGCTCTGTAGACCTCCAGCATCTGCATCCGAACATGCAGCTCCTTCTCGTCTGGCTCGCTCCCATAGAATGCCGGCACTCGACGCCAAGCTACCGATGCAAGAAGGCCTTGGGTCTCGTGTCAGATGACCGACTCTGGACGCCAAAATCCAACCTCATCCTTGAGCTTTTTTCAGCTACTAGTAGTTGTATACCGCATTTTCAGCTCTTCTGCTCTCTACTTTGTGGCGTAAGAGATATCACCTCTCCATGGGTAAGGTAGGTAGGTGCCTACCTACCAACTCATGGTCCATCATCATCGTCACCATCATCATCCCTCGCCCCCGTCTCTCTTCTCACATTGGTGCAATAAAGACCACATGCACGTAAAGTAGTTGAAAACGCAACAACTAATTAGGTACGGCCCATCAAAGCAAATCAGACGTTCAGCAAATTCGAGTCCAGCCACACAGGCACCGCCAATCCCTCCCGTGCCACCTCCCCTCCAGACCGATTTGTCGAACAACAGTTCGAAAAACGTCGTCATTGGACATGATGCGCGCATCCAACAGAGTACATACAAGTACATAGAAGTAGTAGTAGCAGGCAAATTCTTTCCCACCCCAGTCCCAATGATTGGCTGCCTTGCTATCCGTCCGTCTCTTCCTCCTCTCTCGCCCACTCCACTCACTCACACATGCCAATTCTCGGATGGCACTTGGGCACAGCCACCGTCTAGGAGAAACCCTGTCCAGAGAATGGAGGGAACAAAATCCAAAAACAAAAGGTGACATCAACGCCATTGCTACGATACCGGGGTCAGAAAAAAAGAAACAGATGCCAGAAAGACAGGGCAACCCTGGCTCGTCCTCAACAACAACTGCTTCTTCTTGCTTTGCGGTGAAGTAAGTAGTAATAAGAAAAGAACAAGATGAAAGCCCATCTCTGAGAGGGTGATACCTCATGTTCCTTTACACACCTACCTACCTTACCTACCTTGCATGCACACGTACATACATACAAACATGCATACATGTGCAAGGGATGGTAGTGAGAGACGCAAGAACCTCAACAATTAATATCCCCAGTTCTTCGACAGAAATCCTTTCGCTTGTGGTGCAAGGGAAAAAAACTTGCCGCGTCTCCTTCGCCTCATTGGCTCGCTCGTCTTCCCTCGCCTGTTGCTCTTCTTTTTTTTTTTTTTTTTTACTCTTCCCTTCGCCCTTCATAGAATTTGCCGCCACCTATTATACCATTGGTTCGTGCCGCGTACAAGATGCAGATTTGTCTGTCCTATCACTATCAACCAACATTTCAAACCACGCAGATATAGTACGAATCACAGCGTCGACAGCAGGCTCATGTATGCATAGAGTAGCGTTGCAGTAGACTTCATGCTCAACGGTGGTCTGGACTGCTTAGTATCATTTCACACAGGTAGTATGTGCCATGGCAAAGCATGTCACAACAGGGTCACTTGATCGCCCGCTTCCTTTTGTTCAACGAAAGCTCTCGTCGCTGGCCATGAAATTATGTAAAAGTGCTCTCTACTAGGAGGTACTTTGGTAAGTACTAAGATGATCAATCTCTTCCCTTTTTCTTTTTCGCTGAGCGGGACGCCAGGTGTCGTGATGGCTCCCCCGTCTTGCATGCCCGACATGCCCTTTTCGCTCCAGAAAAGCAGTGTAATATCGCATCCAACAGACAATCTTGATACGCTTATGCAGAAAAAAACAGCCAGTACACGAGTGAAATCCTCCCTTATTCGCCAAGCACTCCTTGCCCAAACGTCTGCATGAATCGAACCTCGTCTGCCTGTCGTTCTAAAGCCTCGCGCATTCGCTCGGCGACTCGCCTCCTCTCTTCTTCCTCTGCCTCTGCAGCAGGGTCAGGCTCCTCCTCATCAGAATCCTTGGACTGATAGAGCGGCGTCGGGGTAAAGCTGACGAGCCCCAGCCTCTCGCCTGTCCAGAACAAGATGTTATCGTCATTGGGGCGATCCGGACCCTCCCTCGACTTGGTGGACACGATTTTGCGTGCCAGCTCGCCTGCAGCACTCATGGAGGCGAACAGCGATGGGGCCTCGTCTCCTTCGCAGTGGCCAATCCTCAGCCGACGGCATTCGGTCAAGCCGTCCCTCTCAAACCACTTGATGGAGCCAGCTCCATCGGAAAAGACAATCTTGGTGCCGTGATTGGCCACCGACAGGATCGCGGCTGACGCTGCAGTTTGCCTGTTCTTCATGGTGGACGTCTGCATCATCTCGCGTCCGACCGGGTCCGCGGCGGTCTGGCTGAGGCCAAAGATCTCTAGGGAACCCTTAGACTTGTATGTTCCCCCTGCGATGAGTGTCCAGCCCTCGCCGTCCCCCTTGGACCGGATGACCTGCTCCGTGCTGAGCTCTCCGTGCCGCCGCACCTCGCTATCGAGCGACGAGAACGGGTGAGGCATTGCCGCCATGCTGTTGATCGTAGCCCCCGAGTAGATGGAGTCCATGATGACGGGGAACTTGCGTCGATCGTAGTGCAGGATGTTGGAGAATCTGCCGGCCACGTAGATGTCGTTTGACACCAGGTCCGGAGATCCTCGTAGAGGCAGATGTATGATGCTGACAGGGGTCGGCTGCGATAGAGGTGCGTATGGGAGCAGCGGTGTCGGGTCAAAGATGGATTTGAAAATGTCATTCTGATCCACTCGCTCGACGGCCGTGTGCGTCGCTCGGGCTCTTGAGCGAAAGTCGTGTAGATGGATTCCCAGAGACGTTCCCACCGTCAGGGGAACGTCGTTCTGGATCTTTGAGAGGGCCGTGATGGACCATTCGAAGGATTCGCGGCTCACGACTTCCAGTCGCTCGAGGTCGATTTCGATCAGGTCTGCGGCTACCCGTCAGGATCTGCATGGGATGCTTGCTGTGAACGGGGAAGTATGGTATGGTTACTCACGGCTTTGCACGGCAAAATATGCACGGTGCCTTTGGTTGTCAACGCTGACACATTCCGTAACCCCGGTGTCAACCCTCTTAGAACGTCGAGTGTTCTGGCTGCCCGGGCCGTCGATGAAGAGAATATCGGACTTGCTGGTGGCAAGGAGAGATCCGGCCTTGCCTCGCGTCCCTTTGACGTCCCACAGACAGACCGAGCCATCGTCGAGCGGCGACACCGCAAGCATAGCGCCTATGCCATCGTTTCCGTCATATGGGTAATAGAGCTCCAGTCCCCGAGCCTCCATCATGGCCTCGTAGCCTCGGTCGCGAATTCGGGGCGTCTGCAGCCAGTTGACGCAGGTTGGTCCATTGCGATGGATGTACTCGCTATACCAAGAGACACGTTCGTTGGGAAACGTCGGGTCCCAGTTGGCCATGTCTTGGATCTCTTGCCATCGTTGATACCTCCGCCGCGTCTTGCCCGGCACAGCCTTGCCCTTCTTTGCATCTGGAGCGGTCTTGTTGCCGTCGCCGTTGGTGTTGCTGCCATTGGCCTCGGGGCTCTGCAACGCCGCTCCATCTCGGTGTTCGCCTTCGGTTTCGTAGGACAGTCGGCGACGGTTCTTGAGGTACTGGTACCAGGGCGATTCTTCGAAGCAGCGTCGTTTCCACAGTTCGTCGTCAAGGCAGAGCTTCTGCAGCTTTCGCGAGACCAGCTGCAGCCTGGTGATGTGCAAGGGGTCGAGATCTGATGGCAACAGAGATTGAGTTGGTGAGCACAGGCCTCATCTTGTTCGTTCCCGTCCATGGAGATGGACGACATAGTGGAGGTACGAGTGGATCTCCTTACAGCTAAGAATCTGGAGCACAATCTCATCTGGGAGCTCGTCCCAGCGCGAGGACCGGCCGGACGAAGCCATGGCGAGAGGTTCTGACGCAGGCCTCAATGCTGCTCTGCCGGTGGTGAGGGGAAGAATCAAAAAGAACCGCCTCTGGGCGAGACGGGCTCTCTTGATGTCGCTGATGGAGTCGACCGCGGAAGGGAGGAGGCGGCAAAGACGTCCGGTTCAAAGATGCCTCGAGCGTGATTAAAACAGGGACCTGCCCGTGGCCTCGCCGCTAGTGTAAGAGAGTGACAGACTCCCCCAGCGACTCTGCTCCGTAAATATCGCGTAAGACCAGTTCTGCAAACCAGTGGCAAGGATCCGGTTCCGTCCCTCGGGTGCCGAGTTAGCAGCGGGCTTGATTGGGGGAACATTTACACCATCGAGCTGGGAGAGGCCTTGTTGGCCACAGCAGGCTGGGGAGCTGATTGGCCCGCGCAACGGATAAGGTAAAGGGGGCTGGGCTCCATGTCTCTAGCTCGAGCAGGACGTTGTGCTAGCATCGACAAAGGCTGCACTAGCATCGGATCCCAGCCCAAGCCATCTCAGGTCCATCGGCCCAATGGCAGCACACCAGTCAACGACAAAGTCAGAAGAGGCGGCGGTATCCCGAGAGCAAGACGATGTGTATATACCTCTCTTGAATAGTGAGGCTGCCTGGCGTCTTTCGGAACAACGAGAGACTTGTTCTCGACAGTCGTGTATAAAGAGCCCCCCCACCCTTTGAAATGGTATGATCCCTTGTTCAACCAGACGTGCTTCCACTGCAGCCACTACGTCTGTCTGCCATTTCTCTTTGCATCTTTGCATGGCAATGGCAATGATGCCTCTACGCTATAGCAAGTTCTGTGGTCTGTGTGTCAGCTCTACAGCAGTTCCTCCAGCCTCTGCAAGGCTGAGTCAACTGGCCAACACCCCTATACCAACCAGAAGCCACGCCTCTACTCCACATGAGTTTAGCAGCTTTATCATCCTCACGGGAACCTCATTGCATTCTGATGATTTTTGGCATTGATAAGCTTGTTGTCTACCAAATGTGAAGGAGTGTCACAGGGGGGATAGACGCGGTTATGCAGCACCATGCCATACACATCTTTCCATCTCCCGAGCAATTCACTGAGAGGTATTCCTCTTCCACGGAATACATATCAAATATGCCATGGTGGGCTACAAGAAAGACGCGTAGCGTGTTGGAGATTCAGACGGATGATTCATCCAAAGCAGAGGATCTGTAGCATTGGACGTGTCTGCTGTAAACAGAGCGACCTGATAGGGGGAAAACGAACGTGTTGGGGCTTTTGCCTGAATTTTGGCCTTGCCCACAAGTCTCCCGCCTCCTCTGCCAGCTGGCGGGCTCGCACTTGTCTCCTTCCTCCCCCTCAACCTCAGGCATCAGCAACTCCTCTTTTCTCTTCCACCCACAAACCAACCAGACCAAACCAATTCACCCATCCTCGCGCCCAAGACACGCTGCCCCGTGATACTCCTCCTTGCGAGACGCGTGCACGTGTTGGGCACGCTTGTTTCCCTGTTCAGCTTCTAGTTTGGACGTGAACACTTTGTTCCATCTCTCCTCCTCCATCATCTTCCATCACCACCCCAACTCGTCGGAGATCAGCAATCCCCAATCCTCCCAAGCATCATCAAGCATCCTACCCAACGCATAATCATCATCAAACTTCTAGCAAAGTCATCAATCAACACTTCGTCTTCATCCCCTCTTTCTCCAAAGAAGCCTTACAGCTTGCGAGTTGCTTGCCGCCGAGTCACTCCTCTTCTCGGAGACAACTCTATCTCAGCCATCGGCATCGAACGAGCAACCATCAAGAATCAAGCCCAAAGCCATCAATCAAAGACTCAAGGAGAATTTTGATCACTCGATAACTCACCATGCCGCACTTTGACAAGGTTTGCTCCCTCCCTGGGCACTCTTGTCGTTGCCAACAATGCTAACACTGGGAAGACTACTCATGGATGGAATCCACCCGTGAAGATCACTCTTCCCATCGCCTATGAGCAATACAAGGCGCGCAATCAAGCCGTCGAAGATCCGTTCGCAGCATGCGCTAGGAATGCCATTCCGCCTCCGGGTGTCTCCCCCTACGATGAGAGTGGTACCCAGCAAACCTATGCTTCGGATCATCCACCCCTCTCCAAATGGAGCATGGGACGCAACCTCACCCATCCCAAGCCCCTCAAGCTTGACCGCGATGAAGGACGGTCAGACTGGGAGACTATCGTCGACGACGAAGGCGACAGTCGCTTGACCTGCCCGCCGGCCCCCCAGGTGACACTAAGCAGCCTGGGTATCATGCCAAAGAACTCCGAGAGCATCCTTGCCGACGACAACGGCGATGCCATTGACGAGGACAACAAAGCGACTGACAATGATGCCCCCTACCCTAAATGCAAAGGCAAGGAACCAGCCTTTGCACGCCCTGGAACCCCGTTTGACGCATTCGGCTTCTCCAAGAGCCCCGATGCCCTTGAACCACGCTCTCATGTCGTGGATATGGAGGCGAGCTATACCCCATCCCCTGCCTACTGCGGACATACTGGATTTGTTAGACAGCCTGTCCATGGAGGTTTTGGCGGAGGACTTTCGCGTCCCAAGGCTTCCAAGGCCTCAAGCGACGAGAGCACCGATCTCTTCAAGTATGATGGAGAAGCTTATTCCACCTTTCTGCACCGCTCTACTACGCGGGATATTGCGAAGCGTTATCCCACAGCCTCTGTCGAAGACGACCGTCTCAATGTGCAGAAAACTAGAGCCGGAGAAGAAGCTGGAATGCACAACAAGAGTGCCTTCTACAACCCCACCGCCGTTCGATCGACCTAGAAGGTCAATGACGAGGTGCGAGTTCCCGTCGATAGGGGCCAGAATGCTCGTTTCGAGCCCAGCACCGAGCAAAGCCCAGAGCCTGCCGTTGAGGAGGAGGAGGAGGAGGAAGAGTGCTGGCCACGAGTCGGTGGCAACGACGCTGCAGCAGAAGCTGATTGGCAAACCGTCACTACCGGACCAGTCTGCAAGGGCCTCGACACCTCGGAACTCAACTTGATCAAGGATACCGGCAGCAGCCTCGCTGACGTCTCCGACATTGTGGAGGAAGAGCTCACCCCGGTTGAACACCGCCGAGCCGCTGGCACAATCTCCCACCAGCGCAATCAATCCATCCATCGTCCCAAGGGCTTCTTCGCCGACGGCTTTGTGCTGGCTGGTGCTCGCACGAACAACAACCACGCTTCCAGCGCCGACCATGGTCCCAAGGAGGTCTTTGGCGAGGCTGCTCGGGCTGCTGCCCCACGAACGGCAAATCCCTTCCAGACTCCCCCCAGCTGGAAGAGTACCGGCAGAGTCATAGAGTTGGACGACAGCCCTGAGCAATGCACATGCAAGGGCAAGGCCGTGGATACCACTGTCGGCATCAAGACACGAGCAGATGCTCCGCCCCTGACACGAACTGAGTCGACCGAGACTGTTTGGCCACAGGTCCCTCGTCGTGACGAGACAGTCAACGACTTTGACCAGGCCTTCTGCGAAACTCGCATTGGCGATACAACTCTGCCGAGCGATGATTCTGCCAACGTTTTCTCTCGTCTTCCCTTCAGCTTGATTGACCTCAAAGAAGCTGCAAAGACGCACGGCTCGCAACGCTATCGCAACACCGACGAGGCCAACACTTTTGCTCAGAGAGCGAAGCTCGGTCCTCTATGGTCTGGCCAGTCTACCGAAGCCGGCCCATCCTCTGGTGCCTACCGTTTTGGTGGCTCTGACAATCCTCCTCTGGAGCGCCCGTCTACCGCTGTCTTCCGTGATCAGATCACTCGCGGCCGCCCCACTCGTAAGTTGCTCGTCATGATGAATAGAAGCTCGATGCGATGGCATGGCTAATGCTTGACTTCCTAGATGGGTTTGACGGCATTGAGGAGAGCACGCCGAGCCCCTCGTCGGCTATCCTGGGCTCGCTGAGATCAAAGGTGAATCTGGGCTCCGCCAAGAAGAAGGATAAGGAGAAGTCTACATACAGTCTTGACCCTTTCAAAGCCGCTGCGGCCTTGGGAGCCAAATGTCTTCGGATCAAAGCTCCTGCCAAGAAGAAGGACCAATGGCCAACCGCAAGGAACCAAACGGGAGGAGTCCTCACTCCGTCCGAGGCTGAGTTGATTGAATCCGCCCGAGGAGAAATCATGGACCGTCGCCGATCTCCCGAGAAACTGGAGAAGAAGCGTACTTTGGTCTTTATCCTCATCATGGCGTCCTCCATCGTCTTCCCCTTCATCGGCTTCATTGCGCTGATTCGAAAGTTCGACTCGACGGTTGCGTGGTTTACCTACGGCGAGATCAAAGACTTCACCAAAGAACAGCGCGGCATGCTCCTTCAACAACTCCTCGTCGAGATCTTTGTTTACTCGATCGTCATCATATTTGTGGCGCTCCATACCTCGCACCACATCTAACTATTGACACGACTATGACGCTTTGGTTCCTTTTCCTCCTTTGATAACTCGCATCATGGACAGGCAGACAGTGCCCTGTTCTGTTTCCTCCAATATGAGGACGCACCTTATAGCAGAGAAGATGACGATGACGCGGTTTTTCCTTTCCAATTTCGGATCGTATTGATAGCAGACAGTTTTGCCCTGTCGTGCTTTTCATGTCTCTGGCCGCATCCCGCAGCAGTCACGGTGACAATCTGGAGCTGTGTCATTTCAGGGCGATATTTCGCAGGGCACATGGTTGTCTTGCGCTCCTTCTTATTTTTTTATTTTTTTTCTCCTTTTTGAACGGCATCTCTCAGCACCAAGAAGAACCAGTTTCGGTCTGGCCCCTCGAGATGGCATATTTCAAGGCAAACACGATGACAACTTCGGGCGGTCATTTAATCCTGTCTGTCCGGCAGCTTCTCGCGACAGTGCGATAATCTCAATCGAGTGCTGTCTCTCTGACAGACGCCATTCGCAACAGACAGGACTCTTTAAATCAAGTTGTCCTGTCTCGTGTTAGATGCCATTCCGAAGCACACATGATGGCATCTTGCGATTGTTCAATTCATCGGACAATATCGCGCAACTAGCACGGTGACTATCTTGCGCCTGGTCATTTGATTTCCATTTCCTTTGTTTGTTTCCGTCTTTTTCTGTTCACTTCGGTCTCGGGTCTCGGTTTAAGGGGACTCATCTTTCTTGCTTCCATTCTAGGCTAAGAGGGATCTTGCTTCTTATATATGGGGTGTCGAGTTGGAGGATGGACATTTGAGGATTCACATCAGGTCATAGTGGACGAGTTAAGGGGGAGATCTCAAGGAACCAAACGTTAGTCATTGTCATTAGGTAGTGGAATCACGTTGATGCATTTGCAAAAAGAGTGGTGATTGACCGTAGGCATACATACACGTACCTATTGCAAGCGGTTCGTCGGACGGATACGGCGTAAGGGTTGTTCAAGAGATGCGGTACGAGAGAGATGTTTTCATGATTTCTCAACTTCATTGTTGCGTATCTAAAGATTCAGCCCCAATGGCCGGATCGCCGCAGACCATAAGCCATGATTATCGCAACTTTTAGGAATTCCAGTCAAGCACGGAATCCTCCCTTCGGCAGTGGCCCTTTCCACCGCCAGGCCATCAACACCTTTGCCCTCTATTTCTTGCCGCCATCTCCAGACTGCGTGGTAGAGTAGCCGCTGGGCGAAGTGTAGGTGGAGCTTCCGGCACCGTCGTTGTAGTAGGTGCTGCCATTGGGATTTGAGTAGTAGTATGAGCCGTCCCTTGAAACTGGCTGTCAGAGAGAAGATGCTTGTGGTGTTTGCCTATGGGGTAGAAACTTACGAGTTGGAGTAGTGGTACGAGTTGGAGTTGGAAGCACCGCTGCCGTAGTCACGCGCGCAGTAGTGGTTACCCTTTGAGAGAGAAGAAGAAGCCGGTCAGCTCGGAAACAGTTCATGTCCTCGTGAGAGGGAGAGACTGGTGAGGTGTTTTGGGGATTTGGATTTGGGCGGTTTACCTGGCTGTTGGTGCCGGAGCTCTTGTACGTGTAGTCAGGCATGTTTGGAAAGTTTTTCCGGGGTTGGCAGATGGTATTGTTTCTTTGTCTTGCGGATGAGCTTTTCTGGTTTGTGAATGTTGAGAGTTTGCAGAAAAGTTGTTGGAGGGGAGAAAAACGAAGACGCGGAGAAGAGCTGGAGATGCGAAGCTTTATGACTACGAGGAGCTACTGGGCGGCCTGCGGGAGGCCGATTGTACTAGGCTCAAAACAAAACAATGCTTCCTGCCTCAATGGCTGCTACGCTGCTGCGCGAGTGCTACCTAGATTATTGTTCTACAATGTCCGGCAGAAGAAAGGACATTGGGTTGGTACGAGCGCTTTGGCTGAGGATGGCGGGGCTTGTTGTGTTACTTCAGGTATTAGGAGACGCAGCTTTGTACTACCTACCTTAGTATCTACTATGTACCTAGGTTACAGAGAACATATGGAAGGTACTGCTGGGGCGTCACAATCGAGGGGAAAGAGAAGAGGGACTCGAGCCTCGGATTGGGCCAGTGGTGATGATTCTGTCTAAGAAACTCAATCCTGACTGTGGGCGTCAAACTTGACAGCTGCTTGGTTGATATCCGGTCAGCTTGGTGAAGCCACAATGGATGTCATTTTTCGGCGATTCAACGGCATTGAACGCGGGGTCGGGCTGAGACGCGTGAGACTTGGCCAAGAAAATCTGGAATCAAACATTAGAGGAGCCTCTGATGTTCTTGTGTACCTTGATTGTTCAATGGAGGTTGCTGAGTAATACCTACCAGAGCTGAGATACTACCTACAAAAGTCGACAACTTTCTCCGCGCCCACCCATGGACTGTTGCCTCTTATGGCATCGCACGGAACAGCCTCAGAAGCCACATGAATATTCGCCGGTGTCTTCCATGCTCGCCCTCTTTATTAGCTCAACGCTGGTGCATGATGTCAGGCCAACGTTCGACCCCTCCAGGCCCCATAATCGGGTGCAGCATGGGAAACTTTGAGCGCGATGTTACAAATCGACTTTGTGATTCTTCAGGGGAAGATTCAAGCAAAGAAACATGTACAATCTAATCGCTCAAATGGCTATATATAGCCAGTGTCTGCTGTTGTTCCAGGTAGAAGAAGACTTGAGATAATCCCAATCCAGACAATCTACAACGCGTTGCAATACCCCGTACCATCACAAGCATATCCTCTTCGATCACGTACCCTACAATACCATACAATCACAATCATCACCATGGCTGTCAAGGTCTTTATGTATGCGTTTTCCCCCGCATTAACGCCCTCTTAGTGTACGTGTATGCAACGAGGCTAACCTGGACCGGATTCGCAGGACGGGCGTTACTGGTAATTGCACCATATACAACTTCGTAACACCACGACAGCTCTCGAAGACTAACGAGATCCAGGCTACATCGGAGGCACGGCCTTTGACAAAATCTACAGAGCTCACCCCGACAATGAGTACACGCTCCTCGTCCGCAACGAGGCCCGAGCCGAGCCTGTAAAGGCCAAGTACCCCAAAGTCAAGTTTGTCTACGGGTCTCTTGATGACGTCGACGTCATCGAGCAAGCTGCTGCCGAAGCAGACGTTGTCATCCGTAAGTCGTTTCCCACAGAAGAAAGAAAAACCAGCCAAAACACTTGCTGTGAGTTGTCTTGAGCTCACACAGCAATATCAGACACCGCAGAATCAGCCGACCATGCCCCCAGTGCCTCCGCCATCGCCAAGGGCCTGGAAAAGGGCCACACGCCCGAGAAGCCCGGATACTGGATTCACCTCTCCGGCACAGGCATCCTGACCTGGTACGACGTCGTCAACGGCAGAGAGGGCGAGCCTCCCCTGCCGGACCAGAAATACCACGACATCGACGACATCGACCGCATCCTCAACCTCGACGACCGAGCCCCCCACAGAGACGTCGACAAGATTGTCCAGGCTGCCGTTTCCGACTCGGTCAAGCCTGCCATCATCTGCCCCCCGCTCATCTTCGGCCAGGGCTCGGGTCCCGGCAACCAGCAGACGATCCAGATCCCGACCCTCGTCGAGATGACCCTGCGGGAAGGCTTCGCGCCGCTCGTCGGCCAGGGCAAGACCGAATGGGATTACGTACACGTTGACGATGTTGGCGAAATGTTCCTCAAGCTGTTCGAGGCCAGCCAGGACCCCGAAAAGAAGAACAACCCCGAGATCTTTGGCCGCCACGGCTACTTCTTCGGCCCAAAGGGCGTCCTCAACTTCAAGAAGATTGCAGAGCGGGTTGCTGAGGAGGTCCAGAAGCAAGGTTATGCAAAGGAAGTGACAGTCAAGCCCGTGAGTCTCGCCGAGCAGAAGCAGCTCAAGGGTTACATCCCTGTCGCGGATTCGCTGGGTCAAAACTCCAAGAGCGTGGGTCAAAGGTTCAAGAAGTATCTTGGCTGGGAGCCCCAGGTGAATGACTCGGTGGAGGACGACATTGCCAATGTTGTCCGTTCAAAGGCAAAGAGCCTTGGGCTGTAAACTAGTTTACGCTGTTTCGTTGTTTCGAAGAGGGGCAAGGCGTGCTGTGCTGTGTAAGACCGCAAGGAGGTCTGTTCCATGTGATACGCTGGTGTAACAACACCTGTGCTTTGAGTATCTACCTACTATAATATACCTTCCAGTCGATATAGCATGCTTTCGCATCTATCTAGCCCGCATATGATGTCTCAACAAGGTATCTCATAGTGCTTCTGTGGATGATGATGATGGTGATGTTGCCAAAGCTGGTTGTCAGAAGGCAAAGAGTCTTGGGCTGTTCAGAGACGGCAAGGAAGACTGTACAACGAGGTACGAGATTCGTGGGTGGCAACACTGCAATTCGAGGTCCTACCTCTAGTACCTAGTTACTAGGTATCTCCCTTTAGAGCCTGTATAACATGCCTTTGTACCATTTTGGTCATGACATGATGTTCCAACGAGACACTTCGAGTACGCCCCCGTGGGTCACGATGTTGCCATAGTTGTCCGTCGAAAGGCAGAGAGCCTCGAGCTGTCAGAGGATCGTGGATGCTTTGGTTCAGAAGCATGGTTGTCTGGTGCCGCTTGAGGTAGAACATGCATGTAATCCGCAGTAGGCATTCTCCATGACCCGAACAAAGCACGGCGTCCAGATTACCATCAAAACACGAATCGAAGAACAAGTCAACAGCATCGACTTCAAACTGTGACCCCAGCAACGCCCCCCAATGGGCAAAGTAATACTATCTACATATTCGTACAGACAGGAGGAGAGGGACAAGATTCGCCTCGTGGATAAGATCTGCCATATTTCGGCTCTCCCATTGGTCGATATATCACCACTTTAACTGGAGGCTCAGCCTCTCAGAGGCGCGAAAAGAAAATTTCGACGACAAGACTTGTCCAAGATGGGCCTAGTGCGCTAAGGGACCATCCAAGCACGGCAAGAAAAAAACTTATCGCTTGGCCCCACCCCTGCATGCACACTTGCAAAGGGAAAAAAAGAGCGGAAGGAGGGAAAGGCGAAAAAAAAAAAAAAAAAAAAGTTCGCCAGTGCAAAATTTGTAGTGGAAGGGTATTTCTTTGCAAACCGACCCCACGTTTGCTCTCTTTTCTTTCCCTCTCCTCCAACCCATCCATCATCTCCTCTTTTCATCTTTGAATCCTTCACACAAGTTTGGAGGTTTCTGTTTTTCTCTTCTTTTCTCTAATTCTCATACCCTTCATCTAAAAAAATGGCGGACGAGGTTTACGACGGTGCCGTCGGCATCGATCTGGGTAAGTTGCTTCCACAGAAAATCTCTTTCTTCTGCGTCTAGATGCCCCTCACCTGGTCGTTGACGGAGGCCCAACCCAACGAGCAAGATTGGGAGACGAGCAGAAGAGAATCATTCCCTTCTTCAGCTTCAATCAGCCGTCTTCAACATCCAGACATTCGAGACTGACCTCAATTCTTCCCGCAGGTACCACCTACTCTTGCGTTGCCACCTACGAGGGCAACAATGTCGAGATCATTGCCAACGAGCAGGGTTCCTTCACCACCCCCTCCTTCGTTTCCTTCACGGACAAGGAGCGTCTCATTGGTGAGGCTGCCAAGAACAACGCCGCTATGAACCCCAGAAACACCGTCTTCGATGCCAAGTGAGTACCCAATCCTCGTCCTTCTTCTTGGGAGGTGCGGTCAAGAATTTTGGTTGCTGACAAAAATTTTCACCTCCAGGCGTCTGATCGGCCGTCGCTTCGATGACCCCACCGTCAAGAAGGATATCGAGTCCTGGCCCTTCAAGGTTGTCGACGATGCCGGCACCCCCAAGATCGAGGTTGAGTACCTCGGCGAGAAGAAGACCTTCTCTGCCCAGGAGATCTCCTCCATGGTCCTCCTCAAGGTATGTCGTTCTGTGGCCCGGCTAGTGACATGGCCGGAGCGAGAGAGAAGAAAAATCTGCTGTGGAACCGTTGGCTAACGAGCATTTCAACCTACAGATGAAGGAGATTGCCGAGACCAAGCTTGGCAAGAAGGTTGAGAAGGCTGTCATCACCGTCCCTGCCTACTTCAACGACAACCAGCGTCAGGCTACCAAGGATGCTGGTGCCATCGCTGGCCTCAACGTCCTCCGTATCATCAACGAGCCTACCGCTGCTGCCATCGCCTACGGTCTGGGTGCCGGCAAGACTGACAAGGAGCGCAACGTCCTGATCTACGATCTGGGTGGTGGTACCTTCGATGTCTCCCTCCTGAACATCCAGGGTGGTGTCTTCACTGTCAAGGCTACCGCCGGTGACACCCACTTGGGTGGCCAGGACTTCGACACCAACCTGCTCGACCACTGCAAGAAGGAGTTCACTCGCAAGACCAAGAAGGACCCCAGCAACGACCCCCGTGCTCTGCGAAGACTCCGCACTGCTTGCGAGCGTGCCAAGCGTACCCTCTCCAGCGGTGCCCAGGCCACCATTGAGATTGACTCTCTCTTCGAGGGTGAGGACTTCACCATGACCATCACCCGTGCTCGTTTCGAGGAGCTCAACGCCAAGGCCTTCGCCGGCACCCTCGAGCCTGTTGCCCAGGTCCTCAAGGACGCCGCCATTGAGAAGAGCGCCGTTGACGAAATTGTCCTCGTCGGTGGTTCTACCCGTATTCCCAAGATCCAGAAGCTTCTGTCCGAGTTCTTCGATGGCAAGAAGCTCGAGAAGAGCATCAACCCCGATGAGGCCGTCGCCTACGGTGCTGCCGTCCAGGCCGGTATCCTCTCCGGCAAGGCCACCTCCGCCGAGACTGCCGACCTCCTGCTTCTCGACGTTGTCCCCCTGTCTCTCGGTGTTGCCATGGAGGGTAACATCTTCGCCCCCGTCGTTCCCCGTGGCCAGACCGTCCCCACCATCCGCAAGAGGACCTTCACCACCGTTGCCGACAACCAGCAGACCGTCCAGTTCCCCGTTTACCAGGGTGAGCGTGTCAACTGCGAGGACAACACCTCTCTGGGTGAGTTCACTCTTGCTCCCATCCCTCCCATGAGGGCTGGTGAGGCCGTCCTCGAGGTCGTCTTCGAGGTCGACGTCAACGGTATCCTCAAGGTCACCGCCACCGAGAAGTCCTCTGGCCGCAGTGCCAACATCACCATCTCCAACTCTGTCGGCAAGCTCTCCACCGGCGAGATTGAGAAGATGATCAGCGATGCCGAGGCCTTCAAGAGCAACGACGAGGCCTTCAGCAAGCGATTCGAGGCCAAGCAGCAGCTCGAGTCCTACATTGGCCGTGTTGAGGAGATTGTCTCCGACCCCACTCTGTCTCTGAAGCTCAAGCGTGGCCAGAAGGAGAAGATTGAGCAGACCATCAGCGACGCCATGGGTGCTCTTGAGCTCTCCGACAGCACCGCTGAGGACCTCAAGAAGCAGGAGCTCGCCCTCAAGCGCCTTGTCACCAAGGCCATGTCCTCCCGATAAATGCAAATCGCTTAGGGAGCGACGATAGTAGGGTCATGAACAAAATATCAAAACCAAAATAAGCTGGATGTGGTGGGATTCCGGGAGTTGGGTGTGGAAAACAAAATTCTGGGCGACTGGTAGCATTAGAGAAATGCTCACCGGTCTTTAGCGCCTTGGGAAGAGCGCTATCATGGGAGGACAAAAGCACAAAGCCTCCTATTTCCTTGTTTCATATTTCTCTCTCAACATCTGTGTCCATTCTATTGAGAAGAACCGAGGCATCATGAAGAGTTATATCCTTTTCTTTTTCATTTTCGCATTTTCACTTGTCCTCGACTTCTTGCATGGGTGCAAATAATGACATGCCAAATAGCTTGGGTTTCATGAACAAAAGACGACGATGGTGATGCCTACAGCATGGTGGGAAAGAGTCCGCTCATGTTGAGGCATGCATGATATGTGGAATACGCATAGACTCGGTAGAATGGAAAATACAGATGGAAAACTGTTAAACATACTCAGTGTGCCTTTTTGCCTTTGTGATGATATGTTTTGCTTATAAGCGACGTTGAGTGAGAAAACTTGCTATATACTTCCAACTGTCAAAATACTCGAGCAGCTCTGTAAATCACGGAGAGAAATGCCAAGAGAATGGAACGATGCTTCCATGTTCCCAAGGAGGACATATTGTATCAATGTACGGTCCACGCAGTTGCAGTTGGCTTCGTGAATCAATAGCCTTGCTCTGTTCTACCCATCGCCAAGTCAAAGAGTAAACGCAATGCTATGCTGCATCTAACAACTAATCCCGGTGATCATCATCCTCCCCATCCCTATCTACCATCGAGATAGACACATGACGCTCATCATCGGAATCATACTGCGGCGTCAGCGGCGTCATGGGACTGGCCGGCTCCTCCACCATGTTCGTCCCCGGCACCGGCCGTCGCGGGATCCTCAGCTCCGGCAAGGGAGCCGTCTGGCGCCTCGGCAAAGGAGGAGCCTCGTTGTTATCTTGCGTGACAGGAGGAGGCACGGACTCTGTGTGCCGGGGGGGAAGGCTCGGCCTTTCGAGGTCAGCATCGTCGTCGGTCGGTCGTTTGGGAAGAGGCGGATTGGCGTGTTGCGGCACGAGACCCGGAGGGGTGATTGTCAGGCCTTGAAGGGCTTCGGCTGACTTGTCTGCTTCGCTGACCTTGTGGCTGGGGCGGTCTTGGAAGTCGATGAGATCCTCTTCCTTGTCCTTCATCTGGATCACGTCGTCTCTCTCAATGTCCTTTCCGGCCTTGACGTTGACGAAGCCGCACTTGCGCAGGATTTCGCCCGTGAGAGAAGGGTACCGAAGATGTCCGCTGACGCTCTCGCTCAAGTCCACATTGACAATTCCATGGACGTCCTTGATGGGCTGCAGTCCGGCGACGCCGAGCGCGAGGCTGTGCATCCGGTAGACGAAGCCCAAGACCATGTCGTTCTCCGAATAGACATTGAAGATCTTGCCCGAGACAACAGGCCGGATCGCCCGCCAGTGTGCCGGGTCAGAGGGCGCCGGCGTGCCGATGATGACGACCGTGTCGACGAGGCCGAAGGCGTGGCGCTCGGCGAGAGACTGCAGACAGGCGTGGATCGTCGTCGCGCCGAGAGAGTAGCCCACGAGCGTCACCGGCCTCTCGCCTTGCACTCTGTTGATGAGCGCATCGGCAAGGAGCTGCCCGGCCTTGCGAGACCGGTTGTTTGCGCGGTTGAACGGGTTGTCCACGTTGGAGGCCACGGCCAGCACCTGGATCGGCCAGAGGGCGGCCCAGAGCGTCGCCAGAACGGTCCGCTTGATGACTTCGGACTTGAACGCCGTCCACGCAAACGAGCGGACAAGGTCGTTTAGGGCGGTGCCGAGAGTGAGAAGGACCTTCATCTCGTATCGCAGAGCAAAGACTTCCGTTTCCGTGCCCAGGATGCGCCACGGCTTCGTGATGTCGTCTTCCGAATTGAGCCAGCCGTTGATGCCGATGGTGACGCGGAGGCGGCGCTGTTCTTTTTGCTTTTTGGTGATGTTTTCTGGAACGTCTGTCATGGCGTCTTCTTTGAGAGGGAGGAAGCGAAAGTCTTCGACCTCTTTGGCATAGTTGTCCATCATTTCGCCCTGTAAGAGAAGTATGATCAGCATGTGTGAAGCAGTTCCAACATCAAATGTCCTCGACTTACAGTCATCTTGGCGCCATAGGCTCCAAAGAGAGTCCCGACCAAAGCCCCGTTCATCCAAAAGATGCCGAGAAAGCTGGCCACTCCTCCCAGGCCAACGCCTCCCAGCACACTGCCAATGGCTCCCGCAACGAGCGGAGCGGCCAGGCCTCCAGTGACTCCTATCACCGCAGCGCCGGCCACAGACGCCAGGCCAACTTTCCAAAAGCGGCTGACCTTGTTTTGCTGTCGCCGCTTGGCCGCCTCGGCATCTGCTGACATGGCCTCTCTCTGGTCGTTGCTGGCCGTGGAAGATTCCATGAGGGACATGGCGATCTCTGCTTCCGTCTTGTTAAGAAAGGTCTGAGAGAGCTCCAACGACGATGCGAGATAGAGCACGAGGGCGCGGGAATGGGCAGAATATTTGCCGGTGGAGAGGAGGAGCAGCAGGATGCAGGTAAGAGCCTCCTCTCGGTCCTCAGCCGGGATGGTCGTCAGCCTGGTAGGTATCGGTTTGTACGCCGACTGCAGCGTAGAGATATCCTCGGTTGCATCTACCGGGACGCCGTCTATATCCACAAGCTGGCAATTGATATTGGGAATCTCGAGCTGCTTCTTGTCCAACGCCTCCCGCCGAGCTTTCCTCTCCGCCACAATCTTTGGCGTGTCCTCGACGTTGACAATCTCCTCAAGCTTGGATACGACTTCATCCCTCCATTCGAGGGTATATGCCAGAGCCGCTCCTAGAGCTTTCTCTGCCTCGCGGGTCGTCTTGATTCTCGGCTGCGGTAGACCTCGAGGCTTGCCACCTTGAGAGGCAGAGGTGCCGCCCGGCTTTCCAGCTGAGTCCGGGGGAGGCGTTTCATCGTAGTTGTTGCCTTCATCGTCTGGGGCAATGGAGCCAAGTTCATCAGGATGCGTCTCCAGCTCGGAGATCATGCAAGCGATGATGCCTTGGACAAGAGCCAGCAGGGCCTTTCGCCTGGCGGGGTTCAGAGTGATGACAATCTGCCGCGGATCCGCGCAAGGTGGCGCCATATTGAAGTGTCTCGAGTTGTTGTCACTTGTATGATTGAGTGTTTGAGTGTAACAAGAGGGTTAGATGTCGATTGTATTGAGGGGACCTTTATGGAGAGCTGGCGTCTGGCTGATGGCACATTACACGTCACCTGGATCAAGTGGCCGGTCGGGCCATTGAATCCTTCAACCAAGGCTGTCGATCGAATGGCTAGAAAGAAACACTGCGCGGCTGAAGATGGTCTTGACAATGAAGCGTGAAGAAGTGGTAGGAGAGACAGATATTGTGTCTGCCAGTATATAAATGGAAGTAAGGTTAATGTAGGTACTAGGTAGTAAGCCAGCGTTCACCGCATCAAATCCAAGACGTCGTTTGTGAGACGGTTCAGTTCTTCCTTAGTCAACGAAAAGGCTGTGCTATTGACCAACCACGCCGTATAACAGTCAAGGAGAACAGTATGAAGACTTTACTCAAAACAAGGAGAGCAAGAGAGATAATGACTGAATTGCAGCCAAAAGATCAAAAGGTAGGTACCTGAGAGAAAGTGATGGTACGTGTGAGACGCAAAAAAGGCAAAAAAGGCAAAAATGTAACTCTTCTCCGGGGAGAATTGCTCTCCGGGGACGGAATCGAACCGCCGACTTTCTGATGAGATGTTACCATTACAGTCAGACGCCATGAACCAACTAGACCACCCAGAGGATGTTGAAGAGTTGACACTGAGCAAACTAACCCAGCCTATAGCACCTGACTCGTTAGTGCTTGTGCAGCACCGTGTTAGCGGTCGCCCGATAAGCGCTCGATAGGGCCGGCCCCGCTGGAAAAATCCCATCTTCTTCCTACCAGCGCAGAGTTGCCAGCCAGCCATCCGCGCCGCCTCAAGGGAAAGCAGCAACAATTTCCTACCAAATCCACAGAGCCTCATGTCGAATCCTTTTCACCCACGATAGCACAGCCCTCCACTTCCAAGGTACGCCAGCCGTACCATCAACCTCTTCGACACAATGGATGCGCATGCGCTCCTTTCCGCCCAAGGCTGGCGCGGAACCGGCCATTCCCTGCACAAGACAGACGACTCAATTGGCCTCGCGAAACCTCTCCTCCTCAACCGCAAGACAAATACAAAGGGTCTCGGAAACACAAAACACTTCACGAGCGATCTATGGTGGATGGACGCCTTTGACGAACAACTCAAGGGTCTCGACACGTCCAAAGAAGGCAAAGTCGAGCAGACAGTGACAACGGGAAAGCTCAATGCCCTCGACCCGGGACGCGTATCGAAATACTCCATCTACGCTTCCTTTGTTCGAGGTGGCTTTCTGCAGGGAACAATTACTCCGGAGTTGACAGATGATTCGACCAGCACCGAATCGGACAAGAGCGATGACAAGAAGACAGCTCCGTCAAAGGGAACAAAATCCGATACAAAGCCTAAGAAAGAAAGCAAGGAGGAGAAAAGAGCTCGAAAAGAGGAGAAGAGGAAACGAAAAGAGGCGCGCGCGCTACGGAGAGCAGCAAAGGCTGAAAGACGGCTGAGGAGAGCAAAAGCGAAGAAGGATACTCAGACTTCAGATTCCAGCAGTAGTAGTACGGCGGAAGAGAAGCGGCTGAGGCGTGCTCAGAAGGAGGAAAAGCGTAGGAGAAAAGAATTGGAGAAGAAGAAGGCAAAGGGCGATTAATGGGAACAGCACCCGCAGGGCATAATAATAGACGGCGCATCAGCAGGGAGTTTGAGAAAGGTAGTGTTTTCAACCGCAAGGGATACCCAAATTAGAGAGAGCGTTTTAAGTTTGCATTTCCTTCGACGCCTTGCCAGGCTGGCCTGGCTTGCCGGACAAGATCCAAGGCCGTCTATCCCAGAACTCGTCCTTGATGATGTCTATGTGCTCTACTACTACCTTTGCCTTGGCCCTGCGCTTCTTCTCCTTTTCGGCCTGCGACTTTGATTGCACTGCTGGTTCGGCGAGAGCATCGGCTGCTGCTGCTGCTGCATTGTTACTGCCGGGCTCGGCCAATTCGTACTGTAGCTGTTAGCCCCTGACATGCCAAGTTGTCCCATGCACGGGGATCTTACATCTCTGAATATGACACTGCCTTTCCTAAAGATTTCAGGCTCGTTGTTGTAATTGATATGGAACCGAGAGAACAGTATTTCATTCTTGTCCGCAGCCAACGTTCCCTGCACCAAGGTCAGCATACAAATTCAGCACAGCTAAAAGAGGACGCACGGCAAGTGTTTTCTCAGCCTCTTTATTGTCGAGGCCTCCAAGCTGTATCAGCTTCCAGAAGGCTGTGTTATACAGGTTGTTGATGTGACCTTGTTGTTCATTAGCGAAAATTCTGTTGGTCTCATCAAAGTTGCCTTACAGTCAGCCTGCCTCCAGCTCATGTAATCCCGAAGATTCTGCACCGCCGGATAGCAGACAGCTCGACCATCGAACGTCGGCAGAGGGAACGAAAGGGGCGTATCAGGGAAGTATGTCGGCCACAGGTAGACGTAATTTGCTGTGAATGTAGAGACAACCGTGCTGACAAGTTTACTGAAGCCTCGTCAGTTGGTGGGGGATTGTAGGGTAGCTGGAATTGGGACTCACCTTGCTCTCCTCTCAAAGAGGTTGCAGGACTTGTGAAAGACGAAACTGACTTGTGTTAGACCGTATGGTCGATTGTGTTAATCTGGCCTTTGGGGGATGAGATACCTGTACTCGTCGCTGACTCCATATGCAATCGTGATTTCCGGTAGGTCAGTCACAACCGCCTTGGCCGCAGCATTCATGAGATCAAGTGCTCTCCGGTCGTTTGGCTTCTCGAACTCATACTTGGCACACATCCTGATCCCAAATGTCAACATTTGAGCTATAATCAGCGGGACTTTCTCGATTTGCATCTTTACTTCGTGAATCCCCTCCCATCTATGCGAACTACGATCCATGTGTTGGGCAAGAGAGAATCCGGCTGCTCAAAGTTGCGAACATACTCGAACCTGGAGCGCACTTAGCATTTAAGGCCCTGGAACGCAACGCAAAAAGAGTAACGGCACCGTACTTTGAGTTGGCCATCTTGAGACCGAGGCAGATATTGTTTGGGACTCCGTAAAAGAATGCAAGAAAAGAAGTCCTCTCATCAACGAGATACCGAGTACTTGTGCGTCATGCTAAAATCTGAGCAACTGAGAGGTAGCGCACATCCCCGCGGTGGAGCTTGTTGCAGGAATTCCGCGTTTGCAAGCAAGCAAGCTCATTCGTTGCCTTGCCCAGTAGCATGCTAGACGCACCCCTCCTGTGGCGCATAACTGCGACAAAGCAGCAACTTTTTGTCAGCCTTGCAGCTCGGGTCTTGCTTTGACAGCTTGAGCTCCTCGCAGCCTTCTCGCGTCTCCTCTACCATGTTGCTCTGCATCTATCGAATAGCCCCAGCATTGCTACCGCGACGATGAATTTGCTACTTTCAGACGACTACCTCCTCCAGGATTATCCTGAGAGCATGACGAGCACGATCCGGTCCGGCCATGCGACCATGCTGAGGTTCAATCGCACGGGCGACTATCTTGCGTCTGGCCGGGTGGACGGAACCGTCGTTGTCTGGGACTTGGAGACGATGGGGGTCGCCCTCAAGATGAGAGGTCACAACAAGAGCATCACATTCCTCAGCTGGTCCAGATGCGGGCGCTATCTGCTGTCGACGTGTCAAGGCTGGAAGGCCATCCTGTGGGACCTTCAGACCGGACATCGACATCGAGAGGTGCGCTTCCGCGCTCCGGCGTACATGGCTGAGCTTCATCCATGGAACCAGTATGTGAATCTTGCTTGATCCCACTCCAGGTAACACGCGCAGTTCGAACCAATTCATTGACATCACCCTACCCAGTAATCTTTTTGTCGCGTCGCTATTCGAAGAGCAGCCGTTGCTGGTCGACATCTCCGAGCCGGTCGATGTCAAACGCGTACTACCCTCAGCGCCGAAGCGACCAAACGCAGATAGCGACATTGCTCTCAAGGAGAAGCAAGCGAAAGAAGACGCAAAGCAGATGACAACATCGGCAATATGGACAGCTACCGGCGATCACATCATCGCGGGGACGAGCAAAGGCAAATTGAACATCATCGATGCCAAGACACTCGAAATCATATACTCAGAGAAGATATGCACTGGGGTCATCACCACCATGAGGATAACGTCGTCTGGCCGAGACCTGCTGGTCAACTCCCAGGATCGGATTATCCGAACGTTTCGAATACCAAACCTCGCGGTGCCCGACCTTGACCCCGATACGATACAGTTGCCCTTGGAGCACAAATTTCAAGACGTAGTGAACAAACTCTCCTGGAATCATGTCACGTTCAGCGCAACGGGCGAATACGTGGCCGCGTCCACCTACAACAATCACGAACTCTACGTTTGGGAACGGAATCACGGCAGCTTGGTCTGTATGCTCAAAGATCCCAAGGAGGAGCAGGGCGTCATAGAGTGGCACCCTTCTCGCCCGCTGCTGGCGGCGTGCGGCCTGGAGACCGGCCGCATATACATATGGTCCGTCATCAGTCCGCAGAAATGGTCGGCGCTGGCGCCGGACTTTGCAGAGGTCGAAGAAAACGTCGAATACATGGAGCGGGAGGACGAGTTCGACATATACGCGCAGGAAGAGATCCACAGGAGACGGCTCGACGCTGAGGACGAAGATGTTGACGTGCTGACGGCTGATCCCACCAAAGACGGGGAAGATCTCGCTAATTTCCGCATGCCCATTCTGTTCAATCTTGGCGAGAGCGACAGCGAAGACGAATTCGTTGCGGTTTCGACTGGGACCATGCGGCGGAGGAGCCCCGGGGAGAGCCAAGCTGATCTGAGTGCTGGAGCAGAATCTGCGGCGCCGGTGCGCAAGAAGGCTGGAGCCAGGGGAGGAAAAGGCAAGAAGAAGTAATCAAATGGGCTGCTCGAGGGTTTCTTTTTGTCTTTGATTACATACAGTAAGTAACTTGGCAGAGGATTAGCGCATAATACCAAGACAATGATTTGTAGACGCCACGACGATGAGGCGCTCTGGAATTGTGACAGCCGAGCATGTAAGGCCAAAGTGAACTTTTTACCTGACCAGGGTGAGTCACCGGCGAAACGGCAGGGGGAGGTGAACGCGCACTGAATGAGAGAACGAACTGCGTGTCAAGTGGCAGTTGACAATAATAAAGTGACTTTTCGGCGCACATTTCGCACCTGCTGGCGCTGCTTCTTATTGTCTTCTTCTTCTCGCTTCTACCGTGACACGCCAGAGGCGATTATTCAGCTGATGCCTGAGGCACAACTGCTGAGGTGCCAGGAGGCGGATTGTCCAGACACGGTTTAGCGGCATCGAGGCAACAAGCGCCTCACGTCCATCCAAACTTTCGGGCTTCTGTTCGTTTCGCCTTCAACCACGACACAACCTCTTGCCCCGGTTCACCTTCATCACCACGCGTGTCGGGCATCGAGTCTGGCGCCTGGGACCGCCGCAAACGATACGATTCGAGCCGACGATCTGCGATTTACGTGTCGATACGGCTTCAGCGCTGGTGGCGACGGGGGAGACCAGCCGTGAGGTTCTCCTGGGCCTGGTGGCCAGGATTGGCGATTGAGAGAGAGCGCCATCTCTCAGCAATTCACAACCGCTCGAGGCATCGATCTTTCGACTTTCCGCGACCGGAAGCTGTCGCTGCTCGGGATTTCCAGGGTTTTCTCTTGCACTTGGCACCTTTATCGCGACTACGAGGCGCGTGCTGCATTTGCCGCCCACACCGATCCTTTTCAGCTCTTCGATTGAAAACTTCGTTCACGACCGTTGAAAATGGCGAACCTCTACTTCACGCACTCGAGCGCTCCGCTCAAGACGGTGCAGGAGATTCAGTTTGGTCTCATGTCTCCCGAGGAGATCAAGAGCATGAGCGTGGCCCACATTCTGTACCCGGAGACGATGGAGGAAGGCGGCACAAAGCCGCGCGATGGTGGCCTCAACGATCCTCTCCTCGGCTCCATCGACCGGCAATTCAAGTGCAAGACGTGCACGCAGGCAATGGGCGAGTGCCCTGGCCACTTTGGTCACATCGAACTGGCCAAGCCGGTGTACCACCCTGGCTTCATCAAGAAAGTCAAGAAGATCTTGGAAATTGTCTGCCACAACTGTAGCAAGGTCCTGGCTGATGAAGTTGGTCTTCTCTCTTCCATGAAGCGTTTGCCTCACTGGATGCTAACCTAAACTTTCCCAGAGCGATCCCGAGTTTGTCGCAGCAATCAATACTCGAGATGCAAAACTCCGCTTCAAGCGGGTATGGGCCGTCTGCAAGAAGAAGCGGAGGTGTGAGAATGACGACCGGTCAGAGAAGAACAAGGACGAGGAGTTTGCGCCCGGCATGAAGCCAGCCGTCGTCGAAAGCCACGGCGGCTGCGGCAATGTGCAGCCTCAGGTTCGACAGGTCGCTCTCCAGCTCAAGGCCGCCTTCGAGGTTGTCCAAGAGGATGGTCCCAAGCGGAAAGAGACGGCTCCCATCACCCCAGAGATGGCCCATAGCATCCTTCGCCGCATCTCTGAGAAGGATCTGCGCAACATGGGTCTCAACTCAGATTACGCCCGTCCGGAGTGGATGATCATCACCGTCCTGCCCGTGCCCCCACCACCGGTCCGTCCTAGTATCTCCATGGATGGTACTGGAACCGGAATGCGTAACGAAGACGACTTGACCTACAAACTTGGTGATATCATTCGCGCCAATGGCAATGTCAAGCAGGCTATCCGTGAGGGCTCCCCTCAGCATATCGCCAGAGATTTCGAAGAGCTGCTGCAATACCACGTTGCCACCTACATGGACAACGACATTGCTGGCCAGCCCCGTGCGCTGCAGAAGAGTGGCCGTCCGGTCAAGGCCATTCGTGCCCGTCTCAAGGGAAAGGAGGGCCGCCTGAGAGGCAATCTGATGGGAAAGCGTGTTGACTTTTCTGCTCGTACAGTCATCACGGGAGACGCCAACCTGTCTCTGCACGAAGTCGGTGTTCCTCGCAGTATTGCTCGGACCCTGACCTACCCCGAGACAGTGACGCCTTACAACATTGGCAAGTTGCATCAACTGGTCGAGAACGGTCCCAATGAGCATCCTGGAGCCAAGTACGTTATCAGATCCGACGGGACCCGTATCGACCTGCGACACCACAGACGAGCGGCTCAAATTTCTCTCGAGTATGGCTGGAAGGTTGAGCGTCATCTTATGGACGGTGATTATATCATCTTCAACCGTCAACCCTCGCTTCACAAGGAGTCCATGATGGGTCACCGTGTTCGCGTCATGCCTTACTCCACTTTCCGACTCAATCTGTCGGTGACTTCTCCTTACAACGCCGATTTCGATGGTGACGAGATGAACCTTCACGTACCGCAAAGCGAAGAGACTCGTGCAGAAGTCAAGGAGCTTTGCCTGGTTCCTAACAACATCGTTTCGCCTCAGAAAAACGGCCCACTGATGGGTATCGTTCAGGACTCGCTCGCTGGCGCCTACAAGCTCTGTCGTCGTGACACCTTCCTTGACAAGAATCAGGTCATGAACCTCATGCTCTGGGTCCCTAACTGGGACGGTGTCATTCCCCAGCCCGCCATCCTGAAGCCGAGACCGCGCTGGACCGGCAAGCAGATCATCAGCATGGTCATCCCCAAGGAGATCAGCCTGCACGCTCCCGAAGACAAGTCTGACTCTCCTCTCAAGGATGCTGGCCTCCTCATTCAGGCTGGTGAGCTTATGTACGGTCTCATGAAGAAGAAGAACATTGGTTCTGCCTCTGGTGGTGTGATCCATCTCTGCTACAACGAGCTGGGCCCAGAAGGTGCCATGGCGTTCCTTAACGGGGTTCAGCAAGTGGTTACCTACTGGCTGCTGCAGAACGGCCACAGCATTGGTATCGGTGATACCATTCCGGATAAGCAGACGATTGAGAAGGTCCAGGTGCACATTGACACCCAAAAGGCCGAGGTCGCCAGGCTTACGGCCATGGCTACAAACAACGAGTTGGAAGCCTTGCCTGGTATGAACGTCCGAGCGACCTTTGAGAACAAGGTCTCCATGGCTCTTAACATGGCTCGTGACCAAGCTGGTACTACGACCCAGAAGAGTTTGAAGGACTCCAACAACGCCGTGACCATGGCCGAGTCCGGTTCAAAGGGATCGTCCATCAACATTTCTCAGATGACAGCGCTCGTGGGACAGCAGATTGTCGAAGGAAAGCGTATTCCGTTTGGCTTCAAATATCGGACTCTGCCCCATTTCACCAAGGATGATTACTCACCCGAGGCTCGTGGTTTTGTGGAGAACTCGTACCTGCGTGGCCTTACGCCGACCGAGTTCTTCTTCCACGCCATGGCTGGTCGTGAAGGTCTCATTGATACGGCCGTCAAGACAGCCGAGACAGGTTACATTCAGCGACGTCTGGTCAAGGCTCTGGAAGATCTCAATGCTCAGTACGATGGTACGGTGCGCAACTCTCTTGGTGATATCATTCAGTTCCTCTACGGCGAAGACGGTCTCGACGCTATGTGCATCGAGAAGCAGAAGCTTGGCATCTTGAAGATGTCTGACGAGGCGTTTGAGAAGAAGTATCGCCTTGATCTGGCCAACCCGCCAGACTGGTTCAGAAAGGACTACGAGTATGGCAACGAGTTGACTGGTGACAAGGCCTCCATGGCTCTGCTCGACGAAGAGTGGGATCAACTTCTGGCCGACCGCCGCGAAGTACGGGAGATCAATCGCTCAAAGATGGGCGAGGAAATGATGCAGCTTCCTCTCAACATCGGCCGCATGATCGAAACCGCCAAGCGCGTCTTCAACGTCAAGGCCAACGACCGAAGCAATTTGAGACCTTCGGATGTCATTCCCGTTGTGAGGAACGTCATCAACAAGCTCAAGATTGTGCGAGGCGAGGATCAGATTTCGAAAGAGGCGGATACTAGTGCCACCATCCTCTTCAAAGCTCTTCTTCGATCTCGACTGGCCTTCAAAGAGGTGGTCAAGGAGCATCGCCTGAACAAGTTGGCATTTGAGCATGTTCTCGGAGAGCTTCAGAACCGGTGGGACCGGTCGTTTGTCAACCCCGGTGAAATGGTGGGTGTCCTCGCGGCTCAGTCCATCGGTGAGCCTGCTACGCAGATGACTCTGAACACCTTCCACTTTGCTGGTGTGTCCTCCAAGAACGTCACGCTCGGTGTGCCCCGTCTCAAGGAAATCCTCAATCTTGCAAAGAACATCAAGACGCCTAGTATGGCAGTTTATCTGGACACTCCGTTAGCCAAGCAGGAGCAAGCGAAGAAGCTGCGAAGTCTGGTCGAGTACACCAATCTGCGGTCTATTACTTCCGTCACTGAGATCTACTACGACCCAGACGTCCAGTCTACAACCATTCCGGAGGATCTCGACATGGTCGAGTCCTACTTCTTGATTCCTGACGACAGCCAAGACACCATCGATCAGCAGTCGAGGTGGCTTTTGCGCATCACGCTCGACAGGCAGAAGCTGCTTGACAAGGAAATCAAGATCGACGACGTCGCCCAACGCATCAAGGAAGAGTATCCCAATGATCTGGCCGTCATCTTCAGCGACAACAACGCTGACGAGCAAGTCATCCGCATCCGTACCATTCGCCAAGACGAAAAGGACGAGGACGGCGAGAAGAAGATTGAAGATGACGTGATGCTCAAGCGACTCGAGGCCCATCTCCTGGACACTTTGACGCTGCGAGGTGTGCCTGGCGTTGAAAGGGCCTTCTTGACCAAGGGCACTCGCCTCGTGGAGGCCGCTGACGGATCTGAGCTTGCGCTCAAGGACGATCCCCGATGCACTCAGTGGTATCTGGATACTAGTGGCTCAGCTCTCCGCGAAGTCTTGGCCGTCCCTGGAGTTGATCCTACGCGAACCT